GTGCGTGAGCGACGGCCACACCTGCATGCCCCATCCCGCCGGGACGATAAGGGAGTAACCGCAAATGCTATCTTTTAGTCCTCCCTCGATGGTTTTTTGCACGATAAGTATGGGCAGTGTGTCGTCGTCGGCTGTCATCGCGAGTGGTTTGCCAGGTGCCGTCACACTGCGCCGACTGTCCAGCTGAGATTTTTTGTAACGCGGTTTGAACACTCTTCGCCGTTCTTCGGCGTCATATATGCCCGACGAGGCCAGTGTGGTGCTCAGCGTTAGCGGGACGCCAATTGGTTTGTCCTTCTGCGGTTTGGTGTTGCGTGGTGGGAAGCTGATAAATGTGAGTTGTTAATAGGGTTGCTATACATGCCACACTCTCTGTACACACCTCAGACGCGGATCATCTACGGTGAATCCAGCTACGAAGCCCGTGGGCAAATGTGCCGGCGTGGCTGCCTTGGCCAATTTTTGCCATGCTATCCTCTCCGCCCTGCCATTCTCCTTGGCCAGTTTGAACGCACCTGCGAGCACTTGGCTGGAATGGGGGCCGTACAGGTCAAAAGTATTGACGTGGCCTGTGAGGTTGAGAATGGTAACAGCAGAGGGGTAAGGTGATGTAGCGCCTTCAGCATCGCCGCACATCTCTGCATCACCTGCACCACCCCTAGCAGCAATTTGAAGTGTCTCAAGCACTTTGGCAGATGCAGACGGATGGCAACGCAGCCAGACGCTCCTCTTATCGCGCACGCCATCGGCAGGATGCCAGATGAGGGAGATAGGGGCTATGATAGCGGATGGGTATGCATTGAGTTGGTAGATGTAGCTGCGCATTTCACGTGTACCAAAGATATACCTCCTAGAAGACGGAGATTCACCAGCTCTATCGAGGACAGCGGTGAGTACGCGGAGAATGTCATCCTGATTTGCACTGAGCTGAATGAGAGAGGTGTAGGAGGCGTCGTGGACAATACAACCCTGTCTCGCCGCTCTCATGGACGGCCTGAACGACTTTTCGGTGGGATGTCTAGCCACTCTGTATCCCCAGAGATTGGCCATTTTCATCCTCTTTGCGTGCCAAATGTGAGTTTCTAGCCAAGATTTGTTTGTTTGACGTTTACGCAGGGTAGCTGTGCGGGATGCAGAACTCTGCTGCTTCTTCATACGGGTGCGCAACAGCTTCCTCCTCTTCCTGCGCAATTTGGAGACATCACCTGGTGCTGATAGCTCAGCGAGCGCTTTCTCGCGGAGACGGAGAGGGACGCGCATGGGGTTGTGAGAGGCAGCCCTGCGTCTGAGATGACGTGGAAGGGATTGGAAGGCTCTAGTAGAGGAAGCAGATTTGGCGCTATCCATGGCTTTGAAGAGGGCTTTTATCTCGAATTGCCTGGCCTGTGTGGGGACTGTTGAGTTGAGCTTATCTCAAGACGGGAGACGCACCTTGACGTGATCCTCAACATTAATCGCAGAAGGGAGTTGTGTGTCAATCTTCCTCGCGTGATTCGCTTTGGCTCTCTTTTTCTGCTTTGCAGCGGAGATCATGATGGTATGGGTTGAACATGTACAGCGAGGAGTACGACGTGTGGAATAACAAAACATCGGAGATAAACTCTGATAATCTCCTTCAAGAGACGCTGCAGAAGGAGTCGTTGATTAGGTGGGATTGTACAGCCAGTATAGACACAGCCAGCTAACACAGTATCCAAATCAGGGAAATAACGCAATCTAAGGAGAATCTCAGTGGTGGGTTGGTTTACGGGCCTGGATTATTGTTCTGATCACCCTTATAGACCTTATAGAGAAGACAAGGAACAGCGATGCTGTAATCGATAAGCTCAAGGATGATAACGTGGTACTGCAGAATTATATTGATAATCTAACGTGGGTTGTTGCTGTTCTTTGGTTGGCTGCTATTACTGATCAGATTCAGCCGGCAATCACTCCTCGTTACCAACAAATCAAAGTGAATTTCTTCTTGTCTTGTACCATCACCAACGACGAATGCTTGATCCTTCTGTCTACCTACAAGCCCAGGGCTGGCAAGTGGGTAAAGGCTTGAAGCATAATTCTATCAGCAGACCGATCCCTGCACCAAGGAAACGCGATCTCAATGGGATTGGCAGGGATAGAGACGATGGCCATTTATTCCATTCTAGGTGGGTTATGTAATATTATATCACTCGTATCCTCACATCCACTCAGCCTTTTCGATGCTGCAGCCAAAGCTATTCAGATTAAGGTTGATGATTCTGATGACAGCGACAGCGACAAGGACAAGGACAAGGACGCAGACACACCTCAGTCACTCAACATATCACGTACTTCCACTGGTATTCTCTCTACTCGTACTCCCTCCTCTGCCCCATCCATCCCCGCCTCTCAAGTAGCCTTTGGTCAGGCCAAACAGTCGTTAGCCAAGCGCAAGTTGTACAGCAGGTTTACTCAAGGACAGACTTATAATGGCGGCGAACTACAATCTTTTTTACGAGAACAAGATGATTCTAAGCAGCGCGTTCCTCCTCAGGTCCACAACAAAAAGAAACGGAAAGCTAAGGCACGTAAGAATGAAAAGAGTGCCTGGCTTGATTTACTATAGACATTTTTTGTATTTTATCCACAAATATCCTTTTTTGCAGCATATTTCTATGTCTTCTATCTCGACTTTCACCATCACTCTAGCAAATGATTCTGCAGCAATTCCGGGCGTGTTCCAGGGCTAGTTATGTGCAGCTCAATCTGCGGTCTATTCCCCGCGTACGCAACTACACAGACAAACCTAGCCGGCCACAAGACCAAGGTGAAGATGGATATCCTTACTACCTCGATGCGCCGTTACAGCCTAAATCTGTTCGCGGCGAGGATAACGAGAGGAGCAAGAGTATGCCTGTAGGCTTCGGCAACCAGTACGTCGCTGTTTCCGACGAAAAGAGGCGGATGCTAGAGAAGGTTATCAACTCATTCAACGCGCCGATCCGCTATGGGTTTGCGTATGGGTCTGGGGTATTCCAACAACCCGGATACACCGATAAAGTGGGTAATGAAAATCAACCGAGTTGTACGCATAGCTCACCCAGTCTGCTTGCAGGATAAGCCACTAGTCGATTTCATAGTAGCGACCACGCATCCCTACCACTGGCACTCAATCAATATACAGCAGAACCCTACACACTACCCCTTCCTAGCCAAGATACTCGGTAGCAAGGCGATAAACTACGTGCAGCGAGCATTCGGCGCGCGCGTGTGGTATGTGAGTATGGTAGAGGTAGATGGAATACCGTTAAAGTATGGGGTGGTGTCAGTCGACGATCTGTGCCGCGATCTGCTCGACTGGGAGACGCTGTATGTGTCAGGGCGAATGCACAAGCCAGTGCGAATAATCAAGGACGACGCGCGCGTGAGACTGGCTCAGCAGGTGAATCTCACATCCGCTCTCCGCACAGCGCTGCTACTCCTCCCGCACCAGTTCAGCCAACAGGAGCTATACGAGAAGATAACGGCACTATCCTACTCGGGCGACCCGCGCATGCAGGTTGGGGAGAACCCAGCCAAGGTCGCCAATATCGTCGCTGCACAGATGGAGCAGTTCCACTCGCTGTATGAGCCTCTAGCTATGCATCTGCGCGGCGTACGCTTTGTGCCAGGATGGCGGCGTGTACCACAGGGCCAGCGGGCTATACGGGTGAGTTGCAGCTTGGGCTTGAAATGGGCGATGTGACGTCAGCAATGGTCGATCGTCACCCTCGAATAAAACAAACACCAGCTGACTGATGCCGGGCAGCAACCAATGAACACACAGGCTAGAGCGGGGCTGGTGGCGAAACTGCCGCTGCATCTGCGTAGGAAGCTGCGCAGTCACTACGACGTGCTCTACAAGGACGTCAAACACGATGACGGCGTGTACTGGACTCGCGTTGTAACAGACGAACAGTTCGAACGGCGATTAGAGATGGGTGGGTTTTGTTTGTTTATCGCTCGCTTATCTCACAAATAATCCCAGCGGTGGCGGAGATCGTCAGAAAACCCGCGGTCACACAGTCGCTCAAGGGAGTTCTCACAGCTGGGCCAACGAAAGCACTCTTGTATGTCTGGCAGAAGCTGTGCAAGCGTGTGTACAAATAATAAATTTTATGGTTCCGACACATACTTACACGTGCTGAGCTGGGGCTGGGCTGATGGGATTCGGCGGGGTATCTTTGCATCCGCAGTGCGCAAAACAATCTCTGCAGCCAACGTCCATGTTCAACTACAGTCTTAGTTTGGATACGACTAATCTCGGGGATGCGTCGCAGGCGTCGCAGGAGGAGAGCCAGAGCCAGCATTCGAACCAGCAATACCCTCACTCACAGCCACAACCACAGCGTAGACCGCGTCATGGTAAAGTTGTGTACGATTTGCACGCGCAATTCATCGCATTCTACGCCACTTCTCAACCATCTCCCCATCATCTCCCAGTCTTCTGGCAAGGCTCACGAGAGCGCGGCAGCCTCAAGTTCAGATTCAGGACGCGCGACGGCGGCTCTATCTGCATTTTGCTCGATGACGGCAATTACGAGTTATGCATGCCACTAGAATGCGTCACCTACCTAGGTATGCTACCGATCGACGAGAGCAGCGGGGGAGGAGGAGCAGGAGGAGGATCGAACAACCCCGATCAGCTCGATGTGAACCATCCCAACTACGCTGTTCAACTTGAGCGGTGTTTATCGGGTGGTAAAATTACTTTCGAGTTGGGCGTCGACCAGAATGCCCTGTTTGACTATCGCAGGCGGGAGCCAAACAGATATGTGCGCGATCATTTTAATACACAAACGCGCGATGCGGCGTGCGCGGTGAAGCACGTTAAGATTACTATTCATCACTCAGTCACTAAGGAGCTGGCAACGGCTATGGTGGCGCTCGTTGTGCGCTCACTCAAATTGAAGTTTTACCCGCAACACACACTCAACGCTTCGCTCAGCATGAGCAGCAGCAGCAGCAACAGCAACGGTAGTAGTAAGGATGGTGCTGGCTATGGCTATGGATATAGCAGCAGTGATGACCTTTGGTACATTAATCCACGTTTCAACGTTGACGGCAACTTCAGTGGGGGTATGGAGGTGGATAACAAGCATGACGACAATAACAAGACACTCTCAACACCCAAGACACCCAAGTCTCAATCTCAATTTCACAAGCAGGTGGACAAGCAACAACTCCAAGACATACTTGGGAGCTACAACAAATCACCCTCGCTGTCGCCCGCTTCAAGCATGCCGACCTTGTCGCCTGTCTCACCAGACACTTACCTCCCATTGCCGATGACGCCTATGGGGCAGCCGGGTGGACCTTCGCAGGCGTACCCATATTTTCAGTCACAAGGACAAACACAAAGCCGCGCACTGCCATATACGGGACTAAACATGTTTGATACAACGCATGGATACTTTGCGGGGAACTACGCCAACTACGCGGGCAACACGCACACTCACATATCGACTCCCGCTAACAAACCACACATTAAGGGACTGACACGCTCGCAATCGCAGATGATAAAGTCGCTTAGACAGTTATCGATGGATGATCTTGGCGGGCTGAGTGGGGTGTCAGTGACCCCATCACCGTCTGCAGTCGCAGTCTCAGCAGCAATCTCAACCACGTCAGAAAGGAAGCCGAATGTTATCGTCGGCGGTGGGATGGAGCGTGCACCGGGACACGCGGTGAATGGGAATTGGAAGGCACACGTGCTAGAGGAGAAAACGGGGAATGAGAATTTAGAGAATAGGGAAATTGCGGGGATCGCGGGAATCACAGCAACTAGAAGAAATACAGAATCTCACTCAGGTAGTCGCTCACCGCCGCTCAAGCGATCCAAGGCTAGATGGACAAGAGCGGGCAGGGCGCAGTCGATTGGGACGATTGGGGATGGTAGGAGAGTGTGAGGGGATGTGTAGAGAGTGTGAAAGACACGAGCTGATTACTGATTACTGATTACTGATTTCTACAAACACATTAAGGCATTTAAGCATTTAGCATTTAAGCATTTAACTATTTCTCCATTAACTCATCGCATATCGCATATCGCTGTATAAAACAATTTTTATCAATCGAGTTGATGTCTTCGCAGCTTCTTTGAGTGTCGAGTGTCAGTCAGTGAGAGAAGAAGTTAAATAAATAAAAAAGATGCTGAGGTCAACGAGAAGCGGGTTAATAAGTGGGCGAGCAGTAATGCAGATGCGCACGATGCACGCGACAGCCGGGGTGTTAAGAATGGGCGGGGAGGCGACAAGCACGAGCAGGACAAACGCAAAAGCAAACGCACCGGCACACACCCGTAAAACAGCCCCATTAGTTCGTATAAGCAACCAATTCAAGACGTTTAAACCACTGACGCCGTCATTGCGCCATGTACGCATACCACTCACGGACATATCCAACTCTGGGCCATTCAAGCCACTTACTATTTCCAAGAGGAAGACGGGTGGACGCAACAGCAGTGGGAGGGTAGTGAGTAGACATATAGGCGGTGGACACAAACGCCGTGTGCGCACACTCGACTTTGCCCGTATAGAAGGTGGTGTGAGGCGAGTAGTGCGTTTGGAATACGATCCCAACCGTAGTGCCCATATTGCTTTGTTGCGGGGAGAGAGTGGGGCGTCTGAAGCACACCCTCACAGTTCCCCTTGGAGCTACATCATCGCACCTAAAGGCCTCAAGGCGGGTGACACGGTGCAGAGCTTCCGCACACTCTCGGATGCCGGTATTGCCAAACTCACTGCTGCGGCATCCCAAGGTGATTTCTCGGGCGATGTGCTGAGCAGAGGCGGAGATAGTGGTGAGTGGAGGATTTTTTTGATTATCGAGTTAAAGACACAACTAACGCACCTCACAGACAAGAGCACAAGCACACCCACACCCACCAAAGTGAGCAGCCTCGACCTGGGTCTGTTGCGCATGATAACAGTACGTCCCGGCAACGTGCTCCCCTTGCGTCTGATGCCCGTCGGCACGCTTGTGCACTGCATTGGGTTGAAAGTGGGTGGAAATGGTCTCCTCTGTCGTAGCGCTGGGTCATATGGACAAGTAATAGCTCTGCACAGCGGTCCGCGTTCGCGATACGCTCAGATTCGCCTCCAGAGTGGTGAAGTACGCCTAGTGTTGATGGAGTGCTGCGCTACTGTTGGCGTCGTGTCTAACGAACACCACCACCTCAAGTCGCTCGGTAAAGCTGGGCGCAGCAGGTGGTTAGGTCGCAGACCATCTGTTAGAGGTGTCGCGATGAATACTGTCGATCACCCCCTCGGTGGTGGCCGTGGTAAGAGTAAGGGCGATAAAGATCCTAGATCCCCTTGGGGCCTTCTCAGCAAGGGCAAGCGCACGCGCAGACCGAAAGACACTCACGGTAATAAGTATGTCGTTAGACAGAGAGTTAGAGTTAGAGGTAGGAAGTAGGATTGTGTTATGAGGTGGTGCTTTGACAAGATTAAACACTTTAATGCATTCTCTTTTTTTATCTGGTGGGTGTGCTTTGTGTGTCAAAGTATATGTATATCTTTATATCATTATAAATGGCTTTTCTAAACTACATCACCTCTGGTTGGGTGGTTTGAAATTGCTCGGATTGAAGGGGGGAGTGTGCTGGGGGTAAGTATGAGATTGAGGATGTGGCTGTGCTGGCTGTGCTGGCTGGGTCTGCGTTGCCTGGAGTGGCTTGATGAGATCGCGTATAGGAGGGAGTTGTATCCGTGGCAGGTTGGGTAAGGAGGGTAAGGAGGGTAGGGCAGCTAAGCTGGGCGGGGTTTGTAATTTGGGAGGGGGAGGTGGTATGCCTGTCTGAGAGGAGTGTGAAGGGTAAGTGGACGTGGATATGCTGTTGGTGTTGGTGTCGGTATTGCTATTGCTGTTATTGCTATTGCTATTGCTACTGCTACTGCCAATTAAATTGCTCCGCTGGTGCACACTGGATGTGGGTTGTGTGTGTGTGTGTCCCAAAGGCGGTCGGGGCGGTGGGTGTGCATGTGTTATCGCGGCATGTGGTCTGTACATGGTGGGAGTGGAGTGGATACGCTGGGGAGTGGGAGCTGTAATAGGATTAGCTGATGTAGCTGGAGTAACTGGTGCACCCTGTACACCCCTCCCCAGCATGGGCCCTAATTGCCCACTGCTCGCACTCCTCTCGAGGGGGAGAGTGGGAGTGGGGAGGTTAGCGAGACTGGGGAATGTGGGGAGAGTGGGGAGAGTGAGCTGGTTGTGAGTGTGTGGGAGAGTAGCTTGATTGGTTTGGGTAGTCTGCGCAGTCTGCGCAGTCTGCACACTGCCACTACCGCTGTCTACACTGCCACCACTGAGGTCGTTGAAAGGTGCCGTGTTGGGGGGTATATTGGCGAGTCTAGAGGGCAGTGGTGCGAGGGGTCTCTTGAAGGATTGGGAGGGGTAAGAGAGGATGTTTGGGTTGAGAGCGGGAGAGTGGGGAGGGGAATTTGTTGTGGGCGCACTGTGTCCACTGTTGTTGCTGCCACCAACATCATCATCATCCTCGTAGTAACGCTTACTGGACTTGCGTCTGTCACGGCGGTTATCCCTGCGTATGCGAATCTTGAGGCCTTGGTTTGCTAGGCACTGGGACAACTCGGTCGACTGGTCCATGCCGGGGAAACGCTTAGCAGAGAAGACGGTGAAAGGGTTCGAGAAGAGGGATTTACGGTGGAATGTTTTAGAGCTAATGGGTGTTAGGAGGGGGATGTAAGAGCACACCAACCCACTTGGAAATTTCAAACAAACTAAACTTTAACCTGAATCTGCCTTCAACTCTGACGCTGACATCCGGGAAAACAGCGACAAGAACTTCGGAGAGGTCGAGATCACGTAGGCAGTAGACAGATGAGGTGACATTGCCCGTCGTGTACCTCGTTTTGGTTTCAGAGAGCAGGTGTAGCTCGTGGTCGCTGTGTTCACTGGCTAGGCTGCAGTAGACGAAGAAGTACGGTGATTGGAGGTGGTTGAATGACAAATCTTGGCGCATTTTGAGTGAATTGTGATGCGAGAAGACCTTCAACTGGACAATCGGCGGTGGATCAATTGGTCTTCTATCCGCCTTGCTACCAACGCCGCACATCCTGGAATGCTTGGGTTGTTGGCGCATGGACAGATCGTAGGTGAGATTCATTTACAACGGGTTCCCAATAAATCCAATTTTATCAGATAACCAAGGTTCTCAAATAAGGTTACTCGATTACAATTAAACCTTGTCTAGGTACAGAAAATTAAAATTAAAAATGGATATTATTGAGTACGGCGAGTGTTATGAAGGGGTCTATAGGAGTATAGGCTGTGTTACTGTCGAGGATCGAATGGTGGCCTCGATCGAACTCACCAAATGTGACTTACTATCGACAAAGCTGGTTATTCCGATGGAGTGTGAGGGTGCTTATACTCCCTCTGATTGCACGCACGCGCTGTCTCGATCCCCGCAGCTCTGGAACAGCTACACTGGCTACCTCAGAGACTCTTTCAGCCTTTGTCAACTCGTCAAACCCAGTGGACTGGCTAATAGGCAGTCTATCATCGTCCAACACATGGATATCCTCTTAGACAGACTGAACGTGGCTATCAACACCCAGGAAGCCCTCAACCACCACCAGTACACCCAGTTCAACGACCTATTCAACGCAATATACATACACCTCAACCACACCACTGATCAGGCTATCAACACCTTGGTTGCTGCCCTCGATGACCTCATTGATGGTAGCCTAAATGGTATCATCGACACCTTGTTCACCAACCTCTTCAGCTCTATTAGGTCGGTTGTCAATCTATCCATCCTCTACTACCTCCTAAGATGGGTTTACTTGCTCACAATCTCCCTCTTCAGACTTCTGAAAATTTTGATCAAAATCTTCAAATCAAGCAAACCACTCAAACAACACAGCCCACACAAATCACACAAGCTGCACTATACCAGAACACCCACCACCACCTCTATACCACTCAACAAAAGATTCTTCTCTGCTCCACCCTAACCACCAACAAGATGCTAGACGATATCCTCTCACCCAGCAATCCACACAACACACCACTCCTCCTAATCTCACACTCACACCAACAATCCCCGTTTCTTCTCTTACGCTACATAGCCCTGCAATACCTCCACCAATCCACCCCATTTACTATCCTCTGCTACGAGCAGTCCCCGGAGTTTTATAAGGGAGTGTTAGGGGACAGTGACTACGTGGGTTATATAGACATGCGCTATATTTCTGCTGGCCTTGGCACACCCACACTCCCACACACACCGCTCATAATCGACAACATGGCTCTTCTCCCAGCAACTCGACTGAGGGAGGTGATACGACGCACACCCGTTAAGCGCGTCATCGCGGCCATTCCACACACTCACACTCACCTCCTCCACACACTCACCAACGCATCCACCACACCCACAATATCCACGCTCACTCTCCACCCACTCCCGCACTACCACACCACACGCACAGCTTACGGTCTCGCACCCACCCACCCGTCCTTCTACAGCGTCCTGCATGAACAGCTCCTCTTGGCGCCCATTCACCCTTCCCAGCACCACCAGTCTTGCTTTGTCGTCGAAGGCGTCGTGCGCTCTCCCCGCCCGAAACAACCACTCGTGCGTCGTTCGCTGGATGTAGTCGCTGTGCAGGGTGCACACGGTTTGCATATTAAAGATGTCACCGAACATGACCTCGAGCAGGTGCAGGTGAAGGATAAGCAGGGGAGTGCAGATGGCATGCAATCCACGCAATCCACGCAATCGTCTCAACCACCTCCACCCACTCACGCCTCCTTCAACCTCGCTCTCACTGATGCGCAGAAACAGGCACGCGAATCTGTCCTTCCGCCTTACCTGCAGGCTCAGCAGGAGGATGCACATGTACAGACAAGTAACACTCACCCACCCGCACCCGTCATCAGCTACGACCCCGACAGTGCCGACGACTGGGATGACGATGATCCAGACGACGACCTCGATCTGTGATATGTTTAAGGGGTATATATAGTGTAACTTATATTATAGCTTTGCTTTTTCTTTCTACTCAATCTAGAGTTATCTATTTACCTGCCAAATCCCCTGACACTGCCGAGAAGATTAATAATCAGTCCACACGCCAAAAAAAAACACTGTCCACCCACAGCATATCGAGCGGGGAGCCAAAGCTATTACGCGCACGTCTAAATCTGCTCGTGTCACTATCAGAGCGAGTGACATGAACGGCGTCGGACATGCTAGCGTTGCTAGTGTGGGTGTTTGCAGTATTGGTAGTTGTACCCCCACTCCCTCTGAACCAGGACGCCGCAGCTACCGAGTTTTTCTCCGTCTCGCTTGGTATGAGAGAGGAGGAGGTGCTAGTACGCCGCGTGTGCTGCGTGTGCTGCAGACTCGACTCGCCTGCTGCTTCCGAGTAGCTGCGCGAATGCTGGCTTTTCACTGCTTCCGCTTCCGCTTCACCTCGGACGACGGCTGTTGTGGGCAGTTCACTAGTGCCCTTCCCACTCTTACTCACGCCCCGCCAATGCGGCTGGGTGCGCGCTATACCCGCTGCCCGCGCATATGCATCTACACGCCGACGACTCGCCCGACGCCGCCACTTTCCCAGTACGAGTAAGACGATCAGTGTGAATGCAACGACACCAACGACTATCCCGACAATAGGGCCAGCGGTGAGAGCAGAAGAGGAGGAAGCGGAGGGTGAGTGTGGACCTAGAGAGTGAGTGTTGCTTGAGGTGTTGCTGTTGCTATTGCTGCTGCTATTGCTGCTGCTATTGCTGCTGCTGTCGCCGTTGCTGCCACCACCCACAGCCCCCTCCGCCCCATACTCCAAACTCGTGGGCAATCCATTCATCACCGTGCGCCCATCCGTCGGCGTCACCGCAGCTTGCGCCGTGTATCCCGTCTCTTCGCCAGGACTGACAACTACACTGCTGCCGTCTTCTCCTTTGTACCACATATCCCACCTTTCTCTTACTCTATTAACCCTTTTAATCCCTTTGTTCCCTATTTCGCGTCTCATTCATGCGTCCGATAGTCACCGTCGATGACAGCGCTGTCAGCGACCATCGCACAGACGCAGACGCAGTTATAAAACAAAAGCAAATCAATTTAAATTTATTATTATTCACCTGTATCCATTTGGATTGCCCTTTTGCCATCTCACCGTATCTGCACACATTTCCTCCAAACCTCTCACCGTCTTGAATCCGAGTTCCTTGATAGCCAGAGCGGGATCAGCCGTGAGATTAGGCACATCGCCAGGCCTCCTGTCGACTATCTCATACTGATATTCAAACCCACTAGCCTTGCGCATACTTTCGATCATTGTCAAAACACTCTGTCCCTTGCCTGTGCCCAGATTGTACGCTTTCGCCTTCCCTGGAGCTACGTCGTGGAAAACCGCATCTTTATCGAGAGCATCGAGTGCGTTCATATGACCCGCCGCGAGGTCCATGACGTGGATGTAATCGCGCACACATGTCCCGTCATACGTTGGGTAATCGTTACCGAACACCTTGAGCTGACCGTAGCTTCTACCAACGCTAATTTGAGCGAGCAGCGGGAGAAGATTGTTAGGTTTTCCTAGGGGATCCTCACCGATACGACCAGAGGGGTGAGCGCCTGCTGGGTTGAAGTAGCGAAGGGAGAGAATACGCCATTTATCCGGCTGCGCGTTGGCTACATCGCGGAGCATCTGTTCGAAAAACACCTTTGTGCGACTGTATGGCGACTCAGACTGCAGTGGGGATGTCTCTGGGATAGGCACCGCTGGAGGTTCGCCGTAGACGGTAGCTGAGGAGGAGTAGACAAAGCGGAAGCAGTTGTGTGCGCGCATCACATCAAGCAGCTGTAGCGATGCGCTGATGTTATTCATGTAGTACTCCAGTGGCTTTTCCCCACTCTCACCGACGGCTTTGAGAGCTGCGATGTGGATTACACCGTAGACGCCTCTTTTCTCTTCTTGCTCGTCGAAATAGTTAAACACCTTCTCCACATCCCCGCGTTGCTTCAGATCGCCCTGGAACAGACGCACGCTGTGACGCTCGCCCGTCTCGGCATGCGCGATCTCCTCAACCCGCTTGATCGACTCTGGGTGCGAGTTGGCTGAGTTGTCAATCACTGCGACGTTGTAGCGCTGCGAGAGAAGCAGCTGGAGCACTACGTGCGAGCCAATATATCCTGCCGGTCCGGTGTGAGATTATATCGCTAGCTTACTCCTGCCACACCCACCACTGCCACCAGTTACAAGTACATTCAATCTTGTCATTCTCCTTATTTTGCACGTGGTCGTTGCAGTTTAACCACCTCGGTCCGGCTCCCGGCTCCGTTTCTGCGGTGCGCAGTTGCACTGCGTATATCCGTATACGCAGCTTTATATTGATAAACTCTCGAGTTATCATTGAGTGAGCACGCATATCATGATTGTACACGCTTCCCTCGTTCACACCCTGTATGCCACGTCACTTGTGTGGGTTTCGCAAATTGCAAACTCTGCTTATATAACACTCCTCCACCCTGTCCCCATATTGATAGCGATAATTATATCACCTTCTCATTGTACCGTTGTCAATACAGACTGTTGCAAATTTTCACACCTTTTCACATAATTTTCACGCGTTTTCTCATCATACGACATACATCTATATAAATACATTCCTGCAAGCCCACCTACGCCCTACTCACATAGCTCCGGTATGGCGTGGCACTCTGATACATCAGGCTAGTATCAATCTGATTGTAGTGCCAAATGGGTGCAAGCTCAAAAACCCTCTGCGAAGATGTACCTCTCTGACCCCTTGACATCTGATTATCATTATCCACTCTCATTACCAGATGGCACCTGCTTTCCCCCAGATGCTCTGGATTGTTTACCCACCCATTCGGCGATATTGAATGAGGCGATAGTCCTACTCCCCCCCATGTCCTGTGTATCTCATTCCCCTTTATCACCTGCACCAGATTCAGCGTCTCCATCTCGCGTATCTCCACAAATTCTGAATCGAATAGCAGTACGTAAGGTGGGTGACAACTAACCGACTCTGGCTTGCCCTCCCACTCAGTGAAATGCTCCAGTCGGTGCGGATCTCCATGTCGATCCACGAAGAAACCAAATTGCTGGTAAATAAGCAAAAATTCTTGATCACCTGACTTAAATATCGCTAGCGCTGTAGCATCATCACATTTCTTCCCCAATGCTGATATCTGCGGATCACGCTGATTCTTACCACTGGCGAAATCTGGTATTGATCCTCCCTTTAACGTCTCCAGATCCATTATCTCAAACCCTCGCTTACATATTATTGCAAGCTTAGCTCTCAAAAAGAGCAGATCCGTCGCTTCAGAGGGTATGAAGAAGACTTGATAATTCTCGAACCATCCTGATTTTCCACCAGTTAATAATCTATTGAACGCATTCACTGGTGCACGCTCAGCTAGTGTCTTCTCCGATACCGGCTCCATTGCTCTAAACACCGAATCCATTCCTTTCCGTTTCATGAATATAACTAGCGTTCTTTCATGTAACTTTCCCACTGTGAAGAAAATTACATCTTTTGTACCTGACAATTTTTGTGGTGTGCGTGACAGACTAGATCCACCACTATTGATTGTGCTAGCTGATGGCACTAGTGCTTCTACGGAATATGCCACGAGGATTTTATCAGCAAGAACGATAAACATTCCGAATTCCTCCAACACTGCACACTGCGTTACGTTCTTCAAATGCAATACTCTTCGCAATGACGTTGGCTCCCCGCGCAATCCTATCCAAAGACCTTCTGCGCATCCAATCGCTACCAGTCTCCGACCGTCATTTGTCTTGAAGGGCACTGAACAAGTAACTCTACCAGTAAGTGGATTGTCTTCGAATGCCCCTGCGAGCCTCGTAGCTGGGAATGTATCTATACTCAATGGCACCGCTTCAAAAACCTTGTTCGTCTCCTCCTGCACCTGCGAATGCAGGAATAGCGCTTCCTCTAGCTTTTCTTGCCACTTGAACCGTTTTGCAGGATCGTCTGTGAACAGCGTGTACTCTAACCTTGGTCTGCACAATGCAATGAATGAGAACGGGTATATCAATCCGCTCTCTTCGTCATTGACTCCACGTCCTAACGCACCGCGAATACGACTCGTTTGCTTGAGTGGAGGGCCATTGAAGTCGTTCAAAGTGAGAAGATCAAGTGGGATTGGCTGGTGTATTTGTTATTTCTGCGACTTCACACAACTAAACCAACACTTACTCTCTTCCAAATGTAAAACACTCTCCTGCCAGCCACTTTGTCAACCCTCTTCTCCTTGCAAAGTACAACTGTAAGTTGGTGACAGGTGAGCTAAGTACGCTTGCAAAAGGCTTCTTTTCACTCACGGTAATGGTCGAACAACATCATCTTTATATCAGAATTACTCGTCGTCATTGAAGTTGTACCTTCCGAGTGTCTTATCACAGTATCTTCGTATACAAGTGTACGTGCGTCATTTGCCAAGTCGAGTCCCTTTTCATAGTCAGTCAAATCAGAAACAAGGTCCGGCACCCACATTCACAGAGCCATCGCGGTGGATAATAATCTTGGAGTAGTTCCTAAGCTTAACCTTCTCCGTCGCAACACCAACATTAGCGTTGATCTCTTTGATCTTAGACTTGATGAGCTCGATCACGTCTTCAATATTCAGCTTATCAGGATGGTCTGGTTTTGTATGCTTGACTATATCACCAAGCAAGAGTGGATATCTTGGCAGACGCTGAGGCGGGAGAAAGAGAAACGCAGACAAATCCTGTCTTCTACACTCAGGTAACCTTCGACAAGCTGAGACAAACTCAACAAATTTCTCGTTAGTCATTATTTCTTCATCGTAAGCATTCTTGGCATAGGGGTAATGCGGCAAATAAGTTTCGTATGCTTCACCCCAATTGAGCGCAATTGAGAGGACGCAATCAGTAATCGAATCTATAATGGGATGCTGTTCCCTCTGTCTTTTGTGTAGTTGTTTTATAAATGAGTTGTGTAGTTCGAACAAATCGACATGGTTTCCAAAGACCTCATAAATAAAGTGATCTATCCTATAGTTTGGTATAATTGAATCTTTCGCATCACGTAAAGGTCTAATGAACACCTTTGTGAACCTCTCAAGATCTTTAACGTAGCCCATCTCTGTTCGAATTAGCTCAAATATGTTGTTTTGTCTCTCTATCTCTTTCTTGTCTAGCGACATTATGACCTCAGGCTCTACTAAATCGGTCCATCCTTGTATATTACTATGGTTTGGATCAGAATGTTGCCATAAGACTAGAGTACCGATATCTGTCAATCTTTTCACTGCTTTCATTCCCTCGACAAGATATCCACAGTCAGTATGTCCTTCAGGTGTTTCTTTAAGTATGGCATTAAGGTATACTGCATATCTGCTCAGTCTGTGAGCCGGTCTCTGCAAGTGTGTTATGAGGTCCATCCCTTGAGACTCAGGTTTGCGTTCGCACTCCATCAAAAAGTCCCTAAACTTCCCATTCAGTTCTTGTTCTTCCCGAATCATACTCTCTATCGTTGGCAAACTGCCAACATAATCTGGATAGCAGTCTTGCCATTCGATGAATGAGCTGAGGAAGATATCACCGGCGGCTTCGAGTAATCCTGACTGCTCTCTTTGTCGTATCTTGAATTGTTCCACTAAACGACGATTATACTCCCTCAATGCTAATAAACCGGCGAAAGTAGCTTCAATGAAGGATTCTAATCGTTCAAGTGGAATGATTGAAGGTTTCACCATGCGAAGTGGCTCAATGTAGAGCGACTCTATCGTATCCAGCGCCTCTAAATATTGTACTTCCGATTCCAAAGCCTGTTGAATGACTGATTGGCGTTCGCGTTCCTGGTCGTCGAGCGTGACGAGTATCTCTGGCTCGACCCGCTCAGTCCAGTCCTACATAGACTCAGAAAAGAGCGATACGCGAGATTATATATACCCACCTTAAACTCCTCGTCGATGATTTCTTCTATATTTGGAATTTGTGTGGCTGAAACGAGATGGAGTGCCTAGTGCGTGTTAGAATGATGTTCGATACCTAACACATTCATCTTCGCACCCACCTTCTTTGCTCTGTAAGGACAGCTGTACGAATAGCATGTTTCGTCACCAGGACACATCAAACTGAACATGTAAGATGTTAAATGTAGTGAAAAGCGAGCCACTCACCTGTAACAAGGAGTCAACGCAATAAACACACCAGTTGGGATCTCGTCACTTCCAGCGCCCTGTAAACCCACTTCATCCGGAAAGATGAATATCTCTTGTACATCGTCAGACACGAGAATCATATTAAACTCAACTTCAAAAAAATAGAGCTGGGACTGAAAAGTTCTCGCGACTTGCACTGCTAGGGATCTAGAAACAGAAGAATTTTTCACGACGGTTGGAAATAGATCGCGGATGGTGTTGACAACATCTTTCCCAGTGAAAGACATATCAAAAGGCACAGATCCTTTGACGTGTGTACCTCTGACAACATTATCCTTGAACTGAACAGCGAGATCTTTGAGGAGATGTGGCTTAACGATGGAATATATGTTGAAACCCCTTAAGCCCGTTTGCAACTCATCGTCTTGCAATTCATCGTAGTAAGCTTCAGCATACTCGTCGTCAGGGAAAGAAGTGTCCATCGTGCGTCTATTCAACCCTTTATTGATAGGTGTGTTCTTTTTCGGAGATGCAATTGCTTTTGATTGGACGTACGACTGCAATTGAGCATTATGCATAGACGACTGAGCCTGAACGGAGGGGTAACTAAATGGCTGAGGTCTTGATTGGGGGGTAGATGGAGTGGAAGTTGGAGGATAGAGAGACGGGGCCTGTTGAATGGAAGTTCCAGGCGAGCTGAAAGAGTCCGTTGAAATGTGAGCCAGAGGGCTATTGTAAGGCTGCTGTAGATGTGCATAGGGATCCTCTCTAGCAAGCACCTCGTGGGGGAGTGGAGTGTAGCTAGCCCTTTCTCGCACACTCGAAGGCCTCAACTTAGGGCTTTTCTGAGGGGAGTATGTAGATACGTTGTCTTGTGCCGAGGGACCAGTGAGGGGGGATGGCAGAGGATTCCCCTGATACGGCTGCTCTGAGGTGAGAAACGAAGACGGAGAGTAGAGAGTGGAGTGATCGGTGCTCGGGTCGGTGGGCTGCGTATTCGAAAGCGTCTGACGCGATGGGACCGCCCTTTGAGCGGAAACGGGTGATAGATTACGCTGCCTGGAGTCCCTTGGAGGGGGCAATACGGCGGCTCTTCTGTTTGCTGGATCAACAGCGGCAGGATGAGAACCAACGACGAGATGTTGCTGGTGCATGGAAGACAGATTTGGATTTACGGGACTGTATTCAGTATCAGAGTATTTATCGTGCATATCGCGGTTATCAAGGTTATCGTAGCTGCCATATCCCCCGAAGCTATCGCCGTAGAGATTATAAATACTATCTCTGGTCGACTGCGAGTAATTGCGATTGTGGGTGAGTTTGTTGAGGCTGTTGTATACATCGGCGAACTTATCGTCGATGGTGCTAGAATATTGGCGTGGTTTTGGTGGCAGTGGTGGACCAGCCATATCTGCGTGTAGATGGGTGATGGTCGTACAACTCAAACAGCCAACAAGACTCGAATGTTTGATGATAATTATATAATCGATAGGCTTGAGAAGGAGGAGGTAGCTGCTGCCTATGAAATTGAAGCTGCTTGTGAGTATCTCTCGTCCCTCCGCGTTTCTCACCCAGAATCTCACAGCCAGCGCAGACGATGGAGACTTGGTTACAACCCACGATCAACTAGAATATCGACATAGATACGCCTGTGATTTGTTTCTGGGGATTTTCTCGCAGCCACGCACCAAAGGTCTACTTGGATACGTTTCAGGCACGCTTTCAAATGACGATGCACTGTCCACCGCACACGACCCATCTGGCCACACAGTCTGTATACACTCGCTATCTGTGCATCCACAGCACCGTGACAGCCACATCCCCGAGAAGCTTTTCGCGGAATACATGCGCAGACTCGATGAATCGAGCTACAACAGGGCTGTAGTCCACGCACGCAAACAGCGCGTACCATTCTTCGAGCATTTCAAATTCAAGCTTACCAAGGAGGCAGAAGATGGCGATAAACGCCAGAGTGATTTGTTTGAGCTCGTCTATGACATCATCCCGCAGAGACGACCTACACTCTCACAGGCGGATATACTCGCTGCTCTCAACAAACCACAACCAAAGCCGTCCCCTCTTACTCTCACCCCATTCACTGATCACAGCAGCTACGACGCGTTCGTCAGTGAGTTGAAAAATTCACGTAACGCCCGCTGTCCTCGCGACGGATGCAGGTCACTCGTCTTTCTCGCACGCGAAGCTGAACTGAAAGATCTCGATACTGTCCACCCACTCAGCATACTCCTCCCAAACAAGGAGTTCTCTCACCCCTCTCTACCCCCACCACATATGACCAAAGCTTGGAGACTGCCTAGTCCAATGTCTTTCGAAAACATCACCTTCTCCAAAATTGCTCCGGGAACTCCCGCCAACGTTTCCAAATTTCTCGCCTGCGGTGAATGCGAAATCGGCAGTCTCGGCTGGGTCGACAATTCAGGCTGCTGGATAGACATGAAGAGAGTTTTGTACGAATAAAGAGACATGTATCAAGACAAGATTTGTTTGTGATATGTGATATGTGATATGTAGAATGAGATGAGATATTTTCATTTAGTTGGTTTAAGATCGTTGAGTTGATTAAGATGTGCTATGTGCTATGTGTTATGTGTCTCAAGTTTCCTCCAGTTTCATATAGACATGAAAGAAATTTCATTAGTGATTGTAAAACTTGCTAATAGGCTCCGCGTATTGCTTCTCGATGGCCTTACGTTGAATCTTCTGAGCAGCAGTAACGAGGCCAGACTGAGGAGTCCATTCGTCGAGGGTGAGAATGACAGTCTCGAGCAACTCCATGCCCTTAAACCCAGCCTTTTTGCCGCCTTGATTAACCTCCGCGGTGAATGCCTTGACGACTTGCATGTCCTGCAACGATGACCCAATGTCACTAGCATTTCCGATCCCCTTCTCACTCAAAAAGGCCTTGAAGTGCGCTTCATTCGGCACAATAACCGCCGCTGGCTGCTTAGCATTGTTGTTTGCAATCACACAGATGTTCCCAACTAATGGACACGACTTGTACTGCGATTCGAGTCTCTCAAGTGCAATATATTCACCGCCCTGCAACTTGACGAGGTTTTTGATTCTGTCGATGATTGAAAGTGTACCATCAGCCTGTAAACCGAGTTAAAGAGGTGAGTCACTATAATTACCAACACTCACATTCCACTGTCCAACATCACCAGTTCTGAACCAGCCATCTCCAACAAACACCTCCTTGTCTACATCAGGTCTCTTGAAGTAGCCTTTAGTGATGGAAGGACCCCTGATAAAGATTTCGCCTTGTGACGGGTTGTTCGAAGACTTGTAGTTGGCTTCTGGGCAATCAACGAGCTTAATTTCGACAGCGGGGACAGGCACACCGACAACATTGTACTGCATGAATTCAGGTGGCAAGATAGCACACATACCGCAACTCTCAGTCATACCATAGCCCTGCAACACAGTAACTAGCGCCGTAGACAAGAACTCTTGCGTGTCTTTGCTGAGAGCAGCGCCACCAGAAAGAGTAAGACGCAATCTCCCCCCTGTCTGCTGCTTGATCGCCTTGAAAACAACCGCATCAGTGAGAGAGCTTACGAGAGGGATCTTACCACCGAATGTCTTCTTCAATGCCATAGCACCGCTGAAGATATTCTTCTTGAGCGCACCTTGCTGCCCAACCTTTGCGAGGATACCCTTGCGGATAGATTCCCACACAGCTGGAACACCGATCATGATAGATGGCTTAAATGCCTGGATGTCGCCTTTGGAGTTGCGCATAGACTGGTCGGTGAGGGTCTTGACGCGACCATATCCAATAGGCATACCGACGAACATGATCAGCAGTTCTACGATAAATTCCAAAATGTGAGCTAATGGCAGGTATGCGAGGAAGGTATCGTCCTTTGTTAAGTGGTGCCCTAACATCTTGATGACGGCAGCGACGGCCGAGACGAGGTTCTCGTGGGTGAGAACAACGCCTTTAGGTGCACCAGTGGAGCCTGAAGTGTACATGATGGTGACAGTGTCATCCTTGTGTGGCGGTTTTGGGTCGACTGGCTTCTCTGAGCCGATTTTCTCAACCTCGTCCATGTGGATAACCTTGAGCTTTTCGCCGCCAGTGCGTTCGATAGACTGCAGCTTCTTGATCTGCTCCTCGTCCGCTACGCCGTCATAAATTACGATATTGACAGACGGTGTCTCACTGATGACCTGTGAGCGGTGATTGAGTGGGAGTTGCGCAAATGATAAGCTGTAAACTCACACTAGAAACCACTGGGAGAAGATCAGCGTTGGTGAACATACCGACAACATCTGGCTCAGACAACGAGTGCTGTAATCCAGAAGGGCCAAGTGAATCGTATGCGGTACAGAAAGGGACATTCTGCCTAACGCACGAGTGCGCCATGATTTGCCAGTTGGCTGCTGTTTGTCCGTAGATGTTGAAAATCGTCTCCTTACTCAAACCCAAATTAGCCAAACCAGAGCCAATATTTTCAACCTTTTTGAGAATCTGAGGCCAGGTGAGCCACTTGAACTCGCTCAGTTCAAAGTAAGTCCATTTCTTTGGGTGTTTTTTCCCATCTGGGCCTTGGACCTCCTTCTCCTCGACATGCTCCTTGATGAGGTCACGGTAAGCGATGGCGTTTCTCTCGCCATGAACACGGCCGCAGTACTGGATAATGTCATAAAGTGTGTGTACGCCTTCCGCTGGGCACGTTGGCAATGGCTCATCTGGCTTGTTGCCAAAGTATCTTCTTGGTCTGTGGAGTAGTGTTAGCAGGTACACAGACACAGAGCACCCCACACGCACCTTCCTTCGCCTTCTGGCTTTGTTTCTGGTCCTACTGGATAACTTCCTTGCTGTGGCATGGGTGATGTGACGCAAGCGCGAAGTCAGACAAATCAACTACATAAATCAAAATTTTTCAATTACAATGTTCCTCGTATCCCACGCTACATCTGCTCACAGCTCGCGGTTGTATGGCCTCGATAATCTATATTTATAAGGCAAATTTTTCCTAATATGCCGATGAGCAATCAAATGAATAAATTAATGAGGTCACTCACCGAGAAGCCTTGTCTGCGTGTGTTTTTGGCTGGGCATATCCGTTGGAACCATCTCCCCATCTCGATTGACCGGAATTTTTGGCCTGTTTGACTAGTTGGTGCATCTTGTTTAGATTATCGGCACCGGTGACCGTGCCGAGGGGTTCAAACGGTTTATCATGATTCTGGACATCTTGGGGTATATCGTTTTTAAGCAACTGAGGCTCATTGCCGCTATCGTCTTTGATGTGCTGAATTCCATCGTCGTGTGCGTCATGGTCGAGTGATTCTGACTTGAGGAACTGAGCATCCCTGCTATCCTCGTCTTTGTCGATTTGATCGTGGTGAGCAAAGTGCTTAAGGTCCTCTGGGTGGTTGTAAGATTCATCTGTCTGAGTTTCAGGAGTTGCGTGATACTTTTCCTCGTGGTGGATAAAGTATTCGCTTTCCTCATCTGGATAGGATTAGAGAGGGGAATGGTAGCACTAAAACCCACCATAATGATGTCCTAAGCCACCCAGCTCGGGGAATGAAGGCAAACCGTTATCACCGCCGTTTTTAAACTCACGGAGGGTAATTACACCGTCATTATTATCATCAAGCGACTCAAGAACACGATTGACGACCTGATTGACTTTGATATCGTGCTCTTTATCAGAGACTGAGTTACCAGTGGACTCATAATGATGTAAACCGTAAATGGCTTCAATTTCAGGAGCAGTGAGGAGGTTATCTCTGTCTAAATCGTGGAGCTTAAAAAAAGAAACCAAATCAAAACCATTTATATGGTGCTCTGACGCCATCTAAGGTGAGTGAGTTGATGATGCGCACTGACACCAACACCAAACTCACATGCTGGGAAATGTAGTTATCAGGAGTATCTGGGTCAACGTCTCCATGTGCTTTTACGTTTGCACTTAAAAGAAGCGCGAGAGATAAACACGCGTAGGATAGCATGGCTGTTACGGATAAAGAAGTTGTGATTACCTCGACGATAGCAGTGTGTGACACAGATATCTCAAAGCAGTAATTTGTTCGTCGATTTCGAGGGCAATTGGAATGTGTTGTGTATGGCAGGTTCGACAGGTGAATAGATTCTGCTGCGTATGGTACCAATACCGGTGCCACATGAAGGGGATTTTATACTAGATGCCTGAGAGTGGTGAATGATTATCATTCGAGCGTAACGCGTATGACAGCGCAGCCTGAAGTAATAGACTCAGTTGGAATGACTGGATACTCGACAAAGTGCGACATATGGAGTTTGGGATGCGTATTGAGGGGAATTTTCACGGATGAGAAAGCATGGCCGAGATTATGATGGTGCAAATAATAACATTCAGCACCCTTTCATTTTTTGCAGGACGGACAAAAACGATTGGCACCATCAGTGAAACAGGGCATTGGGATGATGATTGAGAGCGCTAAGAAATTCGGAGATATGTTCCTCAAGGATAAGCAACGCAAGCAGCCAGCAGCACATAGCTGCTTGAAGATTACTTATTGAGTTAAACCAAGGAATGGATTTTCAAAGACAGTAAACTAGGACAGAGATATGCTCAAGCAACAAGCATCATATATGTATTTTGTTGTAAATTAAAGTTAACGAACGTATATCATGTCATAATAGAGGTCGATAAGGCTGTACATGTGTTTCATTGCCAGTAGATGCCCACAGAATACGCATACGTCTGTCCAATACCTTTATCCAATCAAATAACTGCGCAAAAAAAAAAAGACTTGGAAGCTTCGAATGTTTCGCGTGACTATGGGGTAATTTAATGTAAACAAAAGAAGATTTTCGTCACTCAGCGTGCAGATTCAGATGTTTTTGTTACTGAATTCGATCAATATTGATAAAATGACCAATTAAATTCAATAAGCTACAAAGTTTTCGGGTTTTCCTTGGAAGAGGGTACAGTAGCTGATATGGCTAGTACATCGGCGAATATCTCGACTTAATGAGAGCACCGCTACATTCTATATATATCTTATTTAATAATAGTCTACCGAAACCAAGGCCACTCAAGCAAGGGAAAATCTTCAACCAACCAAAAGGGCCCGAAGAAAACACATTATTCTAGAATTTCTTCATGGTAGATATCGATGAGCAGTTAGTAGAGCTGTGCTCAAACCTTGACTCGGTGATTAAGTACTGCTACCAGCAAGAGGACTGCTACGCCATCACAAAGAGCGAGCTCAAGATAAGACCCGCTTTTGACCCCAACACAGTTGAATTTAAACGGAAAGAGTGCCATACTGGATGCTTTCATAAGAAAGACATGGACAGGCCGTCAGGCGAGAGATTCACAATTGCGAATCTATCAGATACGTCCTATCAGGCTCACGAGACTTGAAAAGCAGGAAAAGTGTTCACGCTTACACTCAAAACGAAGTGATTTACCAGTCTATTGACTTTATTTCAGTTGGATGAGCACATTTGCGAAGACTTGATTCAGAATAAATAAGATTAGAATACATGTTGCTGCAATTTACAGAGAATGAGATCAAAGTTAATTCACCACCTCCGTTAGTCACAGCTTCAATGTTCCCGCCGTTTCAGCCTAAAATTGGGTTGGATAGCCCAAAATTTGGATAGTTTTGACGGGTTTGACATTCACATCGAGTCGAATAAAAGGCAATGGTCATCAATTAAAAGTACATGGATCTGTGAGTATCTGCGTTAGTCGGTGTTAGCTATCGCTGCAGGCTACAGGCCACAGGCTACAGCTAGAGCTGCTGCTTTAATCAGTTTGAATAAAGATGCGTATGTCATCACATTTGATTCAGTGTGAACTTGCCTGATACATTGTATTCATCGTGTAGCCAGTGGGTGGCCAGCAGCAGCTAGCGGCAGCCAGCAACCTGCAACGCACTACCATCACTCACAGTCTATTGGATATATCTTGAATGGATATCTGTTATTCGTCGTCGTTGGTGTAAATCAAGAAGGAATTTCAAATCTTCAAAAGCTGAGCAGTGAAAATTTAGACATTCTCAACACCCAGAGCATCTCTCCCCTGCTCTATCAGATCCTGTATCGACCACCGTATCTTATTGAATTGGTTATCATTCTCGATGCTGTCATCCGCGTCCTCCTCCTCAACGCCATCAATAAGCGAAGATGGACTGGGTGATCTCCGCTGCTGCTGTAGCTGGGCGAGCTGCTCCTTCAGGTCCTTTATCTCCTTTAAGTGCTTCTTGCGTGTCTGCTCGAGCTGCTTGTTGATTGTCAACAACGCCTGGTTGCTTATCTCTAAATCCGCTATCTTGCGATTTTCTATCTCTTTTTTCGGTGTAACAGCAGCACTAGGCCTCCCATCCCCACTATCCGTATAGTGCCTCACACGGGCCTTGTACGGTGAGTGCATCGTGACCGTCTATTTGCAACCGCCACCACCTCCACACGCATCCATGCGTGAATTCGTGTTCAACAGCTACAGATTCATCCTTAGTGCGGATTCTACTCCCGCTACTCTCCACTGGAACCACATTCTCCAGGTTATAGTACCCACAATCAGCCCTTTGGACTCCTTCAACGAGCATGCCTCACCCACGACGTGTCCGATTTGCTTAGACGCTCTTATCGCCCCTAGGATGCTTCTCTGCGGCCATATCTTCTGCCTCCCGTGTCTTCTGTGTGTCGATATCGTATAACCTCATCGAACACTATCTAACACCATCCACAGCCAGCATCTGGCCAGCAGCGACAATCCAAAATACACCAAATGCGCTGTCTGCGGCGATGTTTTCTACTTGAAGCAGGTTAAACCCGTGCATTTGCAGCCCATACTGCCATCCTCATCCACAATAGACCTCACTCTCTTACGCAAGCCACTACATAGCCAGCTGGCCCTGCCCACTGGTCACCTCTACCCGTCCTCGCTTGTCCGGCCGCAGGACATGCCACCTTCGTTCATCCCCGATGTCTTCACATTTGCCAAAACGATGCACGCCACTCCATCGACAGTATCGCAGCTATACACGCGCGACATCCACGCCCTACAACGCGCGCGGGATCGCAGCGCTGGCGATACTTTCACACAGATGTACATGGACGACGCGAGTGCTCGGGTGGTCGACGCGCTGCACGCGGCCACAAACGCGACGCCAGCGTCTGCGCATCAACACGAGTCCCACCAGCAAGTACTCCATACGCAACTCACTCACCGCCCACCCTACACTCCGTCGGCGCACACACCCGACTACTTCTTTTACCAGTCGAGTCAGGGTTTGCCTGTGTTTCTGCACACACTTGACTCGCGCATGCTGCTGCAGCATTACGGTGCTTATGCTGCCTTTCCACCGCATGTGACGCTGCGCGTGGAGCACACGCACGAGTGCATTGTCGACGCACACCTGCAGCGGCGCTGCAAATATCTCGCTCACCTCCCCCTCGGATGCGAGATTATTTTCGTGGAGACGTCGCTCGAGGGTGTCGTGGACGACGCTACACTCGACGCTTTCAAGGAACCCCTCCTTCAGCGCAGACGGAGAAGAATGGCGAAACAGCGCAAAGAGGATCAAGAGTCTAGGCGGGCGCGCAGGAGGGCGGATGTGGAAGAGAGTGAACGCGTAGCGAGGCAGACTGAGGCTCTCTCCGCTAGTAGCTTCCCGCAGATGTTGTCCACCCGCTCGGCGCAGGAGGAGGATGAGGAGAGTCAGCTTAATCATGCTCTCGCTATTAGTTCTGCTGCTGCTTCTAGCTCGGCTGCTTCGCCGTGGGGTGGTTCTTTCGCAACCGCCCTCTCCTGTTCTGATACTAATGGCAGTCAGCGCAGAGAGGATATCGAATCTTTTGATTTACAGTGGAACAGGGCGTTGGAGGAGCAGAATTCTCATTCGCATGAGAATGTTAGTGGCAGTGCTACTTCTTCTGCTGGCGCTGGGAAGAAAAAGAAGAAGAAAACTCTCGTTCTAGGTGCCCAAGGTTCTAGAAGGGCTTGATTTGGTTGGCATTATAGATACACCTCATTCACCTCAACCTCTCCTGGATCACTCTCACCTTAATTCTTGTATACAGTTAAAACTTGCATATCACTCACTTGAATCACCTAATAAAGTTGGGATAAATACATCATTACAATCTCTTTGCATATAAATACAGTCTTTATGACGTCATGCGATGGCGACTATTCTTGCCAGCTGGTTTGGTTTCTTGTGCGTCTTGCGTGTCTTGTACTACCTTTGCCACTTCCTCTTCCTCTTTGATCTCGCTGTCGAGGTGTGTCTCCTGTTTCACTTTCTTCACTTCATTACCTTGTTCTTCTTGCGCTGTTGATCCTTCACCATCAGCCGTATGTACTAACGGTGCATCTCCTCCCACTCTCAAACCCGGATTGGCCTTGAGAACGAATGGATCGGTAATCTTCCTGCGCCCCCTGAACTTGCCATAGACGTACGTAATCCCCTTTCCTCTAATCGTGGAAGTTACCGTTCCCGGTTTAAGCTTCGGTTCCTGCGGTTTGTTTTCAACATTCTCACCATACCGCGGCGGTCTACCTCGTCCTCTACCCGTCACCGATGATGTCTTTTTATTATCGATTTTAATACTTTTACTGCTTTCAGCGCGCATCGGCGATTTCCTACCGCGTTTCTTGCCTCGTTTGGGTGTTGACAGCTGTGCATACATCTCCCGTGACGTTTTAGGCGTAGAAGAAGGTGGTGATGAAGGTGATGCAGGTGATTCGACCCACTCCATTTCATCCGACGCAGGCGTAGTTGAAGTAGATGCAGATGCAGACGCTGAAGCAGCGTCAGCCCCAGCTAAAGTCCTCTTAGGCGTCGTCATCGTTCCCACTGGCAGAGATACGGTTGGCTTCGCGGCATCTGCACTTGTGGTTGCGAAAACATGCGCTTCTCCTCGCTCTCTGCACGACAAAGCGTCCTCCCACATCCTCCTACTGTCAAACTCGTTCTCTGTCCCAGTCCACAGCCCATAACCCTCGGCTGCATCTACGAGACTGAATTCACGCTCCTTATCGATTTCATTGGGTATATTCACACCGAAAGCTACGAGCGACCGCTGTGACTTTCTTCTACTTTTGTCTTGTGATCGTGAGGTAAGGCGGGCATCTGCAGCTATAGAGAGAGCCGAAGGAGCATTGCTAGTGGCAGCAGCAGCAGCAGGTGTCTTGGGAGTCAGAGGCGTCCTGAAGCGACTGAGTGGAGAGGCTAAGATATTCTGAGAAGACTTAAGCGACTTTCTCGTCGAGGGAGGCATTTTCAATCTGACTCTAAACGGCGACTGCATGTCCACCTTGAACACTCTCTGCTCCAAGCTGCGCATCTGTTCGCTGGCGGAGTACGTGCCCTTATCGCCAACACAGCGAACATCGAACGGGGACGGGTTAGAGGAGTACTGCGGTTTGGGATATACTCTCCCCTTAATATCAGATTTGAGGAGAAGGTCGTATCGTTGGAGCATCTTGTCGTTCTCGTACAACAGCTTCTGCTGTAGCTCGAGAGCTAGTGGGCGGTCTTCGAGGGAGATCCCACTCGACAGTGCTATCACCTCCTCGGGTATATCCTCGCTGTCCTCCAACTCAAGCGCCGCGAGTGCGTCTTGCTTCTCTTGCAACTTGTACCGGTCATGCACCAGTTGCTCTTTCTCTAGTTTGCGAATGCGTCGCTCATCGTACTCACACCGCTTGTGATGTTTCTCGCGCAACTCGTCTGTGATGTCGACCACACCGTCGCCGTCGTCGTCGCTGCAGCCGACGTCAACGCGTTCGAACGGTGTCGCGCCTTTGACCTTAGCGGGAGGAGGCTGACGTTGAGACGGCGAGAGCGAGGGCGATGGAGACGGAGATGGAGATGGCGAGAGAGGCTGTCCCGCTACATCGCCCACCGCGAATAACTGATCGGGTTCGAGCAGCGGCTGGCCATCGACTGCGCCACAGAATGAGAAAAAACCAGGAAAAAAGAGGAGACCCACAAATCCTACTGTCTGCATCACGCAGTGCTGCTAATAAAGCCTCTCTATCGCTACAAGAAGTATCTGCGGCTCCTAGAAGGACTAGCGCAGTGGAAGCAGTCCTGCGCTGACGCTTCTGTCTGGGTGGCGGGCGAGGCGGATGGGGAGGATTGCGTTTGGAATTAATCACAGCCAGCGAGACAGGCTGAGTGGATTGGTGCATCAGACGGTGTATCGCCTCACTCGAAGTCGCTTGTGAAGCAACAGCCATCATCTCGAAAGATAGGTAGTTGATCAGTGAAGATGGCCGTTTCACGAGAAGCGCACAAGCGCGGCTTTAGCTTATAAGTGATTATACTGATAATTTACGCGGTCATTCTAACGCCCGCAAACAACCCACCAGCGAGTCTGTCTCGAGGTCGATTTCAGCGGTGTTTTCAGGGTGCGTGAAGCGGCAATTGCACGCCTTGAAATCACGCTTACACTCTTCAGGGATTCACCGAACTCACTATCACTCCCACTACAGACGCTCTCAAGACGGTCAACATCCATTCGAGGCAGGCGAGTGAGTTGGGCGGTGATCCTTTACGCCCATTTGGCTCACACCTCCACAGATATCCACAGAGTCCTCGTCACCCCACCTCACGCTCACGCTGCCCCCGCTCACGCTGATTTCACCCACTTCGACCCTCAGTCGAATATCGCCCTTAGCGAACGCCATGGCAAAGACGGCAAGATCGACGTACACCGCCATCCCGAACTCAAGCGTAAAGTCTATTCTGCCCTTTCTGAAGGCGATGAAGGCGAGCTGAGTATTGTCCTCCCGCCTCGTTGTATCTCGCGTGGCGTAGGCGATCAGGTTTCCCTACTTCCTGATGAGCCTTCTGCTCAAGATAAGGAGAAGCGGATTGACGAGACAGACGTTGAGAAAGATAATAACGATAAAGAGCAAGCAGAGAAAGATGCAGGCCACGCAGAGAATGGTACAGAGCAATCAGTGCATAAAGACGAGCAAGCAGAGCACATGGATGACAAAGAGAAGGATAAAGAGAACCACAACCAAGAAAAGCACGACGAGAATGAGAAAGAGAAGCAAAAGCAAAGCGAGAAAGAAAAAGAGAAAGAAAAGGAGAAGGAAAGCAAGGAGGCTGCTAACAACTCTCAAGACTTCGCCCCTCTCACCATCTTCGTTGAGTTTTCTATCACTCATCCATTCGAAGGCCTACAAGTCGTCAAGCCAACAGAAACTTCCCCTTATCGCATCCCTCACATTTACACCTCTCCTACATGCCCCGATGCTGCCCGCTGTTGGGTCCCCTGTATTGACAGTCTTTGGGAGAGATGTACGTGGGAATTGGAATATATCACTCCACGCTTTTTAAGTGCTGTTGGCGAGGATGGCGTTGAAGGTGAACAAGATGAGCCTGTCGTTGTCGTCTCTTCAGGTGATTTAGTCGAACAAGTCGCTCATCCATCGATATCCTCCAAGACTATCTTCCACTTTGCTCAATCTCTACCCACTTCCGTACAGCATATTGCTTTTGCAGCTGGTCCTTTCAACGTCCTACCAATACCGCATACTTCTAGCACCACCCAATCCACTTCCCTACACGCTTTTGGTCCACCTGGTTCTGCTAAAGAGTTGGCCGCCTCCGTAGCTATAGTTCCACGTGCTCTTCATTTCTACAGCTCAGAGCATGGTATGTACCCATTTTCTTCCTTCAAAGTCGTTTTCGTGCATGATCCTCCGGTAGACGTCACTGTGTATTCTACTGTCGTTATCATGTCTCTAGATCTTCTGCACCCTGCATCTGCTATCGAACAGACGTTGGATACTCGCCATAAAATATCACACGCTCTTGCCACTCAATGGTCTGGTATTAATATCATGCCAAGATCTTGGTCTGATATGTGGCTAGTTCAAGGCTTAGCTAGCTATATTGCAAATCTTTTTTTGAAGAAATCTATGGGTAACAATGAGTATTTCTTTAGAATGAAGAAGGATATGGATCGTTTAGCAATGAATGATACGGGCCAACTACCACCACTTAGCGTACCAAATGCGCTTGAACCACCAAATGATAACGACGCACCATTTTTACTCTTGAAAGCACCACTTGTCTTGCACATTCTCGATAGAAAGCTATCTAAATCTGGTACAGCTCATGGATTGTCTAGAGTTCTGCCAAAAATCTTCCTGGGCGCGCTTTCTGGTGACGTTATTATATCAACAAATGGATTCTTGAGGACTTGCAGAAAAGTTGCCGGAGTTGATTTAAGAACGTTTGCTGATCAATGGATTTTTGGATCTGGTACACCTAGATTCATGATTGGAGCCAATTTTAACAGAAAGAAAATGTGCGTTGAAATGACAGTAAAGCAAGAATCACCAGCATATGACGCACATACACCCGATACACCTGAAATTCATTTTAACAGGCCAACCCAAGTTTTTGAAGGTCAGATGACTGTTAGAATTCACGAAGCTGATGGTACACCATATGAGCATGTTTTGGATATAAAGGAACCCAACAAGAGATTCGATGTGCCTTTCAACACGAAATATAAGCGTGTTAGAAGGAACACAAAGCGTTATCAAGCTAGACAAGCTGCTGCTGCTGCTGCTGCCCAAGGTGATGAAGAGGCTGCTGAGGCTATTGGTATGATAGATTTGGGTTTCCAGCTCAACGATTGGGAACAGGAATCGGAGAGAGACAGATGGAAGGTAGAAGATTGGACCGAGGATGATGAAGCTGCTATGTCACAAGCAACGTACGAGTGGATCAGAGTTGATGCAGACTTTGAATGGATCTCCATGATTACTTTTGAGCAACCTGATTTCATGTGGGTGTCCCAACTACAGCGTGATAGAGATGTTGTTGCTCAGTTGGAAGCTGTCCACGCGCTCAAGTCTATTCCTTCCAAACTGGTTTCCACTCAACTAACCAGGACTGTTCTGGTCACCAATTACTTCTTTAGAATTAGAATGGAAGCTGCTATGGTGCTGCATACCTGTGCAACTCCTGAATTGGATTATGTTGGAATGTTCCACCTCTTTAAGATATTCCAGTCAAGATTCTGCTATCCACCTCCGCAAGAAATTATGGATCCTTTTGGTTTCAAGTGTATACCGCTGGCTAACAACTTTGACGACCTCAGCGAATATTTCGTTCGTAAGGCTGTCATCGTTTCTTTAACTTCTATCAGAGATCAAACGAGTAGATCTATGCTGAACATTAGAGAGTTCCTCGTCGATCAGCTCAAATACAATGACAATTCGACAAATAGAGTGAGTGACTTTTGTTTGAGAGTCTCACCGCTTACTCTGTTTTAGTACTCAGACAGCTATTACCTATCTGGTATCATCAACTGCTTGGCTATCGCACTAGTGCCGACGGTTCAGCATGAGGCCAGCGTACTTCAACAGGACGAGGATCCGGATGCAGATGACCATCCATTTGGTCCCCTCATTCGACGTGCTGCTGTCGAAGAGGTTGAGAGGTATAGAACCATGGATAGACTCGTACCATCTTATCAGAACGTTATATCCGTAGCTACCCTTGAATTCAACGTCAAACTAATGATTGCCGGTATACTACCATACAACGCACCTTTGTTTATTCCTTATACAAGGTGAGAAAACATAACACGTCCCTTTACGTTACTTACAGTTCGTGCAGAGAGGGTAACTATCCTCCTTTAAGGATAGTCGCTTTCGATTGCTTGATGCTGCTCGGTTCTCTCCGCCATCGACCAATTATTCAATATTTCTCAACAATACTTGGATACGATGAATCAAGAGTAGTCAGAAGGTCGCTTGCCCAATCGATGATCGAATCGCTGATTGTTCTCATGGCCACTGGGGAATTGGCTGCTATTCAGAAGAAGGAACCGCAATTCATTGAAGAAGATGCTAAGCTGAGCGAAGCGAAAGAGAAAGATTCTAGTAAGAGCGAATTGGATCGGCAGTTGAAGGGGCTTCGAAAGGATGTCGGAAAAATTGCTAGTTTGAGAATGGGTATCATGGCTGTGTTGCTATCCCCTCAAGTCGATTACCACGTTAGATGGACGCTGCTACAGCTCTGTGATGTTCTATACAAAGGCAATGCTGAGCCGTTACCTAAAGTTAAATTCAAGTTACCTGCCCCAGCACCTCATCAGCCAGCAGAGCCAGCATCTGCAATGCCGATGAAGATCAAGCTCAAGGCGCCGACGTCACAACCAGCGCAGCCTGTACCAGTCAGTATGGATCCCGTTGTGCCGGTTCGTATGGAAGATGAGACACCTGAGCCTGAAGTACCAGAGATGAATGGTACAGCAAACGGACACGTTACTGAACCTGTTGGTGGAGGTGGATTGAATGTTTCGCTTAGAAAGAAGAAAGACAAAGCTGTTCCTCAAGCTCAAAGGAATGGTATGGCTAGTCAAGACGTCACTGCTTGTAGAGCTCTTCACAAGCGCTTACAATCACACAAGTTGGCAGGGTGGTTCTTATATCCAGTTGACCCAGTCAGAGACGGTGCGCCTGATTACTTTTCGGTGATTAAAACGCCAATGGACATTGGAACCATGGGAGCTAAGTTGGATGGTGGACACTACGCCAACAGGTTCGAATATGAAGCTGATTTTAAGTTGATCGTTCAAAATGCAACGACTTACAATGGTCCATCGTCACCAGTGCACAAGACCGCGCTGGAGCTAGATGCAGTCTTCGATAAGCAATGGCAGCGAATGACGAACACGCTCAATGCCGCTACAGGACGTAAGCCTACTGTGCAAGTCAATGATAAGATGACAAGTCCTCCGACGGGGCCAGAACCAGCACCAGCACTAGAACCAGAACCAGAACCAGAACCGGCTGCGGCAATTTCTTCGCCATCTAAACCAAGTCCACCTCCAGCACAACCAGCCAAGCCTAGGCTTTCTCTTAAGCTGAAACCGCCTAAGCCTGTTGATAGTAATGGCGATAAGGAAAAGCAACCTGAAGCTAATGGGGTGGTGGATACAGCGGCAGCACCGCAAACTGCTCAATCAGATGCGCCTGAACCAGAATCAACCGCAGAAAAAATCCAGACTGACGCTACACCAGCTGACACACAGCCTGTTGCAGCACCAAGTATGCAAGAATCTCAATCTCAACCTATTCCTGAAGCTCCGGTCACGGTATCAGAGGCACCAGAAGAACCTATGGAAAAAGCACAGTCAGTTCCAGCTCAACAGAGTCTACCAGAAGAAAATGAACCTACGTCTACGCCTGCGCCTGTTCCAGCTCCTACTTCTGCTCCAGTGCAGAATGGCAACGAAGACGCACTCGATGATGAGCTTCTGGCTCTGTCAGATAACAAACCAGTGCAAAAAATGCCTCCACCTCCCAAAGCATCTTCAAGCACTCCTTCAAAGCTACCGGACGGTCATCTTGATAACAGAAAAGCCAAGATTTTGATTAGAAAACTGATGAGCATGCCTGAGGCCGCAATATTCTTACAGCCAGTCGACCCCATATTGCATGGTTGTCCAACGTATCTGGATGAGATCAAGCATCCGATGGACTTCTCTACAATAAACAGGAAGTTGGACGAGAAAAAGTACGAGAATGGCGATCAATTCATCGGAGATATAGAACAAATATTTAAGAATTGCAGACAATTCAATGGTCCTGGTGAGACAAGTATGTTGACTGCGCAGACTTGCGACCCAGTGGAGAGAGCTTTGAGGAAAGAGTGGAAGATACTAATGACGCCGAAGATCCCGCACAATGAAAAGAGGAGCTTGCTATCGATGATGAAAGTATGGTACAAGAATGAGCATGCTTTCTGGTTCTTACAGCCGGTACGTTTTGGAATGGCGTAATTGAAACATGCTAACGATTATATATAGGTTGATCCAATTGCATTGGGTATTCCAAATTATAACGAAGTAATACCTAAAGAGAACATGAGAGATCTGTCTTTGATACAGACGAAACTGGAAAAAGATCAATATCCGTCGGTGGATGCGTTTGAGGGTGATATAAAGTTAATGACGCACAACGCAATACTTTACAATGGAGCAGATGCGCCTGTTTCATTATCAGCCAAGGCATTGGAGAAGATGGCAGTGAGCAATCTGAATGACTTTAGGAATAGATACAACACGATGAGTCCTCAGCCTTCGCATAAGCGAGCTTCATCGAGTATTTCAGATACACGCAGCAACAAAAAGAGTAGAAACAATTAAAGTAATTTGTAATCTCATTTATTTTCTTGAATATTTATTTGCTCATTTCGTCATTTGCGCTTTGCTTCTCAAACAGTGAGCAAGGATGAGCCACGGAAATGGACAGGCACATACACAGACACACGCGCACGTAGATAAGGTACTGGAGAAAGGAGGGCCATTTACAGACGAGTACTTTCAAGCTGGAAAAGATGTGGGTGTTGTAAGACTTAATTACTTCAATTGACTGAGTAATCTCAGGTTAAGAAGTTCTTGAGGGAGCAATGCAAAGTTCTTATCATCGGTGCCGGTGGATTAGGCTGTGAGATTGTAGCTAATCTCGCTCTCACTGGCTTCTCAGATCTTCATATCATCGATATGGTTAGTATTAGGCTTCGTGTAGCGATGAAGGCTCACGACCTCCAAGGACACCATTGACGTCTCAAATCTCAACCGTCAATTCCTGTTCAGATCCTCAGATGTTGGCAAATCAAAGGCAGTTGCCGCTGCAGACTTTGTGATGAAGCGTATACCCAACGTTAAAGTAACAGCCCACCACAACAAGATACAAGACTTTGGTGATGATTTTTATATGCAGTTCAACTTGGTGGTTTGTGGTTTGGATAGCGTGGAAGCTCGGCGCTGGATAAACGCAACTCTCTACAACATGGTCGATGACGATAACCCAGAGTCGCTAAAGCCATTGATCGATGGCGGTACGGAGGGTTTTAAAGGCCAGTCGAGAGTAATTTTACCCACCATCAGCAGTTGCTACGAGTGTAGCTTGGATATGCTCACACCACCGACTACCTTCCCGATCTGTACAATTGCAAACACTCCACGCTTGCCCGAGCACTGCATTGAATGGGCCAGTGTGCTGGAATGGCCTAAAGTGTTCCCATCTAAAAAGCTCGATAACGACGACCCAGATCACATCGAGTGGCTGCTCAACAAATCTCTCACCAGAGCCACGGAGTTTAATATTGAGGGAGTGAATTGGTCATTGGTACAGGGCGTCGTAAAAAACATAATACCATCAGTCGCATCAACAAACGCAATCATCGCTGCAAGTTGCTGCAATGAAGCATTCAAAATAGCGACGACAACAGCTGCATATTTGAACAATTACATGATGTTCATAGGAAATGAGGGTGTCTTCACCTATACATTCGAGCACCAGAAGAGGGAGAGCTGCGTGGTGTGCGGTGGTGAAACGATGGACTTGGAAGTTAAAGACGAAATGATTGTGGAGGACTTGCTTGAGATATTGAAGCAGAAAGCAGAGTTTCAAGTGAGGAAGCCTTCACTCAGTAACGATCAAGGGAATATCTATCTTCAATACCCACCACAATTAGAGGAATATACTCGCCAAAATCTGAGTAAATCACTCTCAGATTATAAAGGACAGACTATTCTTGTCACTGACGCTAACTTACCTTTCAAATTGAGTTTGAGATTGGTTTGACGAATGTTGTACAATAACTATGCATATTTTCACCTAGATGAGTTTGTATTGTGATAAATACCGCGGCTTAAGTAAAAAATGTCAATTAGAATCAATAAATTCGAAGAAATCACAAATTTCTTTGACATATGCATGAATAAAGTCAAATTTTCCCAAAGCACAGCACGTGTCTGGGATTGAGAGACAGAACGATAGGAAATCAAGAACCTCGGCTTGACTTGGCCGATTTGGTAAACAGGAAAGGAAAATCGGAATTAATTGCATTTAATTTTCTTTGAATTATCCTATCATCACGCTAATCACGCTAATCTATGAGCGCGGAAAAGTACACAGACTACAGGCAGCCGAATGACGATTTGCTTTGGTCGCCATCAACGAATGCATCCAACAACTACAGTCTATCGTCAATGGGCGTGGATAGCCCACCAGAGTACAGCTCCTCATTGCCGCCGATAAACATACTCGGGCGGGAGACAACGTTTAATAACAGCAGATCACTGCCATCGTCTATACCAATGAATGAGTTATCCATCAATCCATCACATATCACTGTACCGCCTCCACTCGATTTCGATCTCGGCTTGCGTTTGACTGACGATAACGGCGTGACTATCACATGTCCAAGATACGAGCAACAGGAAGAAAATAGCTTGGATGAGAAAGAATTAGATGACGATGACTACGCTGATGATTTCGTTGAAGGAGATTTCGACGATGATGACGATTGGGGTTGTGCACATGCCGAGCACGGTACCTCAGCCAAACGGGGACAGTCAGCTTATAGTCACCCTAGAGCAAAGTCACCAACGCCAATGGTTGACACGGATATTACTAAGCGTAGTAGAGGACGGAGAGTGCCTACGCAAGACAATCAGCGCGTGTTTAAATGTCCAGATGCTCGCTGTCAGAAGGTATTTGTCAGGAACGAGCATCTCAAGAGACATATCAAGAGCTTACATAGAGACGAGAAACCATTTGAATGTTTAGATGCTGGGTGTAACAAGAGATTCACCCGGTTAGATAACGTGAGTGTGTTTAATAGGATTAAATTAATAACTGAAGCTGTTCACAGATGTATCAGCACCTTAGAGTACATGATAAAGACTCAAAGACTCAAAGCAGGAGAAGATCATCAACTTGTGCATCCAACTCACGCAAGCGTTAGAATATACAAGTATATACACGTATATCACATATACCACATTCAATTATGACAAAGATAATTTCCAATTTCTCAATTTTACCTTCTCTGGTGTACAAATGATATCCTGTTGTACAAAACCTTGTTTGAATATGACGTCCATTATCAAGCCAAGACTGAATGTGATTTTCAAGGATAATTTGATTCTAGTGGTAAATAAGTTACCTGGTATGCTAAGCCAAGCTGGAAATCACAGTGTGCGCGGTCTTTATCATAGCTGCGCGTGTATACTGACATAACATATATAGAGGCTATCAATTGAAAATTATTTGGACGGTGGGTGAATTGGATCCGATAGAAGCGATAGAAGTTCATTCAACTCGCTCAGATCTCAAATTCGACTTTGATTACCCTCCAAAGCCACTGCATAGACTCGATTACACTACTTCAGGTTGCCTGATGCTCGGTAGAACAGAGAGAGCAGCGAAGCAATTCAGCAGCGCACTAGCCAACAACAAAATAACAAAGGAGTACTGGGGACTAGTCGAAAACATGGATAGAGTATATCACGATCAAGGTGTAGTCCAAGATCCAATCTCCCTGTCCAGCACAGGCAGACCTTATATAGGTGGGGATAAAAAAGCCTTTACGAAATGGCAGGTGCTGCGATATAATGTGCGTTGCTATCAGCCCTTCCAACAGAATTCTTAGAAAACTTAAACCCAGCCGGAGACTTGCGTCGGATTGTGCAAGTTCGTTATACAAACAGGACGCAAGCATCAGATAAGGCTGCATGCATCTCATGTACTTGGATGGCCTATTCTCGGTGACAGGCTGTATGGACAGTCAAAATCAACCAAATCGTCCAGTGTCGTTCATCTGCACGCCCGTTCAGTTGAATTTGAGGTATGCGACAATGCACAGGCATTCTTTCGCTCACTATCACTACAGAGATTCTACAAAAGCAGATCAGGCAAAGCCCACAAAGAGCAAGTAAAAGTAGAGGCACCGATACCGCGAGAATGGACAAAGAAGATGGAGGAGAGTAAATTTGATGATTTGATGGAAAATGCGCCTGTAAAAGGATTCGGATTTAGCTGACATGTATTTAAACTCCACTTTGTGCCTTTCTGTGCCTTTCTTATCAAACTCGAACACCATCTTTCATCACGCTATGTCGAATAGGGCTGACTTCCATGAAGAGTCAGGGGTTTCTGAAGATCTCTTCAGCGACTCGCTTGAATCCATCTTCGGTCATCATCAGGTGTGCTCATTCGACGGATCCATTTGCAATCCTGACGCTCGCAGCCCAGTCAAGGTGAACCTGGAGCCAAATTTACCTTCAAAGCAAGTCAAAACACTTGACTCAATACAGTGCTTATTAATCAACCAGTAGAGTCCGTGGAAGACTCTCGACATGCGTATACCAGACCAACCAACAAACGGTCTATTTAGTCAAATGCAATGGGATAGCGGTCTTTATCTGTGTGACATGATCTGTGATGGCAGAGGTCCATTTCATAACTTATCGAATAAGCGTGTCTTGGAATTTGGTGCAGGTACAGGATTGCCTTCTCTTCTTTCTGCTTTAAAAGGTAGTCCGCACGTCGTGTGCTCTGACTACGATGATCACTATCTGATCGACAACCTCCGTCGGAACGTCACAGCGAACTCGGTGCGGAATGTGGATGTCGTGGGTCATATCTGGGGACAGGACGTGGCCCCATTGATTCCGTGGGTAGTCAACTTACACTCACAAACCACCCTTATCGCTCCACAGCGATGGTCGTAAATTCAACCTCATCCTCTGTGCTGATACGCTCTGGATGAGCGACCAGCTCGAGAATCTGCTCAAAAGGTAGGCAGGCGAGCTTTGTGTTGCTTTCATTCACAATTATTATCTCAAGTCTCACCGCGACAATCGACAAGCAAGATGAAAGTTCACGTGTAGTCATCATAGCAGGCTTCCACACCAACAGGCCACGTAAGCGTTGTTTTGAGTGGTGAATATGTCTTACAGTTTTAGCACTCGCCAAGTTCTTCAGACTGGCAAAAGAATACGGCTTAGTTCCGGATGAGAGGGGGATAACCGAATGGGACATTGTCGACAACACAACAAAAGAGTTTACATACCAAGGCACACTCGATCCAGGAATTTGCTCAAGATGGAAAATACTATCTTATCTAAAGTGTGCATCTACTTGATATTGATATTTTTGCCATCCACAAATACAGCCTGAAGATTAGCAGACGTACCTGCGAACAGCCATCTTTCAAAGTTGCGCTTCAGTCTGTCTAATGGTGATATATAAGACTGTTTACTTGAATCAATGAGGGATTTATTGGCGATTGTGAGTGGGTCGATGACCAGAGCATCGAACTGCTTGCCCACTATGAAATTACCGATCTGCTTTTCTAAGTCAAGGGCGCGGGCTCCTCCCAACGTAGCGAGATAGAATAACTTTTCTAGACTGAGATACGTAGGTTTATTGTGAAAGATAGATAGAGCCTTACTGGCAGTCGAAGCATCCCTGAGTGACTGAAGTATACCTGCTTCGTAGCCACCACTGCAATCACTCCCCAAACCAACTTTGGTAATTCCGTCAGTCAGCAATTGATTCACATCTGTTATACCGCTACGCAGATTAAAATTGGAAGTTGGGCAATGACTTATACCGCAGTCATATTGCTTAATGAGATCCATTTCACTGTTAGTGAGATGGCAACAGTGTGCAAGTATCGTTCTGTCTGACAATATACCTCTATTGGCATAGATGTGGGTGTAAGATTCATCATTCGGGTATAAAGACATGGTGAAATCTATCTCACCCTTATTTTCACATAGGTGTGTCTGGATATGTAGATTCTCGTCCTTGAGGTATTCCCCCATTTGTTCGAGCAGTTCTGGTGAACAGCAAATAGCGAATCGAGGTGTGATTATTGGATGAACTATAGCAGATTTCAGATTGTTTCTGACGTAATCCACGTATTCTTTTGTTTGAGCCATTGAGACCTCTGGTGATTCATCTTTATAATAATCTGGACAATGACTGTCCATATTAACTTTCCCAACGAGTGCACGCTGTCCTGAATGAATGTTTAGTACGTTGTCATCACAAACAAACGGAAACGCCCACCTTTGGAATGACAAGTAGCTGCGAGGATCTTGGTAGCGTCTAGATGCAGACTTGAATAGTATGAGCACGTAGTAGTCTGTTATAGACATTAAGTATCTTCATTCCAGCGCAACTAATACCCCACTCACACCGACTGAGAGGGTGGCTTCAACGACTTTAGCAAAATCAATCTGCGCAACTTGTGCATCTTGATAGTTGGATTCAGTTGGGAACGTTACTTGACTGAGCCAGTCCAACAACTCGAGGTTGAAACCGAAGCCAATGTTAGAGAATTGTGGTGCGTGCGAGTGCGTATCGACGAATCCTGGTACCAAGAACTCATTAGGATGAGCATGCACGACATCGTCACCGTCTATGTTCTCATCTTCTTTAAGATGTTCTACTTTGGTGATCGTGCCAGAATGATTGACCTCGATGGCTGCCCGTTGGATGTACTCCAGTCTATCCACGTCTAAGGCGTGTATTAAAGGAAATACGTATATCATTGTTTTCAACCTCAGAGAATTCCAGAAGACTGAACGATATAAAACGCATGCATCGGTCTTAGCATAGCGATATTCCGTGCAAATCAGTTAAATTAAATCGAAGAACAAAGCGCACGGACGAAATGGTTCCGCTGGTTACTCGCTATACCTGCTTATCTCCGCCATCGCTGCTACGATCGTTTAAACTCTTAGCGTGCGCACACTTTAGCCCTCATATTAGCACACTATCAATTGAAAGGTATAAATGTTGCTGTGTTTAGTAATACAAATGAAAGAATCTCTATCAACGAAAAATACAATACTATCTAAATCCAGTTCCATCAATATCAATCCCTAATCCCTTAGGATGATGCCCTAATATATCATTCGTATTGAAATCACCCCCAAATAATCCGAAGTCGTAATTATGATCATTATGCTGCAGCTGATGATGTCCGAATATCTGCTGTGGTGGCATCATTTGCTGCTGTGAACTGGTCCCTGCATGGTGAGCATTAAAGTTATGCGAACTGTTTTGATGCTGATCTGAACTGCTATGGAGCGACATCGGTTGGCTAGATGTAGCTGAAGCTGGTGTTGCAAAATTATGCTGCCCCAATTGATCTATCTGTGATGCTGTTGTGAATGGCATTGAGGCTGACGACAATGAGCCAGAGTCGAATGAATTGGTATGCTCATACGAGGGCCGACTTTCAAATGAATGCGGTGCTCTCTGATGTTCTCCGGGCGTCGGAGCTGAGCTTTGACCCGGTGGAACTGCTGCCGGTTGACCTGCCGGTGCTCCACCGAATGTCGCACTCCCATCGGCGTCAAAAGATCGTCTCTCAAAATTGAGTTGATCGAACGACATCTGCTGCTCGAAGGGTAGATCTAGACTAGACGCTCTGGTGGAAGACTGCATCACCCCCCCATACGTGGTATAAGGTGAACTTCCCATCGATGTGTTTCCTAAGTTCGTTGGTTCTATATTAGATAAACTGCTTGGGGTGTGAAATGGTGGTGTGTTGTTTGGTGTAAACGATTGCGGTTGCGGTTGACTAAATTGTGGTGGTATTGGGTTTGCTGGATTACCTGGTGTGTTTACAGGAGTCATCGGTTGTAATGCTGATAGACAGCTATCATTGGTGAGTCTCCGACGCTTAGGTATTTCGATTCCTTCCTTCCTGAGTGAGTTTGATACAGTTCCAGATGTGGACGATGGGGCAGACGACGCAACAGCGGGAATAGTAGCATTATCAAAATCTACTTCATACGCTGCTGGATTGTTCACATCATTCAAGCTCTCATAATTTGTCGCCTCCATCTTTTGCTGGTTTGACTGTTGGTGTACATTCCCGAAACCAGGTATGGGTAATCCTATGCCAGCCAGCGCAGACTGTGTGAGCTCCCTTACGGGAGAAGACATCCTAGAAACCATCGGTGACCCATTCGGCGATCTTTCGAACGAATTAAACTTGCCGTTCTTATCAATGGGGTCATATCGTGTACGTTTCTTGATCGTATCCGTCTTCATCGATAGAGGTCTCTGAGATTTGTGCAACTTCAGATATAATCCACACGCATTGCATAGCGTCTGTCCATTCTCAGCTTTCCTCCACAAAGGAGTCCTTGTTGTATCGCAATTTGCGCACGATATTGAAGGGTTACTACTTAAGTCAAAGTCCATTTTGTAATTCGACCATTCCCCAGGAGGATGTGCATGTATAGATGATCTACTCGACTTGAGTGATTTAGGTCTATGGCTTTTGTGCAACTTCAAATATAAACCACATGCATTGCAAAGTAGTTGATCATCCGTAGACCTTCTCCAGAGTGGTGTTGAGAGTGCTCCACAATTACTACAGCTTGGCTTTGAGGATGAATCTTGGTAACTCTGTGTCGGCTGCAATTGCGGATCTTGATAGCTGTAATTCTGTGGTTCTTGTGTTTGATCTGACTGTAGGTGATGATCATGGGATTCAGTGTTAGAGTGTGAGTAGTGGGAATGCTGTGACTGTTGTAACTGCTGTGAATGCTGCGCCTGCTGTGAATGGGGAATGAGTGGCTGATCAAATATATTCTCAAATCCAGGTATCGAGTCCAAATCCAGATTAAAAGGGTCTTCTTGTGTACTGTCTGATGTATCTAGCTTTGTAGACCTCTCATGACCCTTTTTCAAAACCAAATCTGAGCTGTTGTTCCTCTGAAATTTCGGTGCTTTGAGATCGGATAACTCGACGTTCTTCTCGTTGTTCAGTTTCTCTGAAGCGTTCTTTGAAAGTTTCTTAAAACCCTTTGCAGATTTATTATCGTCTACTAGTAAATTATGCATATACAGCAGTCTCCAGCTCAGGTTCTCCATTCTATGGCCACTAATCGGAATCAGCGTGATAATTCTAAGGTTTTATATTCAATTACCTCTCCAAGTGACCCTTGATCTTCGTTGAGCATCTCCAGATCTCGATCAGTGTATCCTCATCATTGATATTCAGGAAAGGGCTAAAGCTCTTGTTTCCCTGGATTTTAATTGGAAATATGTCATATATACACATCAGCATACTCACCTTAAACTTCAAAACAAAGTTGGGCTTGCTTCCGCTCCCACTCGACATGATGATGGTTGTTGATCGAGAGCAGATAGCCTTATATTATTGCGATATACTATCATGTACGACACTGTATTAGTTTCAAAGGCAACTTGACTCATCGTCATTTCGTTCATTTATCTCCGTACCGCCCTGCCCTTACTCAGTTGCCGCGACGAGCACGATACACTTGAACATTCTTTCACAGCCAAATCAAACGATAACAGCTATACACACTTATATTTGAAATTAAATTATAACTTAGCAAAAAATTTTACTCTGACATTTGTTCATCTTCATCTTCATCTGATTCTAATCCTTCTTGCACCTCTAATTCAGGTAATTGGAAGTCCTCTGTGTGATTACTTATTAGTTTAAACTATGCTAAAAATTTTAACACTTACGGTCACATCCGCTGTAACTATCACAGATCAAATACAACTTGACATCCTTATATGTACCCTCCTCTTCTAACTGGAAGTCTAACTTGACATTGAGTGATTTCGCAACCGATACCTTCTTGATACCCAGGAGTGATTTAGATCTCGTGTCACCAACAACTAACCACCAATTACACATCTTGTGCAATGGGTAAAATGGTGCCATTACACTCTGGTCTACTTCCTCATCCTCCTCGACATCCTGACTCAATCTAACAGTGAGTGGTATTGGTTCACCAGCTCTCATATCCTGCTTAGTGTCGATATCGTACTCCACATCAATAGATGGGTAGTTGTTGACAAACTTGGCTACATCTTGTACCCTAAACTTGTCTAATCCAGCCAACAACTTGGACCTATCTTCATCTTCCATCTCCATAATATCATATACACTCTCAATCTGCATTTCTTTACCTCTTGAGATGATTTGCTCATTGAAATGTGGTATTTGCTTGATAGAGACATCTTGATCCCAGATAGCTTGTACAACCATCTGCGAGAGATCCATCGCTCCAATCGCACCCAAGTATCCATTACTAGACATTACGTCCACAGCTGCCGAAAGCAAATTCAGCACTCTCTTCAATACCTCTGCTTGGTCTTGTAATAAATCAGCTGGTAATTGTAACCTGCTGAAATGTGCTTGGAGGAGTACGAATGTCTTAAAGTAAGGTGACTCAAAATCGATACGATCAAGCTTCACGGGAACTCTGTCATATAATCTGCGAAGAATGTTGGCCTTGAATTGTTCATCAATATTCATTTCATACGCAAAAAGTTACCTACCTCTCCCTTTCTAATAGGTACCAATTCAAATTCAGCGGCACTAGCGACGATTTCCAAAATACCCTTCAGCTTAGTAGTAGCCTTAAGTGAAGATTGGAAAGTTTCCACGGTGAATGATGAAATGTAGTAGTAACTAGCGATCATACCCAAGTTGAGTGGCAGGGTATCCATCTCATCCTCAATAGTAATACACTTAGCTTCAACCAGCTGGTTTAGCGTATCTTCAACAAGCTCCGAAAGCGAGTCAGAAAGATGAGCGTGTGAAGTACCTGACAACTCGTAAAAGTTAGGATTAGACTGCATACGTCTATAGAAGTAAGTCCAAGTGAGATAATCAATAGCATCCTGCTTGTTCTCAATAGTCTTGGTCACAATCTCGGCATTGAAGTGATCTGGGAGAACGTATTTCAGGTGTGATTCTACTGGAAGGGGCTCAGCCAGGAACTTCTTGAAATAGTCTTTGCGAGATGATTGACACATGAATACACATTTGGATGTGCTATCTTGAGCTGGTCTCGATGCACGGCCAATCATTTGGAGAATGTCGGTGACTGGATAGTCGACGTAGCGATGCTCACGACCGTCGAATGCTTGAACACCCATAATAATAACCATGAAACATCTCATTGGGATTGACCACGCGACATCTCTCGATGCTATGACAAGCTGTATAGCGTTGGCATTGTAGAGCGTCTCTACTATAACCTTGTCCTGCTTAGATAGACCTTCATGGTAGTATGCAATACCGTATTTCAAAACCTCTTTCAATTCCTCGTCTTGAACGTGCTCTAAGTGTGGTTCAAGTTCTGACAACTCAATGTTTAAGAATCTCCTGTCACTACCATCAGCTTGGCAGTAAGTGAGAATATCTTGAGAAGTGAGGTAGCACTGCTTGCGAGATGGTACGAATGCAATGACGGACTTGCTAGCTGCCCATTCAGTAATCGACAAGTAAGCTGGCTTGGCCATCGACAGCATCAATGATGGGAAGTGAGGCGTTGAGTAATTTTGCAAATGAACCTCCATTGGCAGTGGACGAGAGCTGGGTTTCGTTAGTGGAGATTCTCCAACATACACAATACACACCTTGGTGAGAAGTTGAAAATACCTTGTGAGCCAGCACCGATCCAATCACCGATAATCTTCGCATTAGATAGTGAGACTGAACAAGCAACAATACGAGTGGGATTTTCAGTTTGTGCGGCGATGTATCTCATTCTCGACACAATGATTTCGTAAGTTGGTCCGATATCAGGCTGGCCAATGAGTTGAACTTCATCAGCAACAAAGAGACCTATGTTTTGGACATTCTTGCGCTGCTTCCATCTACGTGAAAGCATATCCCACTTTAGCAAGCCTTTAGTACGCATAAGCGTGTTTATTGATTTTTACTCACCTGTTGAGGAGTTGCTATAATAACATCGCCGCGCTCCAACAACTTCAAGTCAGCAGACATATCACCAGTCAATCCGACTATCTCTTTATCAAGACGACTAAACTTCTGCGACCACTCATCCACTCTCTGGCTAACGACATCATCGAATGGCTCAATGACAACCGCTCTAGAAGACCCGCTCTTTTGCCAGAATCTCAACAAAGCAAACTCTGCACAAATTGTCTTTCCAGATCCAGTAGGAGCGCCAATAATGACGCTATCATCTGAGGTGTAAAGAGCTTGGAATACTTGCGTCTGGATTTTATTGAATGACTCGATGGCATATTCGTTGTCATTTGATGGAGTGTAAATGTTCTCGTAGGCTTTGTTGTGCAGCGCTGATATCGGCAATGGTTGCAGATCAAGAAGAGGGGTTGGAGGTGGGAACTTCTCTGGCAAAATGAGGTGCTTGAATGAGACTGGCAGCGTCGTCTCTGAATGCAACCATCTATCGCTCATCACTGTAACATAGTAATTTGGCGGTATAGGCTCTGACATTGGCACAGTCAAAGTGACGTAGTGTTCATCCTGTGAGTATCTCTCGCGCAGAAGGAAAGTGTCGTGGAAAAGAATAATCTCGCCGTCGACATCTTCAACTAAAATCCAGAAAAGCTCGGAAGTACCGTGATTCTTCTCATCCCACTCGAAATCAGGTTGAATGCTGAGGTCGATCCTAAGCAACGACCTTGTGATGGGTTGAACATTGGCTTGCAAGTTAAGCTTTGGGAACGAGTGTACCATCTTGTGCACTAATTTTCCAGCTTTAGGATTACCGATTAACTCGCCAAGTTCTGGTGGATCAAGATCAAAGTATCTGTACCACGGAAATTCCTTTCTTTCAGCTTTTTTGACGACTTCCTGGAATGCATCTTGGCGAATACCCTTAAATTGACGAAGTGGAGTCATCGTTTTCCATAACTTCTTGTCGATCATCTTGCACAAATCCAGCGCATCACGCGTGAGCGCTGCCCAGCCTCTCTTCAAGCAAATTTCAAAAATAGCTCTTATGATACGACCAGCTGACTGTTGAACAAAGACCATATCACTAACTAATGCCAAACCATCTAATCTTAAATCACTGATAAATGCTTGCAGAAGCACGTTGATTTTGGCGGCTGGCTCATCGACTGATTCCTTTACGGGTATCGGGACTCTCTCCATCAATTTTTGTAACTCGAGCTTCTCTTCCTGACGTACTGGAATGAGTTTGAACTCATTGGACAAAGCAAACACTCTGAACAACTCAATCAAGCTCATCGTCGGACGGAGATTCTTCATATAAGCAGCCATGGAAGTATTTGTGATGTAGAAGTGGGAAGCGATTCTACCCAATTCAGTACCTTGTAGTATTCCAGACTTGCGATCATACTTCACCAAACCTCCCTTATCTAATTGAACAGCGGCAGTGTGGACGATATCGGAGCGCTTCTGCACCAGCCCAAGGTCATCATCATAGTCCTCGCCAACAGAGTACAAGCTTGGTGAGCGCAGCATTCTAATGTACAAGTAAGTATAGCCGAGCCACTGAATAGCTTCGTCACGATTACGGATCGATCCGAGAACGACTTCTGCATTGAGGTTGTCGACGAGTCGACTAACGTATTGCGACTCAATTGGCAACTGCTGATTCATCAAACTGAGGTAGTATTGTAGCTCAGTATGGTTTGTGATAATAATACCCTCTCCGAATGTATCATACTGCGGCCTACCTGCGCGACCAAGCATTTGCAAGACGTCTTGTGGAGATAATTCGCACCATCTACCTTTCTCTGGATTGTAGATCTGTGTACCCTTGATAATAACACTGTGTGCAGGCAAATTGACACCCCAGGCTAATGTAGCCGTACAGACCAACACTTGGACGTGTCCTTTATCGAAAAGATCCTCAGATGCGTTTCTGTCTGCTCGAGTCATACCAGCGTGGTGAATAGCGAAACCAAATGGAAGCAAGTCTTTCATATCACCACTACTGGAATTCTCAGCTTCCTCTGTCAGAATGGCTCTGCTCGCTGAATCAGCGTTGACAAATTGAGTGATAGTATCTTTTTCGATGGCCATATCACGGAGGAATTTAGCTGTCTTTGCAGTGTCTTTGCGCGAGTGAACAAAGACAATGACTTGGTTTTTGCCAGCTTGCTCCAACACTTTCTCGTAACAAACCTCGTTCATTGTGGAGAAACGCTTGATAGCTTTTTTCTCGGTGATACCTACAAATTGCTGCTGCAATGGACACGGACGCATACTGCCGTCAAAGTAGAAGAGACCTTTGTTGATGTCCACTCTGAGGAATGCTGCTACGTCTTGATAGTTTGGAAGAGTAGCTGACAGACCGACAACTCTCGTGTATTCGTTGTTTTGCTCCATTTTACGAATTGTACGCGCAATGATCGACTCCAGTACTGGACCTCTGTCATCGTGAAGCAAGTGGATCTCGTCAACAATCATCAGTCTTACGAGGTTAGTGTACGATGTGTCAGTTGATTTACGGGTGATGACGTCCCACTTCTCTGGTGTAGTGACAATAACCTGAGTTTCAGCAATCTGTTGCTTGGTGAGTTGGCTATCACCAGTCAACTCATTAACTTTGACGCCAAATGGCTCCAGTCTCTTGCTGAAGCTGCCGACTTGCTCTTGTACAAGCGCCTTCATTGGTGCGACATAAACAATCTTGAACGCATCCAAATCAATAGCACCAGTCTCTTCGTCTCTATATTGTGAAATTGTATTTAAAATAGTAAGCATTGCCACATTTGTCTGAAAAAAAAGTTAGCATAAGTCATTCTTTCTGTACATACTCACCTTTCCTGCACCAGTTGGGGCACAAAGCAGAATTGGATCATCTTGACCAAAAGCGACAGGGTAAAGCTTAGACTGCACTCTATTGAGCGCTTTGGTACCTGGGAATGCTTTTCTCGTCCACTCCGGCAACTTGGTAAGTGGAACCAATTCACCCTCCTTGACAGGAGTAACTTTAGGAGCAGGGACATGAATTTCCTCGTATCCTTTCTTCGAGCGCTTGAATGAGCCATCAGGGAGCTTGACCCTCTTGTTTGACATCAGATGACCACCGGCCGAGAAAGTCATGCTATCCAAGTCTACAACGCGCTTTGGAGCGACGGTGGATCCAGGAGCGAGGGTAGCCTTGCTTGGTACGGTTTGTTTACTCTGATCAACCTCCATAGCCATTTCACCAGTTTCCCGCTTTGGCTTTTCACCCTTAAGCTCGCGAAGAATCCATCCAACACCCTTCTCACGCATTGTGACTTCAATATCCATTTTCTCGTCATCGGATGCTCTCGCTAATCTTGTGCACCAATATATCAAATCTCTGTTGATGAGCAGTAGTTGAACAAGTTTAAAAAGGTCTCTCTCGTAATCAAATAGATCCATCAACCCATTCTCGACTTCTCTTGCACCAGCTTCAGATGCCAGAAGATCGAATACCGCGGACGTCTTCTCGGTAGTTTCAACAGGGTCAGGGTAGTGTTGAGCGATAATTCTTTGAAGCCAGAAAGCATCAACGTCGGTGGCTGCTAGCTTGCCACGCGATTCAGCTGACTGTTTCTTCTCTCCGCCAATGACGAGTGCATTGCCATCATCGTCAAGCTGCTCTTGTTCCTCTTCGACATCATTTTTCTCTTCATCTTCTGACTGATCATCACCAACCTCGTAACGCTCTTCGTCGTCATCTTCCTCGTTATCATCTTCGAAAAGAAGTGCGACACCTTCATCGTCGATCTCGCCCTCTTTCTTTTCAGCGTCCGGATCGGCCATAACGACATCTGCATCGCCGTAGTCGGTTATTTTCTTGGAGAGGCCTAGCAGCTGGGAGTAGAGCTCCTCAGAAATATGGCCGACGAAACCTTCAATCTCACGTTTCTTGTCGAAATCTTTCAAGCTTTCATCTTTGAGAACACCGAGGGCAACGTCGGCAGCTGATCTGATAGTATCTTGAGGAGTATCACCGAGTATCGAATGGACGACTGAGAGAATCAACTCGTAGACTTGAGTGGTTTCCGCTGTTCTAGGCCTGTAATCCAAACCCTCCATATCTTGTGTAGCTTCTAAAATATTGCTGTATCCGTAGCCTTTATTAGAAGCTGATCTTTTGGCTGTGGAAGAGCCATCGTCGTCCATCTGCGATTTGAGCTTCTTCTTGTCCTTATCTTTCACAGTTTCTCTTGTGGCTCGTGTACCCATATCTCTTGCGGTTACTTTGCCAGCCAAGGTTTCTGCCTGGCCTGTTGGTTCATCTGGCCTCGCTGACCTGTTGGATTGCAATACAAGCGACGACATGGCCGCGTATTGAAACTGAGCATGCTGGGGCTGCTATTGTCAGCGTATTTCTAAACAATAGCGTTAATCTCACGTTCTCTTTTCCACTCATCGTGGACGTATGTGGTAAAGAGTGGCGATGTAATCAGAATAATTTATCAAAGTTGGATTTGATGTAGTGTACAATCTCCGAGCGGGATTTATTCTTAACTCTGGCTATTATCTCCACAATTGACTCAACTGCATTCGCGTACTCTGTTTCAACAGGAAGATCGCTCTCGCTGAGTATTCTGTCTAGACGCGTGACTGCGATACTATCTTCCAGTACTTTCATTGAGCGTGTGTTTATTGCTGTGCTGAATCCAATGTGCACACCAGGAAACTGTCGCTGGCAGTAATCTATGCCATTTTTGCCAATTCCACAGCTATGGAGGACTATTTTCTGATAAGCCGCGTCTCTAATGATATCCATACTGCCTTGAGTCGCTGATACGCTGTGCATACTCACCACCCGATTGTATTTCTTAGCCAGCTTGATTTGTTCCACAGCGACTCGTTTCTGATGCTCAATAGACGTCTGCAGCAGCGTCAACTTGCCGTCTTTACCCTTTACTCTGAACACTTTGTCTATTCCTACTTCGCCGACCTGTGCTCGTGCATTACGCTGCAGTCTTCTCTCTACGTCATCGAGCAGTATCTGAAAGTGGATAGGAGATGGTAATGCATCTAATAAGGCGTCTATCTGTTGCAACTTGATGTCTTCCTTCTTACCATTAAGGAACAACGCCTCATAGTGCTCCTTCTTCCCTATGCCTTCCGTGAAAGTGTAAATATGCGACCACCACGGATGGAATCCTGTGTAGAATGAGCATTATTTACACACACACCCCTTACACACCGTAATAAGGCCTCACAACGTCCGGATGCACGCCGTGTAGCTCCTCAACTTTAATTTGATCCTCAATATGCGTCGACATAGCACATATGGCATACATAGACGCAGTACTTTTACTGAGGTTTACAACACTGCTATCAGTAGGGTGGCAGTGCGTATCGACCAACATTCCAATATCCATGTTGCTTGTAAACACTTGACTAGGAACGAAGTTAATCGAGAACCAACAGTCAGAATTAAGATCAATAAATGTACCGAGAGCTTCGAGGACAATTAGCTGAGCATATGCGTGTACGTCGTTAGCCGCGTGAGTAGGAACGAGAGTAGCGGGTTCGTGAAACACAAACAAAGGCAAGGCACGAGCCACGTGCTTTTTGGTCACTGCTGTGGTATTAAAGGGGAGCGCACTTCTTTCCTATTTTCCTAGCGTTTCGCCGTCTTGGGGGCCATAGTAAGGTGGGTATAAGCCTTTCCCTGTAAATATTCTGCGTTACTCCTAGTAAGCTTTCTCACTCGTCTAACTCTCTAACCTTCAATAAGACCTGGCAGTCCGTTCAAAGTCCGCTTTGAGCGATAATCCTAGTAATAGTAAGTTTGACATCATCGCTTGGTCTCTCTAACCTCAACCACCAAGACGAGGCAGTCCGCAAATGACAGCGAATGCTATTTTATCGCGAATACTCAACTCGCGGCTGCTTCGATGGCTGTTGAGGGTCGCTGTGTTTTTCATCATAACGTATCTCAGTATAATTAGCGCTGTATTGTCGTTCAGTTCGTTTAGATGGTATATTGTACCTTCACGCGGCTGGTCAGTGCCTGTGCATCTGCAATATGGGTGCGTCTCCAATATCCATCGACATCGCAACACCAAGCTTATTCCCTTCAGCGTGGGCAAGGTGCCTTTCGATACAATCAGCATCCCAACGCAAAAGGTCTCTGCGGACCAGACCTATGACATCACACTCGAGATGCACATACCGAACAGCATCAATAATCTCAATCTGGGTGGGCTGGCTGCTTTGTTGTTCTTTGTGTCATGTCTGATTCATCCCAGGCAATTTCATGATAACGCTTGAGCTAGAGAACACGTTCAGCAGCGAACTAGTTACTTCTAAACCAGTGCGTGTCTGTGTTACGTGTTACTTGTCACGTGCAGGAGTGATCAAAATCATATAAACTAACATTAACACGTAAGGCTCTGCTTACTTGGCAGCATCCAAGCGTGATAACATCCATCCTCTACAAGAATACCCAAACAATGAAGATACCATTATCGACGCAAATACTCAAACCATCTACGCGCTCACTCCGCCAGATGACCATCACAGCAGCGACAGTGACAGTAGGCCGACAGGATTGGATTGGCACAGCTAATAATACCCTCCCACAAAAGGAGCTGCACGTCTATGACGCTGCCCTTCTCTTTAATATCCGTCTAGCAGGCTTGAGGTGAGTTGAGAGTTAAGAACGGAAGTTAAGCTAACAATGCAATTCACAGCTGGCTACTCGTCGCTTTCCCAATAAGTTCCTTCATAATTTTTACCGCTCTCTCCTTTGTCAGTATCTGGTCAGTAGCTATGCTAGTGTGGTGTGGCACGCGTCAGCCTAAACAGCTAGAAGAGAAATTAGAAACACCACAAGACACAATCGAAGATGGGGAAGAAACAGCGCAACAATCAATAGACGATGAAACACTGTCAGAATCAGCCACGCTCGATGGACAGTCAGCCGATCCAGCCGATTCAGCAGAGTCGGTCGAATCATTCGTTTCATCGCCATGGCACGCCTACGATAGTAGTGAATCGGAAGACTCCGTGGAAACGCCAACAGCATCAACACCCGAAAGAAGCCTCACACCATCCAACCTGCGTCATCGAACAGGCAGAGATTACCGGGCTTCGGACGATGACAATGATGACACCAACGGTTGAAATTCGGCTGCAGTCATGTGATCATATTAAATTAACCATTAACCATTAACCAACACAGGCTTCTACATCAATTTACCATGGCATGTTGAAATATAGCCTGTTCTTGAGCACTCAAATGTGCGCATCTATCATGTGTGTTGAATGTGTTAGCTGTGTACGCCGTTCTTAAGAAGTCGGACAAGTAATTCTGTGAGCGGTGTTAGTTGTGCCAGCTTTGACTTGTAAAAACAAACCCCAATGTCGATCTGACAGTCTGGATCATCGCGCATATCTTCAGCATCTGCATCACCATCGTCGAGAAGATCACCACCTGGTGAAAGCAGATCTGTTTGGCGTAAGTTAGATGAAAACAACTTAGCCACACGAAAACCCACCTGAAAGATAATGGATCTCATCATCAGCACCAGCAAGTGGATCGTCATCTTCCCAGTCATCATCATCATCATCCTCATCTACATCTTTGACAGTGTTAGACTTAGCAGCCGACGTGCCCACATTCTGTATTTCACCAAGAAGCAATTTGATGGCTTTGAGCGGGAAGGGTATGCTCGTAAATTCAATAGGCGCATTGCGGGTCTTGGAACGCGTCATAATGGTGTTCCGATTCGACTCATCAATAATTTGGTCGCCTTTGACCATTACGCTATCTAGGCGAGGATCTTGACTAGTGTACAGATCCACTAATGCAAGAGTACTAATTCTAATGGCCCAGAAACCCCTAAAAGTTTCTGCATTATCGCACCACATTCTCAACAAAACCTCCAATCCACTGACCATACTGTTACTATTAACATCAAGCACGGCAGTATTAGAGAGATATTCCAAAATGACTTCTCTGCGAGTATGAATCAGGTATGTGAATGGTATAACTAGGTTCTGTGTGAATGCTGATGTCTTACTCAGTGCCAATCTATCTAAGATTACTTTGAGAAGTTGGGGGAGAGCTGGGTCGAGTATATCCTTGGACACGTTACGGAAGAGATGTGTTACGACATCGCCGATAAAAAGTGCACTGCCTTCTGAATCCGTTTGAAGAAGTTTGGCAATGATGTTGAGAATCCGAACGAGCGAGTCACTCTTCCATTCCAACAACCCTTGTATGTCTTTGCGTATATATGTCGTCAACAACTCAATACCATCTTGCATTAGTGTGCGATCATCGGCACTCTCGAGTATGTTGAAGAGGGCGGGACAAGTCGTGGCTATCACACCAGGCTCTAGACCTTCACTTCTAGCCCTGACGATAGAATTGATAAGTTGAATAGCGGAACTTGCCAACAAGCGCGCATCAACATCCTCCCCACCTGGCTGTCCCGGTGCAGCGCGACTAACAGCGCCGATAAGCGGTTTGACAGCTATGCCAACAAGCGCCGAGTGGGCCTTGGAGCCTGATTCAGAAAGCGTGACAAAGAGATCATCCAACTGCGAAGCCAGTAGAGGATCATTGACGTTCTTCTCCCAGACTGGCAGAATAACTGACGATAGCTGAACAACGAGTTCTGTTGTCAAAGCTTCAGTGTTGAGCGTATCGAGTACACTATCCACCGCTTCAACAAGCAATCCTAAAGTCGATTCTGTAGTGTGGGCAAGAAGGGGTACGATCGATGACAGAATCTGCAATGCTTTTGGTCCCACTATCTCATCATCTAGTCCATTGGCAAAGTTGCGAATCGCGCGCACAGCGCTGATTTTTACCGGTACACCTGCATTGCTGTGGTTGAGCATCGCGGCAGCAGCATCAACGAATGCGCCTGCGAGATCAGGTGGCAGGTTACCGGCAAATTTGGAGGCAAATACAAATGCTCTGCCTTGTAAGAAAGGAGACTCGTTCGCGTTTACAAATTGCATAACGACACTCTGACACAATCCCATCAAATCAAAGTGCTCAGCTGCTTCGTTGTCCTCATCGCCAAGCTGATTAGAAAGGTTGCCAATTGCTGCCAATGCTGCTTCGATTGGCTTCCACCAATGCTGCTTACCCTCTTGTGAAGCAGATTGGGACGTAGACAACAGCTCAGCAGTCACTGGACCCAAAACTTTTGCAGTTGGTGTTGGATATCTGTCGAGCAGAACTCCCAGCAAGTCATGAGTGGCTATTCTTAGGCTGTAATTTTCCGTTTCATCGTCTTCGTCATCAACAAATGCGTTCGGATCTGAGATCCAGGTGTCTTCCTATGGGATTCTTAGCATACTTATGAGCGAAAACTCACGGCTTACATCTTCAACAGTCATTTGACCCCATTCGAGTGAAAGTTTAACAAGCAATGGAATAGCCTGTTCGATGGTACCCTTAGTATGTTTGTTGTTCGCAAAACCAGTCAACAAGTCAATAATAGGACAGATGAGCTCTTCAACAGCAGCACCGTCGTCTTCCTCTTCGCCTTCAGGTTGTTCATATGACTGGGTATCATAGACCTGTCGATCGTAAAAGATGGGCAACAGTGTCACTAAATGATCTATCAAAATGCGTGTCAAGCTTTCAATGTTGTTGTTTGTAGTGATGAGTGATTTGAAAGTCGAGAAGACGGATGCGATTGTCTTAATGATCTCGAACCTAATACCCCACTGGGACCTGGTTTCCTTCTGAGGCGGTACTTGGAGAAGAGCAATGAAACCGTCAATCCACACTGGTATAACACTATTCACAATCTCTTTAACAGCATCTGGGTAGGTCGATTTGACCATTTCGAGAGTAAGGACGCACTGGCGTAGGACAGCGACAGTCAAACCACGCGTGCTGTCTGCATATGTAGGGTTTTTGAGGATGTGAAGCAATAGTGGTAGCAGCTCCTGAGTGACAGGGACGAGTTGCGTCTCTGTAAGATCCGCCTTGACGAAATCGAGAAGAACTCTCATTGCGCCGTGAACACCATCCCTTTGAGCTTGCTGGAAAAGCTGAGCGAGATCGTGAAGTAGAGAGGGGTATTGCTCTGGATAGTCGCAGCTGGCTATAGAAGCCAAGGCGTATGCGCAAGCTGTTCTGATCTGCTTGTGTGAGGTTGAGAGGAGAGAGAACAAGCGTTGCCTAATGATATCCTTGATCTGTGATAGTATCAGTACAACATGTAATCCCTGGAAATAGCTCAAATAGCTCAAACTTACATCTGGTGGTGGTGGACTTCCTTTGAACGCGACGAAGAAAGGCGACCAGCGTTCGTTGACGTACTTTCTGAGAATAATTCCAGCTGAGTGGACTACCTTGTAAGCTTGGAAAAGGGCGCGAGAGATATCAACTTATCTGACGCGTGTGTATTGGGTTGTCGACGTTGCCGATGAGATCTGTGAGCGCGAGCGGGAAATTTGGATCTGACTGAGAAGTCTCGAGATACTGCTCAGCAGACATTCTCTGCGCTGTGTCTGGTGACAGACTTCCGAGTAAAACAGTCGCTAAGTCCATCGCAGTAGCAGTTTGAGAAGACAGAGCGAGAACATGGAATATATTTGAGAGATGGGAGATGACAGCTAATATTTGATTTGTCGGCCTAAAATATTTATCGACGTTTGTTTCGCTTCTCCAAAGATAACGAAAATGACAGCCAGACAGTACGTGGTCATTGGCGGCGGTATAATAGGCAGCAGCACAGCATACTACATAAGCAAGCATTCCCAATTTAATCCAGACAGCGACAAGATTACTATTGTCGAATCAACAGCCATTGCATCAGCTGCATCTGGGAAATCAGGCGGATTTCTAGCAGAAGATTGGCATGGCCCAGATACAGAGGGCCTCGCAGAGCTTTCCTACAGCTTGCACAAGCAGCTCTCCGATGAGTACGACGGTGTCAACAACTGGGAATACAGGCCTGTCAACGCACTCAGCCTTATGGGTCAAGTTGGCCCAAAGAAAGGCAAAGTGGATGATGCAAAAAAGAAGGGCGCTCATTGGCTGAGTGACAAGGTCGTTGACAAGTGCAGCGTTCTCGGTACACCACCAAGCACAGCACAAGTTACACCAGAACCTCTGGTTCAAACTCTCGCTGAACTGAGTAAAGCAGATGTGGTAATCGCGTCAGCTGAGCAGGTCAATCGAGACAACGATGGCAATATCTTCTCGGTTCGAGCGCAGACGAAAGAGGGTAACTCTGTTGAAATACCTGCAACTGATGTCGTCTTAGCAGGTGGGTATTGCAGTTGGCTTTTTTTCTATGCTTAAAGCCTCAAAGCTGGCCCATGGACAGGCAGACTCGCACAGAAGCTACTGTCACCAGCAGAAGCAAGAAAGTGCAGCGTGACAGGACAGAGAGCGCACTCTATAATCGTTAGGCCAAGCCAGGGCAAAACACTCACTGACCACTGTCTATTCACTATGGTGAAGGAGAGAACGACGACCCACGAGCCAGAGATCTACTGCAGACCTCAAGGCACAGCATATATTTGTGGTGCTTCCGACACAGTTCCTCTCCCCGAAGATGCGTCTAAAGTAGTACCATCAAAATCCGCCATCGCAGACCTCAAATCACAATCGGCATTGATATCGGATTACTTCGACAGCTCAATGTCTGTTGAAAAGGAACAAGCGTGCTACTTGCCAATATCAGCATCACATTCTCCAATAGTTGGAAAGGTGAGTGATGGAGTCTTTATTGGAGCTGGCCATGCGGGTGAGTAACTACCTGATATTCTATTATCGCAATGACTGATATCTGAAACAGTATGGGGAATAACACTTGGAGTTGGTGGGTTTTGGCGTAAATGGGTAATCTTAAGCTCACGCACATACAGGTACTGGTAAGGTACTGAGTGAGATTATGATAGACGGAAAAGCCTCGTCGTGTGACGTCGGCAGTCTAAAGCCATAGGCACGCTGAAAGGCACGGATGAGTTTAAATGCATCGAATAAGTTTAGAATGTAAAGCCAATACAAATGTATCTTAGCAAAATAACACTTTGATCACCAATTCAAGGCAATTTGTTCGTTATGCCCACACGCTGATGAGCTCAACATCATTGATTGCCGGTAGCGATCTAAACGATGCTAATCCACAGACTTTAATTGCAATGGGTATTCTTAAAGGCAATGGCTTAGCTATAGACGAGGTTTGTACATTTCCGCACTTGGTCGTTTTCTCACGACTAAACAAAGGACACTCTTGAGCCGCTGACGGAAGGCAGACATGGACTGCTTTACCGGTGCCAGCGACGAGTAAATGACAATATCGGCGGTATAAATGGCTGGATCGCCCTGAAGGCTGTTAACGTCTTCATCAACAAGAAGAGGCTGCCTCACGATGCGCTCAGGGAGTCATTTATACTATCCCGCACACACCATCCAAACATTATCAGCCTCCTTAATGCCTACGAGTCTGATAGAATTTACATTCTTGCTCTACCGCTGCAACCGCTCCCACTATCCATGATACTCTCTTACCCGGACTTCGTCCCTTCATTCTCTCCATTTACGCACATAGCTAGGTCTATCATCTATCAGCTTCTTCTCGCCGTCGAGTACTTGCATTCGTCTGAGGTCGGAGTAGCCCATCGTGACGTCAATCCCTCCAATGTTGCACTCGATGGTAATGGCTGTGTAAAGCTCCTTGACTTTGGTGTTGCCTATGAGGATGGTCTGGGTATGGAAAATGAGCATCCGAACGGCGGCATGTTTTTTGAGCTTGCAACGGGTGCATATAGAGCGCCAGAGCTTATATTCGGTAGCAGATGCTACGATGCGCGCAGCACAGATTTATGGAGTCTAGGCGTTACTATATCAACCTTTTTTACTCATTTGAGTAGCTACACATGCCCAGCGTCGCCCAGAACTGACAGTACATCATCCATCTCATCCTCCATTTCAAGTTCAAGTCAAGGTGGCCTCACTCGATTAGACGCTCCAATCACTCTGCCTAGCTTGCCCGACATTCACAACCGCAGAGACTCATCTCACAATGCTCAGCCTCAATCACGGTGGTCGAGGAAGACATTGTTCGACGCTTCCTACGGTGAAATTGGTTTAGCGTCTAGTATAATAAGCGTGAGGGGACCTATCACAGATGAAACTTGGCCGGAGTATGCTACCTTACCTGATTACAATAAAATAAGCTTCAACAAACCCATCCCGAATCACCTTTCAAACTACCTCCCATATTTACCAGAAGTGCCCGATCCCGTGCCCAATACATTCATGCACACGCCAAATTATAAGCCCATAGCTACTGTATACGACCTCATTGAACGACTCCTTCAATACTCTTCCGCAAGAAGGTTGTCGGCAACAGATGCCATTAATCATCCGTGGATTTCAAATTTCCCCATTCTCGTACCAGCTCAGGGTACACATGAAGATTATAGTAGGAGCACGCACAGCTACGCTCACTCATTCGAAGGCAAGACGCTACCCATGTGGTTGTCACATTGGCTCAAGGCGGGTGAGCGTCGAATGTTAGGAACTTATTGAGTGCAGCAGAGTATCACCATCAAGCAAAGCAAGCATAAATAAAGTATCACTCTAATCTTACTTTTGAGCATAGACTTAGATAGGAAGTTAGTTTAGACAAAGATATTCGCTCAGATCGCATTCAACGCACAATTCATTCATCTAATACTTTCTATTTACAGCTTTTTATTAATCTTATATAACAATTTATGTACACTATACACTATGTATTCGATAAACAATTCAATGCTAGCTGGTGGATGTTGTGTGATAATTGCTTGGATTCAATATTGAAAATAGAGGAAGGCTGTGTATTTATGCGCGGATTGAAAGGATCGTTGTGTATCACAGCCAACAGCTTTGCCATTGCGAGTTTCAACTGTGAGACCAACGTCTTGTCCAATTTCTGCGAAAGCAGCAGCGAGTACACACTGTTCAAAATATAGACTATCTCGTATCGTCTACACCTGTGCACGTTAGCTGGTTAGTCTTGAAGATGAGCTATTCACCAACCTCGATAGCGGAAAAGGACCTCGCATATTTCTATCGCAGCAGTAGCGCTCGAATGATGTGATACATCTTGCAACAACATATCGTTGTACGACACCCACTAAATCAGCTGGACCTAGTTTTTCTTGGGAGATTTGAAAAAGAACGTCAAATATATAATACGATAGCCTCTCCACTGGGCTTGTAATTTCCTCTATCAAACTACCATAATTGTAGTCTTCAGGATTGAGGTATGGGTATGTTGCATTGCAGAGCGTTTCGATCAGTTCTTCTGTTAATGCTAGGGGTATGCGTTTGTCACCTAGCTGCGGCAGAAGCGTCTGCTTGAAATTGTTTATCAGCTTCACCTCGTGTCTTTCCCAGCGTGCTTGAAGCTCGATTTTTTCATTCATCGCCAGCCGCCTTGAACTGATATTAGACAAAGAAAAAGTCATACATCCAACGCACCTATCAACTTTACAGTTGTCACTCATAATATTTACCATACTTGTGAGAATACTTGCGTGATCCTCATCCCGTATGCTATCTGTTTGTTATGAATAAGCTACATCCTTACCGCACATCCACAACTCACTCTTTTGCTGCTGCAACATGTCCAGCACGACCTGCACATAATTGCAATAGTGATCCTGTGCAATTTCCCATAAAGTACTATCATCACGTTTGCTAGCAGGTGGACACAAGTATTTGATGGACATCGGGGTGCCGAGTGCCTGCGCAACGTTAGCCAAGAGTGGCTGTCCAGTGCAATACTCACTTTGATAGAGTGATTGAGAGATCCACTAGAAATTACTGTCTGATTAAGCATGCAATTCTCTTTGACGAATGGTGCAAATTTAGCCATGGTTTGCTTGGATAATGCCACAAACGATACCCTGGCATTATGCACCGCTTCCTTATTATATGCTAACATTGACCACCGTGACATAGTATCGAGAACGATCGACGTAATACTCGCGTTGTGTTTCTCTACTGTTGACAAATTCTTGAGTGACTGATTCTGGAGGGGAGTCTGTTCGTGTTAATAAGGTTTTCAAAATATTGATGAAGGTGAACCCACTAGAATATCAAAGTCAGCTCTAATTTTAGAGTGGTTTGTGTATTTGAGGACAAAGTCGATCGACTTGATGTATTCTACGCAGCGATCATCATCCCAATAAGAGCCTTGAGATTGATAGAGGCATTTGATGAACTTAAGTAATAACTCAAGACTTTCCTGCGCGTATACTGCCTCGGTTGATTTGATAATACTTAAACAAGTCTGAGAGGTACTCCATCCGACTTGATAGACGTCCCTGCTAACTTCACCTTTCTCAGATACCTCCAGTATTGTAATGAAGGACTTGAGAGCTAAGCTGACTGACTTGGATTCCGCTGTTTTGAACATCTCGGTGAGGATGTCTGATAAGTTGGACCAGAATCTATTGAATGAATCGAGATGCTTAATTTTTGAATGCAAGTAGTTCTTAAATACATTTGCAGTAGATTCCAGCGCTAAGATGAGCGACTCTTGCCAATGAGACGACAGCGACTTGTCGAGCAGAGGTATAATCACGGTCCAAATGATTTCCTCCCAGCTCTGCAATGAGAGAGAATGGCCATAGAAATCCAGAGATTGGAACAATGTCGATATCGTACCCAATCGCACTTCCTGCTTATCGTCCAATCCGAGATCTTTAAGTTGCCTCAACAAATCTATCCACAGCTTTAGATACGCGTCTGAATTGTCATCTGATTTTAATTTCGTCTGTAAGTGGTCGGATATACTCGTAAGGCAGCTCAGTGATTGTAGCCACATGGTCGTTGGAATGGCAAACACAGTTGAATGAGATAATCTATATATAATATTTGTACAAAATCGTTACTTCTTTTTCTTGTTCTGTGTGTTACGAAGACTACCAGATTTACGTTTCTTCTTCTCAACCTCCTCCACTGGTGGTTCTGGTCTTTGTTTGCTCTTATTCTTGTTCTTGACGTTAGCATTGGTGTAGTAGTTAGACTTTTTACCCTTGTTCGTAGTCATACGTGGTTCCTTGCCCTTCTTCTTTTCGTCTTCCTCTGCAAATTCGACCTTTCTTGCTGGTTTGGCGAATTCATCATCATTACTACCCTCTTCAGCTGATTCTACTTCTAATTCTTCAGCTGGTGCGTTGTTACCACCAAAGACTTCATCCCATCCAATGTCTTCTAATTGGGGCTCTTCGTATTCTTCCTCATCTTCAATCTCATCTTCCTCGTTGATAGCTACGGCGTCATCTGCATCTCCATCTGCTTGCTCACCTTGGCCATCATCTTCAAAGGCATCTTCATGTCCCTTTACGTCATCAGGTAAGAACTTGGTAGCAACTGGGATCTGTTTGATAGGCTGACTAACACCCTTCAACTTCTTAGACTCGATTGGATCCTGTTCATCGTTTTCATTGGCCTTACCCTTACCCTTCCAATCTGCAGGCTTGACTTGAGGTTCTTCAGGAAGAGTCTTGATCACAGGCTCGGCGTCGATACCAGGTGGATTAGTGAAGAACGGTATTTTGCCTCTGATCCAGTCATTGAGAAGCATTTTTGCGGCAGCATTTTGGTCAGGTTGACCGCCTCTGAGCAGCTTGCCTGTGCGCTTGGCGATCTTTTCTAAAACATCCTGGGCACCTCTTTCGCCCTCCCAAACACCATCTTCAGGTTTCTTGATTTGGTATGTACGTTCAAGGTACTCGTGTCTGACTCTTCTAAGAAGTTCACCGATATGCTCTGGTGGTGTAGCCAAATTTTCTACACGAACGACACCTTTCAACACGGTGTCTGTATCCGTGTCATTTTTAGATGCTGGAACGATACCAGGACAATCGATCATGTAAATTCTTTTCATTAAAGCGACATACTGCCAGACCTTGGTTTCACCAGGAATTGGAGCAACATTGCAAACTTTCTTCTTTTTGAGAGTGTTAATGATAGAGCTTTTTCCGACATTAGGATAACCAATCAAACCAACCGAAATTTGTTTCCTGTCAGAGTGCAAAACGGAAAATTGGCGGAGGAGTTGAATGAGGGCGCCTTTACCAAATGAGTTATTGATATTAGAGTGCATTGCCAAGGTTGGATAAGTTCTTGAGAGATGCTTAACCCACTTAGCGGTGACCCAAGTTGGAACCAAATCGACCTTGTTAAGGACAAGAATGACTTGCTTGTGTGAACGTTCCTTTCTGACAGTCTCGAGGACGCTGTGACAGAGAGTGCCTTCAGGGTCGCGAGAGTCCAAGACGTGTATGATAACGTCAGAACTGTCGATAACCTTGTATAACTCAGCCCAGATACGTTTACTTGTACCTTTACGATACGCAGCTTCTCTGTTGGTGTTCTTCAAGTCACCAAGATCGAACGGGATTTGATCAGCGTCAACCTTGTCAAGATCAATAGGGCCAGATGCTTCAGCGGCAGACATGTTTAAATTCTTGATATGGTCGAGTGAAGGAGTTGGAGCAGAGCTATCCAGTCTGTCCTCAGTGATAGCACCTGCACCAACTTGACCAAGCTCTTCAAAGCTGCTAACGTTGATATTTGGTCTTTTGCGGTGGGCATTTGGACCAAAAGTATCACTAAACGGTTCCGTGTCGACGATATGGTTACCTGCCATACCTTTAGCTTTCCCAAGATTTGGTTCTTGAATCAAACCCATTGGAAGCTTATTTCTACGCAAAACCACCGAATAAGGGTCATGAGATTTCTCGGCAAGGCTCTCTCTGAAATGATTAAGAGCGTCTTGTGAGATAACGCGAGTGTTTCCGAACCATCGTCTATCAGGGGCAACTCTACCGTCTTCCGTCTCCTTCTCGGTCTTTTGGAAGGCAGCAGATTGAATTACTTTGCCATTAGCGTCTCTCTTAGCTTTACCGCCAGAGTACATCTGAGGGCAGTATGAGTTTTGTGTGACAGAATCGAGCAACGCACAAACCTTAAGCATGGACGCCTTCTTAGCATCTCTGTAGAAATTCTCACCCTTTACTTTCTTAATTCCAGTTGATTTATCTGAATTCGATTTATCTTTGGGCATTTTAATCTTGGTCGTTTGAATTTAAAAGCTTCTCCAGGGCTTCAATGATGACTGCCAATCACGGCAAATTCGGTGGCAGTCAATTGGCCAGTAGAAATTCAATCCCTGATCTTACGGAGTCTTTGGTTCCTTTATCTATTATCATTGAGCGGGTTATTGCCAGTATTTTCAATCATCTCTCCATTCTCGCTGAGACGCTACCTTCCGCCCAACCAAATCAAAGGGCTATCAATATCGTTAATTTCTCTATCTCTGCTAGGAAGCACGTAATCAAATTACTCGTGTTGTTGCGATGGGCGCGCGATCCGATTGCTGGTTCTGACAAGATTTCTATTGCGAGATCTATCAATGAAATGCTTTGGAGGCAGAATTTTATTTTCCAAGCTGCTATTCAAGGTCTTAGAGATGTTGGCATGAGTTTCTCTAATGCTCGGTGTGTCCAAATACGCGTCGTTCATCTGGCCTTTTCATTCTAACTCTCGTTAAAGCGTTCCAAGTGCTGATATTCTCACTGCTGTTGATGTTCTACAATCTGGCACTTATCATGGCTTGCCTGTCGGATTGAGGGTGAGCTTCATCATCCTCTCACTTACCCCCACTGACGTTTATCCACAGCGAGCATTCAAGCCTGATCCTCCTCTTCCCGCTTCAGCTGTTATTTCGCACCTCGATCAACTCAACGACGTTATTCGTTTTCGTTTACGCACAAAAGAGATCATCCCCAACTCTATGAAACAGATACCTCATACGATCGCAGACGGTCGCGTCCACTTTCATGTTAAAAACCTCTTTACCTGCTCTGTTACCCTTTCAGGCAGATCAGACGATGACATATGGTTCCTTCTATCCGTTCAATTTGATATAGACTCTTCCGACTACACTCAAAGTCCTAAATTTGCCCTAAGAGACGAAATTTTAGCCATAGCAAATGATGAATTGGCAAGCAAACCCCCTAAGTCCTCAAAATTGGGTGACGCACCTTTAGTACGGCTGTGTAACCTCCTCACAAACCTCTCTCTCAACTACAAGATGGAGATACTGCATACCCAAGCACTAAAAATGACTAGAAAGACATGGAAGAACAGAATAGATATGTCTTTCTCTAAAGATCGTAAAAATCTCTCGATTGGTTATTGGCTGAGGCCACGACAGCAACCTAGGCCCGGCCAAAGCCCTCCTCCGCACCAGAAGCACGAGAGTGGAAGGTTAAACATATCAATTGCTACTGTCCCTTACGAGAAGCAAAATGCTGTAGAGAGTATACTCAATCGCATAGAAATCAAGTCCAAGTTAAAAGCGACTGCATTGGCAGACAATATTATTGACCAGCGTTTGCAAGTAGAGTGGATCCGCAATGATAACACGCAAGTTGGTTATGCGTCGTTGGAATTGGTAAGTGCTAAGCTTGAGTGTCAATTTTCTCATTTAACACAACACAATAAAGAACTCTGATACTCTATCTATTGAACGAGTAATGCTTCAGGCACTTGCGTCGCACAGCGTCGCACTTCTAGATAGGTACAAAAACGCACTATGTACAACTTCTATGTGGTTCAACGACGATACGGTGCAGCTGCAGATACCAGAAGTTTTGGGTCTTGGCGTAAGCCCTACGCTACATGTCCAAGTTTTTGAAACCCATAAGTTGATTTTGTCAATCTCGCCGACAACTGGTCGGCTTATAGTGAGAGATCCTAATGAAAGTGGGACTAGTGCACCAGCTCGCATTAAGACTCTACTCGATCGTATGAATGAGGCTGGTGGTATTTCTGACAACACTGCTGTATTGGTAGAGATTGTGAACAGACTAAGGCAGAGTATCGCTATTGAAGATATTGAGCAGAAATGTTCATATCTCGATCTCAAAGGTAGTCGACGACTCAAATTCGCTAAAGGAGAATTAAGTAAGCTCAAACTACAAGCGAGGTTCTGGATGTTTGTGCATCTTCCAACTTGTTCAATTGACTTAATTGACTCAACCGAATCAATTAACTCAACCTCAAACACTCTGTTTACAATGGCGATCGCAATTGGAGAGGCCAGAGTACACGTCGCACTATTAGGAATGAAGGAAAAAGATACTGAATTGCATGTAGATTACGTGGGATGGCTAGACACAGGCAAAATACTGGGAGATGAGAAGCGTACAGATTATCTCCTCCTGGACACCAATCACATGCGAACACTGTATGCTTACTCACTCGCTCGTTTCAACTACGTTCTTCTTGAAAGACAACTTAAACAATTTTTAGTGCCGTACAGCGCCGTAGCGTCTAATAAAGGTTCAAGATTGGCTCGCCTCATCCCTCACATGGCGGTGTCGACGAGCTCTATATTAAAAAACCATGGGTCAATAGCTGAAATACTAAAGCCAGTGACAGTATTCAAGGTTCTCGACTGGTGGGCGACACCAATGACTGGTTGTCGTATACAGGCCACGTTCAAGCCTAAAGCGCCAAGTGAAATACTTCAGCGGATGACGAGAAAAAACGGTGGTAACACTAACTACAATAATGAAAATAACGTTATCGAAATTACGACAACAGATGCAGAACAAAGCATGTCACAGATATTAGGACAACTAACGACATTTGTCAAGGTTACAATGATAGCTCATAACTTGAGCAGGAGCATTTCTCCAATGAAGCTTCTCGCCAACGATACAGAGAGCGTGAAGCTGGGGTACCTGGACAGCTACACTGTAGTTTTGAGGTGGAACCCCTTTGTTAAAGGTTTATATGCAGACTTTGGTGGTGAAAGTAATCCCCACACAGCTGTCCAAGAGGACTTGAATAGGCGGCTACAGGAGTATATGAGCGATAGTAGCTTCTTCTACAGATTCTCTCAGCTCTTGCTTAATACTGCTAACTTGACAAACACTACAAAGTCACTCACAAATGCGACAGTTGAACAAAAATCTTGCACTTATCTGCGCGTCAAAGGAGCCAAGGAGATTGTCGACATCTTGCTCGTTGAGCGGAGAGTAGTCATCGTCGATGGAACACGCTCACTGAAAAACAAAATAGAACCAATCATTTATTCACGTCTTGTGCACTCTGAAATGACATCTCTAGACAGCATCAAGCAGGAGTTATTGGACAAGTACCCACAACAAACCAAAATCATTGATTCTGGTGTCGTATTGAATGATATAAACACCGCAATAAAAGTATTACCGTACTTTTTACTTAAATTAAATTAAACATATGTACTTTTTATTTGGCCTTGTGCTATCAACAACCATGATCAAAGATGATCAAAGAGGGTGAGCTTAACTGCGTGCTTGCGGTCGCTGTAGGCTCAAACGACGCAGCGCTTGGTCTCCTTCATTCTTTGTGGCTCTGCGATTGCTCCTCGTTGCAAGATTTCTTGGTGCGATGTACTCTATAGTCACAGACTGTGACGAAACGTACAACTACTGGGAAGCATTGCACTACCTCACTCACCAAAAGGGATTTCAAACGTGGGAGTATTCACCCGAATACTCAATCAGAAGCTGGTTCTATGTTCTCTTGAATTCACCAGTCGCATTCTTTACCTCATACTTTGAATGGGACAAAAGAATAGCCTTTTTTGGTACAAGATCTTATTTGGCTCTCATATCAAGTCTGATTGAGGCCTCATTCTACGCGTCTGTAACCAAGAACCTGAATCCAAGAGTCGGGCGCTATGTACTGCTCTTCTTGATAGGTAGCGCTGGCATGTACATATCAGCTATAGCATTCCTACCATCTTCTCTCACTCTTTACACCACTACACTCGCCAGCAACTTCGCTCTATACCCACCAACACACACCTCAAATGGCCAGAAGAGGTGTTTATTCGCTACCATGTCATTTGCAGTGGGTGCTATCGCTGGCTGGCCATTTTCCCTAGCACTGAGCGTTCCGTTCGTGCTCGAGCAGCTGTTGATGTATTCCGGAGGTGCTCCTGTCTTGAAAAAGCGCGTTCAACACCTGACCAAATCTGCTGCAATTTCCTCGCTACTCTTTATACCCGTCGTTGCAATCGATACACTCTTCTACGGCAAACTGACGGCAGTGTCTGTGAACATCATCAAATACAATGTTTTCTCGGGGAATGGACCGACATTGTACGGTGTCGAGCCTGCTCATTTTTATATTTTAAACTTACTGCTCAATTTCAATTTGGTATTTTTACTCGCAGTAGCTGCACTTCCTCTGGCTGTCTTATTCGAAAGACGTCATTTGACTTACGTAGCTATTAGGCTTGCGCCCTTCTATGGATGGTTTGCTCTCCTCTCTCTCCAACAACATAAGGAGGAAAGATTCATGTTCCCGTCGTACACCCTCCTCTGTTTCAATGCAGCCGTTGGATTGTATTACTTGCGTAATCTCGTCACCGTGGCTTTTACACACGTGGCGAAAACACTCACAAAATCCTCTAAAGTAGTGAGTATATCAATTTAACCCTCGTGCAATACGCTCACGCTCAACTAGTCAATAAGTGGAAACCTCGTTGGACGTGTGACTACCTGCTCACTTATCGCAATTTCTTTAGTTGTCTCAGTGATGCGTGTTCTTGCAATGCAGCAATACTATCATGCTCCAATTGATATCTTGTTTGAGTTGACAGAAAAAGAGCTCGCTAACAGGACAGGGCCACCTAAAGGACAACATTACACTCTCTGCTATGGAAAAGATTGGTATAGATTCCCTTCGTCGTATCTCGTTCCACAGTACGTAGATGTTGAGTTCGTTGAGAGTAAATTCGATGGGATTCTGCCTGCACATTGGCCCCAAGAATTCAGAAGCAGTGCAAACTTGCTGAACAATATCAGACGGATACCACCTAATATGAATGATCAGAATAAGCAAGAGAGGGATCGCTTCGTGAATGTTGACAGTTGTGACTACCTTATCGATTTGGTTTCAAGTTCGACGACATTTTCTCTCCTTGAGCCAAATTATGCAGCAAACGATGATTGGAATGTCATAGCATCACTCCCAATGCTCGATCCTTCTTTGTCGCACATTTTAACACGTACACTCTACCTTCCCTTCAAATCTTGGCAGCAGAAAAACACCTTCGGAGAACTCAAACTGCATCGTAGGAATAGAGAAATAATTCAATGAATTTCAAGTGTACATAAGTATAAATTAAAAGTAGAAGATGACATAATATTGCTAATCTAGGCATGGGCGACTGCAATTACACGTTTACACCTTCCACGACATGAGGATAAACATTTCTTATTTCCTGGAACAATGGAGGTGCACGCTGAGCTAGAACATGAGGATCTTCAGCCATACCGACGAACAGCGTGGAAACACCGGCATCGATACCACAGAGTAGAGTCATACTACACGTGAATCCGATCAAGAAAGCGTAAAGAAGGAGCGCTGCAGTGTATTGGCCCTCTGAGTTCCACTCCACAGTTGCAGTTTTGAGGTATACGTATGTGAAAAGACCGCAGAGAACACCAACAAAGTACGAGCCGTAGGTCAGTCCAATACTGACCAAACTGTCATTAACCAAGGCGTCAATTCCGCGATCTTTGAAGAGGTGCCATGTCTAGAAGAGTTGTGAGCACTTGAGTGATTCTTAAGAATGTCTCACGCACTGATTTAGCCGATTGCAAGTACGATTTACCGTATAAGGCTATGGAGATGTAAGCGTACTTATTAAAGAGCTCTATCATCCACTGGATCACATTGAGGACGCAAACAGCACAACAAGCGAGAATCTGACCTATTTCACCAGCAGCATCAGCGTTGTTTTGCAGTGCTCTGAATATCATCTTGATGATTTCAAGTATGGTGACTATTAGGCTACCGAAGGCGATACTCCCGAGCGATGTAGTTGAAGCTCTCATGAAGGCTGATGGTGTTGGATGCTTTGGCATGCCGCTTCCATTTTGGTTGTAAGGTCCGAAGTAGTACCAGCCTCCGTAAGGTCCACCAGCAAGTGTGACAAGCACGATATTTCCAAACACTTGAGATACCCATAGATAGGCGAAGGTTAAGAAAAAAACTAGACCTGCTACCTTACCTGAGGAGCATGATCCGCCTGTTCCGCTGCCACAGACCTGTGAGCCAGGAGTCCAAACAACATACACGGCAGCCACGGCGAAAGCGTATAAGATACTCCAAGCTGTTTGGATGATTAGACCAATAAAGCTAACCACATAAACACTTGGATAGTGCTTAGCAATGTCAATGACTATCTTGAGGAGCAAAGATGCCAATGGGATTCGCTTGCGCATTCCAAAGTAGAAAACGACCTGTTTTATATCCATTGTTAGATTTTTGAAGGCTGTCTGCAGACTCTAACTCACCTGGATTAAGACCGTTATTAGAGGTGTTCAGGGTTTTTGGAGGCATCAACTCACTTGTAATATTCCAATAATTAGAAGAACAATTGCTCCACTCCTGTTCAGAATTAGATTTGCTCACTCTGAGACGATATGCACAAACTCACCAGTAATGTTGCGTAAATTGATAAATAGCGAGTGCCCATGTAGTGATAATGGATAGAACGAGTGTGACTTCCAAGATAACTTTTGTGAAAATGCGCAATGCGAGCAAGTAAAGTGCCGCAAATACCAAACCGATAGCAGCATCAACGAGCAACAGATATCCAGTCTCTTTCGTGAATGTAACGTTACTAGATGCGGTGGTGTTACCAAATCCTGATTGAATACTGCCTGCTTGATTCCACTCATATAAAGCGTATCCACTGAGACCAATAAAGGCAAAGAAAGTAAGCAGGAAAAAGACAAAAAATATTGGATCACGTAATTTCAGTTTAGGCTTGAATCGACTGCCCTTCTCGTCGACTGGAGGCGGGGGAGGAGGAGGAGGTTGCTGAGGAGCGTAATACGGCTGCTGCATGTGGTATTGCTGATCATTAGGTGGATATGACTGCCCCCATTGATCGGACATTTCTTATGATAAGTGGGTGTTATCTCAAAAGGATGTCGCTATTACAATCCATGCCAAGAAAATAAATTTAGCAACTAACAGGTTGTCAAAAGAGCTAATGTTGCAATTATAATGCCCTGAAATAGTGACTACCATTTTCAGGGATTTCCGGATTTTGGTTTGAATTTTGAATCCCCTTGTTCATTCCTGATCAGTAAAAAAATCTAACAATAGATACTTCTTGGCACCTGATGACTCAGGGTAAAAAATGTCGATGGGGCGAATCGAACGCCCAACCTTACGAATGCTATAAACTTCAGTCGTACGCTCTCGCCAATTGAGCTACATCGACGTCGAAAATTTGACTATTATATGTGGTGTATATCGCTTGCATATATACAAAAACTTTTATTTACATCAGGCCGGAATCGGCTTGAACTAGGATAAAAAATCAGAAAAAACTCCAAAAGCCCTTTACGAGTTTTTCAAGCCGCAATTGACTACAAACCAAAGACTCCGGTGGTTTGGCGTAATGGAGAATCACCAAGAATTTATAGCACTCAATCGACTTATCAATCTCAATTCCTGAAAACGAGACTACTGCACGTGAAGCACATGACAAAATAACCAAGTCCCCTGCTCCAGCCTGGCACATCTACACTGACGGCTCTCTGGCAGAAGGTGCAGTAGCCCTCGGCATCGTCGCCTACAATCAAGTCTCGAACAGTTGGAGCGGCCACTCCTACTACCTTGGCTCAACACACAGATTTGGAATATACGAAGCTGAACTCGTTGCGCTATACAGTGCTGTTCTCAACGTCCAAGAGGCAATCGACTCTTCTCAATTAACGGCACCACCAAACATCCACATCTACTCGGACAGCCAAGCGACACTGAAAGCCCTAAGATCATGCACACTGCACGGCCCAGCCCAATACATCCTGAAGAGTATACTCACGAAGTTAACGGACATGAAGGCGCTTCACCCAGACACCCAATTCAACTTTCACTGGATACCTGGCCACAAGGGAATTGAAGGCAACGAGAGAGCAGACCGCGCCGCGAACAAAGGCAGAGCAAACCACGGAAACGGTTTTGTTCTGGATATAGAACTCCGAACCTCCTGCTCTGTTACCCGGCGAAACCTCCACGAAACCCTCACTGCACCCATGCGCGTGGAGGGCAACACTCTCACGGGTCTCACCTCAAGAACAGCAAGAACCGCCAAAGGCAATCTCAGCTCCATCAAGACCGCCAAGCTGTTGGAAAGTGTGCCCCGGGCCACTCGCTGTCTAGCAACACAGCTCCGCTCTGGACACTTCCCTACCACTAAGTCCTATCGCTATCGCTTTAAGCTCACTGATTCTGCCAAGTGCAGCACCTGTCGATTAGACGACACTATCCCACACCGTATCTTCATCTGCTCAAGACACATCATGGCGAGAATAGCTTTGAGAAGGAAGATTCTCGCTCTCGGTATTAGGTTCGAATTGGGACCTATGCTGAGAAACGCCAAATCTCTCCAAGCGCTATACGAATTCTTCAAGCCACAAATCTCCCATTCTCACCGACTTCTGTAGAGCACACAAACTGCAGAGGGTTTTACGCGGAGTGGTACTTTCGGGTGCCATTCAGGCTTTTCCCCCTTCAGGCCCACCCACCCTCTCATTTTTATTGATTTCGGTACACTAGTTCGACACACCACAACAGCCTAACCAAAACTCGCACAATTCCGGGTTCTCGGTACAGCCATCGGTCGGATCGAGTAAATCTAAACCTTTACGCTCAGCACAGAAACGCTATACTCTCAAATCAACGTCACACAAGTCCAAATAGCAACATAAGAAGTATAGATAGGCGCAGTTTTACTATGTATCGCTTTAACTATATATTATATTTCATCATCATCATCATCATCACCAAGAATTTATAGTTTACGACACTAGTCTAAGAAACGCTTTCAGTGATTCTGAACACCCGTTCACTCCTCATGCTTTAAGAAGTACTGATGAACGCAGTTTTAAATATGTTTATTCTTGACAATATATTTAGAGTGATGTTGTGTGTGCATGTGTTGAGCTGTGTACACGCTACTCCGCGCGCCCCTGCTTCGGACTTTGCACATGGTGCTTTTGTACACTTCGCTGTCTCGTGTTCCTCTGGGCATCTCAGGCAACAAGGTGGTGATCTGCATACTTTTTGGGTGTGTCTCAATTTTCAACATTTTAGGCATTGTCCCGGAATGAGGTTCGCTGGTTCTACTCTCATCATTTCTCCGCTATAACCAACATTCAGGGATAAGCTAGCTTTGGCGGCGTTGATGTTGTTTAGCTGCACCTTTAGCGTAGCGAACTGTTGTTTCTTCGCGGATATATTGGCCCACATCGCGTATATAACCTTGTTTTCCCAAATCATGTTTTCTGCTTTCATCTGTTTGGCAATGACGGATGGGTTGCTGGTGGTGGGTACTCTCAAAACTGCCACTTCTTGAGTCAATACGTGAGGGCGTAGTCCTTGGGGGATCCACTCCTCGCAATTTCTAAGCTCCATGGCTATCTTTGAGTCTTACGCTTGTTGTTTGAAGGAGTTTGTGGGGAGACGTTTGGCGGTGCTAATGAAGTTTTCCGTGATATTAAGTCGGTCGCCGAACGTCTTTGGTATGTGTTCGTCCATTACTCTATTAATATCGACCGACTTTAAATCATTATCACTCAGCACTGGCTTGGCTGGGTCGGCTTGATGAAGTTTGAGCGTGATCGCCTTTTTTGACGGTACCATTGGTGTTTCTGCAGCTGCTTTTGTGCATACGATGGTGCTGCATGCATAAGTTGTGGCGCTACGTTTTGCTTCTTTAATTCGTGTATTTGCTGCTCGAGTGCCAGTGTCGTCTCCTTGAAAGATTTGGCGTAATTGTCCTGTTACTCACGTAGACACTCTCTCAATGTGTCTGTCACCTCTAATTTGAACTTTTCGAGGGCTTGCTCCAGCGCCTTGGAGTTTTGCTCCCTTACCGTAGGTGTAGGGGGACGACCTGTATAAGCATCAGTACTGGTTATTCGCCTTTTGTTTAAATTATTATTGAGCCTTGGGCTCTGTCTCCTCCCGTCTTGCGATTCAGTGAGGTTTTCGCGTGGGTCTTCAATACTAATATCAAGCAATATATCGTTTAAAAGGTGCTTCCCATAAAATGCGGCGCTTGAGGATTCACTAGGAGGACTTTGATGACACTCCAGCAAACCAGCCGATTTTCGATAATGATCGTCCATTCTCTATAAAAAAAAAAAAAAAAAAAAGCGCACTTGTGCTGTGAAATTTAAGTCAAATCAATGTGTCAGAATCATTATGTCAGAATCATTATGTTGACATTCATGATAAACCTATCGGTCTCTTAACTCAGTTGGTTAGAGTGTGGAGCTAATATTAGATCACTCCAAAGTCGCAGGTTCGAGCCCTGCAGGGACCATTGTTTTTGACTGGAAGTCTCAGAACCAACTTACTTCTTTTAGCAAACTCTGCAATCAAGTCTTTACGGTTCTACAAGTTTTGGCGATATGTTTTTGGTGCAATCTAATGTCACCAAACCACGTGCTCAATGAGAATTGAGTCATTTATCCGTGACGAATACAAAAATCAGCTATCTTAATATATATTTATTTAACGATTAGACGTGTAGAAGATTAGATGATGTAATAATCTCCTTAATGTTGTTGAGCCTTCTCTAGTCATCATTAGATGTGATCTATTATGAAAAATTATTTGCCAGATAAAAGTAATTATAAAGTACTTTGAGATTGAATATAGCGAGACATCCTCGGCTGCTCCTCTACTCACATTATTTAGTTTTCCGGCACGCAACTGATCACCATGAACTTTGTCACTTGCAAATGGTTAGAAGTAGATAACTTAAAATGAAGAATGCAAATAAGATTCAAACGATTAAAATCACCTCTAACACATTCAATCATTCCCTACCAAGAGTCGTGGAATAAGGAGCCTATGAAAATCATCTAATCAATCAATGGAGTAGTTTGAGCACAAAAAATACGGTGAAGCATTCAATAGTTGTGATGCAAATCAAAGCCGATCTCATTTGAATTCCTTTGATATCTCATGAACTGATCCTGCGAAATGCATATAGTGAAGCCAAATCACCGATTTCAGAGTTGGGCTGAACCCCCATTATTTTACTTGTATTGCATTTTTAGGCGTTTATTTATCCGGAAGGACAATACTTTTTCCTTGGACCCAGCATTGAGTCCTGTAGACGCTACGTGTCGGAATAAGTAAATCGCGTTTATATAGCCGAAACTTTGGGATTTATCAAGTCAGAATTTTTTGGTTTTACTCATGAATTGGGTAAAAGTCTCCATATCCATCCTATAGCGTACTCCAAAGTGATGTTTGATTCCAACTTCCGAACAGCCTACCGGACGCAATTGGTAGCTAAGTGATATAATTCTGGTGAAATTTTATAGAATTTATTCAGGGCTATTTGTCGAGCCTTTTTACTTCACGATCGTCGAATCTCGTGCTCAGCCATTCGAGATAAGATACATGGTCAAGGAGAAATCCAACTCTATGGATATTAAGCGGAGAGTTGACATAACGATGAATTCTAAATACTGGAGATCCTACGAAAATGAAATTCTTGCTAAATTCTTCAAATTGTCAGTATACGGTATTTCTGCGTTCGCCTTCTCACTTACTTAGTCGTTTGCAGATTAAATAGGCAGTATTGATTATTGTAGATGGTTTGTAAGCTGCAAGCGTGTCTAAAAGCGAGACTGAAATTGGAAACTTTTGCACGACTAGACCGCATTAGCGATACAGAAGACAAGAATCAGAGGCATTCTGCAGAAAAATACATCAGTCTATAAACTATACAAACTCAGAATGAGGAGAAAATTTTGTAACAAAAGAATCGCAAAATGCCAAAAATGTCGATGGGGCGAATCGAACGCCCAACCTTACGAATGCTATAAACTTCAGTCGTACGCTCTCGCCAATTGAGCTACATCGACACGAACAAGCCTAAGCTCATGTACATCTAATTCGCATGTCTTCATAAAACCCTTTGTTAGCTATAAAATTAAGAAGAGGCTGTCTAGCGTAAAAGAAATCCGCCAAAAACTTACAATTTACGAAACTTGTCAAGAAACGCTTCCTGTAATTCTGCACACCCTTTGACTTCTCTTGCTTTAAGTATTGGTGGGCGTAATTTTAGAATAGGATCTCTTTAAACTTCACCCTCAAACCGGCTCCCTCCGCTTTCCGTAGACGCCTGCGGGAGCGACACACTGCTCTCTTGAGAGTAAATGCGCGTAGTTTGCCAGGACCAACGTCGAAAGACGCGGAGAGAGCATTTTGCAGGAAGACTTCTACTCAGGCGGACAAGATGCTCAGCAATCTTCCCCGTGGTATGCGAAGTGTGGCCACACAGATCTGCTCAAGCCACTTCCCTACTGCCAAGTCTTACCGATTCCGATTCAAACTGTCCGACTCACCACTTTACAGCAAGTGCAGTGAAGTAGACATTATCACACATATGATTTTCAGATGTAGGAAGTTCGACCAAGCAAGATTATCGTTGAGGAGGATTTATGGATTAGGGTTTTTAAGGTTCGAGATGAAATATATGCTTCAATTGAAGACGCTCTTAAAGCTCTCTACGAGTTTTTCAAAAACTATTTTAGCACCCACCCGCGCGTCTCCGGTAGCTCCACTTAGCTTCCTCCTGATTTACGGCACACATGCCAAGAACCGCATGCATTTGAGTCACTACAATCGTCAGCTTTCAATGCAAAAGAAGTATAGATAAGCGAAGATTATTAATCGTTGTAACGCTTTTGAATATATAATATGATTTCTATCTATCTATTTAAGAATGTATCGTCTTAAACAACATATTCAAATTTCATCATCATCATCATCAAACTATGAAAGTCGAGTTTTCAGACCGCACATTTTTTGTGTTTTGATAATTTTAGGCTGTCTTCTTTGAAATACTGATTCTTTTTGGCCGAGTCCAATATGGAAGAAATAATGCCAATCGACGAGATAGATAGCATAAACCATTTAGAGCAAACGTGGGTATACTTGAATATAGAAGAACCTATTCTCACGCTTTCCATAGCTTCTACAATGCTGGATACCAGTCGGGGTATGATCATGGCAAGATACACGGCAAGATAGAGGGCAGAGCCTTAGGTAAGGAGAAAGGATATGAAATCTGGGAAGAGCTTGGATTCATGGAAGCATCTGCTGTCTTTCTCCTCTCAACTCAGCCCGACTCTAAGTGAGTAGAGAACGACCACCACCAAAATACAACAACTAAGACGACGCGGCAGGCACAAAGCACATGCACAACAGATAATAGAAATGATACAAAAGTTCCCTCAATCCAACGCCCAGCAAGACGACAGCAACGAAGAATGGGATATGTCAAATTTATTAGAAAAGATCAGGGCAAAGTTCAAGGTATTTGTAACAACAACGGGAGTAAAGAGAAGATTAAAGACAGCAGCACCGACTCAATCGCTAGGATTTTGAATGTGGTTCTGTGGGCAGAGGAGTCGCCTGGTCGGTTCGGCGTCTGCGGTATCCTACAGGCATCGGTGGCGGGCTTGGGGGAGGTATTGGATGGCTCTCGCTATGTTCCTGCTGCACTTTCTGCGCCGGCTGTAATGTCTGTGCGTTCAAATTCTTCTCCCAGAAAGCTAGCATGCGTTTCTTGCTTTTCGATTGTTCGGCAGGTAATGGCCTGAGAAGGGTTTGTCAATAATACATAGACAAATATCATGGTTACATTTTAAGATGTTTGTCGTGCGTAAAAGCCTGGGTGATGGTTGAAAGATAAGCTACAAGTGAGTAGAATGCTACAAAGAAACTATATAAGTGTTCTTGAAATTAGATCGTAAAACAGTCTTCTACACCCTTTCTAAATTCAGCTTGCGTGTTCCGAGTGGCTTGATTAATCGGAAGCGCTCAAGCTGGAACGATTCATAGGCATCTTTGGACAACTTTGCTGCCTGTACGTGCTTTGGAAGCTTTGAAGCGCGTTTCGCCCAGCTTTGAGAGGACCAAATACAAGTAGCAAGACACTCTCTGGTATCAGCTTTTGCGCTACCAAACCCTAGCCTCAGGATCAGCCGACCCTGCCACAATGCAGCAGGAAACTCACAGTACATGAGGAGATTACCTTGACTGGCTACAACAGCCTCCTCATGAGCCAATCTATCAGCGGTGTAGAGATCAGGATCTACGTCTGCTTTCCGCTTTGATCTGAAGACCACGCAGTAGTACTCCTTCTCTAAATCCTCCGGTAACTCAATTTCGTCCCAATTAAACGATACCTCGTATGGCAGCGTGGCATAGTCATCTGTCACGTGTTTGAAGCTGGCCAGTGCTCTTGAAAGCAATTTAGACGCCTCGTCTATACTTTCTGTGGTCTGGGATATAGCCGTCACACCGAAATCGATTGCTGTCTCGAGTGGAGGTAGATCCACTGGATTTCCGGTAAACATCTTATTATTTTCTCCGACGTAGTTGGCGTAGTGGAGCGAAAAAAGGCATAATAGCGCATTTTAATTAAGCCGTAGAAGATTACGTGAATCTTGCTTACTCAGGAAGTTAATCACACCATCAGGCGTAATATTAGCTTTGGAATGGAAGCGACGAGGCGTTCCTGACGATTTGAAGGCTGACTTAATCATAATCACTAAGACTAGGGCTATTTCTGACGGTGAAGCCAATAGTCAACATTGACTTTCTTCACGAAGACAGTTGAAATTCTTCATCAATGCATTGCTAGAAGTGAAACACACGCGTATCCTTAAATAAATCATTCGTGTTGATATAACACTTGATTGATAACAGAATGTATAGATACAAGTGCGTAGAATGCCTTCGTGCTGATGTAATCTTATAGTTGATTGTCGTTATTACTTATTCTTTACCCATTACTCGTTTCGTCTTCATCACTTGATATATTAGCTGACCCAGTCTCACCCATCCCCATTACAGCCTCGATACGTCTTCTCCTCATAACCTCAGCCTCACTCAACAGAATGCTATTCATGTCTTCCTTATTCTTTTTATCCTTCTCAAAGCTCTTTCCGCGATGGTCCAGGTTGTTTGACTTGAGGGGGAGCTGTGCAGGCGGAGTGGATTGGGTGCGGATTTGTTTGGGTTTAGCCTGTGGTGGTGGTTGATCATGGGAGAAGGTCTCGCCCATCGGTGTGTGTATTTGCGTAGCTGGTTCTGACAACATGGAAGGCGTCGCTGATTTCTTAGTGGAAAATACTAGCGGCTCACTTAACTCGTATTCACTTTCTGAATGCTTGTGGTTGCTTTGTACAGGTTTTCCTGATTGTTCTTCCTTTGCTTGCTTTTCGAGCTCTTCGTCCCTCTCTCTACTAGCGTTCACCTTCTCAATTGCGTTGAGGAATGATTCTGAATACCGTTAGATATAAGCTTCAACCTTAGCAGAACACACCTTCGATCCATTGGTTTAACTTTTTGATAATCAACAGAGACTCGCTGACAACTCCAGTCATTTGAAGGAACCCGTGGCTCATGCCTGGAAAGTGTCAGTTAATTCGTGCATGTTTAATATGACACACCCTCAATAATTCTTAAGTGCACCCAGTCATCCTCATCTTCGTGAACGATGGGATCCTCGACGTAGTTGTCTTTAATGTCTGCGATTCCTAAACCTAATCCACCAGTAGGGGTTCTAACTTCAGTGGAATTTTCGTAGTTGGCCTGCTCTTGTAAAGCTGCCGACTGACGTGCCAGCTTAGCCTTGCGAAGCCGTCCAGCGAAAATTAGTGAGTCATCGACGAAAGGATCGCGTTCACTGGTTTTCCGTCAGTAGTTGAACAACCTAAGATTCTAAAACCCACCCGCAAACAATCAAAGTGGTTGGAAATTGTTCAAGGAGATACGACGGTGCTAAAATGGGGGAGAGATAGTAATCTTTCTTAAAGTCTGGCCTGTTCTTTGGTCCAATGTAAAGCAAAGCACACGCTCTCATAACTGAGGGTGGAATAATTCTATAAACTGGGCGTTAGAGTGAGTGTCTTTGTCTGTTGAATCTCACCCACCTGTCATTAAAGAAGCCAGTTCTGCTAGTCATTGTTAGGCGTGTACCTATAGGAGCTTTCTTCTTGTTGTTGATGCGTTTGTTGGCTTCCATATGCTCCCTTTCAAGCTCCTTCTGCAGCTCCTTTCTTACATGTTCGTCAGGCTCGGCGATCACTCTCTCGTACAGTGGTTTCTCAGATTCAACCCTGCAGTCCCTGTCCCTTTCCTCTGATACATCATCATTTACAGCTATACCCAACACTTCCTGCTCATCAACCTCAAAATTGAGCTTGGGTGGACTGTCAGCGAACGACAACACTCTTCTCCTGCGAGGTGAGGTGGTCGTATCTTTGAGAGATGTTGTTGACTTGGAAGAGGTTTGCATTGCTGCTGCTGATGCTATTTGCGCACCTGCACTGTAAGGTATCTTTGGTGAAGGAGCACCTAGCTTTGATAAGGAGGTGGAAGATGCCCAGTGAGATAAATGATCAGACCAGCTCTTTTGCCGTTTAATATTTTTATTGCTAGGAATGTCACACGTTATTGATAAGGGTGATTTATGGGCTAGGTGGTCCTTGGACTCGAATAAGGAAGCTAAACTTGCAGAGGATTGCTCGGTTCTAAGTACTTCAAGATTTTCATCACTCATCCAACTGGTGAAGTCTGTTGACTGTTAGACGGAGTTTTTGTTTATTGCAAAGACCTACTGAAGTCTAATGCTGGATATGTCAGCACTATTCCAACTGGATGCTTGAGCTGTACTTCAGATTCTAATATCTGCCATTTGTTAGCCTAACTGCAGATTATTAGCCGTTCTTTACCTTAAACATAACAGCAGTGACGATCTGACCCATGTTAGACAACGAAAGTAAAAATCAGTCTCTCACATTTCCACCAGCGGAGTCCCCAGCCAAGAGAATGTTAAGCGTCTCACTTTTCATATCAAGTAAGCGACCGTTCGTCTCTAGTATGATCTTGTATAAATCAAAAGCTTCATCGATAGCCCATGGGAAAGGATCTTGATTGAAATTAGCAGGAATCACCAATAAACAACTACACGCTCACATTCAGGACTTTTAATGTAATTGACGCTCAAGACGACCTTCTTCTTGCCTTCTTTTGCCCACCACCTTAATCTTTCTTCATGATCGCGTGGGGTCATAAAAACAAACGCGCCACCTGGGAAATCAATGACGAGCTCTGTACAGCATGACAATTCTTCTTTTGTGCCGTTGAACAACATCAAGCAGGAAATTGGTTTGGTATACTTGGATGATTTTGGTCTTGGCAACAATATTTCGCGAACCAAGTTGCATCTTGGTCTTGCAAGAATCGTTGCAGCGCGTATCTGGAGAGAATGTTAGAAGATATAGTTATATGGTTGCACCGACATATGGATTTGATAGTTTCTCTCCTGTGCTTCTAAGAAACTCTACTGTGCAAGTAGCTCTGAATTTGAGCAGCTTTGAGGATAGTTTAGTCGGAAAGGCTATGTAATCACATGACGCGCACCTTTTCCTCAGCCTGTTCTGTCCATATAAGGTAATATAATCCAAACACGGGACCTGCCAAGTCCTTGAGCCACTTAGGCTTATGGATAGACATGGCTGTTGCGAAACCAGCGTCCAGAGCATTTGATATCCAAGTTGCTCTGTAATATGATCTTGAATAGAGGTGTGCGAGTGGTTCAGGGGCTGAAGAATGTGGATTGAGTACAAAACACGTCATACTAATCAATACACACCCTGTAAGCCTAATAAAGCATCAAAGTGCCTGATTGCGTAAAGTGATGTGAGTGTTGCGACGATCAGTTGATAAGGTGTGAATCGTTCTAGGCGTAATCTGGATGAGAGGCGAACTAGAGAAAAAATCCCAGCTACCCACTTAAGCGTCTATTTATTGATTTTATGTACCAAAATCTTAAGCCGTTCTTATCTCCTTTGAGTAATCTCCACAGCCAAAACAGTATGACGAGTACAACCTTCACAGAGATAATGAGAATTTCGGGTTTACGAGACGAAAGCTGCGACTTGCCTGCGTTCTCCTCCATTGCTCTGAAGGTCTTCCAATTAGATTGTTTATCATCTCATCGCCGCGGTGATAGAAGCGTGTGGGCGATGAGATAATAAATCATTTTGCAACATTTTACATTTGTGGTGCATGAACGTGAAATATGAATAAAACGCTGAAATTTTTATTATTCCCTCTAATCAAAACGCTGTTGATTTCGTGCACTCACATACCTCGACTGAATCAACGCGAACGAAATCACGTAAAAATGACAGCGAAATCACCAAGCGACAACTTTTTAGAAGAATTTGAGTCAATTGAGGTTATCGGGCAAGGCAGTTTTGGTAAAATAAGGAAAGTTAGGCGTAAAAAGGATGGGATGGTGAGTTAGGGTAATTTGGTGGTGGTACACGTGAATATACGCGATACACGTGATTATCTACGTTCAAAAACATCTAACACTCTCCTAGGTCTTCGCTAGGAAGGAATTAGACTTTGATAAGATGAGCGATAGGGATAGGAAACAAATCGTCGCGGAAGTGTGCGTTAAGCGTTGGCGTCGCTGCCTAGTTCTCACACTCACACTCACAGCAATATTTTACGCGAGTTGGATCACACAAACATCGTCGCTTACCATGAGAGAGTGAGTTATGTCTGATTCGGTGTTTATCGACTAAGACTCCTTCAGTACGTCGACAGGGAAGGCGGCATGCTCTATATTTTGATGGAATTTTGCGGCGGTGGCGATCTACAGTCTATCATTAAATCCTGCAAGCGTAGTAATACACTGTTGCCAGAAGACACCATTTGGAGTTACATCTCACAGCTCGCTGGCGCACTCGATCATTGTCATCGTAGAGGTGGTGTTGTTGGTGGCGGGCAGAAATTGGAGCGTAGGCCTTCTCAGCATGATGTGGCTGCAGCGAATCAACAGATTCTTCACAGAGATCTCAAACCGGAAAATGGTGTGTTTGAACAGATAACCTACATTAATTCACTAAAACACCACAGTCTTTTTAGATAACTCAGGTAACCTCAAACTTGGTGACTTCGGCTTGTCAAAAGCAACACAGATTGGGGAATTTGCTAAAACATACGTCGGAGTGAGTAAAGTTGAAATTTAGTGTAGAACACGCTGACATGACATCAGACGCCATATTACATGTCACCCGAGCTGATGAAAGACATGCCATACGACCACAAGTCTGACATCTGGTCACTAGGTTGCGTCGTATACGAACTAGCTTGCTTGAAGTGGGTACATTTTATTAGATTGACCGGAACTAAATGCATCCCCAAGTCCACCATTCTACGAAGCTAAAACACATGCGCAACTTCAGGACAAGATTCTGCAAGGACGTATACCACGACTCTCACGCTTCTACTCCCCAATGCTCGATGATATGATTCGCAGAATGCTGAGTCCCAACGTAAGCTGCCGAGCACAATTTCCAGCCACTCTCACACATTACAGCCCCGAGACAGACCATCGGCATCTCAAATCCTCGAGCATGATAAAATCAAACTACAAATGCGCACCGTTGAGCTTAACAAGATGGCTGCATCAATAGCGTCGCAAAGAGTGCGACTAAGTGAGCGTCTCAGCGAACTTCAAGTGCGCGAAAAGAAAGTATGCGAACGCGAGCAGCAGATCTCGACAGTAGAGACCCAAATTGACGCCTACATAAAAACTCAAGTAGAGAAGAATGTCAAGGCGGAAATTGAGAGGATAATGCACAACAGTGGCATAGAAGATAGGATATTGACAGATAAAAACCAAGACAGTTTTGAAGAGATTCCCAGCAATACGATGAAAGAGTGCGTAGTAGGATTAGTATTAGAAATAAAAGATTCAACTGACAATATCCACAGGGCCACTCCTAGTGAGACGCTCGCCGAGATGTCCATCTGCACACCACCTCAAGCACGTCGGATGAGTAGCAAACACGGTCTAAACGCTCACAATGCGACACAAGCTAAACTTCTCGCGCTCGCACAAGAGGAAGACGAGGCGGAGAACAGAGCGGAGCACGTGGTTACCTCGAAGCCACCACAGTTACACCGCGCGGATACTGCACCTGCAGACACAGCATCAGCATCAGGAACATCAGCCTCAAGCTCAATAAGCAGTATACCACAATGGACCAATTTACCACCCCCACCCGCCACTCCTAACTACGTAAACGTAAATGAGGATGATCTACCATCACCTTTTCTGCGCAAAACAGAAAACAAACAAAAATCAATACAGTCTAATAATCCGAGACAGGGTTTGTTGGCACAGGCTGCTGCTCAGCGTACAACCACTAACAAGACTGCCACAAAGCGGCCTTCTATGGTTAGCGTCAAATCGTCGAAACCTGTTCTAGGTCGGTAGATTGTGGTGGAAATTTTATTATGACAGTAAAAATACACATTTATGTTTATTGATTAACAATTTGTTCTTCTAGTGGCTCGAATGCTCTAAAGAACTTTTCTCTGAAGTTTGAATGCGAGACATTTTTATCAGCCGTATTTATGTCTATATTTGATAGTATATTTTGTAGTGAATCATCTGTATCAATATCTTCAAACTTCTCCATCGTGATTAACTTGAATGGCATATTAGAATTTTCACTAACAAAGAAATCTACTTACTCTCCTCGACCACTTTCCAAAATCCTGAACAGAGTTCGCAATTATCCGCATACCCTGACACGTTGGCACATCTGTCTCTTTGTACTCTTCGTTGACGGTGGGTAGGAAATAAACCAGCCGACCTCCCCTCTTGAGCAAGTAGGCGCTCATCACGACCAAATCTATCGTGAGATTAAGCAGGTCATAATCCTGCGTTGGAGGTCTTGGCTGAGCCGAGTAGCTGGAATATATTGAGCTAAATCTAACATTTTGCTTTCACCCACCTTTCCTTGTACTCCACACCTTGTTTCAATCCAATGCGCTTTGCACCTGCGCGCACACCATACTGTTCCGATACACGAAATTTTAGAAATGACACTTGTGCGGTAAAATATACGCACGGGAGGATCAGTAACAATCGCGTCGAGTGTACCACCCGTTCTCCAACCGATTCTGGTGACATCTGCAGTGAAAAGATCCAAAAATTTGTCCAAAACACCATAATCTTTAGCAGCCGAGAGTATACCTCCGGCGCGAGAGCCTGGATGGCCTGTATGCTGCTTACCAGCTGTAGTTTATGAGCTAAGAAAAACAAACACAATAGTCTACTCACGCTGACCACGCATCTGACGCCCATCTAAATCACTGCCCATAACATAAGAGCCAAAGTATGCGCATAAATAAAGCATACTACCAGTGCCTACGAATGGGTCCCAAATCAGCGTGCCTTTCCTCGCCAAAGCTTGGTTTGCCATCAAGACAGTGACTTCAGACTCCATCGAGGTATTACCAAAATACGCTCTCTTCTTGACATCCTAGAGAGTTCCATATTAGACGTCATTTTCTATCAAAGAGACACCCACAAATTTGGGCACAAGACTGCGCTGACCAAATGCTATAAACCGACCAAAGTAAACACGGTGGAATAATCTTGGTGCGTAAGTATGTGCATGATCAACATCACTGTTTATATCCGCTTTATGCTCTTCAAATACTTCGTATTGTATGTATGGCTTCTTGAAATTCACTTGGGCTGTGAATTGCATGTAAGAGAAGGCGTTGATGATGTTCATTCTACGCTCCTTTGGTATAGATTTGTATGCTGCTTCTACGTTGAATGCGAATGTCTTATCGGTGTACACCTTCCATAAATGTACGGCTTTTTTGTTATTCTCGTGGAGATCATCATATGAACTACCCTGTGCGAATATCTGTATAATATGCCTTGTGCGTTGTGAGATTGTCCTCCATAACCACATATCACCCACTTTATCAAAACACATCGGCCAGCTAACGCTCTTGCACCGTCTTCAGAACCAATATCGACTACCAAGCAAGCAGAATTCAAGTCGACGTTCTCATCACTAGGTCTGCTAAGGTCTAAGTTCAATACCTCCACCACAGAATCTAGCTCTGCCAGTCTGAAATCAAGCAACGACTGCGAAAACACTAGCAGAAACTTCATCTGCGGACTTCCTCGTCTTGGTGGTTGAGGTTAGAAAGACCGAGTGGAAAAGTGACGCTTACTAGGAGTATCGCTAAACGCAGACTTTAAACGGGATTCCAGGTCTGAGTGGAAGGTCGGAGAGAAATAACTAGTGGAGATAAAGCTTATTGGAAGAAGCGCAGACTATTTACAGGGAAAGAGATATACCCGCCTTACTATGGCCCCCAAGACGCCGAAACGCAAAGAAAAGAGGAAGGGTGTATAGTCTGCTTAAATAACGAGCGGCTGCCGAGGAGCTCGTGGCCCGTACCTTGCCTTTGTTGTGTTTCACAAACACCGATACCCTCCCTCGTTCCTAGTCACGCGGCTGACGGTGTAAACATCTGCTCAGCTACTTATTCTCAAGCCGTGGGTGCACTCAGTTGGTCTTAGTGCTGACTGTTGGTTCTCGCATACCCTCAATCCTAGTCACGTGGCTATCGTTATGTAAAGCAAGCGCTCAGACGTAGCCAATACACGTCTATCTATACTGTTAGTGTTCATAGTGCTTTATATATTTGGCTTCTTCCCCGATTACTCAAGCACTTCAACAAACAGAATGAATCAACAATGGTAATCTTACACTAGGCACATCACACTTAATTCGCAAGCTTATTCACAACTCATTATGTCCAAGAATATTACTAAGAACATTAAAAATAAGCATAGAGAGAATAACATTACAGAAGCTATACAGAATCGATTAAAATTTTAGTAATACATGAATCATTTAAGTTAGTTTAGGTGTTTATTCAAATAGCCATGGGTAATTAAGCCCACTGCAATTTCTGGACTTCTGAAGCAGAGAAACCTATTTGACAGATTGGGCATTTTCTTTGTCGGGTTTCAATACGCGCGTCGATGCACGATTTGCAGAATGTGTGCATACATCTAGTTATGCAATGTGATTTCAGCTCGTTTTTGCAAGTCGAGCAACGAAGCAAGAACTGATTTGTTTGGTTAGCTAGTGATGTTGACGCTAAACTCTCAACTCACAAACAGCTGGTCACGCTCTCTCTGCAAATTCTCCTCTTTGGCTGTGTGAATGCCGTTCATTACACCACTACTTACTTGTCCATTGGTTGGAATCCTTTGTAAATCACTGCGCAGCTTCGTATTGTCCTCTTCTAGTCTTCTTTTTGCTGCTCTCTCATCTTCGTACATGACGTGCCTTTCATTCAACTTGGTGGAAACCTCCATTAGCCTTCTCTTTGACTCGTCAGACAGTAATCTCGCACTGCTCAATTCTCGTTCAGTTGAGAACATTCTATCTTCCAATGCTTTGGTTTTATTTGAATACACCACAAGCTCTTTTTCATGAATTGACACTTGATTTTCCAGTTGCTTTTCCGTTTCAAGTAGCTTTTCAATTGTTTTTGACTGTTTTTCATGTGTCCTTTGAGCCGTCTTCCGCTCAATATCAATTGCGTCTTTGGCTCTCATTGCAGCAAAATATTTGTTGTCAGCTTTAGCCTTCTCTGTCATTAGCCTCGTCACTTTCTCTTCGAGATGTTGCAAGTCAAATATCTTCGATCTGTTCTGCTCATCAAGAACCTCCCATGCTTTCGATAATCTCTCAATCTCGCCGTATATTGCATTCGATGTAGTTTCAGATTCGGTATTTTGTAGTTCAAGTTTTCTTATCCGTTCATCTCTCTGATTAATTGTATTAACTAGCTTTTGGACTTCAGGATCAGCTGCTTCACCGAAAGCTTTCTCGAATGCACTCAGCTTTTTCTCAGCTTGCTCCAGCCTAAGATGTACATCACCTTCTTGTTGGAGATTCCTAATTTGACTCTTCAAACTTGTTATTTCTTCACTAGCAATTTTTAATTGGGTATCGAGTTTAATAGTCAAATTGAAATCATCCTCATTCACGTTATCGCCCATGATAGCGTGGTAAGCAGTTTGATTTCCATATCCAGCAGCAATACGTCCTTTCAAACGCTGTGTTTCGGATTTTAGACAGCTTATTCGTTCTAGTCTTGATTCAGATAGTTGCTGAGTTTGTTCAATGTACTGCAGTTTGCCATAATCTTTTGTACGCCTAACGTTAAGTTCGCTGTTAAGTTCTTCTCGCTGACCTCTTAGCCTATTGATATCAGCTTCCTTTGCCTGTAATCTTTGCAAAACGTCTTCCACTTGAGAGTTGATCTCTGATTTCAAACCATCTTCGTATTCTCCCCTCGATGTGAGAATTGATTCCACTTGTTTCTGTAATTGATTGTATTGTGCTTTAGCAGTATCTGCATCAGTTTGAAAATGATCTATCTGGTGTTGAAGGTCTTTGTAAAGCCCTGACTCAATAATAGCTTCATCGTTAGGCCGCTTGAGCGTAACTCTAAGACTGTCAATCTCCTGACAAAGCTTAACTCTATCAGCTCTCAATTCAACAGATTCCGTCATTCTCTGCATAGCTAACTTGCGTGCATCTTCCAATTCTTCTTTCGTCGGACCGGGCGGTGGAGGCTGAGATGGTTCTTTGGGAGCGGGTGAAGGTGCTTGACTAGGTTCAGACTTGACGTGATCAACAGAGTCAGCTTTTTGAATGTGTATTGGAGAATCAGCCTTTGCAGGAGCGGCTTCTTGATGAACTTTTGGAATAAGAGATGATTTAACTCTATCAACTTGCTTTTCTGCATTTAGCAATCTATCCTTGGTGGTTTCCCATTGAGACTGACATTCTTCAAGCTGCAGCCTCGTCAGCCGCAATTCCTGTTTATAGGAATTAGACTGTTGCTGATACATATGAGCTTGTTTCTGAAGCTGTACAGCGTCTGGGGATAGGCTGCGTGTTGCAGTAGTGAGTACTGAGCCGATTAGCTCCTTGGTAGCCCCTGATCTGACGGAAAGAGCAGAGTTGAGGAGAGCGAGGTCTTGGCTGTTTGAATAATCGAGAAAGTCTTTGAGAGCGTCGTTAGATTGTACAGAGGATGAAGGCACGATGACTAGCTGGAGAACATCGATTAGTTCATTCCAGCACACCTCTACGGAGGATAGCGAGGACTGCAGCGAGCTCGACTTTGATTCCAGCGCCTGGAGTCTATTAACAGCGAGCTCGTACTGCCTCTTATACTCCCTCATCTGCCTCCAGATTGCTTCTTTCCTGAAAGCCTTGGGAAGAGTGAGTGAGAAGGGAGATGGGGATATTCTCAAAGCTCACCTCTAATAAAGCGTCGTCGCTGTCTATCTCGTTATTTTCTTCATCTGCGATTTTGCGCTTTTTCAAATCCATGTTGGTTGCAACCACTCAAGGAATTAATTTGAGTTTAACTGGGCAATAATACAGGCTATCTGTATATCTTTATAAAATTTTATATTCCAATTCCACCAGCGTTAGCGGCAGTGGCAGCATCAGCAGCAGCAGCAGCACCACTTTGGTTAGCAACCACAACGAGCAAATAAACAAATTAGCGATTGAGAAATGCCTGGAGTAGACAAAAGCAAGGATCCAACGAGCAGTACGCAAGTCTTGTTGTTCTCTTCCTGCTAAATACGCTTTAGGCGAAGAAAGCGTACAGAAGATCACCAAAGCGTTCAATGATGGCTTATTGAACAACAAATCCCTCAGGAAGGAGTTTGCATTGGGTATCTACTCACATCTCCGCTTATCTCCTGTTAAATTCATTTTTAGACAACAATTTCCATATCTCCAAAGTTGAACGCTGGACAAGCGAGAAGAAGCGCCTGGTTGCGTCCAAGCCAGCTGAATCTCAAACTGTTAAAGAAAAGGCTGAGCTGATGTCTGATAATTTGGATTTGGAGGATAGAAAGCCTTTCTTCGGCACAGACGGCTCGACTATCCCATTCCAATTACTGCACCAGCCATATATATCAAGTGGCTTTTGCAATTCTGGTTTGGGAACAAGCGCCGCCTGTGCTTTTGATGCGAACAGCAACTCGTTCCCCTTCCAGCCAGTAGCTAGTGCGGCGAATTTAGCGAGTACCAGGGATATAGCGAGTAGAGCGAATTTAGCGAATACAGTAAACACAGCAAACACTCAGGCCATCGCCAACCCAACACCACTGCACGTCTATCTCAACCTTCAGGCGACCATTTCGTCCAAAGCATTTGCAGCTTCCGTATGGAACCTCGCCAACAGCGGCAGACTGGTCGTTATGCCTGAGTCCTCAGCATACAATCATGAAAGACAGCGTGGTGGGCAGACGCGCGGTTCCTACTCTCATTACTCAGACTAATGAAATAGGTCCGGTGACGGAAACTCTCGCGCCATCGAATACAGAATCGTTCAGTGCATTTATTGAGCAATATTACGAATCGCTAAGCGGCACAAATAGGCAAGTTGTGAATAGTACAATTGCGAATGATGAAGCTGCTCCAGCAGCAAATGTTAATGCAAACGCAAACGCAAACGGTCCAATAGATTTGGCATCTCCATTCGAGCCAAACCTCTTCAAGCCAAATTCCAATTCGTTCACGACGCCATTCAAGAAGTGAGGTTTGACAATTTGTATTTAAATGAGAAGTGCATTAATGTTAGTCATTTTATTTGTTAGGGCCGCTAGACTCGAGGTTTTGAACATCCAACAACAAGCTACCAGAATCCAACATAACTCTGTTACTAGAATTGCTAATAACATCAGCAATATCTCTCGCAGCTTCCAATTTACGCAGATGCAAGAAACCTTTGTTGCTCTTCAAAGCCTCACCAATCAACTCAGCTGATCTAGCTTCACCATTTGCTCTAACGATGATAGCTTGTTTCTCTTGAATAGCCTGGTCGACCAAGAAAGCGGCTCTTTGAGCGACTTGCTGGGCGATCTGCTTAGACTCAACAGCGGTTGTAAATTCTGGTGAGAAAGTAACATGCGTCAAACTGACATCATCGAGGACAATGTTGAATCTCGATGCGCGTTTAGTGAGATTATCTCTAACGAGTTTAGAGACCATTTCTCTCTGAGTAATAAGTTGAGACGCGTTGAATTGAGCAACAACAGCCTTCAAAGTTTCGTTGACAATCGAAGGCAATACTCTCTCGTCAAAGTCTGTACCGAGCTCTCTGTAGATGGTTGAAAGCTCTTCTTGACGAGGTCTGGAGAGGACACGGACGGTGATGTTAACCATTTGAAGATCCTTTGTACCTGTCAATGAGCCAATATTGCGTGGCTTGGCTCTAATGTCTGTAATAATAGCTGATTCGAGCCAAGGAATCTGATTTTGTGAGCTTAGAGTACTGAAAACGACTTCAACTCACTCTGATATGTGTACCTTCACCATATACCTCTCTCATTATTCCATGTAGACGACTGTACTTGATCGCACGATGTCCACCGTCGACTGCACCCAAGTCAGCAGACAGAGACATTCGCAGCAATCAACGCACCGTTGAAAAGACTCGAGTTCACTGCGAATGCACCGAGGGCTAAGAGAATTATACCACCGCCACCAGCGAATGCACCGCCTGTGTTGAAGTTGCTGCCACCGGGACCACCTCGTCCACCACCAGAGGCTCTAGCTTGCTGGGAGGTGTGTGAGCTGTGAAGGGTGTGCTGCATCCAACGCACTCTCTGTAATTGTGATATAAATTGTCCAAAATTAGGCTTGTTCATCTTCACGGTCCTTGTTGAAGAGACGTTTGAGACGTGTGTGGTTGAGTAAATGAACGCCACTATAGAGTCACAGAATAGAGGCCAACTCCAGTTTATTAGAATCTCAATTGAAATATTAATTTTCACCCCTTAAATTCTACAAATCCTCCTTATCCTCGACATTCACCATCAACTGGCTCAGCCGAGTGCGTGTCGTATTGTGTCTGACTTGAGCAACCAATACACCACGCTCTACTTGATGTACACGGATCGTCCTTAAGCGCTTAGCTCTGGTCATCCACGCGATGCACCACCAGCTTTTCAGGCTGCGTAGTGAGCTTTGCACGAGTCATAACGGTCCAATAGTAACCCCTATTCGCCCATCCAGCACTCGTTTTGAGTGTCTGTCATGCGGCACCTTTCCAGCCCCATTTGCTTGTGATGAAGTGCCCAATTCTCTTCATTTCATCGCAACCAAAGCCAGGCAGACATTAAACCTTTGTAAACTACATATGAAAAATTTATGAAAGAAACGTTATTTTATAATGATAGTCTAATCGATATCTTAGTCTTGTTCATTTTAGTCGACGTCCATGTTGTCCTTCTGTGTTTCACCTTCCTTAGCTGGTTGTGGCTCTGGTGCTGGTGCTTCAGTCTTTGGCTTTGGCTTTGGACGGTTGAGGATTGAGTTACAAGTGTATCCACTGCAAAGTCTTTGTTAGCAAAATTTTACCTCTCAAATCCTCACTCACATCTCCTCAGCAGTCTTCAATACTTGTGTTGAAGTGATAACTGGGTTCTCAGTCTTCATCTTCTCTGACTGCTTGTACATGTTGTCGTCCAACCACTTAGCTGCGTTAGCCGCTGTGTCAATCACCTTTTGAATATCCTCTGCAGCGATGTGAGAGTATCTTTCATCCCCTGATTGAGCTTTTGTGAGAAAGTCATTGGTGGCTTCTCTTAATACAGCTGCTGCTTTTGGAAGTTCCTGTTGTTCTCTGTATCTGTTCACAATTGGGTCACCCAACTTCTTAAGTGAGTCGAGACGTGAGACGTAAGCTGACTTTTGAGCATCTTCACCTTCATCTGTGTATAACCAGTCTTCAGCTTCACCGAGTGCCTTCTTGAATGTCTCTTTCTCTTCTGGGGTGGCGTATGCGGCGTGTCTGTCATCGAGCTTGTTACGTTGGTCGTAAACGTACTCCTCAAGGGCGTTTTTACGCTCTTCTGTCTCTGCAACGAGCTTGTCGTGTGCGTACATTTGACCTTCCTTCTCGTGGTAAGTAGCGAGCACTGATTCAGATGCGCCAGTAGTACCACCTATTACAGTCAAGTCTTGCTTCTTTACTGTTCTGTTGACCTTGCGTGTCTCCGTCTTTGGCTCTTCTCCTTCACCCACTTGAACTGGGACTTGCTCCTCGCCTTCAACCTCCTCGACGGTGTATGCACCCTCGACGGAAACGAGACCGTGTAAGTTAAGTCTGACCTTGACCTTAACAATGGAGAAGTCACCATTGGCAGTTGGTGCTACATCCTTGATGGTTGCTTTGCTAATCCATGGGTTAATACCGGTTGGAAGAGCAGATGGGTTTGAGTATTGGAAGTGGATGTCGAAAGCCTCCTTTCTGTAGAAGGTGAGAATCTTGGTAGATGGAATGGCGTTCTTGGTTGGGAAGGCTTCAATTTCTGTCTCGTTGCTCTCACCGGCTGGAAGGCTTGATGGGGCGTCCCAAGTAGCCTTGATACCGTACAAGTTGATGTCGTTGACGCTAAACTCTCTTACACGGAAGACTGGTGAAAGCATAGCGCATGCGAGGGTTGCACCTCTGACAACAGCCTCATCTTGGTTGAGGGTTGTTGAGAGGGTCTTTCCACCGAAGAATTGAGAAATCTTCTCCTTAATAGCTGGTACTCTTGAAGTACCACCAACGAGCTCAACAGCGTCGACTTGAGATTGTTCAATACCAGCAGCTTGGAGAGCTTCAGCAAGTGGTGCTTCAACACCCTTGAGAACATCGGCAGCTGCTGCTTCGAATTCCTCTCTCTTGAGCATCGAAGTGGCGTCAATGTCGTTCATCAAGTTTTCGACGTTAAGTGGAGCAACAGAGTTTGCAGACAAGACCTTCTTCAGACGCTCACAGCCAGCAGCCAATCTGAAGGTTGCCTTTGGGTTTGAGTAGACGTCAATCTTGTACTTGCCCTTGAATTCGTTGACAAAGTGATCAGTCAAGACCTTGTCGAGGTTTCTACCACCAAGGTGACGGTTGTAGGCAGCGCCCTTGACTTCAAGAGTGCCCTTGTTGAAAGCAACAACGGAGACTTGGAAGTTAGAGTGGCCAGCGTCAACAAAGACGACGTGTCTTGGTGGTTGGCCTTGCTCAGGAAGCTCTGGCTTGGTGATACCGTAGCCCAAAGCGGTGGCGGAGAGGTCGTTCATGACTCTAAGAGAGTTGAGACCGGCGACCTTTGAAGCGTCAAGCATAGCTCTACGTTGAGCGTCGGTGAACCAGCCAGGTACAGAGACAACAACATCTGAAACCTTGGTACCAATGTCTTGTTGAGCAGTGTCACGGAGCTTGCCGAGGTACATAGCCATTAATTGGGTAGCAGAGAATGCTTGCTTCTCTCCAGCGAGGCTGGCTTCTACACCAACTTCACCACCAGCGTCGACAAGAGGAGCACCGATGTAGCTCTGCTCGGCTTGAACCTCAGAGTCAGCGTAAGCGCGTCCGATAAGTCTCTTAAGTTGGCTTGCGGTGTTTTTGAAGTTGCTGAGGAATGCGCGTGTCAGTGTGGCTAACCTTGGTAAAAGAGAGAAGCCCACCTAGTCTCAGCGGATTTCGCAGCTTCACCGAGAGTACGGCTCTTTGGATTAAATCCAGCCTGCGTGGGGTGTGAACGGGTGCTGCTTGCTGCCTTGAAAACAACCACTAACCATCGTTGGGGTGCTTCTGTTGGAAACCTCATTACAGATGATATCGATACCTCTAGATCTTGCACAGGCAATCGTACTGCTGAAGTTACCAATATCTAATCCTACTACACTCATTTCAATATGTTGTTCGTTGTTTGTGCGAAGTCGAGAGGATGCCTTCTTCGACTTGCATTTTTTCAAAATTCCGGAATTTGCTGGAAAAGTACAGAGTCCTAGAGGTATTGCTTGTGGATTGAGTGGGCTGCTATTGTATCCTGTGTAACCCTCCTACGGCCCACTCAAGCTTTGGAAAAGATTTCCTCGGCAATTTGACATCATTGCTTTTAAGTTTGAAGCGGTGGCGCGGTACAAATCGGCAGGCCTTGCGTTTATAAGTATCAGCGCACTCCTCTTAACCTCATGATACTCGCTTGACGCGCTGAACGCTTCTCGATGAGTTCAGCTCTGTGACTGCCTGTAGTGAGAATCTTAGTGTATTTGAATGTTATTGAGAATCCCTGAGGGGCTGTTCATCGCGTCGCAGGTATTTCCAACCAGCTGTCCCTTTGTGAACTACGATTGGTGCAATTACAGCGTAGAATAGCTACAAATAAAACTGCTGGCATCCCTCTCCAATCTATTCATAGCCGTTCAATTTATATTCCAACCGCTGTCTTCTTAATCTTCCACCATCATCATGGCTTATCGAGGAAGCCAGCAGGGGTACAACCGGCAACCACCTGCGATGTACCAAGCACGCCACCACCAAGGCTACAACAATGGCTACGGTTATCCTCACGATTATCCGTCTCCTTGGCGCTTCCAGCCTCACTATCAAGCGCCCCCAGACAGATCAGTAGCTCGGAGTCGACCGTACAGCAACCACAGCACACAGCAGTATAATTCATCCCGCCCACAACACCCCACACACTCATCACAGCCGTCGCATACTGGAAACCACCACCACCAACAGCAACACCAGCAACAACAACAGAGGCAAAAGCGCAGAGCTGACCCGCAAGCTGTTAAAAAAGAGCAAGACCGTAGAGACGATTTGATAGCTCTTGAGAAAGAGCGCAGACTGCTGCTGTCGCGTACTAACCCTCACATCAAGCACTTTGAACCTTACTTCAACCAGGCTGAGGCGGAAATTTTGTCACAAAGGCAGCATGGCAAGTTTTCCCATAGACAAGCTGGTGAGATTAAGAGGTTTTCAACGGCTTTTATAGAGAAATTGGGCAATCAACTCGGTTTGTGAGTTTGAGTGTTGGCAAATTCGTACGCGCTGACTGCATTACAGCCCTAGAAGAACAATAGCTACAGCACAGACATTATATACAAGATTCCATCTATTTTACCCTATTAAAGACTTTAATCCGCATGTAGGTAGTGCAATCGTCGCAATCCACGATTCCGACACTGACAACCACTAAAGGACGTCGCTGTCGTGGCTACCTTTATCTCTGCAAAGATGCACGATACTCTCAAGAAACTTCACCAGGTGGTAGCAGTATCGATGCACATAAGATTCCCTGAAAAGTATAAAAGCCCCTCTATCGATGATAGTGTGAGTAGCTGTGGCAGTTATACAATTAATCTCACTAATTTCGCACAATCAAGGTCTTTGAGACAGAGAAAAAGCGATTACTGCCGATTGAGCGACTACTCCTCGAATCCATATCCTTCTCTTTCAAACTGAAGAGACCATTTGATATTTTGATTAAGCTTTGCAGGCTTTTGAAAGGTGGGTTGTTTTGCTGGCATAAACTATTCTAACAGCTCTGCTAGTATCCAAGAACTTCTCCAAGACCTGTTGGAAGGTCCTTGCAGACTCGTAAGCGGTGTAATATATTGGTAGTAAGCGGCTAAACACTTCTTAGACATCGGACACTCGCACCACTGCTGCATTCACCCCATACTCTCGCACTGTCGTCGATTTATCTCACGAGTATACTTGTCGAAACAGATCACCAACACCAAGAGACGAGTAAGCAGCTAATAAAAAAGTTTGAGGCTTACGAAGCATCTACGTGGCTGAGTGAGTACGGAACAGATCTAGAAAGTATAGATTGTGGGTGGATCAGTGCTTTATTGATGGACTTATTTAACAAAGAAACGCTCAGCCGTTGTACACTTTGTGCTAGACTTATTCATCGACGAGAGCGAAGTGCAACACACAAACACAAAGATAGAGCTACCCGATTTCATCCAGACGAAAATAAGACTACGGGAAAACGCAACCAAGCGGGAGTCGTGGCCAGTGACGCAAGACAAACGACGTCGCAATAGTAGGGATATGGTAACATCGGCTCGATCGCATATAATAGATGAGGGACTGCTAAATACCGCCGCTGAGCAATCAACGAGATATTTATTTGATTAGTATTCTTACTTTCTACATGCATACTATAATTACTGCCAGATTACATCGCCATGGCTGGCTTTGTCTGCCCAAATGTTGCGTTTGTGGTATAGTTTCCGCATCTGTTTGAATTCCTTAACAAAGGTATCTATATGCTGCTGCTGCTCTTTAGGGTCACTGTATTCGTCCATATTAGCGGAGGAAATGAAGTCTGACGCAATGGTCTCGCTGAGATCGTCCTGCTGCGAAACAGCCTGCTTGAGACGCATGGTGAGGAAAGCAGTTGAAGTCTTCTGTGGGAAAAGTGCGTCAGACGGAGTCGATGCTGTTGTTATCGCAGCGCAGATAGATGCTAACGCTGACGCTAACGGAGATATCGACGCACATGATCGATATCTTTCAGTTGCTTTTCTATCTCATTCCAACGCGTGTATGCCGCCGTAGCTTCATCGTACGAGTGCTGCGTATCCCGTCGCAATGCCATCAGCGTCTCGCCCAGCTCCATATTCCGTTCTGCGAGGGTGTTTGAGTGTGCGGTTGCGTGACTAACCTACACCCACTCGCCAAATCCTCATTTGAGAGCATCAGCAACTCCTCCCGCTTCTTAAGCGCTTCGGTGCGAGGCAGCGTCGAGTACACCGCATCTAGATAGCTCGGTGACTGCAGAAGCTCCTCGAGATCTTGTCGTCTGGGCGCGATGTTAGCTGCGAGCCCACTTGGTCACATCACCACGTCACCTACGATAATGATTCTAATTCTGGGAATTCTTGGAAAAGTAGCGTCATCGATGTCTGCGGACTGCCTCGTCTTGATGGTGGAAGTCAGAGAGACCAAGTGATGATAGTATCGCTCAAAGCGGACTTTGAACAGACTGCCAGATCTTTTTGAAGGCCAGAGAGAGTCAAACGAGTTAGACAAAGCTTACTGGGAGTAGCGCAGACTATTTACGCGGAAAGGGTTATACCCGTCTTACTATGGCCCCCAAGACGGCGAAACGCGAGGATTGGGAATTCATTGTGGACCCCTTGAATACCGCAGCGGCGGCCGATAAGCATGTGACTCGTGCCTTGCCTTTCTTTGTGCTTCACGAACCCGCTACCCTTGTTCCTAGTCACGCGGCTATCGAGGGATGTTCTCGGGGCCAATCAGGGAGCTATATGAATCAATAGCGGCTAGACGGATCACGGAAATGAAGCTGAGAGCATGCGATGAAAATATTTGAATTGAAAAAGTGGCTTCTTATATATGTATCGTGTTGTAACATCAATTCCGCTGCCTGCTCGTGCGCATGTCTTGATAACGGTGCGATTGTAAACAAAAATGCATATAAAAAGAGTCTAGATCCGCCGTTAATTCAAGTAGAAGGCTCTTGAAGATCTCCTAAGCAAGAATTGTCGGCTTCACTCGTGTCAAATTTTTCGCTGGTCGCTTTCTCATGGACGTTAGCGACATCCGTCTATCTTGGAGGATATTTGAGATCTCAAAGCTTTAATCTTTTGATCAAAGACTAGACAGATCATTGGGCGTGGCTTCGTTCCTCCACACCGAAATTGTAACGAGATGCGAGCAGCGATGGACACGCTTCCAAATGAGCTGATCTTATACCTCATGATTGACTACAAGGCTCCTGAATTGTTGCACGTCTGCAGCCGTTTCTACGAGATCGGCATCGAGGACTTCTGCACAGGGAAGCATTATAGCCCAAAGACGCTGATATGTGGGTCCAACTAGCTGCTTATCCACAATTATTATACTTCCATATGCAATTTCAGTCCTAATACGATATACGCAAACACCATCAAGTTCGTGAGAAATGAGGAAGTGGATGCTGACAGACTGTAGGGAGCTCCAGCTCAATCTCAATCAATTTATTGAAGATTAATACATTGAAAATTGGACGCGTCTGGATGAATGCATGAATCTCGTTGATATCATCGGCTCCCTTCCTAAGCTCAAGAAGTTAATTTTAACACTGCACAGGCTGCTTGATCCCCATGATGACTTAGCGAGGCTTATCGGAGAGTCTTTTAGCCGCAGTGATCTCACCATCAACATCGAATAAGTCGATGACGTTAGTATTAATAAATTGGCTCGCGCTGTTCTCATCTAATACCCGAATCTTATAACACTTCGTTTCCATAGACCTGGTTTAGTTGAAAATCCTGGCTTAGTCCTTGATCGCCAAGAGAGGTTGATTGCTAAGGTTTATGAAGCATTTCAGAAAGACAAAGATGGGTTTCTAACTGTTCCAAAAGTAACAATATTAAATATTACAATTTGAAATCCTATAAAGGTCGTCGTTTCTACACAACATAAACAGAAGCAAATTTTATCGATATTTAGAAATGGAATAAGAAACAGGGCTACAAGGAAGCTACAAGGAGCAACAGTAAGGCTTTGTCAGATATTTGTTCAGAGTGTCTCGGTAAGCCTTTTGGCCACATGCACAAGAGAAGGCCCGACAGTGATCCACTTTCTGAAACTGAATTTGACATGCTTGATGAAGATGTTCAAAGATATGCGCATCGTGGCCACATGTTTAGAGATTGAGTACCGATTACTTCGCCTTACACGATCAATGCGCTTCGTAGTGAAATAAGGAGCATCATCGATGACAGTATCAAAGAGCACAGTCGTTATCGCGCATATGATGTCGACGAAAAATGCAAAGAGGCGTTCAGTCTCGATGATGAAAAGCTCACAATCGACAATTTTTGTTGAATGAAAGATTCCAAGTTGAGTATCGCTAGCAGATTCGGTCGGTACACAGATTCTTCTTGTACATATGCATTTATTTCGAATTTGCAGAGATTTGTACAAGTATTTGAAATAAGGGATACACAGTAGACATACGTTAAACATTGCATCATATTACAATTCGTGGAGACTGGAGGAATCAGAGAAATGACAAGGTGGTAAGGCTTATATCGTAATAAAATTCACCTCACAGCCACTTCCCACCTCGGTATCGATCTTCACATCGGAATCACAACAGTTACGTACACTGACAGCGGGGAGAGAGGAGCGAGAGAAGACAACACAGAGTCCTGAGATCTCTTCCGCAGACAGCACAACAAAGCTCACGAATAAATTTTAAATTTTAATTGAACAACAAGCTGGAGCTGCTGGTTGTAATCGACCATAACAGCCAGAGTTGCGAGTCGTGAGTAAAGCGAGCAAAAAGGTGTGGACAATGTATATTAATATTTGGGCCAGTACACAGAACAGCAATCTCTACGCAATTTCTATCTGACGTATCATATTCTAATCATCTCCAACGATGGTGAGGCAAATTGCAGCGTGTGGGAGATGACGCTTACAGGGAAATCCAGGAGCCACAAAGCATAGATTACTCCTCACAAGAAGATGAAAAGGCTGGTCTCGTTTCTGAGATGGAGGTGGATGACACACTCTCCGTAAACGACGGTGCGTACATTGGCGCGGGGAAGACGCTAAATCTCACTCAACCGTAGTACCCGCTTTCGTTGAACGCAACTTATCAGACTTTGGCCACGAAGTCATCGATTTCCAGACGTACACTTGGAACTTGGCGCACTGGACACAACTCGATAGGAGAATACAGAGTCCCGTTTTCCACGTAGGAGGACATCCTTGGTAAGTTTCTATCTGTAGTCTGCTCACCAGTGGCTCACACACCTCCCAGGAGAATTCTTCTCTTTCCTTTCGGTAACACGAATGGCAATGGCAACGAAATGGTTTCCATTTATCTCGAGTACGCTGACCCACGTGGCGCTCCTACTGGCTGGCACGTTTGTGCTCAGTTCGCACTCGTCATGTCCAACCCTTCAGACCCAACTGTTTTTGTCACCAACCAAGCACATCACAGATTCACAATCGAGGAAAGCGACTGGGGATTTACTCGCTTTAGCGAATTGCGCAGACTATGTATCCCATCAGACAAGTTCTCGAGACCAGTCATTGAGGGTGAAGGATCCACCATCACTGCCTTCGTAAGAGTTCTTGATGATCCTACAGGCGTTCTGTGGCACAATTTCGTCAACTACGACTCCAAGAAGGAGACTGGATTCGTTGGTCTTAAGAACCAGGGCGCTACCTGCTACATGAACTCTCTACTGCAATCCCTCTACTGTACAAACTACTTCCGTAGGGCTGTTTACCAAATTCCTACAGAGGAAGACCATCCATCTGAATCTGTTGCTCTTGCTCTTCAGCGCGTCTTCTATAACCTTCAAAACTCATTACAGCCAGCTGGAACAACAGAACTCACCCGCTCGTTCGGTTGGAAGTCGCTAGATTCTTTCATGCAACACGATGTTCAAGAATTCAATCGCGTTCTCCAAGACAAGTTGGAGGAGAGAATGAAAGGCACTGTAGCAGACGGTGCTATTACTGATTTGTTTGTTGGTAAGATGAAGTCGTACGTCAAGTGCGTGGATGTAGATTTCGAATCATCACGAATTGAAGACTTTTACGACATTCAACTCAATGTCAAGGGAATGAAGAACTTGTACGAGTCATTTAAGGACTACATACAGGTAGAGACACTCGAGGGTGACAATAAATACCACGCTGAGGGTCATGGTTTGCAAGATGCTAAAAAGGGATGCATTTTTGAATCTTTCCCACCAGTCCTCAACTTGCAATTGAAGCGTTTCGAGTATGACCTCCAGCGCGATGCAATGGTTAAAATCAACGATCGCCATGAATTCCCATTCGAGATTGACTTGAAGGAGTTCCTTGATGATGGTCCAGCTAAGGAGGAGGACTGGGTTTACAGATTACACGGCGTTTTGGTACACTCCGGTGATTTACACGGTGGTCATTACTTTGCACTCATTAAGCCGGAGCGTGACGGACAGTGGCTAAAGTTCGACGATGACAGAGTCACTAAGGCTCTTGATAGAGAAGTTTTGGAAGATAACTATGGTGGAGAAATGCACAGCAACGTCGTCACAGCGCAAGGACCAAAACCACAATTACGCGCCATGAAACGCTTCACCAACGCTTACATGCTTGTTTATATTCGCGAACAGAAGACGGACGATATATTGAAACCATTCACAAATGATGACATACCACCACTACTTCGTCAAAGATTAGATGAAGAGCGTGAAGCAAACGAGCGCAAGCGTCGTGAACGTGATGAGCAACACTTATACTTGACGACTAGAGTTATTTCAGATAACACTTTCTCCACTTATCAAGGCTTCGATCTTGCAACCTTTGAAGATAGGAATGTACCAGCAACAGAGCTTCCAACAATTAGAGCACTCAAAACGATGCCATACAATGAATTTAAAGAGCAACTCAGACATCAATTCGGTTTAGGTGATCGTAAATTTAGACTGTGGATGCTTGTCAATAGACAGAACAAGACTATCAGACCAGACACGCCAATTCTTGAAAATGATCCAACCAAGACACTTGATGCTATTAGAGTGGAGCTTTCACCAAGACAAAGTGACCTTAAGCTCTATTTAGATGTTGAGAAAGAGAGTGACACTCTGTACGGCAAACCAGAAGATTCAATAATGATCTTCTTGAAGTATTTTGATGTATCGAGACAAACACTGACTGGTGTTTGCAAGGTTTACGTGTCTAGATCGGCTAAGGTTGGAGATTTACAGGATATTATACAGAAGGAGATGAAGTGGCCACCTGGATTACCATTGAGGTTGTACGAGGTATGTTGATTATATGGGTTGTGGAATCCATATCTAACAAATATTACAGGAAATTAAACCAGGATATATAGAACCAATGAAGCCAAAGATGACACTTGCACAAAGTGAATTACAGGATGGTGACCTTGTTTGTTTCCAAGTAGAGCTCTCAGATTCTGAGGTCAGGGATTACGAAGCGCAAGGAATGAACGCTGATCCAATCTCACACTATGACTACCTCCAAAACCGCGTACAAGTGACATTTAGACCAAAGTACAAGAATCAAATAAGTGAGACTGTTAGCGAGTTTAATTTGCTGTTGAGCAAGAAGACTAATTACGATCGCATGGCTGAATTGGTTGGCGCCAAGGTGAAGCAGGATCCGCTCAAGATTAGATTCACAACGACACAAAATACAAATGGAACACCAAAGTCTATAGTGAAGCGCAGTATGAATCAACCAGTTCAGGATCTCATCACACCAGGCTATTTGACAGAGAATTCCCATGTGATTTTCTATGAGTTGTTGAATATCTCAATAGTTGAATTGGAGACGAAAAAATCATTCACGGTAACTTGGACGGGACTCCACAATAAAGAAGAAGGCACGTATCCATTTTTACAGCCAAAGACATCTACTATAAATGATGTGGTTGAGCAACTAGCTAAGAATGTGGAGTTAACAGCAGAAGGATCGCAAAAGATAAAGATATTCGAGATCTGGAATGGAAGACATCAAAAGGAATGCAATGGTTTGGAGTTAATTGGTAATTTATCAGACAATGCAGAGTTATTCGCAGAGGAAGTGCCAAAGGAGGAAACCGAAGCTAATGAGAGTGAAAAAATCATCAACGTGTTCCACTATTCGCGTGAGCCACAACGGTGGCATGGAATTCCATTTAAATTAGTAACCAAGCCAGGTGAAAAGTTTATTGACACAAAGTTGAGATTACAAAACAGATTGAACATTCCAGAGAAGGAGTTGTCCAAGTACAAGTTCAGCTTAATTACATCGATGTATTATAAGCAGCCAAGTCTAATTGATGACGGTGACGTAATCCACGATCACAACTTTGCTCAACAAGATGCACTCGGATTGGATCATATTGATAAATCTGGGAAATCTAACAAAACCGCTGAAAGGGGTATTTTGATTCGTTAAGCTCAGCTAAGCTCAGCTCACCCCGTAATTAATGAAGAAACGCTTTAACAAATCTCAATCAATCAATTTCAATTCTAATTTCTAATATTGTCTTGATAAAAGAAGAAATGAATTTATTTCAACTATCATTTAGGTGTTGTGTGTTGAGTAGGTGTGCTTTCAGTTTTCTCGCAGGCGGAAAGCGTGAGAGAGGGTTGTGAGGTGAGTGAGCGAGATATAGCAATGCTATTATGTTGTGCGAACAGGAATAAGAAAAATGAAATTACAAACGCAATTATCGCTGATCCAAAATTATCTGCTTACGCGTCATCAACCGAGCCTTAACCACTGACAGTCAAGATGGCTGAGCCGAATGGAGAGCGAATCGAAGCAGAAGCAGCTCCAATGAAGGAGGATGAGAAGGAAGAGAAGCCTGATCTATTCGAGGATATACCTGAAGATATTAGGAATGATTCTATCGACAGCGTCAAGACTCGCAGCAGAATGATTGATAATGAGATTAGGGTGAGTTGTTTAAGTGTATTCTACACGCACTCCTCACACTCTTTCAGATGTTCAAATCAGAGCAGCTTCGTCTCAGTCATGATATGAGAGCTTTAGAGGAGAAGATTCGTGGCAATCAAGAAAAGATTAGGCAGAACAAAGTGTTACCCTATTTGGTTGGAAACGTCGTTGAAATCCTTGAAGTTGATCCTGAAGGCGAAGACGACGGCGCTGCTCAAGATCAGGACTCAATGCGTAAAGGCAAATGTGCTGTGATCAAGACTAGCACTAGACAGACAGTCTTCCTTCCTCTCATTGGTCTCGTCAAGGCTGACGATTTGAAGCCTGGTGATTTGATTGGTGTTAATAAGGACTCGTACTTGATTCTCGACACTCTCCCACCTGAATTTGACTCTCGTGTCAAGGCTATGGAAGTTGACGAGAGGCCGACTGAGAATTACACTGTGAGTGGAATGTTATAAAGTAAGCACTCAACTCAACTATAATTCAGGATATTGGTGGATTGGAGAAACAAATCGAAGAACTCGTTGAAGCTGTCGTCATGCCAATGAAACAGGCTGATAAGTTTGTCAGACTCGGTATCAAGCCACCAAAAGGTGCGCTTATGTATGGACCACCTGGTGAGTTCTAATTAAGATGCAACTTTGTCTTATTAAACTTGAAAAGGTACCGGTAAAACTATGCTTGCTAGAGCTTGTGCGGCACAAACAAATGCTTGCTATTTGAAGCTTGCAGGACCATCGCTTGTTCAGGTGGGTGATTACTACGCGTAGTATTTGTCAACTGACTCAATACAGATGTTCATCGGTGATGGTGCTAAATTGGTCAGAGACGCATTCGAATTGGCCAAAGAGAAAGCACCTGCTATCATTTTCATTGATGAGTTAGATGCTATCGGTACTAAGCGTTTCGATAGCGACAAATCAGGTGACAGAGAGGTACAGAGAACAATGTTAGAATTACTCAATCAATTGGATGGATTCAGCTCAGACAACCGTATAAAGGTGATTGCAGCAACTAATAGAATAGATATTCTTGATCCCGCCTTATTGAGATCGGGTAGATTGGACAGAAAGATTGAATTCCCATTACCAAATGAAGCGGGTAGAGCACAGATATTGCAGATACACTCGAGGAAGATGAACGTTAGTCCAGATGTCAACTTTGAGGAATTAGCGAGATCAACAGATGAATTCAACGGTGCACAGATGAAGGCAGTATGTGTGGAAGCAGGTATGATTGCTTTAAGGGAAGGCAGTGAGATAATTGAACATGAGCATTATAACTCTGGTATACTTGAAGTGCAAGCTAAGAAAAAGCAAGAGCATTACTACTATGCGTAGAAATTGTAATAAACAATGAAATGAAATTTTTCTCTCTTTTGATTAAAGACGAAAGTCGATCATACTGGACAAATTTTGCATTTCAATCAAAATACAAAAAGGATTAAAAGAATGCGACGAGTTTACTCATCTGGGACGACTTGCTCTTTTGAAGAAACGTAAACACCATCCAAGAACTTACGGATATCCTTGTGGCGAACACGACAGACACCTTGGATGGAAGCAGCGGATTGAGAAACGTTTTGGATGTCGTTACCGGTCAAGATGACTTCATCCTTTTGAGATTGAGATTCTTCAATCTTGACACCTTCAGCCATCTTTACGTTTCTGACAGCCTTTTCACCTAAGAAGTTTCTGATCTCAACAGCGGTACCATTCTCTTGGATGATGATGTTGATTGGAAAGTGGGCATAGACAGCGCGCATTCTGTATAAGAAACCCTTGGTGACACCCTTAATCATGTTAAGGATGAGGGACTTGACGGTACGCAAGCAAGCAATGTGCTTACGGCCACCGTGCCAGACGACAATCTTTACGATGGCGGAGCTGTCAGACTTTTGGCCAACCTTCTCGAGGCGGAGGTCCATGTTGATGTGACGGACGACCTGGGGGAGTTTAGAAGGGGAAAAAGAGACAGACCAACAAAACACACCTTGGTGAGCTTACCGCGTGGACCTTCGACGGTGATAACACGGGATTTGATGTCAGCGGTAACACCCTGTGGAACCTCGAGCAACTCGTCGTTGTAGATTGAACGCATTCTGGGATATGAGTGAGTGGTTGTTTGGGGATTTAGGGGGAGTGGGAGTGGCTGGATTGTGTCTTCCCTTCTACCTGCTTTTAAACCTGATAATCCTCCAATTCGCCCAGTTAAAAACTTAAAATGCGTATAAAATCCACAGCTACCACAATCCACACTCACTTATACTCCCCCTATTGTTTCCTCTCTTACCTTTAGATACTTGGGGTCCTAGTCGAAGGGAAGAATCACGCCTAGTGAAATCCTTCTTGAGCAACGATTGAAAAATTTAAATTGCATAATATTCATTTTTTGTGCGTGAATGGGTATCATGAGAGTGGTGTGACTGTTGTGTATGGCTTCATCTCTAAATCATTTGCTCGTTGTGCTTCTGCTTGTAGAGGTGGGTGATATAGAGATGTAGAGTGATATGAATGATATCGAATGAAGAATACGCGTATCGTAATACAATGGTTAAATTCAATTAAACGTTTAAAATTATCAGCAGTTCCCCCGAATTCTCCCCCACGCACAGACGCCATTCTCTGATAAACACCACGACGAAAGCTGGAGAAATGGACTGTGATATATCCACATACCCTCCACACCCAATACTCCAAACGCCCAAGCTTTGTATCAGTGGTCTACGCTCACATACCATCACTTCCCAGGAGATCGCCTCTCAGCTGGTTGGCTGTCTCCCAGTGCGAGTTGTCGCGCATACAGAGCAAGATGCTATCGGTATACCCATCCACGCCGATGTACAGTTCAAGCAGCTCTATTCAGCGGAGAAGGCATTAACTATCTACCCCCAAATCACATTCCCTGAACATGAAACCACGCTCGGTCTTCTCCCTTACGATTCCCAAGACCAAGTTGCGCATATACCTCCACCGCCAGCCACTACTCCCCGCTTTTTCAGAAATCTTCCACAATCTATCACGCCTAATGAGGTTTATGATCTGTGTAGGACGTGTGGCCCTCTCTACTCGATCAAAATGGTTAATTCAGGTGTCGCTGTGGTCTGGGCTTGGGATGAAAGCACTTCTTTGCGCTTGGAGGAGGATCTCCACTGTACTGAGTATGAGAACTGCACCATTTCAGTTACAAAGTATGATTCCAGCAAGGAGTCTTCCCATTTACACCCAAAAGCTGCTGCTTTTGTTCCAAACACGCACTCAAACACAACCACTGGCTTACATACACCCCATACACCCTCCTACTTCGGCCACGGCCCAGGTCAGCAGGTGCAATACACAGGCTCCAACCTTATAGACCCCTGCAACCTCTTTGTGAAGAATCTTGACCATTCCCTCGCGTCTAATGATCTCTTCGACGCGTTCAAGTCGTTTGGTCATATTGTCTCTGCGAGGGTGATGCGCGACGAAAACGACCAGTCGCGCGGCTTCGGTTTCGTCAGCTACCAGTCACCCGAATCTGCCAAGGCGGCCCTGAATGCCATGAACGGGGTCGGTGTCAGGACGAAAGCGATAACAGTACGTTTCCACGAACCTAAACAACTGCGTCAGGAGAAACTGGCTGCGAGGTTTTCTAAAAACGACAGACTGGGTGTGAGCAGTCCTATCAGTCCAATACCCAGCGACTACGGGATGAATTCTAATCTAAACTCCCCACCTCTATCAGCCACGCCGAGCATGGGTGGTGGTGGTGGTGGTGGTGGTGTTACTGTAAATGGCAGACGCGGATCAGGTTCCTATTTCAAAGCCGCGCTGTCTGCTCATATGGCACCATCGCTGGGTGAATTCAAGACGATGACTGCTTCGATGCGCAGTGAGATGCTCGGTGGACATCTGTTGCGATCACTTCACGATGTGGGGGTGAGTGATATTGATGTAGTTGATGCTGTCGACAGATTGATAAGCACGTACGGACTGGATAATCTCGTCGAATGTTTGCACAACAGAGACGCTTTGCTGAGGTGCTACAAGGGCACACACGGGGCTCCTGTTGAGGCACACTTGAATGCTCTCAGAATCGATAACAGCGTTGTAGGCAGCTCAACAGATGTCATAACACCAGCTTCAGAAGAATCGGGTCGTCTCATCATCGCTGTACAGAACCTTGGCGAACGTGATTACAAGAAGATTGGTGAAATGCTCGGCCAGCTCGGGAAGAAGGAGAGAGCCATGTGTCTTTTTTCGAATGAATACCTCATACAGAAGGTGAGAGATGCCAAGGTGCTCGTCGAGGTCGAGTGCGATAACGAAAAAGATGCAAAGGATGAAAAGAATAAAGAAGGCGGAAACGATGAGCAAATGAGGGCTCAAGATGCGCTCAAAATGGCAGTTAATGAGATGGGATTGCTCAATGAGGATATTTTCAGACACACACAGGATTGGTTCGAAGGATTACAGGGATTGGAAAGTAAGAAACAGAAGCAAAAAATAGGAGAGAGGCTGTTTAAGAAGATCAAGGCGGAGGGAATTAAGGGGAATACAGCCAAAATAACAGTCAAGTTGTTGGACAATGAGGATCTCTACAGTATTTGCATATTAACAGAGATTTATCCAAGCTATTTGAACAAGGTAGTCAACTTATACACTGACAAAATGTAAAAAGACACTTTTTGATATATAACGATGATCTTGACGTTGTTGAACGTGCTCGTCACATTCTTGATACCAATTTATAAGTCGTACAAGTGCCTCAACGTTGGGAATGCCGAGCGGCAGGCGTACTGGTTGATGTATTGGGTGATTATTGGCTGTGTGAGCTGCGTAGAGGGATTGTTGAGGTGGTGAGTGTTGTGAGTGTACACATGATAAAAGCTCAATCAACCCAGGATACCATTATACAGATATATCAAGATAGCTTTTGTTATTTACCTCGAATTACAAGGCTCGGAGGTTGTTTATGATAGTTTAGTGAAGGAGGTGCTCCAGAGGCACGAGACGGAGATTGAAGACGGTCTTAGGGGGCTCAAGAGAGGCGTCTATGATTTGGGTGTCAATTACGTTAAGCGAATTTACAGCGCAATATCCCAGCAGCAGCAGGAGTACATTCCACTCGATGACGAGCAAGAGCGGGAGCAGAATCAGGAACAAAGTTCAAATATCGCGCAGCTCATCAGCTCATACACACCCACAGTCATAACCAACCAGCTCTCCAATCAGCTCACAAGGAGAGGCGCGAAGACTGACGATCAGCAAAAGCAGCCGACGCAGCAAACACAGCCAACAGCGCAAACGCAGCCCAAACCAAAAACCAACAAAAACAAGCAGCAGCCACAGGACACATCAAAAGACGCGTCTTCGTGGCTATTTGGCTATTTGTGATTATTTGTATATCCCACCAAATCCATCGTTGATTACGACTACCACTATGTCTTCCACGCGCCAGCGCGGGAATAAATCGACAAATGACAAAATAATACTCGTCCCGCGTAAGTCTGCGTTAATTGTGGTGTACGCCAGCACGAACACACGGCTGACATAGTCTTCAAGCATGGGCTGGTGATGAACCGTCAACGAGCCAGCCGCACGACGAGTATGAAGAGCATGGGCGCACTGGCCCTGTTGAGCTCTTCCACGCCTCCACCACAGACCTCACCCACCAGCTATACCCAACGCATTCGCAAGCGACCAGTGCCGATCTCAAGTGGTGGAAGCTGACGCTACCTGCGAAGCTAAAAGAGAAGGAGAGAGACAGAGAAAGAGACAGAGACAGGGAAAGAGAGAAGCCTACGTCGAGCCCGATAAACCCGATGCGAGCGTCTTCCGATAGCGATCACGATGGCAGCGCAAGTCCTAGTGCTAGAATAGGGCCTTCAAATCTGGCCCAATTGCACGACCAGACGCACCAGATGCATCCTCCCCGCTCCCAGCTGTCCTCTTTCGACGATAGCTTCATTGAACGTCCTAGCACGTCTTCCCAGCAACACCCCACGCTGAGATCACACAACAGACTAGCGAAAAAGGAACTCGACAATGCAGCTCTCTATCGACGACGCAAATTGGGAAGACGTACTAAAAAAGATAAGCTGCGTAAATTTCTTCTTCATTCCGCATACGTACCTCTTTTGTTCAGAAGCTTGAATCTCGGTTTCACTACTGCTACACTCGCTGTGTGCATTCGTCTTCGCTTGCTCGAGGGCAGACATGGTGTAGTCGGTATTTCTGGCGCGGGCGCTATCATCGGCATCATTTTCGCACCTATGACTCTCACACACGTTATGGTGTCTATATATCTGGAGTATTTCTACGGTCGTCCTATCGGTATTTGGGGCATTCGCTCTAAAATGGCTCACACTCTTCTCGATTTGGTATTTATTTGCTTCTGGTCCGCTGAGCTGTCGCTTGTGTTTGATAATTACTTCACTTCCCTCCTCAGTTGCAGCACCAAGTCAGCGTGAGTTGTGGTATTTTTAGCGGTGTTATGATAAGCTCATGTCTTTACAAAGCTGGTGGTCTAATGTCACACAGGCTAACGAACGTACTACCGACTCTCTCATCAATGAAATTGAGCAGGGTACCATGTGCAACTATCTCGGTGCTCTCATAGGACTGGTGTTTGTTGGGATGGTTTTGTGTAAGTTTGCAAACGTAAACGCAATTGCAATTGCAGTCTAGTATCTTTTTCACTACTAACACACACCCTCAGACCTCGTCAACCTTATTGTCAGTCTTTATAGGATTTACGAGCGTGTGCGATTACACCAAGTGTTGTATAACGAATCTTCTTAGCATGCTTTTTCCCAATGGTTTGCAAGTTTTAGTGGTATGAAAGACTAATAAATACTTTATGCAAACTAAACAAATTACACACTGGACAAGTTACCTGTTCTGCAAATCTATCTGCATATTCTGCACAAATGTCTTGCGCTGCCAATACAGCCTCATTTCCAGCCTTTGTAAAACATCCTTGCATCTGCTCTTTTCGAGATCAGCGTTACGTGTATCTACGATCATCCCACTGAGTGAGCGGAGAAGAGTGATGAGAAGGGCTATGCTATCTTTATCACTATCATTATCACCATCCCCATCTACAAAACTCATACTCGGTTTGAACTTTATCATATGTCTCTCTTCGATGAGGTAAGTTTCCAAATCTGTCAGCACTATTGAAAGTATTTCAACGCAATCGGTGAGATTGTCATAGTCTGTATGCTGATTGACGGTAAATTTACCATCCACATCCTTCAATTGTTTTATTATGGGCTGGATGTTTGGTGATTTTTCATATTTCTGCGTATCGATAGGCTCATGTTTCCCATCGAGCAATATAGCCCATGCCAGCCATCTGCGCATGCGCATTGCGCGTAGTGTACCTGACGGGAATATCTCCAACATGCTGAGCTGGAAAGCGGGAGCATGTCCCGAAGCCGCGTTGAGGATATTTGCGAGGACATGAAGATCAATTTTGAGGGCGTCGTGGGTGTTGTGGGTGACAATCTCACTCCTTCCGCTTCCGATGGAGTCGAGTGCATTGCTCGCACACGCCGCTATCTGGGGGTAGATGCTGCTCAGTGATCTGTCCATCAAGAGTAGCACCATCGTCGTGAAGAGCCCGCTAGTGTCGCCGGTACCGAGTAGCGAAAGTGATGTCATGGAATGCATTAGCGGGATCAGTCGCGAGAGTATCTTTATACGCTGCGCACTCTGTCCTATCAGCTCCGCTTTATCCTTTTTCGTGAGATTTGGTGTGTCCATTCCCATCTCCTCACTCCTCCCACTCTCCCTGCTCTCCCCGTAGATAAGGCTCTCGGTCGCAATCGACATGCCGAGGTAGGTGAGGGGTGCTAGCAGATCAGCTAATCCAAATGGAGCGCTTTCACGGTCATATTGAGGCAGGGTATCTTGGAGGATGCGCAGAGCAGTGTCTTTGAAGGGTATATGTTCATGCATAATCACTGACAGGGGTAGGTCGTCAGCTGAGCATACTCACTACATAAAGAATGCAACTCACTCAAATGGAATATCAAGTGCATTATACTTACTGGAGGTCGAGTGTGTGCAATGACAGTGCGCACTATCACTGACATGTACACACGCTCTTTGTCCATGTCACCCTCTGAACGCACCCGCTTGTACTCCACCAAGCAGTCTTTTTGGAGGGGAGAAAGGTCGCTTGTAGTTAGCACCGTCTCGAGCAACGCGTCGATTATCGTGTCTGTATTGGGATCGCGGTATTGGGCAATATCGAAGAAGCTGTAGTTGGGTTTGTGCTTTTTGTATTGTTTGTCCTTTTTCATCGTAGCTTTGTCGGTAGTGAGCACATTAGCTACGACATTTTTGTATGTGTGTGTGTTGATGTGCTCATTTTCATCGTTTTCATTTTCATTCCCATCCACTTCCAATCGAGGTGTGTGGATGAGAAATTCATCGTCGTCTGAACTAACCGCGTCTTCTTCACCCTGTAGCGCCTCAACCTCAGGTTTCTTTTCCTCATTAAGCTGCCGCTCTTTCTCCAGAAATCTCCTGTAAGCATCCTCCTGGCCCGCAGCACCCGCTCTGAGCTCATCATTTGTTGTCTTCTCTTTGAGGAGCTGTCCCAGTATCTTAGATGTATCCATTTTCTTCATCTTCATCTTGGGGAGAGACGGCGATGGCGATGGCGGAGGTTTCGATGATTTCCGCGTGCGTGTGTGTGTGCTGTTCTCCAAGCGATCATCGACCGTCTCCCCTTTAACGCCAGGCGCCTCACGCGCCTCACACCCCATGCGTCTGTCTTCTCGTTTGCGCTCATCGTCTCGCTTGCTGGCTGCTGCTTTGTACGTCGCCACTACAACATCACCTTGATCATCATCTGAGCTATCGTCGCTGATTGCAATCGGTCCTCGCGGTGTATGTTCGTCGTCGATATTTATCGCCATTTTACAATTTCTTTACTACACCTTTCAAACTGCCTTTCACCTTGTTTGTCTTGGGTGGTTTGGGTGTGCGGGGTGTGTTGGCTGGTGGTGGTGGTTTGGTTGAGCGTGAGCGTGGTGGATGCGTGGGCTGTGAACTCGTCCTCGCCTGCTTGAACTGCGCTATTTCTTCCTCCTCCTCCTCTCGCCGTCTCTTCGTCTCGGTGTTCTTGCCTGCGTTGAGATCATTGAGGTATCCTGCTTCGTCTGGTTCAAGACCGCGGAACTGGTCTGGTGTGTGAGGTGAGTTGTGAGCGTGTTGATACAGCTGAGCGTTACTCGCATGCGTTACTCACTCGAAAACTTTGTCTTCTGCTCAAATTCAGCGTCTTTTTCTGCCTTGCGTTCGTATAGTTGCTCTGCTAGTGGTCGCTTATCCTCCTCTTCCTTGGCCTTGTTCTCCTCTGGCTCCTTCTGTAGCCTCTCGTACGCTTCTTTCCACTCTTTGTCGCCATCTTTGCTGTTTACGCTGCCAGAACTGACAAAGCCGGAAGACATGCGTGATGATGTTAGAAACGATAAGATGTAAATAAACCAAGAATGCTTGGATATTATTAATGCATATGTACAATTCGTTATTCAGTTGTTCAGTTATTCACTCAGTCACTCCTCCACGACACCAATACCTCGTCTGTCCTGAACCGCTGCTTGCAGTTGGATTGCTCAAGTGGTGTCACCTGACCCATTCTATGCTGTAAAAGACCAGCTTGGGCTATCATAAGACCATTGTCGATGCAGAATCTGAATATTTGTGAGTGATAAAATACCAAAATCTCCACAACTCACCTCATATCCGTCGCAAACACTTTCCCACCTCTTTCCTCAGCCATTATTGCCATCATCTCTTGTAAACGCTTATTGCAGCCGACACCACCAACAATAAGCACTTCCTTCGACCCTACATGTGCCATAGCTCTCTCTGTAGTCTCAACCAACATAGCGAATGCCACTTCTTGAAGAGTGAAGCAGAGATCTTCTTTTGTAAAGTCATCTTGAGTCTCTGCAGCTGATTTGAATTGCGGTTTGGTGGTGTAGGTGGATGTGGCAGTGAGGAGGCCAGATAGGGATATATCCATACCTTTAGTGGTGTAAGGGAGTTTAAGCAGTTTATTACCTTTTTTAGCAGCTTGCTCGATGTTGAAACCGGGGCTAGGATCGTTAGGCAACCCGATAACCCTCGCAAATCTATCGAGGCAGTTACCGACTGCGATATCGAGTGTTTCACCGAATATTCTGTAACGCTGTTGGGAGTAGGCGATGACTTGAGTATTGCCGCCAGACACATAGAGCACAATAGGGTTCTGCGCACCTGTGATGAGTCTGCCCATCTCTATATGACCAACGCAGTGGTTCACGCCGACGAGTGGTTTGCTGTAGAGCAGACTGAGCGTCCTGGCTACCATAGCGACGGCAGTGAGGGGAGCACCCATACCCGGACCTTTAGTGAAACAAATGCAGTCGACGTCTTCAAGTGAGAGCTCAGCGTCGAAGAGGGATTTCTGGATAATCTTCACGAGCCACGCTTTGTGATGTCGAGCAGTGTCTGCAGGGAGGAAGCCAGAGCCTGGGGGAGTGATGTATGTGTGGCGGGGATTGGAGAGAACGTCGACAGAGCCATCTTTGTTGTGCCTGACTATCCCTGCGCCTAATTTATTAGCTGAGCCTTCTAAACCGATGGCGATGTATTCTCTGGCTGGGCGGGGTGAGTGGGTGTGGGAGTAGCGCCGAGAAACGACGGACACGTATCCATATTAGTGAATGAGACAACTAGTTATGCTTGAATAGCTCCCAGGCGACGTAGTGTGCAATGACCCAGATCGTCAGCAGCGGTACAAGACCAACAGAGTATACAACAGTTTCTAGGTATAAATTTGATTTCGCCGTGAAGACTAGGACTAAGCCTGTTGCTAATCCAGCCACACCAATCACAAACAAAGATAAAGCAGCGAATATCATGCCGAGCTCAAAGAATATACATCGTTTCCAATTTACATCTTGGATAAAATTTTTAACGGAGACGACTGGGAGGGAGTTAGTTTGGATTATGATACACACACACACACTCACCGTGCTTCTCTCTCAGATTCGAGCAATGCAAGGATGTCAGATTCACGGACAGGACCCTTGACGTTACGGATGATTGAACGGGAGGTGTCGTCCAAGAATTCAACGCGGACTTGAGTGATACCACCACGGGATCCAGTTCTACCAAGGACCTTTATAGCTTGGATCAGCAGCGCCTACAAGCCTAACAATCCACCCACCTTGGTTACCTTTGCGAGCTTGACTGGCTGCTTGTTGGCGGCTGGTGCGTCCTGAACACAGTGTCAGATTTAATTGGTTTTGTTTCGTCTATTTTACCATATTTAAATCTGAGTGCTCAAGACGAAGACGAAGAACGCTGCCCAGCGGCTGAGGCTCATCATCAAAAATTACAGTCAAGTGCAAATTCAATTTAATTTATTTTAATTTATTTTGGTATATATGGCTTCTAAGATATTGTTATTGTATATTCATATAAATACCTGCCTCTAAACCAATTTGTGCGGTAATCTATCCATCTCGCTCGGTTTACTGTGTATTGAAAGATGGGCAACACTGGTGTAATTGCAGCTGCCTGATTAGCCTCACACAGTCACCATATCCTCGATCCACTCGTATTCGCCGACGTGTGCACATCCACACTCGGGCTCTGAGCGAGACACATCCATACTCATACTCCCGTTCTTAGAACCAGCCCACTCACAGCACCCACAATCCAGAACTATTTCTACCAAAATTAATATCCTCTCTTTAACTCACACCGCCATCAAGATACCCACGGCGATCAGATGAGAGCGATAAGGAAAGCTCTGACCTCCAGCTTCCATTATGGCAAGGATAGAGATAAAGACAAGGAGAAGAGCAGCCGTGAGAATGCCTCTACAAACACATTAGCCACGGCAGAGACAACAGCGACAACAGCAACAACAACGACAACAGCCACACCGACGTCGTCGACCAATGAAGCCAGAGACGAAAAGCACGTTCAATTTAAACACACTTCCATCGTGGATAGCGCCTCTGATGTGAACAGAGCTGCCTCGCCCAACCCTCCATCTCTCGTCGCTTCCGCTTCGGCTTCTCGTCTACCAATGTCTCCATCGACGTCGTCATCAGCTTCTGGTACCTGGTCCGGTATGGTCCAGTTTGATCTTGTCGAGAATCTCAGCCAGAGAGAGAGAACGAGGCAGGAAGTTCTATGGGAAATAGTCGCATCCGAGATGAGATTTGTTGATGATTTAACAAGCCTCTATGAGCGTTATATAAGTAAAATGGACGCTAATTTGCCTGAAAAGATGAAAAACTTGATGAATAGCCTCGCTATCAATATATTACCAAACCATGTCTCACTATCGAAGGATTTGAAAGCGAGACACGACGCTCAATACCCTCTTATTAGATCATTGGCGGATATCTTTCTCATACACAGCCATAATTTACAGTATTACTCAACGTATGTCCTTCACCTCGAATACACACTGTCTGTAGTGGATGACGCAATCAATTTGGCTAGCAAGGGTGTTGTCAACAAGCGCAGCGAAAAGTATGACCGTTGGAAGCTCGGAACGAGATTAATAGCATTAGAGGATGAAGCTCAAGCAAACGGTTGTGCTTCGCTGGCTATTTGTCTCCTCCACCCTTTCCAAAGACTCCTGAAATACCCCCTTCTCTTCCGCGGACTCTTATTTAACAGCGATCCCTCCATGATAGAGTATGAAGCGACGTTGAAGATGGTTGAGCAAGTAGAATCCATTGTTCGTTCAATAGAAGATAAAAAAATCCAAATAGAAGAGCGCGACAAAACTCGCGATGCATTGGCTCGGATTGAAGGTATAGAGAAAGAGCGCAGTCTGATGGCACCCAAACCAGGTCGACTGCTTGTGAGAGAGGTGTGTATAACGCCCTCAACAAATCCGCCAACGAGTTTCAAGGTGAAACATGGTTCGATGCCTCCTCCACAACGACCACAAGTGATAAAGAAATCAAGTTTAAGACGTCTTTCGGATCTACTGCCTAATTCAAACTCACAGTCACCGCTGTCACAAGGAAGTAATGCGGAAGACAGGAACAAATACACCAAGAAGGATTTGTGGCAGGTGGAGTTTAATGATGTGACACTGCTTTGTCAGCGCAGTGGCAGAACGACTTTGCCCATCGCCAGCAATAGTCAGGGCAAAGGTGTCAGCGAGAAGCCAACGGCGAAGCGGTCCTCGCTGACGTCGACGTCGACGTCCAACAGGAGCGACAGCACGAGTGCGGGAGTGGGAGTGACCGGACGCAACCTCTACCGTTTCATAAAGGTGTGTCGCTATTACTGTTTACAATCTGAGTCACCAACTTAGACCGCTCATCAGATCTCCAAGTGGAACATAGCAGACCAGTCGGAGGAGGGGATAGTATCTATGAATGCTATAATGCGCAATCGGTCTGGCTCAGAGGATGCAAGCAGTACGTCACCACTGCATAGGAAACAACTCCCCTTTCCATCACCATCACCCTTCCCGTCGACATCGCCGCGCTCATCCACCCTCCAACGCCAGTATAGCGACGACGCTAGGAGCCACGCCTCCATCAAGACTAAGGTTTCCTTCAGCTATGAGCGTGGTGATGAAATGGTCCCGCGCGTCCGCCTGCGTCCCAAACCTGCGCGTGGTGGCGTGGGTGGGGGTGTGAGTGAACAGGAGGATAACAAGGAGGAGGAGGAGAAGGGGGAGGGAGAGGGCAACCGGGAAGGCGGAGGTTTCCAGGAGCAACAGAAACAGATGGTGAAGCTAAAGCAGAAGCAACAAAAGCAACAGCAACACCAAAAACAACAAGATCAGCAGGAACAACGGAGACAAAATGAGGCGGAGAGATTAGAACAACAGCGGAAGCAAGAGCAACGACGTGCAGCGGCCAAGTTTGGTACGCGTCTGCGACCATCTAATGCGAGCCAGACGAGCATTAACGTGGTGCATGAGAGACCATCGAGTAGGGCGACGACAGCTGGACAACCTGCGCAGAAAGAGGTGGTTGTTCATAGGACCCTCACCCCACAACCCCCACCTACTAGCAGCAGGGCGAAACTGGATGCCGTTAATAGGTCGTCGGGTAAAGTGCAGCGCAAAAGAGTGCAGTTGTACGATGAGAAGCTGCCGCGTGGCGTTAACGATAGGAATGATGAAAATGACAAAAACGGGAATCGTGTGAAGACTGCTACTTTTGACAAGGCTGAGAAGGCTAAGCATGGTGAACATAGTGAGCATAGTGAAGAAGATAAAGAAGATGAAAACACCTCTAGCACTCCAAACACAGCTAATGGATCCATCTCAAGCTCCTCTTCTATGGACACCCACACCAATACTCGCACACCCCGCCATCGCAAGTCAAGAGCTGCAAGCGAGGACTCAGGGATGCTTTTGGCGAGAGTAGCACAACAGTACCTGGCGCAATCGGAAGTAGGACAGTAATAATAGTATAGCCTCGGAGTTTTACATGTACGTATGTAGAAAGCAATTATTCCAGTCTTAGACAAGATGTGATTGAATATGTTTGAGACAGTCGGCGTGAAGGGTGATCCAGACATCGTCGTGCGTATACACATTATAGAATGGCGGGAGAAGCTGGGTAGGTGACACGAGACGGTGACATCGGTAGCAGCTCTGAGTGAAGAGCGTGCGCGTGTAGCTGTCGAGCAAGGCCAAAGCGAACGGGAGGCTGCCCTCGAATGAATCCACTGTACCGCTACAGTAAGCTGACATCTGCTGTGTCAGTGTGTGTTGCGATGCTAGGTGGTCTTGCTGTCGTGTGCCCTCATCGGAAGTGCGTATGTTGATACGCGTCGCTTTGTACTTATCGGGGGAGAGAATGAGCAGGGCGTGAAAACCGTTGTTCAGTTTCACTCCGATGCTCGCGTGCTCCACGTATCGCACTCCCAAGCCGGGGAAAGAGGGTATGAGCGAATCGAGAAGACGAGTGACATCTTGGTGGGAGTGGAGAGGTGGATGGGAAAAGGAAGGGATGTATTTGAATTTAGGTGGCTTGAGCGTGCTTTGGTGTGTGTGCGGTTTGTTCTGTGTGTGCTGTGTGTTCCGTGGCCGACTATCCACCACACCGGCGCTATTGGACTGCTCGCTAATACTGGCATATTCGAAAGCGTCTGATTGGATTGATTGAGCTAATTGGACCTTTATAGCTACTCTTACCTTTCAAATCAACCGTCTGGGCTTTGAGTACTTCAATGTCATTCAATCCCCGCCCGGCAGCATCTGTGACATTCTTGTAGCAACTTAGCTGCTTGACTGACTCCCGTATTCCACTGAGCCGATCTTCTAGCTTATCCAGTCCATCCACGTACTCGCGCAGCTTATCCTCAGCAGATGACATCGTCGTGAAGAACAATCATGTCTGCCGATAACAAATCGATTGAATCGACGCAAGCATTTGTTGATTGGTTTATTAAAAACGGCGGTGAATTCAGCAGCGATCTCGTTAAAGTGGGCGACAACGTCGATGGAATGGGCCGTGGTCTTGTCGCTGTTGCTGACATCAAGGTGTGTTTCGCCGTGAGAGAGAGAAATGGTGGGCGCTAATGGCTTAATCACCACAGCCGCAACAAAGCTTATTCTCTATTCCCCGCCATATCGTTTTATCCACCAAAACCTCGGCTTTCAAAGACGTCGTCGGCAACGACGTCTACGCTCAGCTCCAGAATGGCGACGAGGCAAATTGGACGCCACTGATCATGGCTATGTGCTGGGAATATTTACAAGGTGAATCTTCTAAATGGCACTCTTACTTCTGTGGGCTGGCTTTATTGTCGATGTGTTATCATCTCACACTTCCCAGCAATTCTCCCAGACCAATTCACTTCACTTATGTTCTGGCCTAAACAAGATCTTGATCTTCTCAAAGGCACCACTGTCATCACGCGAATCGGTTTGGAAGACATTGAAGCCGAGTACGGCAGAGTGAGCCAGATCATCAAAACGAATCACAATGTCTTTGGTGACAGTCAGCGCTACTCCCTTGATCTCTTTAAGAGAATGGGCTCGCTCATCCTCAGTCGCAGCTTCACTGTCCTCGATTGGAAACCGGAAGAAGAGAACGAAGACGGAGAGAGCGATGAGGAGGAGGAAGTTGATTTGCGCACGTCCGTTGATGTCGTTTCGATGGTGTGTTATGTTTCTTCTCTCATTCTCACCGCAATCGCTCATCCTCACTTCAGGTGCCAATGGCTGACATACTGAATGCTCGCTCCGATTCTGCAAACGCACACACTGAGTATGAAGAGCACAATCTTCGCATGATCGCCTTGAAGGATATCAAAGCTGGCGAGCAGGTATTCAACACTTACGATGACCGTGTGTCTTGAAAATTTTTACTCGCTCAACACTCACATCATCCAGCTCCTAATTCAGACTTACTGAGACGCTATGGTCACGTTGACTACACTCCTCTCAGTAAAGACAGCGAATACATGGGCAATAGATACAATGTTGCCGAGATCCCAGCTGACCTCATCCTCGAGAAAGCCCTACCAAACGCAAATGAGAAAATGAAAGAGCGTAGAGTGGAGTTTTTGCTTGACGAGTGTGGTGAAGAGTGCGTTCCGTTTATGGTGACATATCCATTGTAACCGCCCTCCACTAACATGAAACTTGCAGTGTTTTTGAAATAACGAATGACGACGCTGTTCCTGATCTACTCAAAATCTGTGTCGTTTTGTTCACTCTTCCTGATACTGACTTCAAGAAACACGAGAAGAGCAGGAAAGTGCCTAAAGCTAGCGTATTTAGTAAAGAGAATGCGGAATTGTTAGCTAAGGCTATCAAAGAGCGCATCGAGCAGTATGGTGGTGTGCTTGAAGTGGGTTTCTCTACTCCTGTTTCACTCTGTCTCACGTAAAATTGTAGGACGACATAGCCAAGCTTGATAAGTCAGACACACTCTCACAAAATCAATTTAACGCACTTGTTTTGACAGTCGGCGAGCGCCGCATACTCACAAAAGCTCTCGAAGAATTAGACAAAAATGACTACTCGCAGAAAAAGCAACGGGTAAATTAAATAGAAAGTGACAATGATATTGTTCTTGGTAGATAAATTATTTTAAGTAGATGTGATATTTAGTTGAGGAGCGTTTTGAGTTGATCGACGTCTTTAACGTAGCCACCCTTGACAACTTCCTTACCGCTGACGAAAGAAAGACCTTCACCTTCATATGATACGAGTGGTGAAAGTTCAATCTCAATATCGTCAGCAATTACAGCGCCATTCTCTTTCAAGTAGCGCTTAGACAGGTTGAGCACATCTTTGCGTGATGTTTCTGGAGTGTCTGCTTTCGATCCAGGTGCATTCTTGAGTGGAGAGAACTCATCAGAACGCTCAACTTCCAAAAGAGAAAGGTTGGTGAACGGGAAGACATCAAAAATGAACAACTCCATCTTGACACCGTTTGGTGACTCTGGTTTAACCTCTGCACCAGTCTTGAGATCGACTGTTGGTATCTTCTTTCTTGCGATGTGGTAAGCGATCTTGTGTTCGAATTTTGGTATGTCATCACGAAGGAATTTGGTAGTGTAGAAGTGGTTGGCGATGTTGGCAGCGTTGAAAGCAAGTTTGCCAGTGTCTTTGTCGATCATTTCAGCAAGGTTGTTAGGGATTTCTGAGTATTCAACGACGGAGAATTTAGAGTCTCTCAATGCAATCACACCAACTGATTCGTGTGCATCGCGCTTTTGGACAACCTTTGCACCACAGTCGACACCAGAGTGGATTGAATACCCGATGAAAGTTGGGTCTGCAACCTTACATAAGGAATTGTCCACGCAGTACGCATGGATGTACTCGTAGCCCTTCTCAGTCAAAATATCGAGTGGAGATTGAGTGGATGATGGTGAGATGGACTTTTTACTGTGGAGCGCGTTGTAAACACCACCGTTGCCATCTGGAGCCACAGCAACCGAAGATTTTGAAGAGAGAATGACTTGACCATCTTCAGTGAGACAAGGTAAAACGCCTGAAATTTTTGTGAGAGGGGTGTATTAAATCCATTTCTACTCACCCTGTTCAAAAAAGATAACATTTTCGTGCTTCAGCCCAAAGTAGTTGTTTTGTTTGAAGAATGTTTCAGTCGTTGGGCGAGTAGGACCGGAAGTCATAACCAACCAAGGAATGTTAACTTCGTTTACGTTCTTGCCCTGCTTTTCAGCAGCCAGCTGCTCAACTCTTGCGATGCGCTGGGCTTGCAACTCGAAAAGAGTCTTCTGAGAAGGCAGACCGACGTCGTACATACCCTTAGGGTTTGAAGAGCCCAGACGAGTGCCTTGGCCACCGGCCATGAGAATGACGGCGACCTTGTTCTCTGCAATTGCATCCAAACCTTGATTGTACCAAGAGGTATGCTCGTTGGAATGCACAGACTTTACGCTGTCTTGTGGAGGAGGAGTGAAAGCATTGTCTGATGGTGGCTGCTTCTCTGCTTCTAATGCCAATTTGAGAATGCTGTCAATGCGTTCAAAGTCCATGCCTTCTATTTGGCTGAGTAGAGACTGCTTGTGTGCGTCGTCGAGCTGGTTATAGAATGTAAGCAGCTGCGTCTGGTTAGACGCTTCTAATTTTTGCTGGATTGATTCTAAAGACATTTGTGACACGTCGTTGTAAACACTCAAGAGAAGTCAAGTGCAAGTCAAATCAAATGAAGGTTTTGACTTTAAATATCTGGGGACTCAATAAGGTCTCAAAATTCAGGCAGCAGAGAGTGTCCGCTATCGTCTCATCACTTTCAAACGATCTTGCTGATATCATCTGCTTACAAGAATTATGGCTCGATAGCGATTTTGATCTGATTAAGAAGAATTTGAGTCATATATATCCACACTCTGTCTACTTCTATTCGTCTGTCTTTTCTACGCGCTTTTAGGCCCTCTGACACGCTTCTTAGTGGGTTAGTGGGCAGTGGTTTAGCTATCCTCTCCAAACACAAAATTATTGACTCTGAGTTCTTTAAATACGATCTGAATGGTCCTCCTTTAGAAGTCATCAAAGGTGACTGGTTCTCTGGTAAAGGTTTTGGCCGCGTTACGATAAGCTCCCCAGACTTTGGATTGGTGGATGTCTATACAACACACTTCCATGCACCCTACTCTGAATCCGACAAACATGCACGATTTGCGCACAGACTCTCTCAAGCCTGGCAGCTGTCCTCTCACATTATCAACGCTCACAACTCAGTTATCCTCACTGGCGACATCAATTCCGAGCCTTTCACGCTTGTTTTCGATCTGCTCCGTACTCATGCCAGTCTCACTGACTGCTGGGCCGTCGCTCAGCCCACCAACGACAAAATACCGCCCCATTCACCCCAAGACGCAGTATTCAGATGCGGGTACACTGCAGATGTAGCACTAAACTCATTCCATCAGCAAAGATATCCTGGCTACACACCTGGTGACGACTCGCCTCGATATGCCGGTGGAAAACGTCTAGACTATGTCCTGCTTAAATCTTCGGTTATGGTCCCAACTAAGTCCGAGATTTGCTTCAATCAGCTTTGTCCGCCAAATTACACACACTCTTACTCTGATCACTTTGGTGTTGTCACCACATTCGCACTCAAGGAAGCACCGGCTTCGCCAACCAGATCTCGTCATAGCGATAATGAGATGTGCTACTTGGAGACGACAAGGAAGCTAAGAACGTTATGTAGGCATTCTGAAAAGCAGTCTGTTAAGTATGTCTTCTTCACTGCTCTTCTCATTGTGTTCGGCGTCGCGCTGATAGCGGCGTCGGCTTTCCCTCCCACCTCGCACTACTCGCCGCTTTTCGTCTTCTTTGGCTTTCTCGCCGGCGCTGCTGGAGCTACGTACCTCTACGTGGGATACATTTACGGCAAATTCGAAAGACATAGCCTCAAAAATCTCCTCGGACAGATCGAGCGGTACATTGAGCACAGTGCAAACTAGCTTTACCTTTCTAATAACTAGTTTTTATAGAGTTCTTTATACATGCGATTATGTGATGATCAGGAGGACAAAGGCTGTCTTTGTTGTTGGCAGCACCCCCAACCCTATCTGGTGTGCATAAAGGTGTTTTCTGTTCGTTATCCACGCCAACTCACATATTAATTGCAAAGGTGAGTTGTAAGTTATCTTCACAACGTAACTGATGTCGGGTAGGTATGTGGAAGTACCCGGCTTCATGAATGAAATCGACGGGAAGTAATGCTTTCCGTGCAAGCGTCATGCTCCCAACGCCCAAATTGGCAAATCAAATATTGCCACTCGCGAGTGTCGCGCGAATTTCAGTGAAATCGCTATCACGTAGCCTCTCGATCACTCTTATTTCATCATTATTTCATCATGCATACCTCCATCTCGGATACTGATGCATCTTATGAACTGCGTAGTTCTGCATGCACTGTGACGCATGGTACATTGCAGTTGTGATACAAATCGCACAATCGGGAAACGCGTATAAATATGGACATTGTGCATTTGTAGCCAAACGCCCCAACATAACAACATTGAGCAATCATGAGATGTTACAAGGTGCGCTAACATCATCAATAGCCTTAGCTGAAAACTGAGACGACTGCAGCAGCTGAGAAACAGAACGTGGAGATGCGGTTTTTGTGGCATCCATCGAGTGCAAAAGTAAACATGATGAATGTTTTGCCTGCGGAGCCAATCTCGAGGCAGTCGTCTTCTAAACGTGTGTCAAGGAAAATATTCATGTGTACATTTGTAATACAGAAGAATTGTGAAAAAACTGGAATAGAGGTAGCTCAAGTAAAAGTTCAATAGGATATAGACGTTTGAAAAATGCACACTTGAAGCTGGTGTTTAAATCCACATTCGAAGTTAGTTTGAGCAAGTAACTTTCAATGGCAAGTTGCGAGAGCTGTTTCCGACGTAGAACACGTACTCTCCAGATGGCATTACCCAGGTTTGTTGCACAACATCCCAAACTGACAGATCCTTGATGCGCAGATCCATCTCAACCTGTTTACTTTCACCGCTCTTAAGGTTCTTCACTTTCTCGAATCCCCTGAGCTGACGGATAGGCTCGCCTTCTGATGGGATTGTCACGTACAACTGAACGACTTCCGAACTGTCCATATCTCCAGTGTTAGTCACTGTCGCTTTTACCGTCTTCACTGTGTCGTAGAAGCTATTTGAGCCGTCGTAACTAGCGAATGGCTCGTTGGTAGCTTGAATTTCCTTATCATCCTTCTTGTGGTTATCCTCAACGCTGATATTAGAAAATTCGAAGTTAGTGTAAGAAAGACCAAATCCAAATTCATAGCGAGGTTCGATGTCTTGCTTGTCGAACCATTTGTAGTCGAAAAAGAGTCCATCTTTGAAATACGATTGAGGGTTCTCATCATCGCTTCTAACGATAGTGTTTTCTGGCCAGTCTGATAATTTCTTACCCCAAGTGTAAGGAAGCTTGCCGCTTGGTGACTTTTCACCAAACAAGATTGGCACAAGGCCGTTTCCTGATTCTTGGCCGGGGTAATACGTCTCCACGATAGCAGTAACATTGTCATTGTCAGCCCATTTCTCGATGTCGACAACGCCAGGTGTGTTCAACACTAGGATGACGTTCGAAGATGCCTTGACGGCGGTGTCAAGGATCTTGGCTTGCTCCTCAACTATGTCTAGATCATCGCGATCTTCTCCTTCCTCAGCCCATTCGCTGACAAATACGAGCGTAGCATCAGCTCTTGATGAGATTTCGTTGATCACGTCTTCATCGTTTTCAAGCGCGTATGAAAGTTCAGTGCCCTGTTGAATGACCTTCTCCTTGATCGCGTCGAGAGGAGTGACTTCATACGGTGAAATGGTGTATCCCGATCCTCCGCCAATAGTGATGGTAGACATTGTGTAGTTGCAAGAGGTTCCCGAGTCGCTGCATGCGCTGACATCAGTACCATCGAGTGCACCGACAGCAGCGAGGCGTTGAGGACGGTTGAGTGGTAGACCGCCATTATTCTTCAGCAGCGTAACAGAGTCAGTTGCTAAATCGCGAAGAACCTCAGTTGAGGAAGGATCACGGACGTTGGTGTATGTTGATTCACCGTCCTCGAAGTAGGGGTTTCCGACGAACTTGACCTCGGGCGGAGTGTGCTTACCATCTTGACCGAGCCAGAAGTAAGGTGTCAACATTCTGTGGCATGCGTCGTCCAATCTGCTTTCAGAGACCGAGCCGTTTTTTACCAACTCAGGCAAGTCTTCCCAGAAGGATCCAAAGCCGCCGCCGTATCCAACACCTGGGAAGGATCCGTCTAGCCCGGACATTATAGAGTCGACATCAGAGTGCACTCCACCCCAGTCCGAGATGATGGCGCCTTCGAAATTGAGCTCAGTCTTCAATAGGCCATTTTGAGCGTGAGCATTGCCACAGGCGGTCGTTCCATTGATGTTGTTGTAGGAGCACATGACCATGCCAGAACCAGCTCTCACACCCTCCGCGAAAGAAGGCATATAGACTTCGTGCATAGTCCTGTCGTCGATGTTTGAAGAGATCGGCTCTTGGTCAGTTGACGAATCGGTTTGGTAAGGGTGACGAGCTGTCTCTTGTTCGTATCCGATAAAGTGCTTACTGCGGTGCGTGAGCTAGTGGCGTTTGAGCATCGTCAGACCTACATTGTAGCTGAGACATGGCTGTCTTGAAGACCAGTTACACTTTCGTACGTGTATATGCCATTAGAATAACTATCAGCAAATGATCCCTCCTAAACAAGTCTATTAGCAAGTGAAACACGTTGAGGATATTTTCAGCCGCACCCAATTACGACCCATAAGAGGTGAGCGTCCAAGAGGGCCTGATGCTACAGGTGCCAAAGCGACGTTAACGCCTTTATCGAAGAACTCTTGTCCCATGTGCTTTGAACGTTGGTAGATGAGTTCTCTATCCCACGTAGCGGCAGCTGCCTGTCCCACTGGGTAGGAGCTTACTCCATGTACTGGACGCACACCTGTAGGGCCGTCCCTAGCAGCTAACATTAGAAAGTCTCACCATGCTACACCCGCACTCACATCATGCAAAGCTCAGGGATACCGAGACGTTCTACACCATGAGTCGTACCGACACATCTGCCATCATGTGAGAGAACGATGCCACCCTTCTCGTCAACAGTCATCTGTGAGACGACATCTTTGGCTTTCTTGAAAGCATCTTCCCATGCCTTTCCGCCGTCGGCTTTAGGTGTTGGGTATTTGTCGTAGTCGTTGGATTGGTGATAAGCGTCGTACATGTCGTCACTGACATTCGCGCTCTTCGTATTTTTCATGTCGTCATTGCTGCTCGTGCTGCTTTTGCCATCCATGTATCCCAAGCCGTCTTCTTGTCTAGTCTCGACAGCGCGGGCGTCAGTGAATACCGTCAGTGCGACGGCGAGTGTTATGAGGGCTGAAAGTTTCATGATAGTTGTAAGGAAACAAGCAAGAAGGCTGAGGAGTATTAATACTTCTTGTTTAACCTTAGATCTGCTGACTTGCTTAGAAAGGATTAATCATGAAATATCTTGAACGCGGACCGCAATGGACGGAGATGAGCAAATAAATGAAATCGATCTGAGATCAGACTGTAATCAGCCACGTGTTGGGACAACTTGGCACTGTTCAGACTTCCGTCCTCCGATTCAAGGTGATCATTTGGCAACATGTTCCTACGATCATCACCTGGTAAGAAATAAAGAAGTGACTTCGACGAGTGAAAGTTCGGTCGGACTTGCGGCATTTTTATAGATGCTAATTGTGGAATTACCAGGCTGTCGTAGTTAAAAGATTATCAAGACAAGGTGGCACGCGTGACCACCGGTAATCCAAATCGCGTTCCTGGATTACAAAAGCTGGTCTCTTGACATTTCAGCATTCAGCTCGCCATAACTATCATCCTTCATTCGCTTTGTAAGATGCGTCTCACGTGGTGATCGCGGATGGTAATCCGGAATAGAGCATGTGGATTCTAACTTTTCAAGACTATTGAAAATAGCGAAAGTGGTGCCAGATGCTATCTGCGTTCGTCAAAGCTTATCCTTGACACTCAAATTTAGTGGATATAATGTAAAAGAAATTGCAGCTTCAACACCATGCCGTAGCGTGTTGTAGCATACCCTAGCATATCTAGAATACCTGTGGGTTTTGCATAACGTGATTTTAATTGAATCTCGCAAGAAGTATTTGCATTTCAGACCCATCAAATCATGCAGCACATCCGACGTAGCAATAGTCAAGGAAATCGTGGTGCATGGGGTTATGAGTATATCGAGCTGGTAATAAGGCTATAACATAAACCTGCTCAATGCCTCCGCTGAAATATCAGAGTCAACCAACCTACTGACCTCCGTTGCCTGGTGCAGCCCATGGTCAGCTTGTATTTCTTGCAATCCTTGCACGTCCAATGCACCCACATTATCGTATCGGATTATCGTAGGTATGCTCTGTACATTCCATTGCGTGCGGAACACATTCGTGGGCGACTTCCATGAGGCGATGTCGCCTACTCTGACAATCTGAGCGAGAGGAGCGCTCTCCTTATCGAAAGTCTTTTTGATGATATCATCTACACTAAACAAGTGTAAGTAAACGGGTGCACGCCTTTGCAGCCTTTCATCCAACGCACTTGCGACAATCTGGGCACCAGGGTTCGCTGAACACCAAGTAGGTTGATGAAGGAGATTCTATAGCGCTGGCTGAGAATTGGACATTGATTGACCTCGGATTGGCTTCTTTCAGTGGCATCCTGGTGGCGCTAATCAAAGCAATGACGAAATTATCTATCTGGAAAATAATACATAGCATCAAATCAAATTCAAGATCACATCATAGACTTAGGCACGCCCATCTCGTTCGCTTCTTGCTCTCTTTGCTGATCCTTCTTCATCTGACGGGTTATCCTCCTCTGAGCGAACTCGTGAGTGGCAAGATCGCGAGGTGTCTGAGAGATAGGACTCTTATCCAGCTCCTGCTTAAGATCATACATAACTTCATCATCAGCGTGCGGTGTTACGAATGTGATTGCTTTCCCTTTCTTGCCTGCTCTACCAGTTCTACCGATTCTGTGGATATATGATTCAATGTTATTTGCCATGTGGTAGTTGCAAACGAGCGACACATCTGCTATATCGATACCTCTACCTGCCAAATCAGTAGCGACGAGAACAGATACGACACCATCGCGCAGTGACTGTAATGCTTCCTCACGCTGATCCTGCGTTTTGCCGGAATGGAGCGTTGTACATTCCCACCTAGCTTTGTTGAGTTCTTTCGAGAGCACATCTGCACTCTTCTTCTGGTTGACAAAGACGATGATTGGTGGGGCGTACTTGTCGCTGTTCAACACATCAAGGAGACGTTTCGTCTTCTTCGCTTCAGTGTCGACGAGCTCAACAACTTGTTCGACCGTATCGACAGCTTGGCCTGCTCCACCGATATTGATGACTGCTGGTTTCCGTAAGTACTTGCGCGCGATATGCTCGACGGCAGTAGGCATCGTTGCCGAGTAGAGGAATGTCTGACGCTGGATGTTTTCCTCAGCTGTACCCATCTGCTCTAAGATAAAATTAAGCTCCTGCTCGAAACCCATCGCAACCATTCGGTCAGCCTCGTCGAGGACCAGGTAGTTGCACTGCGACAAAACAATAATCGATCTTTCGAGCAAATCTTTTAGCCTACCGGGTGTGGCAATGATGATTTCAGCACCTGTTCTCAGGTTGAAAGACTGTTCGTCAACACTCTTACCACCGACCAGCGACAGACATTTGAAGCTCATCGGGCCAGAGAACTTCTTTGTCTCTGACTCAATTTGCTGCGCTAATTCACGCGTAGGAGCCAATATCAATGCATAAGGACCCAGATGGTAGTTATGTTCACTGATCGGCTGCTGCCTGCTGATGTAGTTCATCATTGGAATGACAAAGGACGCTGTCTTACCACTACCAGTTTCAGCTATACCGATAAGATCCCTGCTATTCAAACCAATTGGAATTGCCTGTCTTTGAATGGGCGATGGATCCTTATAACCAATCTCGTGAATAATGTCCAGTATTTCACCAGGTATGGCACTCTCGTGCCAGCTTCTCAGAGGTTTTGGTATTTGTCCCCCTCTCGCACTTATATTGAAATCCTCATTAACGATTCTCCAGTCTCTCTCTGTCATTTGAGACAGCTCCTTTTCGCGCCAGTTGCGAGAATCGTATCCGTGTCTCTTAGCCTGTCTGAGCTCAATGTGATCGACAAACTGCTGCTGATCTTTGCCTGTAGAGGATGTTGGCGGAGGTGGTCTGATATCCCTCGATACAGCGTTTGATAGAGCGTTTGATTCTGTGTCTTCTTCCTCGTCCCAATCAAAGTTCATACGCTTAGCCTCTGCAACTTTTCTGCTTTTCCTCTTGCGCTTCTCCTTCTCCCCCAGATAGCTGGCCTTGATAGCCTGGATTTCTTGTGATGAAATGTTGTCATCTGGTGGAGGTGGTGGGGAAGCTGGACGATCTGGATGGCTGTGAGTTGATGGCTTTACGCAGCACAACCAGCCACTCACCTCTCTTTGCTTTATCTCTGCCGGTTCGGTCATCCTTATCAAGAGAAACCTCACGAGAAGCGCCGAGAAGTCTCCTGTCCATCTCCTCCTTTTGGTCTTGTTGCTTTTTGAGCTTTTCTTGCTTTTCTGCGTGCTCCTTGTTGCGCTTCTCCAGGGCGATGGCTTCTCTCTGAGATTTAGATAGGAATTTCGGCTGTCGGGAGCAGATGAGATAAGCAGCTGGTCATCGCCTGATACTCACCTTAATCTGCTGCTGATCAGACGCTTGCTGCTTCTTCAATATCTCTTGAATGTCCATGGTAAGATGAACGTGAGCGATAAAGGTAGCGCAAGCACACGAGCACACGCGCACTCACGCACAAATACAAATCCTTCTTCTTTTCAAATCAATTATTAAGTACAACAAATACATTGTAACACTTTAAAACGCACTCACTCAATTCTTGATGACATCGTCAATCGACTTGGCGACGTACTCGACGTTGGAGGAGTTAAGACCCGCCATAGAGATACGTCCATTGGCAGTGAGGTAGATGTGGTGCTTGTCAATCAACTTTTGGCACTGCTCTGCATTCAGTCCAGTGAATGAGAACATACCAATCTGCGATGTGATATGGCCCCATCCATTGCCGTTTGGTGATGGCGTCTTGAGTTGGTTGTTAAGCTGGTCATAGAGAACCTCACGCATTTTGATGATTCTGCTTGCCATAGTCTTGATATCTGCCTCCCATTGGTTGAAGTTGGTTGGCTCATTGAGAAGTGAGGATACTAATCTGGCACCGAATGCTGGTGGGTTGGAAATTTCAGCTCTCTGGAATACAGAGTATTGTGTGCGTAATCTCTCAGTCTCGTCAGCGTCCTTGCCGATAAAGTGGAGAGCACCAGTACGTTCACCGTACAAACCAGCGTTCTTTGCGAAAGATTGACATATGAGTAATGGGATTTGCTTGTCAACAAAGTGTCTGACTGCTGCCGCGTCTTTGTTGAGGTCACCAGAAGCGAATCCTTGGTACGCACAGTCGAAGAAGGCAAAGAGTTGACGCTGGGCGAATACGTCAGCGATCTGCTTCCACTGCTCAGCTGTTGGGTCGACACCAGTTGGGTTATGAGCACATGCGTGCAATAACCAGATGCTACCCTTTGGTGCCTCGTTGAGGGCCTTCATCAAGCCATCAAAGTCCAAGCCAATGGTATTCTTGTCGTAGTATGGGTAGTTAACAGGCTCGAGACCGACGTTTGAGAAGATTGAGTGGTGGTTCGCCCAAGTTGGTGAGGAGACGTAGATTTGTTTCTTAATGCCAAAGGCAGCAAAGTCATAGTGCTTGGATAAGAAAGCGCCAGCGCTGTGGTTTGCGCCAGTGCCAGAAATAGTTTGTGCGGAAACTACGCGTTTTTCGGAGCTGGACCGGATGTCAGATTGGCAAGTGGGAGAAGCCGAATGACTCACATCGCAGCCGAGTTATCACCAAGGATGAGCTTAGCAGCAGCCGAAGTGTATTCAGGGAGACCGAGGATAGGGAGGTACTCGTGATCGATGTTTTCGTTGCTGAGGTAGTCAGCCTTTACTTTCTTGACCGATGGAAGGATCCAAGGCTTCCCAGTATCGTCTCTGTAAGCGCCCACACCCAAGTTGACCTTGTTAGGGTTGGTGTCCTGCTTAAACGCAGCGGTGAGCTTGAAAATGGAATCTGGTGGAGCCAAAGGGACTTTAGCGAAAGCGTCTATGGATGATGCAGTGGACATTGCTCTTGAAATGTTGTTTACACGACCTAAAGTGGTTCTAAACATGTAGTTCAAGTTGAAGAGGGCGCATACCTCGGTGATCGAGGTAGTCAATCGCGTAGCGAAACACGTGACACGCTTAAGTGCAAACTTTCATTCTATTTGCTTATTGTACACCACGCCATACTAAATTGTACACATTCCATTCCCCTATTCACGTAATCTACGCCTGCTCTGATGTAAGGTCTGCGATGTCTGAAACCTCAGAGAATTCCGGTAGCCTTGTCACAAATAATGGCAGCTTAGCGAGAGATTGCTTGGCCGTGGAAATGCACAGCCTCACTGTACTGAAATTATCATGCTTCCTCTTGCTGATAACGTTTCTCAACAAAGCGGCTATCGTTCTCAGCTTGAGCGGCTTGATTTGCTGCTTGGTGTACTACGTGGAGTACTCAAATCTCAAGGAATCTGAGGTGTTGAAGCTCCCTTTCAATCTGTAAATCGAGAAGTCGTAACCATTAACAGATACTAACTAACTGCAGCAAATTCCTGGTCTTGGTGATAATATCTCTAATAATTGTAATTCTTATAAAGTTCTTTAATCAATAGGCTACAATAGCTGTCATCCTACACACACCCTAGCATGACGTGAAGCCAGCTGAGTGGATGCAAACTGGGTTATATACGTTTGTATGTGTCACAGCCACCATAAACCCCCAATATTCCCCCTCTATTTTCAATTTTCATCCACACCAAGCCCACTTAGTTCATATCCTTGTTCCAACACGACATCCATGAAATCTCTAAAGAAGCTTGGATTATCAAAGTCTAAATCGAGCAGCAGCAACTCAAGCCAACCTAAAAAGCCTGAAGCTAACAATCCAGGCATATTGGTCACAACTGAGCACCCACAAGACCCAATACCTCGTCCACAGCACGGAAACCTCGATTCAACTCCCCCAAAGACTTCTAGAATGCAGTCTAAGCAGCATTCTCCAAAGGATACTATCCCAATCACTGGAAAGCCTCCGAAGAAACAGAGATCCTCTAGGTTCCATGTCAGCCATCCACAAAAATTAGAGCCGTTGCCTGCATTTTTAGACGTTCCTGTACAGGATAGGTCCGCGCTGTTTATGAAGAAGTTACACCAAGCTTCTGTCATTTTTGATTTCAACGATGCTTCCTCGGACTTGGAAGGAAAGCAAGTTAAAGCAGGTGCTCTACATGAAATGCTCGAATACGTGACAAGGCACAGAAACGTCATCACTGAGCCTATTTATCCAGAAATGGTTCACATGTTCGCTTGCAATTTGTTCAGGTCCATACCTCCTCCTGTCAACCCAACTGGAGACGCTTTCGATCCAGAAGAAGATGAGCCTATCTGCGAGCTCGCTTGGCCTCATTTACAAGTAGTATATGAATTATTCCTGCGATTCGTCGAGTCCCCTGATTTCAATACTAATATCGCCAAGCGCTATATCGATCAACTATTCGTTTTGCAATTGTTGGAATTGTTCGATAGCGAGGATCCTAGAGAGCGCGACTTCTTGAAAACTACATTACATAGAATATACGGCAAATTCTTAAACCTGCGAGCTTTCATTAGACGGTCTATCAACAATGTCTTTTTCCACTTCATTTATGAAACAGAGAGACACAATGGTATTGCAGAGTTGTTGGAAATTTTGGGATCTATCATCAATGGTTTCGCATTGCCGTTGAAGGAGGAACACAAGACATTCCTTACAAGAGTACTCATTCCACTTCACAAAGTCAGATCACTCAGTTTGTATCACCCTCAATTGGCATACTGTGTTGTGCAGTTCTTGGAGAAAGACAGCACTCTCACAGAAGAAGTTATACTCGGTTTGTTGAGATACTGGCCAAGAGTCAATTCGCAAAAAGAGGTCATGTTCTTAAATGAAGTCGAAGAGATACTAGACGTAATAGAGCCCGCGCAATTCCAGAGAATTATGGTGCCGTTGTTCCACCAATTGTCTAGATGTATTAACAGTCAGCATTTCCAGGCAAGTTGATTATGACTGATTAACCCTCGCTAACACGTCTAATAGGTCGCAGAACGCGCTTTATACTATTGGAACAACGACTATATAGTCAACCTAATGTCAAACAATCTTTCAACTATATTACCTTTAGTTTTCTCATCATTATACCAAAATTCTAAAATACACTGGAATAGGTGAGTATTTTGGTTATTTGGTAATTTAAATACTCACATATCTAACTCAGAACCATTCATAACATGGTTTACAACGCATTAAAACTATTCATGGATATGAACCCTCCTCTCTTCGATGAATGTACATCAAACTACAAACCACAGAGACAATTTGAAAAGGAGAAGACGTTAGAGCGTCAACAGGGTTGGGAAAATGTCAGACAGAAAGCTATAGAAAATAGAGGCGATAAAGGCCCGTTACCTGAATCACTGAAGGCACCACAGCAATACATCTCACCGGAGTCAGTCGCAGCTGTCGAAGCAGACCAGTTGATAGATTATTTACCTGCTGCGTTGGCTGAAGTCAGTTTACAAGGACAAGAAGGTGAATTTGATTTGATGGAGGGTGAAGAGGGTGATAGTATGATTAGTGAGGATCAACAAGCACAAATGCAAATGCGGTCACAGTTGAATAATGAAGAGGAGGAGTATGAAGAAGGAGGAAATATACCTGCAGATTTGATACCTGCAGAGGCAATAGTGACAAACGCGAACGATGAAAATTCATCCGATGTGAAAAGAAAGTCTCAGTTGCCGGGTGAGGAAGGTGAAGATGAAAAGACATCACACTAATCAGACTCAACAGTCAACAAAGGATCTGTGGATGAAGTTTCCGATCATCGCAGTGCGAGTGATTTAGTTGATAAGCCTTCTCAAGAATGAGATAACGTTACGAATGATAAACCAATTTAATTCACAACACTAAATTTCGTTTCCTTTGTTTTCTTTCTGTTTATAAATAGTCTTATTGAATTCAAGCTTACGTATAATTAAATTCACGTTCTGACCACCGAAAAATTTTCATTGTGGACACTTGTATTCGTGTTGAATCCAATTGTTGAGTTTCAAAATAACCTTTGCTACCTATAGGATGCATATAACCCTAAAAGTTTCCCAAATAGGCATTTCCATACTTAGAAAAAGGCCCGTGCCAATGCCATGCCAGATGCAAGGATCAATCGAAATCGTCAACCACGACGATGACGAATATTTTTGACAAGCTAAAGAAGGACAGTCCTCGATCTTCCACAGACTTTCATATTCCAGACGTATTCGTGACCCCGCCTCAAGATGATGACAACGAGTACGATGCCGATATATCTGGACCGTACATAGAGCACAGAACTTCAGTTGCCAGTGATAGCAGCAGTGTGTTTACTCAGCCTCAACAACAGCATGACGAGTTTCAAGTGCGCGTTGATATGATTAGACAAGAATCTCGATATAAATCTTTTGATGATCTACCGAGTGATGATGAAGAAGATAGTGGGGAGTGTCTTGTTGACCTACTCCAGCAAGCTCCTTTACCTGTATCAGACACTTCGACGGCTGACAGAGGGGTATCTCCACGTTCATCAAGGATAGGATTAAGGATAGATACGTCGATAGAGGAGGACCAAATTAGCGTGAGCAGTCGTGCCAATGTCCTCACTTCTTCTACATCTTCGTCATTCAGTCCTGAGACACCTACCCACTCCTTACCACATATACCCGAATCTCGATCTAAGATGTCGCTCAACAGCATCGGCGGTAAAAAGAAAAGTCTTAGGAAGAGGATATCAACACGCTTTCGCTCTAATTCCACTCAGAATGATTACAACGTTAGTACTATAAGCACTCCTTCCCCAAAATTGCCTCCGATAGCACACATACACCACAAAGACAACAAAAACAATCCAGACCTAATTATCGATCAGGTCAAGATAAGAGCTGCACAGTTACAATCTTTAGGTTTTGACAAAAAGGTCTTTGACAGCGACGCGATAATACATGCCTTAGGACATGGGGATAATCACACGAAGGACGAAATAGTCGGCATAGCGACTTAGCAAAGGACAAACAATGGTCATCCTTCCAGTCATCTCGGTTGATAAACCCCATGCAACGCGATATTCTGTATTTCTACAATCACGCACAATAAACCAGTCACGACTTTATACCTCATTTTATTTTCTATTATATATTCACCTGTGCTAAATTTACTTTAGGCTGTGTGAAAAATTTTACCGATGTGATATTTAGGAATTTCATACAGCCGAGTTGCCCTGCGGACAAATTGGAAATTAAAGATGAGTTCTCACAGCTTGTGCATTGAAAAACCTTGCGCAGCTGCGAGTCCTAAGGTTACGTTATGTTAAGGTGTCACCATTTTAATATCTGCGGACAAATTAACATCACATCATGCGCATTGTGAGACGTTGTGAACTGAAGTTTGAAAAAAAAGGAAAAAGAAATAATTCAATCCAGAAACGTCTTAATTTGAAACAAATTCAATGATGCAACCACATGACAAAGCAAGACAGTCTTACATACAGTTGTCTTCGCCGACCGAGGCATTAAATTTCTGCTTGGGTTTGAGCTGATTAATAAATCACAATTTGCCGGCTCGCATTATCATGCATTGCAGTACCAAATTAACAACATTATTCATTTGCAGAAGGCTCAAGATGCTTAATGATCTTTGGTGGATTTCCGGCAATGACCACGTTCTGCAAAATATGAGTTAGAAAATAATTAGTTAAAAAAAACTAACACTCACATCCGGGAATGTTCCCCAAAGAGTCGTTCCTGCTGCAATAGTACAGCCCCTACCAATTTTGGTACCTTTTGCGCTGCAAATTATGTTCACTGATCCGCCTACCCAAGTGTCGTCACCTATCTCAACAGGATACGCCCTCTCAAGATCCTCTAGACGCTCTCCGACGTCTACAGAATGAGTTGCGGCATAGATAGACACATTGGGCCCAAAAGAAACTCGATTTCCTATGGAGACCTTTGCACAATCTAAGATGGTGGTGTTGTAGTTGCAATAGAAGCTATTCGAGTGCTCTTATTATCTGCGTGTCTCCCAAGTGTATATCAACTCACCTGCCCTTGAACTCAATGAATACACCATGATCGCAGTAAAATGGTGGCTCAATTGCCAATTGTTTGGCTTTTTCGAGGGGGATATCAAATAGATCAGCTATAACTTCGTATTTCTTGCCATCAACGCCGCCAAACACCTTCTCCGGCGTGATTCCCTCGCCGTAAACGAAAGGCGGGTAGTTCTGATAGAATTGAGCACCTCGATTGCACTCGAGACAAATAACATACATTCAGCTTATATTGCAGGTTCCTTGCTCGCGATTTAAGCTGTACACTTGTTATTTACAGATCTTTGTATTGCTTGTGCTCACCTTGAGCATTGTTGGATCTACTAGTGGTAGGTATGGCTCTCCTGCTAACATCTTTGAGATTGCATCACTTGATTTCTCCACTGGCATCTTGATAGTCCTATTTAACGGAAATGGCCTCCGCTCGGTACAGCTGTCGCACTACCCTACGTCACGAGAGGCCAGGGTATCACCGAAATTGAAGGTAAAGGGTTTGATAAATATTTAAGCAAATGGAATCATCAATTGTGTTGTACAAGACATAATCGTTAGCAGAACTTAATTATCGTTTCTTGACAAGATACGCAAGATGGATAGGAAAAGGTTCTGCGAGATATCAGTATTATATATGCTTACGAAACACTGCAACTCACCAAGAAGTCCAAGTAAAGTGAAATCGAGGCCAGAATGTATTCGCTGATGTTCGGGTCAAATGGCTGGTTCACCGGAAAGAAATCGACTTACTCAGGTGATAGGCGATTGAATATTTGATGCGTATCATATACTACATAGAGTGAGAACAGCGCGACACCGATAATGCCATATACAAGGCTAACGGTTGAGCTAAATGGAACAAAGAGACCAACCAATCCAAATCCAATCATACCAAATATACCGACGCTGAGTATGGGTGCAAGTCCACTAAAGTCGTACTTTGATTGGAAAGTAAATGCCGTCAAGCCGATGAACACGATCGCCGTACAGAGCAATGCTTGCAACACAATAGTCTTGTTCTCAAACGTGGATATCACAGCACCAATTGCTAGTGCCTCGCAAGCGGTAAAGGAAGATAATAGAGCAAAATTTGCAGGGACCTTGTGTCTTTGCCAGTAAGTCAAGCCTAGTGTGACGAATGACCCAATGATTGGCACGAATAGAGTGTTGGGATGCTTGAGGATGAAAGTCTGCATCGATTGGCTGTATGACACCCAAAATCCAGTAGCGAATGTGGCGAGGAGTTGGAGGGTGAGAATTGTGTAGATCTTTCTCACTGATGCCATACGCACTTCACGGACGCATTCGCTGATAGTTGCGCCGTACTTGAAATCGTCTGGAAGATCGCCATCGGGCATCTGACTCGGGCCAGCTGACTGGATTTCCTCATTCTGGGAAATTGAGTTGTAATTCTTGTTGTCAGGCTTGCTGTCTTTGGGTGGAGCATAGCCTGGTGGTGGTTGCGTGTAGCCTTCGGTTGACATTTCGGTCAGCGTAGTGGATGAAGATCGTCATCGCAACCACATAGATAAGGTTATTTGTACAATTAAAATTTATTAAAAGAAATTACAAATAAACTAAAAATATCATCACAAATCCCAAGCATTGCGTTATCTCCCTTCAATCCAACCAATCATCGCAGCTTAGTTAACCAATGAGGGCATACTACATGGATGACGTTGATGGCAGCTTTACAGCTCCTCACAACTCAGGCGTTTCCCTTGACGCTGGCTACTTGGGTAAATTGGGAATCCAATACCAGTACAACCCAGATGTAGAGAAAGTAGCAGTCGAGCAAGGCTACAAGAACAGGGATGTTATCGGTATCTCTAAGGAGGTTCTCGGTGAGGAGGAGTATCAGAAGAAGCTGGATATTTTCAAAGTGGAGCATTTGCACACAGATATTGAGGCCAGATTGATTCTCGATGGCAGCGGGTACTTTGATGTTAGAGACAGACTGCAGAATAACGAGAAATGGATCAGAATCGCCGTCGAGAAGGATGACTTGATCATTCTCCCTCCAGGTATCTTCCACCGTTTCACAACGGACGATAACGGTTACACACGTGCAATGAGACTGTTTACTGTAAGTAGCTTTACTCCTTCTCATTCAGTAAACTTGACAGCATACCAGGATGAACCTAAATGGCAACCTTACAACAGGTCAAATGATATTGAGAAGGACCCATCTCACATAGAATACTTGAAAAGTATCGGAATCACTGTATAATACATCTCCCATTTCTACAATTGCATTATCCACGTACTTCAAAACCCTTTATCGTCAAGCCATCTTTCTATTTCATATAGCGACTGCTTTTGGCCATATTCTCCGTTGTACATGATTAAATCCGCGTCTGAGTCTGCTAACCTATGCTGCTCAAGCTGCTCGACGTTCTTGAGTTGATCCATTACTGCAATTCTCGGGAAAGCTTCGTAGTTGAAAGTTTCAACGGGGCTTGGCAGTACCTTCTCGTTAGGCGACTTCTCGCCATCAATGTAAGGTGGATCTTGAGTGCAATCGTTTGAGAAGAAAATGTTTCACGGGAGTTTTACTCACTGATTAAAACCACGCCAGAAACAGGATAGTCGCTGATGTGCGTTTCAGCGATGAGCGTACCCATTCCCTTTGCGAATAGCACAGGTGGGAAGGGAATAGCAGCTAGCCTTATCCGTTGCTGTACATCTAAAGTTGACGTCACTTAGAATTACAGCCAATTGGGCGATTAGGAACCCACCGTCAGCCATTTTCTTGAGTATTTCTTTAGACGTGCTGCCTTTGTGCTCATCGCAGAAGATCTCCAAGCATCCGAATCCCTTCTCAATGAGTAAACCTTGCGTAGATTGCCATTCTTTTGCGTCTTCACCCCAATTCTCCGGTGTACGTATGAAAACAAGCGGATAAGGAGATGCACGCGGTGAGTTCGGATTGGCGTCTCTCCAAATGCTGCCTGTAGATGAGCATCTGATGGATTGGCGGGATCTCACAGCAGCGTAAGCGACAGCGGATAGAGAAACAGGCAGGGTGTACTGCATTTTCTTCATAAAGCTCATCCTTGTTAAATTATTCAGCGTTTTCTTCCACGTTGTTCGAAACAAGCCTTTTGCGTCATAACAATCAGGCTAACTATGCCAAAAAATCATTTCAGATCGAATAATAAGAGCGCAAGAGGCGGCGGAGATTCATCAGGCAATGGTTCTAATCGTGGCCGCGGTGGATTTAGAGGCCGCGGAAGAGGTCGTGGAACGCCACGCACCGGCAGAGGCGGCTTACAGTACCAGCCAGGCTCAATGAATACAATGGGCCTCGATTACAACCAAATGAATACAGAATGTATGCTAATATACCTTACGTGTCCTCCTATGACTCATATAGCATTGTTACAGCTGAATTGCCAAGATATTCAACTGTAGATATACATAAGTCTGCTCCGACTGCCCCAAAGAAGGACAGAGGTCCTGGCATCAAACAGCAGATGCCTTACTTCGTCAACGATAGCAAAGGCAAAGCCAAGGGCGGCCACAAAGGACTCGGCTATGTACGTAAATCTGCAGAAGAGGAGGCTGCGATTGCAGAGCGCAAGATGGGCAAAGGAAAGTCTAGAGGCGCCAATCCAAATGCAAACCCACTACTCCAACCAATTGCATTCGTTAAAGGCACCTCGTCATGGGATAAAGATATGGATTTAAGCAAAATAAAAATGGCAGCTGAAACTAAGGATGCTGAAGATGTCTTTGTGCAAATTCCGACAGAACAAGTTGCAGATGAAACAGTCGACCAGACAGTCGATACAAGTGATGCTGGAGACGTGTTCGCAGAAGAGGAAGACGTTTCAAATATTTTGCAAGACGCGCCCGACACTAGCAACTTTGCTACATCAGCTACAGAATCTGCATTTACTGCAGGCGAAGAGGATGATGTGGAAGAAAAGGAAACTCAACAAGTAAAGCTCGACACTTCCATGCCTTCAATCTCGAAATTGAATATCGAAGAATCAAGCATAGGAGACATGAGCTTAATCAATACAAGTATCGCTGATACCAGTATTAACACAGTCACCGAACCAAATGCTACAAAAAACGATATCAAGGATGACGAGGAGATTGAGGATCAGATGATTGACAATGATGACTTGTTCGTTGTCGACTCAAATCCATCTGAAGTACCTGAATCGTTGAAACCCAAGGATTCAGCTGCAATTGTTGTTAATGAGAGAGTTGATGATGCAGAAGATGTCGAGATGTCTGCTAACCCACATCACACCTTCTCCAGAAGTGATATTGTCGAAGTCGAAGAGCCTGTTCTGTCCAATGTACCCGAAAAGAAGAATAGCAAGCTATTCACGACGATGCAGAATGATAACCTTTTCAAGAATGTACACGAACTTGGACAGATGTTTGCGACTGGAAACAAGCCAACATTCCAAGATTTCACGTTCTCGTCAGATTTCAATAATAAAAAGAATAATAAGAAAGACAAGAAAAATAGGAAACAAGGCGAAAAGCTATTTGATGAGCCTCTCGAGGCACGTGAAGGTGACTCAGATTTGGAATGGGGTAGTGATGGCCCACCGCCACCAAAAAACAAACACAGCAAGAAGGCAAACCAAACTAAAAAGCCAACCTTAGATGATGAGCTCGTCGCTGACTGGCTTGAGAACACAAGACAGGACGACAGCGATGAGGAGTCTGGCGGTGAGACTGCTGCCGGTCCTTTCGGTGCTGATGACACTGCATTGCGCTCCTTCGCCAACAGTATGTCTCAAAACCAAAATACCATCACGGACTTGAAAATTGATAAACGTCTTCGCAAAGAAGCTCGCGAGGAAGCAGAACTTGACGGCGAATCATCAAGCGATTCTGACGATGTGGACTCCGAATTCGAGAAAGCGGAAGACTTCAAATTCGACTTCTCTGACAATGAGAGTCTGGAAATGGAGGATGAAATGTATCTAGACTCTAGTCTTTCTTCAGATGAGGCTTACGAGCTTGGTAGAGCACGTGCCAAGGCAGCAAAGTCAGATGGCGTAGTCACTCAGCGTGACCGCATGGGTAAAGGTGCGAACAAAGGAAAAAAGAGAGCTGATGACTTTATGGATGACTTTGATGAGTTGATGGAATTCGATGACTTCGAAGGCAAGCACAATAAGTGGGATGAAGAGGAGCAATTCTTAGATGAGCTCGCTTCCATCATTGAAAGCAAGAAACAAAACCTTCAGAAAGCCAAGTCATCATCGCGTCAAGGCTCACGCCAGGGCAAATACTCGTATGATGATTATGGTGATGTGTATGGCGATGACGGTGAAGATTCGGAGGAGGATTTCGCACTCGATCCTCGCGATCTCATCTTCCCAACAAGTAAGTTGAATGTGTGAATTTACATTACGCTAATCTAGCTTCCTAGGCTCTAAGAAAAAGAAAGCCAAAGTACCACCACAATTGCAGCGTATGTGGGATCAAGACAGAGCTCGCAAAGCAGAAAAGAAGAAGATTCGAGAGCAAGTTAGAATGGCTGATGCACTGTCACCGTACACAAAGACGAAAGGTAAGAAGGGCAAGAAAATGCAAGCAAAGGCAATAAAAGCAGCTGCAGAGTTGTCTGATGATGAGATGCTTCCAGACTTTTACAACACCGAAACTATCAATACCGAAATACAATCATTTGTCGACGTTCCTCAGAGAAAGATGATGAAGTTACCACCAATGGACAACAAATCAAGGAAGCAAATACACATGCTCGCTGATACTTACGGTCTCAAATCTAAATCGATCGGTAAAGGTGTTGGTCGGCATATTATGCTGTTGAAGACAGGCAGAACCGGTCAGAACGTCGATTATGGAGTTGTTAGCAAAGCCGCAAAGGCATGCGACAAGGGTGGTATTGGTAACTTCTACAAGACTCTTCATCTTGCTCGCAAGGCTGCTTCAGGAAGCAAGAAGGGTGATGGAGGTGCGAAGCCGAAGATGATTAAACACACAGAGGGCACTATCGTCGGGCATGAAGCCCAGCCAATCGGACAAGAGGTGAGCTACAGAATTAGCACTTTCCACTAATTCTAACACTCCTCGCAGTCCGTCGGATACAAAATGTTGGCCACGATGGGTTGGAATCATGGTCAGAAGATGGGTCAATCTGGCGAAGGATTGGAAGCGCCAGTAGCAGCTGTCATCAAAAACTCCCGTTTAGGATTGGGTGCAACTTAAAGGCATCATACCAGCATGGAAGCATTTGTATATATTCTCAAGCGTTCATTCTTTTATCATCTCAGTATAACATTAATTTGACTGAAATTGTCTAGAAGGAGTGTCAAATAGGAGCCCGACAACAATGTTTAACATTTCACGTCGGTCAAGCAATGCCAATTGCAAACAATTTAGAGTATTTCATCCATTCTGATACCGTTTGGAAATATTTAAGGCTCAGTAGAAATGTATAGTGTATTTGTGAATGTTTTATGACCTTCTAAGTACGCGATTGCGAATGCAAAATTAAATAATTGATGTTGGGTAATATCAATAGTCTAACTAGACATGATTTAACATCTTGGTGTCCAGTCAGTTGGGTCTTGAGGTAAGACACCAAGCTCAAGGAGACGTTGGTAAGACCAATCAGCGCCGAGCTCAGTCTTCCATGTCCAGAAGAAGTAGCGTTCTCCATACGCATCAACTTGTGCCTCCCAGAAAAGACGAAGGGAGTCCTTGTATTCTTGAGTCCAGTTGCTACCATCGCCGGACTTATCCGCACAAGATCCAATGTATTCGTTTGAAACCGAGTGATCACCTTCATAACGAGCACCCTCAACAATACGACCGTTGAGATATGGAATACAGTCAGTGATTGCTGCTGTCCACTCACCAACGACGGCAAAGTGGTGCTGGTTAGTAACTTGCTGGAGTGGCTGCTTGTATGAGCAGGCAGTGGAAACACGTTCTTGGTCAGTGCGTTTGAGTGCTGCAGGTGAAAAGACCTGGTATCTGTGGACGTCGAGTTGAGTGCCATCTAAGAAGCCATCCCAGAAGTGGGGGTCTTCCTTGAAACCATCGTGGATAACAACGCTAGCGTTAGCGCCGTTGCCGCTGACGATGTCGTTCCCGGATTGGTAGTAGTTCTTCAAGACTGGCATCATTGCCTCGTCCTGGAAGGTGGCTGGCTCATTGAGCAGCTCAATAGATTCAACGACGTCTGCGTACTCTGGAGTTGCAAACTCATCAGTAATCATTTGGATAACTTGCAGAGTGCGTTCCACTTGGGCTTGGTCTTTGTGCCATTGACCTTGTGGAAGTAGTTGGCCGTCATTGTCAAATCCATTCTGTCCACCCGGAGCAGTGTGCAGATCAATCCATGCCATAAGTCCGTTGTTACGAGCCCATCCTAACCCCTCTCTGAGTTTTTCAAGTCTGTTGCCTTTTTCGAGTCAGGAATGTCAAGACAGGCAGATAGCCAGCTCACCGACAATAAATGGCTCAAAATCCTTCTTGTCGAATGCCCAATGTGGAACTGGGATTCTAACGTGTGATAAGCCAGCTGCCTTGATTTGAGCGAAATCATCCTCGGTGATGAAATTTTCGAGATGGTCATTTACGGCTTGAGTAGCAACCTCTGTGTCTTGTCTTTCACCGAATGTCCATTCGTCGACAATTTGATCATCGAGTGTGTCGTCGAAAACGGTTGGAGTGATGAAAGGCTCCATGAGCAACCATCCTGGAAGGTAGAGATAAGTGGTGCACACGACTAAATCACGTACAACTTACCACCAATGTTCACGCCTCGTAACACGCTTTCACCAGCATTTTGTCTTCTGTATACTGGGTTTGCGGTAGTGAGGGCGGCTGCTGAAAGCACAGCTAGGGCTTGAAGGACTTTGACCATTGATTTGCTTGAGGGAGGTATAGATAAGGTTGATATCAACAGTTAATATCGTCGTTTATAACACATCACTAGTTTCGGCATGCGGACTGCGCACACTAGTTTGAGTAATGAAAGCATTCCTTAGGGAAAATTTGAATTGCGACTGCCGGTAACCCGGTAGATCAATAAAAAGGTTTGAAAGTAGTTTTTTTAATCAATATTGACACGCACATCTCACATGATTATTTACACAAAGTAAAGCTCGTTATTTATATTCGCGACGTCATCAATCGCGAATACGCGACTCAGGTTGATTCACTCGCCCAACTTTTGGATTGATCGTAAATAAAGCTGGGTATTAAACATTCCAAACAATGTCATTTCTCGGGCTGACGTCGGTGATTATCTAAGTCACGCTGTTCGCTGCTGGCCGAATGAAGTTGGATCTTCGTTCAACTCTCCTTAACTGCCATTGCCATCACGAAACTTAACGCACAATTATGACAGCTATGACTATTGATGAAGATAAAGGCAAACGTTGGTCTATTATTGCCATTGTGAGGAAGCGTAAATTTTTCTGCTGTTCTGTTACTGACTCAGTCGATCTGTAGGCCTCTTTTATGCTTTTAATTGTTGGATGGACCGATGCCCTGTAGGTTTCTCAGTCGTGTGGAACGAATGCTGACCCAGTTTAGTTTTGGAAGCTTAATAGAACCACTGGAAGAGTGGTACGGATATGTGAGTGCCAGAAGATCCTCTAATCCCTACTGACCAAGTCAATTGCAGTCGGAACGTGTTATTTCTCTTGCTTTCCTATTCTTCGTGGCGGGAAGCATAACCTCGAGCTATCTCTCTTCAATATGTATCCAGAAGATAGGTGTGCAGTACTTTATAATGGTGAGTTGAGCTACTAGCTTTATTCAAGTTCTTCTCTAACTTTTTATCTTTGAATTAGTCGATGACGGTGCTATACTGCACTGGTGCCCTCATTGATGCATTTAGGCCACCGGTATTTCCAGCATACGTATTTGGAGTGTATTTGCTAGGTGTAGGAACTGGCTCAATGCAAACTTCTGCGACTGTAGTTTTGTCTCACTTCGAAGACGGACCGCTGATGTCGCTCATTTACGCCAACATGGCGCTAGGTTCGGTTCTGTCGCCATTTGTGATCGGGGCTTTTCTACAGCACGACATAGACTGGCGCCACAACTTTTGGATTATTGTTGGCTTTTCAGTGCTATTGATTTTTTTCTCCTGGTTTGTGTTCAGGGATTTCGAGACACACGATACCTCCAAGGACGATTACACATTCCGTGAAAAACTGGCCGTTCTCCTACCTTCAGGGAAACTCTGGGTAGGGCTGCTAGCTGAGACGGGTCTGCTCGTATGCATGGACAGTACTACACAATGGCTCGCCCCTTATCTCAATGCACATAAAGGATTGAGCAATGGTTTACCACAGTACGTACTCACCTCACTCTGGGGAGGTATTCTACTTGGTCGTTTATCTCTTGCGCATGTGTCAGCAAAGATCGGCAAACGCAGATCATCGTTCGGAATGTACATAATCATATGTGCGCTGATGGCTGGATTGTGGAAGGTGGAAGGTATCGCGGGAATAGTAGTGCTGACACTGCTGATTGGCTTCTTCTTCGGACCTCTAATGCCTAACACCCTATCTTCAGCGACTGAATGCTGGCCTAGGGAACTGAGGAATGCAGCCACATCTATAGTAATGGCTACATCACTCTTTGGTAGTCTACTAGGGCCATTCTGTCTATCTCAGGCGGCAGATGCGACGACACTGGCGATCTACCCGCCTGTTATAATAGTAGAGTGCTTCATCACAGCAATTATAGTCTCGTTTACCTACATAACGAAGCCAAAGAAGACACTGGAAAAAGGTGACCTGGAGGAGTCCCCTAGATCTCTAACATCAACGGAGATCGGTACTGAATTCAACCCAAGTCCCAAGCTCAAGACTTCAGCAGCGATATAGAAAACCCATTTTCTTTTGTATTGATGATTATGAAATTTAAATTTAATTCACATCTCGCCGCTATGATCGCCTTCCTTTTTTGTTTTAAGTTTATTTAGTTGGAATTTGCAACCGTCCGCTCAATAAACTATTACCAGCATCAACAAACGAGAAGCCGTAAATGAGCTACGAGAAGCTTAACAACGAGCCAATGAACCACTTAGAGTCTGAGCGGTTTGAAATGAGGTGTGTTAGCTTTTGTGCGCAGTGACATCTGCTGACTTGGCCACTCAGCGCCAATCCTAATGACTGGGGTGCACGGAACTGGCAAAACGAGGAAGACGACTATCTGCACAACCCAACTTCCAGGGATGGTGCTAAGGCTTCAACTGGCTCCATTTTCACCATCAGAGGATTAATCAACTTGGGCCTTTTGTCTGTCCTTGTAGCAGCCCTTTTGATGCTTTTGTAAGCGCTTTTTAGCTTATCAGGAGGCTTTATTTACCCAAATCCCAGCGCTGGTTATCCTATTTACGACGAGTTCAAGCCTCATCCCTCTACCAGTAGTAACTACGCAAAGTTCAATTCTACTGGCCAGGTCGAATGGACTAAGCCAAATAGACATTTGATTGACCCAGACACTCCCAAAGATGTGTACACTATTCAAGGCTTTGGTAACGACACCCGCGAATACCAGCTCGTCTTCTCGGATGAGTTTGAACAAGACGGCAGAACCTTTGCCGAGGGTGAAGATCCTTACTTCGAAGCTCAAGATTTACACTATTGGGGTACCGATAACCTCGAGTGGTATTCACCTCGTCAAGCAACCACGAATGATGGCAATCTCGTGCTCACTCTCAGTGAAAGTGGCCCATTTACCGACAATCTCACCACTCACGGACTCGACTATGCTGGTGCCATGGTACACTCCTGGAACAAATTTTGTTTTACGGGTGGTTACGTCTCTGCTAGAATTATGTTGCCAGGATACTCCGATGTATGGGGTCTTTGGCCAGCATTCTGGACCATGGCCAACATAGGCAGAGCGGGCTATGGTGCCTCCCTTGAGGGCATGTGGCCATATTCATATGACAGCTGTGACGTTGGTACCTTGCAAAATCAGACCTTGGGCGATTATCCCGATGCGTCTTACAAGAAAGGTGCCACGAATTATAATGATAAGGTGGTTTCGCTTTCATATTCGAATCCGCAACGGCTTTCGCGCTGCACTTGTGAAAACGAAGACCACCCTGGTCCCAAACATGAAGATGGAACTTGGAAGGGTCGTGCTGCCTACGAGGTCGATATTGTTGAAGCGCAAGTTAGTAACTTCAATGCGAATGATCAAGACGGTGGTACTGGTACCGCTTCTATGTCAGGACAATGGTGTCCATTCAATGTAAATTACGAATGGGACTTCAACATTACGTTTATTCATTACAATGAGACACTCTCACCAGACGATCATTTTGACAGGATCAATTCTTATCAAGGTGGTAATCAGCAAATGAGTACCAGTGTTGTTGTCAAGACGGATCAGAACGCATATGAATTATCAGGTGGTGAATTTAGTAATTACGGTGTTCAGATCAATACTGGAACTGGGCCTGATGCAAATATCGGGTGGACAGTTGACGACGAACTTCGTTGGATGGTATATGGTGATGCAGTTGGCCCAGATCCAGAAGCAGCTATATCCGAGAGAATTATCATGGATGAGCCACTCTACATCATCTTCAACTTGGCTATATCCGAAAACTTTGATCAGATCTCTGAGAGAATTTTTGCCGAGCAAAACCATTACGTCATGAAGGTTGATTGGGTTAGAGTGTACCAACCAGAGAATGATATAAAGATTGGATGTGATCCTCCAGAAATGCCAACAGCAGCATACATCCATAACCACCCTCATGCTTACTCCGATAAAAATCTTACAACTTGGAAACAATACATGGATCAATATCCAGATGAGGCCGGACCTGTGAAAAATGCACTGATGCATCAAGATGACGAGGACTGTCAAATGGCGCTCAATTTAGCCTATGAGACGGACCCAAATCTCAGGGGAAAAAAGGAAACCGATGAAAAGAAGCTCAATATGTGGAACTAGAATTATACCCGGAAAACGGACATTTGGACATACAGACATACAAATATACGGACAAAACAGGAACTTTATTTAAATATTTCATTATCTTGCATTTCATACATGATCACTTTGTCGATATGCGTACGAGAGATTAAATTTAAGTATCTATCAAAAGACAGCCTTCCCGGAGTCCAGGCCTTATTCCCTGTAAATTTTTGTTGTATTTTTCCACGAAGCTTTCTCGTACGCTTCGTTATCTATATGCCATCATCACGAAATGTCGTCAGAAATATCAATGCCAGAGATCAAGCAGCCTGCATCGAGAAGGAGGCAAGTGCAGGCTTGCTCTGAGTGTCGCAGACGGAAGATCAAATGGTGTGTAGCCTTGAAATGACTTGAGCAACTCTTATGCGGAACCAGCAATCGGGTGTTCCCTTGCGGACCTTGCAAGTCTAGAGGAGATGATGCTATCTGCAGGGAGGTTCAAAAGCACGAGGAATCTGTGACTGGCTGCGCATCTGCGACGTCAATGGACATGCTCACTAACCGAGTACTGCATTTGGAAGCCGCCTTAAGGACAACTCAGCAAGCTTTGCCTCAGAACGTTCAATCAACTCTTTTACCTCCATCCCTGTCCCTTTCTCATGAAATGGCTTCTGGCGCCACTCCGGCAAAATTCGAGGGACAAAACAGACGAGGCAGACCATCAAAAGGCAAAGGTAAGTCCATCAAATCAGAGGATTCAGGACATGGTGCGATTGATGCAACACAAACGAGACCATTGGGATCCGGAATTGTATCAAATGACTCTGAAGAGGAGGAAGCAGCAATGATTCTTGAGGACTTTGCTTTCGGTAGAAGGGAAAAGTCTTCTCTGAATAACGATCGTCTAAAATTCGGCAGCACGCCAGCATCACCGGCTAAGTCGATCAATAATCCGGCAATCAAAGGAGATAATGAAGCATCGGCGAATACATGCCCTGGCCGCTCGGGTCCTAAACATGCTGTTAATTTTGCTGCACCTACCTTCAATCCCGCCTTTAATCCCCCTGACTTTATGCTGGCACGCAATGAGACGTCGGCCGACAACTACCAGAGAAACATCCTCTCTGTGCTACCTAGCAGAAAAGTCGGCGAGGCGCTAATGTCGATATACATCCGCAAGGTGGACTTTTTCCAAAAAGTCATGCATATACCGACTCTCAAGAAGGATCAGGAAAATTTTTGGAACCAGTATGAGGCACACGCGACGGGAGGACGCTTGGAAATTGCACCTGCATTTCTTGGCTTATACTTGATGATTTTGTGTGCTGCAATACACTTCGCAGATGCCGATGAGGCTGTCAACGCCGGCTTGTCACCTCAGGAACATGAGTCACTACCTGCTCTATACTTCGCTGCAAGTAGAGCAGCATTATGGGCAAGCGATTATCTCGAAAACCACAATTTGAATAATCTGCAAACTATCGTCCTCATGGGTCTTTATCTGAACAACGTCAATGCTTCATCTACCCATCATTCTTTGCTAGGTGCTGCTATAAAAATTGCACAGAATCTTGGGCTATCAAGACTTGGCGATGAAGATTCTTTGGCGCATGATGGTGCTATAGCGCCTGAATCGAGGGGTTCAAAAAAGTTTAGCTGGGTTGGTATGTGGTCTTGTGTTATTACGCGCGAGGTCGGTCGAAGGATTTGGTGGAATCTGGTTCAGCTAGACTGGTTTTTGGCTGCTTCTCATAATTACAGTTATACAATACATCGTGAGTATTGGGCTGTCCTATTCAACAATTCCTGACAATGAATCAGCTTGCCAGAATAGATGCAGTCTACCGATCAACATCGATGACGATGATCTGGTTGAAGGTCAAAAATTAGAGTCTAAGCCAATGTCTGTCTATACCGGCATGACGTATCAGCTTACACGTCTTCTCATCTTAGAGCCAGTACGGGAGATCGTCGATGAATTTAACGAGACAGGCCATATAACGTTTGAATTTACAATGAAACAGGACAATAAAATCAAAACTCTAATTGAGCAGCTCCCTGCTTTTTACCGAATGGATTTCGATGTACGGTTGCTAGGACTATCGCCAGAAAAGAACCAGATTTTCTTATGGGAGAGAACTCTGCTGAATCTGTCAGCACAGATGAGACTTGTGAGACTCCACCGACCATTCTTATCAAAGGGATACAGACACAAGAGCTACGAGCAGAGTAAGAAGACATGTGTCGATGCAGCTAGGACGTCACTCTCCGTGCTTAGACAGACGGATCGTAGTGGATTCTTGGAGAGGTGGTGGATATGTGCCTACTATGCATTCGCTAGTGCGATAGTCATATTCATTGACCTCATCCACGATGATCCTATGAGTTTTGACGCGATGCAGAAACGAGAAGAAATCCGCAGCGCACTTAACATGCTCAAAGGAGCAAGATCATTTAGCTCTGGTGCTGACCACTCAGCATCTCTGTTGGAAGGCCTACTTGCAGAAGAAGTGAGACAGAAACCCGATCTCAAGCGCAAACTGGGCGACGAAGGTGATAGTGGGAAAAGGAATAGATCTAAGGATTTATCGATCCTCGTAAAGAAACTTTCAGATGAAGGTCAAGCAGCCAAAGCCAGTTCGCCCAATAGCTCACACTCCACGCCTCACCATCTACCCGAAGCCTCTTATCATCCAAACAGTCTGCAGACGTATGCTATGGTCAACAACGACATAAATATGGCTCAAGACACGAACAAGAAGGTTGATCATCAAGTTATTACTGATGATCTGCTCAAGTGTGTATTCAAGGAAGGTAGTCAGTATGACACGAGTATTCTTGGAGTACCGAATACTAGCAATGATCCACCTCAGCAACAACAACAGCAGCCATTTAGTATAGACTTTAACAACTTTAACACAAGTTATCTGCCGCAGGCTAACGATATGTTCGCCAATAGCAACATGCAGTTGAATATGGACCAGTTGTTCGACACAGGAGAGAACAATAACAGTTGGGGTATTCTAGGAGGGAACTCATTAAGTTATTTGTAATTTATTTGTTTTGCTATTGCTAATGTGATTACTTTACCTGTGTTGAGTTTGACAAACAGATATATCAAACATGAAATATTCTTAACATTTTACAAAAGCCGTAAACATTATAAATTAATGATAAGAAAGCGATTATAGATTCAGTACTTTGAAGTAGCCGAAACAGTGCTGACTTTAGAGGATGGAGTAGACGACGACGTCATCTTAGATCTGAACAGTCTCGGTGTAGAAGAGATCGAGGCAAGCTTAGGCGATTTGAGATGACCACCGAAGCTACCGTTAGTATTAGCTGAGGACTGAGAGTGCGATGCCTTGTGTCTGTTCATAGGAGTAGGATTTGAAATGATGGACTTCTTGCTATCGGCCGCCGTACCATTAGGTACTTTAAAAGAGTGACCGTTAGAAGCAGGTTGTGCGGTAGACGGACGTCTTGCAGATCTCACAATAGATGGTGACGTCGGTTTAGGCATCGGCAAGCCTGTAATGAAGGGGTGTCTAAGTGCCGCGGCTGGCTTGATCCTTCTCTCAGGATCCCATATCAGGCACTTAGTAATAAAGTCCACGAAAGGCTCGTCGTCACTCTTGAGCACTGACTTGATCGACTTGGAGTTTGGTCGCCGTCTCCTGCCCTTACTGTTGACAACTGGTCGCGGTGCGCCTGTGGAGTCTAGCGGTGTGTTAGAAAACAAAATAGTGCTCAAATCGACGCACCAAAAAATACTTTGCGACGTGAACTCTTGTCTATGATGTACTTGTCTGGCACGCCAAGCACTTCCATCAGGCACGCAAGCTGCTCCTGTTCGTTTTCACCAGGGAAAATTGGATAGCCCGTGTGGAGCTCGACGAGAATTGCACCGAAACTCCACATATCGATTGCAGCAGTATATTCCATCCCGAGGATAACTTCCGGGGAGCGATAGAAGCGCGACTGAATGTAAGTGTACACTAGGGAGAAAGGGAGAATGTCAGTCAGATACTCAGCTAGAACGCCTACTCACCCTTCTCATTCTCGAAGCAGCTGCTGCCAAAGTCAATAACCTTGATGGAAGACTTGGCAGGGTGTCTGAGCAGAACATTTTCTGGCTTGAGATCACAGTGAATGACGTTGTGCTGCTTCATTAACAGTAACGAATGCAGCATCTGTCCAGCAAATCTCCTTATGAGGACAGTAGTGAACCCTGCGAAGCAGTTGGCCTTAATGAGCTCATACAGGTTGATGCTGAGCAGCTCAGTAGCTATGCAGAGGTGGCCACGGAAGGTAAAATGCTCAGTCTTCATAATTACGTTGTGTTTGTTTTCTGGATCCTGTTTGCCGTGTTAATTTGTAAGATGAGGTATATTCCAACCCACCCAATCGACCAATTTGTCGAGAATCTTCACCTCCACCAAAGCCTGATGATGGAAGCGTTTCTTATTCCTAATAATTTTAATGGCGACCGATTTGCCCGTCTTGTGATCTAGGCATTCGAGCACCTGTCCGAACGATCCTTTACCAAGAGTACCGATAATTTCATATCTATAATGAAGGTGGTCATGCTTGATAACGACATAATCCCCTCTATCGTCATCATAGCCATGGTTGCTGCTGCTGCGCTCCTTAGTTGCCAAACGCTTTTTGGACGACTGTCCGACGAAGAAGACGTCCCTGAAGCTGGATATCTCATTGCGCTCGTATGGCGAGAGGCTGTCACCGTAAAGCGCGACAGCTTCGCGCGGCGACATGCGTGGTGTGGGGTGGACGTCCTCGGGGAAGGCAAGCATAGCCTCCAACTCGGACAGCTTAGCACCAGCAGCGAGGCGTCTAGCCTGTGAGCGGCGAATGTATGCGAGCATCTCTTCGTCGGCAGCGGCTGAATCCTCGTCCTCCTTCTGACGTGGCGGCTTCACTTTAGCTGTGATGGGCGTGTTGGATGAAGAGCGCGACGACACTGCCGGTACGACGCTGCGTATTTTTGGAGTGCTCGTGCTGCTTGGTGTGTTCTTAGATGCTGACGCTACACTGGATGAGCTCACACTCGTTGGTATCGACGTTGGTTGTTTGGTATAGGCTGCGCCCTGGCGCGGGGTCTTCACCAACGATATCGTGTTCTCTTCCTTACCTCGCGCACCTTGCGCTCCTCGCTTACTGCCGTCAATAGCCATCTTGGATAATCTTCTCGATTGGCCTTCGAGTGACTTGTCCACCACTCGCCGGCGCATTTCGCGATTAGAGTCCGATGTGGTCGATGTGGTGCTTGTGTTTGCCGGTTCACCTCCGTTGGAGATTTTACTCCTGCTCGCGTTGCTCGTATTACTCGTGTTGATCGAATAGACAGACCCTTCACTCGCTTTTCGCGCCGTTTCCGTCAGCGTCGCCTTGTGAGGAGTAGCAGCAGGAGCAGGAGCAGATGATGGTGAGCGTGATTGCGATTGCGATTGCATACCGGGTGTGCGCACGCTCGACGATATTCTCGGTATACGCGTCGTCGTAGCCGGTTTCTGATCGCGTTTATTATCTGGGTGTATAGTTTCGTGGCTAGTTTGACTGGACTGTGAGTCGATGTGTTGCGGATCAATCGAGGTTGAGAGTGTGCGATTTGAGGTAGAATTAGAATTAGAAGTAGAATTGGAGTTAGAATTATTTTGCTGTAACATATTGGTGTCGTCATTAGCGTTGTGATTAGTAGAGGCTTTACTTCTTCTGTCACGGGCTGCAGGTGAAGATAGGGGTGTTGTGGCTTCGTCCTTATCCTCCTTCTCTTGGTCCAAGTACTCAGGTTTGATCTTGGGCACAGGCTCCGATGGCACCTCACCAGATCCCATTCCCGATCCAGATCCTATAGATTTACCTCTCCTTCTGCCCATTATGGCTGCACTAAGACTGTTGCGACGTCGTCTGAATGTCGACTGCTCGCTACTGTGCTTCGATTGCTTGTCTGACAAATCATCCGACGATATTGGTTTGCTGCTCGATAACGATTTTCTGGATGAACTTGGTTTGAGAAGTGAAGGTAGCCCTATCCCCAGCATACTCTTTCTGTGTGAGGGTTTTGCAGTTGATGAAGGAGCTGAAGTAGCCGAATGTGTCGAATGCGTCGTCCCATTCGTGTCTTCTGAAGACACAGAGTTTTGCGCCAGGTGCGTTTGTGAGATTGGAGGGACGGGTGGAGGGGTGTTGTGGGGAAGAGAGTGAGCATTAATGTTTTGCGCAGATGATGATCGTCTGAAGAAAGGTATGGATGACGGTGTGATTCTGCGCACAGTCGATGGTCGTTTGACGGGTGTTTGAGTGTGGGTAAAGTTCTTACAGTTTACTTGTGTTGGAGAGTAGCTGCCGTGTCTACTAGTACTATGCATGTTTTTATTGCGCACTGTTAAATCAGCATCTTGTGAAGGTATAGCTGTCGTTTCAGAAGATGAAGAGGCTTGCGAATGTAAGCCGATTGCATTGTTTCGATTTGAGGGATTTGTACCATTAGCACCACTAGCACCACCAGTACCGCGAAAGTTGCTGAAATCTTTTGGTATCCGCGGTACTGGCGGGACATCGATATCCTTGCTGAGCCCGAATTCATCCTTGTGGGATTGGATGGAAGATATCTCCGAACTAGCGCTATTACGCCTAGATCTTAAAGAGGAAAAGGAGGTAGAATCGCGACTTGTAGAAGGACTTCCATTGGAGTTGGAGCTAATAGATGTCGTTTTGATTGCAGGTGTTGATTTCCTGCGGCTGTTGCGGCTCAGACTATGACCACCAGAGGAACCGTGAAAGAAATGCTTAGCTTCAGCTGCGAATCTGCTACCAACGCTAGCCCTGTTTTTGCGCTTGTGCTCATCACTTATGAACCCTCTCGATGGCGGTGTACCTGGACGGGAATGTGAGGATTTGGATCGTGAAGAAGTATCACGGTGATGTTCAGACTTTCGGCTGTTAAGCGCGCGTATAAATCCTGGTGACCGTTGTGGTTCTTCTGCTTCGGCTTCTACTCCTCGGTTCTGATTGAGTCTGAGCGTGGAAGATATAGTGTGTGTGGCTGGGGATGGTGGAAGGTCAGCAAACGATTTGCTTTTATTTCTGCGTATCGAATTGCGAGGATGGCTTGTGGATTGCGTATTTTGTGTATCGGCTGGCTGTTGTCCGCTTTAGATATTTGGTCTCGTAAGGATGGTGGTAACTTACGGGGATTTCAGGATCGAAATCCATCGGGTCGTTAAAGCTGGCATTTATAGGCACTTGGTTATGTTCGCGCGCTTCTGTGTGCTTGTTAACGCGACTAGTTTGGTCAGTCGAATCCATGTTGAGATTCTGAGATTTTGTGAGCAAATTAGATAGAATTGAAGCGCTTAGATACACACGTTATCTCCTATACGATCCAATTGCGTAATTTTCGATATTTATTTTAAGCGTCTTGCTTGTTCGGGTTCAAGGTGTGTGAGATGGCTGAGGAGATCGGCTGGAAAAGTCAAGGGTCACACGTTACAGCTACTAGCCCATAAACAGAATAAACAATAAATACAGGATTCTGAATGGAAGCGTTTTTACGCGTTTGTACAGTCGATACATAAGATATAAAAGATATAATACAGGCGGAATTGATTTCACTCTGTTAGCTGTCGGATGGTGGAGATGGCGAGCGTGACACAAATCGGTCTTTGTCGTCTGGTGGAGGTGAACCACTGGGAGATCGTGACACAAAGCGTTCGTCATTATCAGAAGCTGGGCTTGGAGATTTGCTAACGAATCTGTCTGCGTCTTCGTCTTCACTCTCATCGTCGTTCTCACGGTCTTCATTCTCATCACCAATATCGAGTGGTGATTTGCGCTTGGGTAGCCCTTCAACCTCTTCAAGGACATCCCTTCTAGTCAATCTAGGGAGGATAATATCGCATACGCGCTCCTCAGTAAGCAGCTCATCGATGAATTGATCCATATGGGTTATGTGGTATCCAGAGTTATTCCTTAGGCGCAACTTCCTGTAATCCTGGAGCAAGGGTTCGAGAATATCAAACACTTCAAAGCTCTTGAAGCACAGCCGCGTGTACATTGCAGCTAGAGCTCTCAAGTACTTGAACTCCTCTGCTTGGAGATACTCAAAGATGATTTCGCGCTCTGGTTGAAGTTGGAGGAGTTTGAGTAGCAGACACATGAATGGCAGTGGTCTAGCATTACCATAGACACCGCCAATGGACTGCATTTCAACGGCCTTGTCAATAATAGTCTCAGCTTCGATATTGGGTTAAAATGGATGGTTTTTGGGGTAAAAAAAGACCAACCAGTTAAAGCAAAACATTGCTCTTTCCAAAAAGCGCTCTCGTAGACTCTCTGTCTGATAACATTCTCTATTAGGTGCTGTAGAGGGTATATGAGTACAGGGAAAAGACAAGAATGAAAGGAAATACCTGGGGATTCCTACCGTGAATCGAAGAAGCCTGCTTGAATGTTTTATTTGCCATTTTTGAGGTGGTTGTTGATTGATTACATTTTTTGCGAAACTTCTTCGTACGTTTGGTTATCACACTCAACAAGAGGTAAAAATGTCATTCAGAGGCGGCGGTTTCCAAGGCAGAGGCGGTGGCAGAGGTGGTGAGTGCGATTAAAGTGGTCGAGTCTTTGGCTCAAATTGGATTAGGATTCAGAGGAGGAAGACCAGGTGGAGGATTCCAACAAGGACCACCAGCCGAAGTATTAGGTGGGAACGAAATTTGTCCATGTATTTTACAAGCTTACAAGTTCTATTAAAGAAATGGGTGAATTCCAACACGCAGTTGAAGCTGATATGTTATGCTCTTCAACCAACGCAGCTAAAGTACCTTACTTTAATGCACCAATCTACCTTCAAAACAAGAATCAAATTGGAAAAGTAGATGAAATTCTTGGACCAATCAACGAAGTTTACTTTACAATCAAAATGCAGGAAGGAATGGTCGCAACTTCATTTAAAAAGGGAGATAAAGTTTTCATTGGTTCCGATAAGCTTCTCCCTATTGAAAGATTCCTTCCAAAACCAAAGACTGAAGGTGCAAAGGTTGCGAAACCAGCACGTGGTGGTAGAGGTGGTGCTAGAGGTGGTGCAAGAGGTGGATTCGGCGGTAGAGGCCGTGGTGCACCAAGAGGCGGTGGTGGATTTAGAGGCGGTGGAAGAGGTGGTGGTGAGTTATCCTTTAAGATTGATTTAACGGTGCTAATAGAATAACAGGATTCAGAGGCGGTAGAGGACGCGGAGGATACTAGGATAATACAGGAAACACAAAGTAAAAGTGATAAATGTACAAATTCTCATTTGATTTATTTATTGTATCATTCTATGACGTTGGGGGCTTGCCTCTAGCCAACTACAGCTATGTTTAAAAGGTCGAGTGGATTGAAAGCCATTTTAAAGCAAATGACGCAAACGACACACACGAAGCACATAAGGCTTTCGAGCAACTTCAACAAAGCCAGTCCACCACTATTGCCACCTGAAGAACAACGTGAATTTGAAAGGCTACGAAAGGATGCAGAGACTTCAAGTCTATCTGGAAATGATAATGATTTACATAAAGATGCCGTCAGAGAGGCTAAGCGTACTGAGTTTGATGGACAAGTAAACCCGCAAACGGGTGAAGTCGGTGGACCAAAGCGTGAACCTCTACGCTGGCAATCTGAATGGACATACGGTGGTAGAGCGACTGATTTTTAGAAGGTACCATTTGATGTGAATGTATTTAAAGACTATAAACTTAGACATACCACACCAGTCAGACGCGACGTTATTTGGGGCTATAACGATCAACGCTCTATCTCAATCAACCAACCAACCTTAAATTTCAACAATTACTCAATTTTACTGATTACAGCTGCTATATCTTAGAAAACGTTGATGAATCTGATTGAGACGGAGGGACAGCCAAGTATAACAAATACAGCGAGATGGATATATACAAATACTTTCTAACACCTCATATGCAATGCAATAATTAGCTGATGTGATTGTTATCAAATTTTATAAATCTCCTCAGCGCAAGAAAACTTCTTTACGCTCAACCATATAAACAAAAAAATGAGTGTAGAATCATCAGTACTCGGGTGCGTATTGGGTTGAGTAGTACATAGCCATTCTAACGCTCTCCTTAGATTCCCACGTATCGGTGCCAACAGAGAAATCAAGAAGGCTGTCGAAGCTTATTGGGGTGGAAAATCAGACGCAGAAGCTGTTATCCAAGCAGGTAAAGAGACTAGGAACAAGAACTGGCAATACATGAAGAATGCTGGTATCACCCACGTTCCATCGGGTGATTTCACTTTCTACGACCACGTACTTGACCATATCCAATTCCTTGGTGCTACTCCTGAGCGTTACTCACGCCACAACCTCACTGACCTCGACACTTTCTTCGCTATGGGTCGTGGTCGTCAAGTTGGCGCTGTCGACGAAGCCGCAATGGAAATGAAAAAGTGGTTTGACTCAAACTACCACTACATTGTTCCTGAACTCTCTGAGAACACCAAATTCCAATACCGCACCAAGAAGATTGTTGACGAGTACAAGGAGGCTAAGAACGCTGGCGTTGAAACTCGTCCTGTTCTTCTCGGTCCTATTTCCTTCCTCCTTCTCGGTAAGGCTGCACGTGATGCCTCTCCTGGCTTTGAACCAATCAGCCTCCTCGACAAACTTGTGCCTGTTTACGAGGAAATCCTCAAAGACCTCAAGGCTGCTGGCGCTCAATCTGTTCAAATCGATGAACCTATTCTCGTTCTTGACAAGGCTGCTCCGCTCGCTGCTCAATTCAAGTCTGCTTACGCTAAGCTCGGTCCTGCTGGCCCTGCTGTCACCCTCGCTTCTTACTACGGTCGCTTAGACTCCAACCTCGAATACGTCAAGGATCTTCCTGTTGCCGCTATTCACGCTGATCTCGACCGTGAGCCTGCTCAACTCGATGCTATCCTCAACGCTATCAAGGACAAGAAGACCGCCGTCTCTCTCGGTGTCGTTTCTGGTCGTAACATCTGGAAAACTGATCTCGAAGATGCTCAACGTTTCGTCAAGAAGGCTACTGATGCTCTCGGTGCTGACAGAGTCATGGTCGCCTCATCATCTACCTTGCTTCACACTCCAGTTGACTTGAACAACGAGAAGAAGCTTAAGCCTGAAATTAAGGACTGGTTCTCCTTCGCCAGGCAAAAGGTTAACGAGATTGCTTTGCTCGGTCGCGCCTCAAACGCTCAAGTCTCATCTGAAGACAAGCAAGCCTTGGAAGAAAACAAGGCTTCTATCAAGCGTCGTCGTGACTTTGAGACTCAATCAAATGACACCGTTCGCAACCGTGTCGCAAACATCACTCCAGAAATGTTGAAGAGAAAGAACCCATTCCCAGTCCGTCGTGAAGCTCAACGTGTCAAGATTAACTTGCCAAAATTCCCAACCACCACCATTGGATCATTCCCACAAACTCAGGAAATTCGTATCGCTCGTCAACGTTTCACTAAGGGTGAGATCACTGAGCAAGAGTACGACGACTTTATTGCCAAGGAAATTCAACAAGTTGTTAAGGTCCAAGAGGAGATGGACTTGGACTTGCTTGTTCACGGTGAGCCAGAGCGTAACGATATGGTTCAATACTTTGGTGAGCAATTAGAGGGTGTTGCCTTCACCACCATGGGATGGGTTCAATCATACGGTTCCCGTTACGTTCGTCCACCAATCATTGTGTCTGATGTCTCTAGACCATCACCAATGACTGTTAGATGGTCCAAGTATTCGCAAGAAGTTTCTTCTAAGCCAATGAAGGGTATGCTTACTGGTCCAGTCACCATCCTCGCTTGGTCATTCCCACGTGCTGATGTCAGCAAGGAGATCCAATCCAAGCAAATTGCATTGGCATTACGTGATGAGGTTGTTGACCTTGAAAAGGCAGGTATCAAGGCTATCCAAGTTGATGAGCCAGCTATCAGAGAAGGTATGCCATTAAGACAAGGCGATTGGGCTCCATACCTCCAATGGGCCGTTGACTCTTTCAGATTGTCAACTTCAGGTGTTGAAGATGGTACTCAAACCCACTCTCACTTCTGTTACTCAGACTTTAATGATATCTTCTCATCTATCAAGGCACTCGACGCTGATGTCATCTCGATTGAAGCTTCAAAGAGTGACATGAAGTTGTTGAAGGCATTCCAAGACAATGACTACTCGAATGAGATCGGTCCAGGTGTTTGGGATATCCACTCTCCACGTGTTCCACCTCTTGAGGAGATGAAGCAACGTATCACTGATATGCTCAAGCTTATTCCAGCAGACAAGCTTATTATTAACCCAGACTGTGGTTTGAAGGTGAGTTGAGTATTATTTTTAAGGTGTTTACTAATGTCTTACAGACTCGTCACTGGGCTGAGACTAAGGCTTCATTGCTCAACTTGGTTGCTGCCGCCAAGTGGGCAAGAGAGAACTACTAAATTTAGTACACACGCAGCTTTCAACATAGTCGCATACCTCAAAACGTTTAAAATTGTTTAAAATGTATCTTTTTCTGTATCATTCAACTGGGATTTATGATTTGTAATCAATTTACTGTGCAAGTAGTGTGTTGCAAATAGCTATGTTTATAGTAATATTCTATATACTTTCATTGGTTATTTCTTGTAAAACTCTATATACTTCCGCCATTCTGTAACTTTGTGAGCACCTTGTTGTACCACTGCTGAAGCGTAGACAATGGGATGAGTGTTTCTGGACCGACGTGTGCAAAACCGGACAAGAAGTCGAAGAGATTCTCTAACATTCTCTTTGCGACTTCCTGCGATTCGTTCGATTTGCTAGCGACGGTGTTGGCAGGAGTGAGAGCCATAGTCTGGCTATCGACTTGATTTATAGGTTCAACAGAAATACCAATAATAGCTTGAGTATTGTTGTTGTTTACAGTGTTGAGTGTATTCGAGCTAAGTTTTGACGGGATCGCACTCCCCCTCAGTCTGAAAATAGCTGATGGCTTCTCGTTGCTCACTTTTCCTAGCAGTTGCCAGCCTTTTTCGTAGCCAGGGAAGAGGAAGTGCACCGTAGCGCCAATTCCATCTGGGAAAGCGACCTGGCCAGTGAGGAAGATAACGACATGGTTAAGCTCCTCTGGCTTGCTCAGGCTGAATGTAAAATGCGTCTCATCTATCTGCTGCAGATCCGTCTGCACGAGTCTACCAGCGGCTATACAACCAAACATCGGAGTGAGAAAGCAGGAGGAGTGACATCATTACGACATGTCGTTTGCAGAGTAAATTCTGTTTAATTATATCAATTGTGAAGCATACAAATTGTTGAATGGCGCTCTCAAACGGTCAGGTTGTCTGAAGGTGTTTTGTTAGCCTTAGCCTTAGCGTCAAGTACGGCGGAAAACCCCACTCACATTCGTAAGTTCCCGGGACAATTACCCAGGTGAGTATCGTCGAGAGCATGATAGCGACGTTTTGTACAACTGCAGCGATGCTATTGGTACGCGGTTACATGATTAGTGGTTTGTGGGTGAATATCGCGAGTGAACGCACCCATACGCAACGAAATGGCTCGGGTATTCCGGCACTACGTATTTGAGGATCAGGAGACTCTGTGTGTGGTTGAGCATGCATACTATACACCGCACACCATCCATATACTCACTACACTACCCGCTAATCCACCCGCTAGCAATGCGAATCCCACAAAGAGCCAGCAGCGTGCTCTCCATGCGTCTGGCTCGTCGTTCTCTCGAGAGATCTAAGCTTGCGTGAGATGGCAGTGCGTCGGTCGATAACAAACTCACCTGCGCCTTGTTGATCAAGCTGACAATAATCATCCCCAGAGTAGACAGAATGGCTGGTACGTAGTCCACAAATCCGATCCTTACGGGTACATCCTCCAATGGGTTGTCTGCACCGTGTGAGTGTGTGCTGTGTGCTGTGTCACCCCACCCTACCTGGCTTCGTGTGCTTGGAGATGATGGCAGCGTCAAAGAAAAACCACCAGCCAGATGCAAATAACATCCCCGCCAAGTATATTCCCCATTCTCGTAACTTTGGAAACTCGCTAAGGTCAGGTACATTGAACACGCAGACGCGCTGCGGCTTGTATGGCGATGGTCTCGTCAGACGTGGATTGCTGATTGGCGGTCTATCGCTTGAGCTGGTTTCGACACTCATGACTGATTTAGTTGAAGAGAATGACGTAGGTTGTAGAAAATAATGAAATCAATTACTGTGTTATTACATTGCTAAACTGTGCTAAAATGTCTATTTGATATGCTATTTTGCCATTTGGTATGCTAATTCAAAAAAAGTAAAACGGCGTGGTTGGTGTACCCGTCCTCGCCGTCTCTCTGCGTTGCTGTCTCGTTATTATCTGCGTCTGAAAGCCATCGCCACCGTATCTGGTGAGCATAATATCCTCCCAAATATCATCCAAGCCCGTGTTATGGTAGTTATCATATTCATCATACGTACCTGTATCTGGAAATAAACCGAGTGAGCTGTCCCAAATAGGTGCTGACATATGAGGCAAATACGATGACGGCACCCGCGTCATCATATCAACGCTCTCAGCTACATTCTCTAGGTTATCCACTACCCTACTCCCAAATACACAGCTGCCGTCGTCGTAGAGTGTGTTTGAGTTTAAAACACGCAGCAACCGAGCAAGTTGTCGTGCGGAATCTTCCTCACTTATCGTCACACCGAGACTTTCAATGTCAGGAGCGAGTGCGTGATTGAACATGGCTTCATGATCGTCTGGTTCTGCAGCTGCTCTTCTACGCTCAAATTCTGCTTCTACCCTCCTACGGAAGTTGTTTGGTTGTTTCTGCTTCTGATCCTGCTTCTTCTTACCTTTGGAATAACTGGGGATGGAAGGCAAGGGAGGTTCAGAAAGATCTGAGCTATCATGTGGCAGAGTGGGTAAACCAGGTGCGTCCACCTCCGGAACATCCTCCCAAACCTTAAATTTGCCTTTACCCATATCTGAAGCACTTGGGCTAATACAAATACCGTCATTCTTCTTTTCCTTCTCCTTGACTTTCTCTTTCTCCATCCGACTCTGGCGTGCTTGCTTGGTGAGGAGCGAGCGACCTTGGTCTTCTGGAGCTCTAGTGGTGCCAGACTTTAAGCAGAGTACTTTATTCCTCTGAATGATGCATGGTGCATCTGTCAGCTGCGATCGACTCAAAGCTATCATACAGTCACGCACCCCTTCTAAACTCATCAAATTGAGGGAACGGGGAAACTTGAACATGATATCGATGCTCCTATAGCTCGGTTTCTGTTTGATGTTGCGTTTTCTAACGCATTGACCAGAATCGCAAAACGAAGCTGACTTTGAGATGTTTAGCGGATGCAGAATGGCGATTGGAAGGTGCTCACGACGAGGTGGTTTTGGCATTGGCGGAGGAAGCTAGCCATTGGATCCTTCTTAGCGTCGAAGTTGCTGAGGAGAGTGATCATGAGTGCCTGTCGGGCGAGTGGGTGAGTGTGTAAGCTAGCTATGACACACATACCTCGTTTGACTTGATTGCTTGTGAGTATGGAGGATTATGCCCAGCCTATCAACCAAAATTTAAACCCACTCTGTCAAACATTATCCCATGTCGCTTTGCACAACAGAATTCGACACCGCAAGTAGCACTTTCGATGATTCTGCCAAATCGTCAGTCTTAGCGCTGAGCATACGCCTAAAGACAAGGCACTGGGCACCAAGCGCACGCACTCGACTAAAACGGCCATAAAATACTTGGGTGCTCCTTGGTTGCTCTTGTTGCGCTAAGTGTGGATGAGCGATACACCAAATCGGCACAGTGGTCCGTCACACACACTGATTGGACGTAGGTGAGGCGGCTGAGATTGAGCGTCGCGGGGATTTCGCCTAGATGATGGCATCATTTCGCAGCCACTATTTGTTCCAAGAAAGACAGTCCAAGAATGGTGTGGCTTTCAACACGGCTGTGTGGGTATTGATGATGGTTGCTGCTGCGTGAGAGCGTGTTTAAAAATCTGAGATTAGTTGAAACCATTTACATCCCCTCTACATCACATCAATTGGCTTTGTTTGACCTTTGTTCGCCTTGATTGACTATCCAATCAGCGATCAAAGAGGCGTTAAGTACGCTGCGCTTATCACTGTTCACGTCCAAGTAGGCGGAGCACTTCTGAAGAGAAACTATCGGCGTATTTATGTTCTTCTTGCATCTGCCAATGAGAATGATTCACTTTGATAAATCAACAGCGATCTCATGATACGTTAGAACAACTTGAATACCTCAAACTACCCTCATAATGTACATTAGCTGCAACTTCAATCATATTCATGTGTATATCTATCCAGCGAGACACTGGCATAAAGAGTCTTTAGTCTTTTCCAAAAAAAAAAAAAAAGGTGTCATAAGCTGTGATAAGAAGGAACATAGACGCCATTATAGCCTTATCAACAAGGCACGCCCAGCCACCAGATTTACTTGGACAAATTTGCACTTATAGAGCTTGTTTGAGATGGTTTAGCGGCATAGACAACAAAACAACATCAGTACTAATCAATAATCGATATTATCCAATCTCCGGTGATATATTACATGAGTTGATAGTCGAGTTGCAACAACGATGGGTAAAAAGAACAGCAACTTGAAATCGAGTCTAGAGAGACACAAGTCTAATCAGGCTATCAAGCAGCAGCATAAAGCATTGGAGAAGAAGAAGGAAAAGGTAAAAGTATCTACAAAACCAGTTAAGTTGCCGTTCCGAGGGGATGATTATGTGTTATTGGTGGGAGAAGGTGAGCTAGATATAAGCACAAACCATTCAAATCAATAACGATTCAAGGAAACTTCTCATTCACTCTATCGTTGGTTGTAGATCATCAATTCGAGTGTGGTCAGTTGGTGAGCACAACGGTAGATACACAGGAGGTGAGTTGGGCTGTGAGGAAGGCATCAAATACTCAGAATCACCCCCAAGGAAGCGTACAAAAAGTACGATGACTGTGAGGAGATAGTGAAGACACTTACGAGCAAAGGAGTAAGGATAATATTTGGAGTGGATGCAACGTGTCTCGATAAGTGTAAAGAACTTGAAGGAAATAAATTTCACAAGATATACTTTGGATTTCCACATCTAGGTAGGGTAAAGTACATATTTATCAGGAACACACTAAAATGAAAACAGGACTCGGTATAAAGGATCAGGATAGGAATGTGATAGCTAATCAAACGCTGATACTTAGATTCTTTGCTTCTGCGAGTGAGTACCTGACGTCAGGGGATGTGGATTATAATTTCAAGAAGAAGAAGGGCGAGGAGAGTGAGGACGAAGGTGAAGACAAGACAAGAGAGGGTGTAGTGATGATAACCCTTAAAGAGTCAAAGCCGTATAATTTATGGAACGTTACAGGTTTAGCTAAGAATCCTCCGATAGAGTTGCCAGAATTGCCAGGACAGCCATCAACGGCAAAGGGGAAAAAAGAAAAGAAAGGATGCGCGTATAAAGTACTTCGTAGTAGTCCATTCAATTGGGAATTCTATCCAACGTACTCCCACCGCAAAACATCCGCATCAATGAAAAATGTAGTGAATAGCAGCCAAAGTCGAATCTACGAATTTGTGAGAATCGTAGATAAAAACAATCAACCCAGGAATAAAAAATGAATATAAATTATAATAAATTAAATGAATTAAAATCAAATTTATACTCACATCAACACTTTATACAGAATTCTTTTAACTTTGATAGACTCAACTCTCTCAATTCAAAGCACTCTGAGCTACAATCGAATCTCACCAACCTTCACTCCTCTAGAATATCTCAAGAGCGCTCTTTGAACCACAACAGCCATCATCAACATCATCAAAACAAAAGGAAACTCAGCCTACACGATGCTCACGAAACTCCAGACTCACTCGACATTGATGACGCAAACGATTCCCTTGACACTCAAATCATACAACCAAAGAAGATGCGTTTACCTTCCCCTTCTCCTCCTCCAGATCCTATCTCCCTCGTCCCCGAATACCAAGGCTTAGACCCTGACTTTTGTCTTCCTACAACAGCTTTACAACGCGCCAAACACGTCCAAGATGCCCAAAACGCTATCTGGTTGCACATATCGCGCAAAGAGATCCCAAGAGTACACAAATACGCTACTGCTGCACACACTTCCCACTTATCTTTCCACAAGCGGATATCTCTACTCACTCAAAGAGAGCAACGCAAGCTTACAACTCGTACAACTAAAAACAACAAAGAAATTCAAGCCAAGGCTAAGAAGGTGATGCGTGAAGTTCTCTTTCATTGGCGCAGGAACGAGAAAGATGAACGTGATGTCCGTCGTAAGGCTGATAGAGATGCTTACGATAAAGCAAGAGCTGAAGAACAGAGTAGAGAAAGTCAACGCCAACAGCGTAAACTTAATTTCCTTATCACCCAAACTGAATTATACTCCCACTTTGTCGGTAACAAAATCAAGACTGACGAGGCTGAGAAATCGAATGATACCGCCGCTGATCCTAATCTCGAGAGCGCTCCTATTCAACCACCTTCATTCGACTTTGACAAGTTTGAAGAGAGTAATTTGCAAGATATTGACTACGATGATGGTCAGTATGGTCTAAACTTCTGCTAACTCCTTCTGACACTATCCTTACAGCCGACGAAAGCAATTTACGCATGCACGCTGCCAAGAATGCTCAACAAGCATGGCTTAACACGCGCGACAAAGCGACTCAATTTGACAAAGTAGCTGCTGAGGATAGGCGCAAAAATGAGGCTATCCAAAAAGCTAAAGAGATGGGTGTTGAAGTACCACCAGAAGCTGAGCAAAATGCTGATGCTGATGACGAGCTCAATTTCCAAAACCCCAACCTCGGTGATGACTCTGTCGAAGTAGGCCAGCCGAAGCTGCTTGATGCAGAGTTGAAAGACTACCAATTGAAGGGATTGAACTGGCTGGCCAACCTTTATGAGCAGGGAATCAACGGTATACTTGCAGATGAGATGGGATTGGGTAAAACTGTTCAATCGATATCTCTGATGGCTTACTTGGCAGAAAAGCATGATATTTGGGGTCCATTCCTTATCATTACTCCGGCATCTACATTGCATAATTGGCAGCAGGAGATTAGTAGGTTTGTACCATCTCTCAAACCACTTCCATACTGGGGTTCGACGAAGGATAGAGCTGCGCTAAGAAAGTTTTGGCAAAGGAAGGCTATAACATATACAAAAGACGCACCTTTTCATGTCCTCATCACATCGTACCAGTTGGTTTTGTCTGATGAAAAGTACTTTAAGAATGTGAAGTGGCAGTACATGATCTTAGATGAAGCGCAGGCTATCAAGTCATCACAATCAGCGAGATGGAATACGCTTCTATCTTTCAAATGTCGCAATAGACTCTTGCTTACAGGTACACCAGTCCAGAATTCCATGCAAGAGTTATGGGCACTTCTTCACTTTATCATGCCTTCGTTATTTGACTCGCATGACGAATTCGCAGAGTGGTTTTCTAAAGATATAGAATCGAATGCGGAGAACAAGGGTGCAATCAACGACAAGCAGTTAAAGAGATTGCATATGATACTGAAGCCATTCATGTTGCGCAGAGTTAAAAAGAATGTTCAAAATGAGCTCGGTGACAAGATTGAGATCGACGTACATTGTCATTTATCGCAGAGACAACGCTCGTTGTATAGGTTACTAAGGAGCAGGATTTCCATCACTTCTCTAATAGACAAAGCTAACAAGGGGAGCGATGAAGGAAAGCGCGGTCTTATGAACTTGGTTATGCAGTTCAGAAAGGTTTGCAACCACCCAGACCTCTTTGAGAGGGCTGATGTGAAGAGTCCTTTTGTTATGTCGAGATGGTCACGGAATAGATCGACGAGAGATCCTGATGTTCACTACATACCTGATCAGTTTGAGAGCACAGTCAGACTGCAACTGCCGCGGTTGATTGCCGACGATAAAGACATTGGTGGTGCCGTTGGTAGACCGACTGGTAGATCTAAATTTGGAAGTAGGACATTGGAGCAGATGTTCAATATTTGGACACCTGATTATATAACCAAGTCAATAAGTCAGGGTAAAGAAAGCCCGTTCGCCTTCTTACCACAGATCGGCGTCAGCGCGGAGCAGGCTAGCCAGTTGTTTTCGTCAGATGAGTTCACGAGGATGTTAATGGCATTTGAGGAGAACATGGCACAATCTGAACATGAAGGATACAATGAGTGAGTGTTAAGTAATTTGTCGTGACTACGTTAACACATATCTTCAAGTGATAACGACTTGATTTCTTCTGCATTGAATAAGACACTCAACATTATTCGTCCGTTCCCTCACAAAGCTGCAATAGAAGAATACAGTAGCGCACCATTACCAGCATTGAACGAGGTAGCACTCAATGCCATTGCTGAGTCTGTACTCTTGCGCCGTTCATCCAAGTACATGTCAGGAATAAAGAGGGTATTAGCACCTGCCCCGTATCCTGATATCTTGCATAGACCCTCGCTCGACCGCATACAGTGGCGCGCAAGAGAAGACAATGAAATCACCAAGACGTTTTTTGGTCTGCAGACGCCCCGTCTTAAAGAGAACACCGAAGCAATAGAGGTGCTGCCGCCACACATACCCCCACAAGGACTGGTCGAGAACAGCGATAGGATGCAACTTCCACCATCGACAATGGCAGTACCAGAACCGAACAAACTGATTATAGACTCTTCCAAGTTGGTGGCGCTCGATGATCTACTACCTAAACTGAAAGCAGGCGGCCATCGCGTTCTCATTTACTTCCAGATGACCAAAATGATCGACCTGATACAGGAGTACCTGATTTATAAGGGATACAAATATTTGCGTTTGGATGGTAGCTCCAAGATCAACGATAGGAGGGATATGGTACAGGATTGGCAGGGCAGTGACGAATACTTTGTATTCATGCTGTCTACGAGAGCTGGTGGATTAGGAATCAATTTGACAGCGTGGGTTTGGTTTAGTTGCTTTAATGTGCCGCAGCTAACAAGAGAAATGTAGTGCAGATACTGTGATTTTCTTTGAACATGATTGGAATCCTTCGAATGACCAGCAAGCCATGGACAGAGCGCACAGACTGGGCCAAAAGAGACAGGTGACTGTCTACAGGCTCATTACTAAAGGTACGATCGACGAGCGTATTGTGAAGCTAGCCAGAGTGAAAAAGGATATTCAAGATATGGTTGTTGGACAGAAAGGCGTGGGCGAGAAAGAGCAGAGCCAGCCAAACGAGCGCGAGATCATACAAATGTTGATGGAAGAAGATCAGGACGAGCCTTATGAGGCTGGTGTCGGTAGCGTTGGAGGTGTCGATACGGCAGAATTGCTCAATGGAGCGAATGACGATGAGGATGGCTTGTTTGGAGGAGACATGGGTGGTTCTAATGATGGTAATGCCAACAATACAGTCAACGGTACTGGTACTGGCACACCTGCAACGCCGTCTAAACAATCTTCCACTCCTAAGCCACCCGGCGCGCGTCAAGGCAGAGGCAGACCACCTGGCTCTACGAACAAGGACAAGAGCGGTGGAGGTGGCTCAGTCGGTGCAGCTGCTACTGCTGCTACTGCAAGCGGCAGTGCTCCTCCGTCGACATCAAACAACTCCACACACCCGAACACACCTCAACAGAGCGACGACGGCAAACCCAAGAAAAGGTTCAGGAGGACTAAGAAGCAGATGGAAGACGACGCGGCTGCAGCTGCGGCACATGAAGCCTACCTACTCAAGGAGGGTATCATGCCTGAGAAGAAGAAGCGCGGTCGCAAACCTAAGCATAAGGCTGAACAGGATGCCCAAGCTCAAAAGCAGTTTGAGGAGATGCAGAGCAAGCTGGCCGAAGATGGCCAGCAGTAGAGCGTTCTCTTTCAATTCATCTGCTGTCTATTAAGCTAAGCTGTAACTGTTTATTATTAATTTAGTACCTGTTGTAAATTATTTTGTTTTTATATTCCTCTAAAGTACCAAATATTTATTGTGTATGCTTGTGCATGGTTGCGCATGCTCGCCCATCTCCTATCTCTCACGACGATAACGATCTATCTGATCGGGAGTGCGATAGCGATCGAGGACGAGTACAAGGCTGGTGGGTGTGGGCGTGAGTGCATTGCAATGACACGCTAATCAGCCGCATAGCACAGCTCGCGCGTCATCTCGTCGAATCTGTGAAAGGCGTCGGTACAATCTCGACAATATTCCCTTCCGGGGATGAGTTAGAAGGTGGGGATCTGGAAATCTGACGAAAGAAAAGGGAACACCACTAAGTTTCCTCAAGGTCACCCATTCTCGCTAGAGGTGTACTACGCATCCTGCTACAATGACGGGAGTCTCACACTGCTGAGTATGCCCATATCGCAATCATACAACAATATCATCCGTGATTCGCAGCACAGAGCTACTATCTCAGTAATGCCTCTCGATGGCTCAGCCAGGGCTAGCAATTATCGCGTCGGACTGATCGGACATGTTTCATTTTTAGATAGTCATACGAGTAGTGGCTTGGGGGAAGAAGGCGAGAGATTGAGAAGCTGTTATCTTCTAGATCACCCCGACAGCAGCATCTGGTTACCACCGCATGGTGTGCCTCACCAGGTTTGTCTCACTCTTCCATAATCACAAAGGCTCAACACTAACACACCAAACACAGTCTTATTTTGTTAGGTTCGACATTGATCGCGTTTGGTATATAGGAGGGTTCGGTAGCTCACACTATATTGGCTATATACCGCTCGAGCTTTACGCAGCGGCTGCAACTTGGTTTCCTAAATACGTCTCACTCTCTAGTGCAACAAGCATTACCCTTTAACTCTGTAAACGAGAATATGATACAAATAACTATAGCATACAAGCAAGAAAAGAAATTTGGCAATTGAAGGAATGTCTAAATACTAAAATTTAATCAGCAAAGCGATTGTCGTAGTCTCGCTCTGTCCCGTAACGCGTTTTTGTAGCTGGTGGCGTTGGTGGGGGAGCGTCTTTTCCAATCGTAGTGTCCTTGGAGTGTGCGCTGATGTCTTTCCGCCCTCCTGACTGTTCGTCTGCCTCACCTTCTTCACCCATCTCGTTTGCATCGTCACCAGCTGACTCTGACTGCGTTCTCGGTGCGGCGTCATTGAATTGTGGTCCAAAAATTGGCATGGCAAATGTATGTGCTGGTAATGGTGCTGGCGCTAATCCATTCGATTCTCTGCGACCCCCGAAACCGAGAGCACCGCCCCAAGAATTTGACCCTGCTCTGAATCTCTTCTTCGGTGGTTGAGCGTCTTCTGCTTCGTCATACATGTGGTGTCCGCTATCTCGTATCGTCTCCACTATATCGCTGTCTGTGGAATCGCGAGGACGTGGGTGCTTGCCAAGTGTGCGAGGTGCAGGTGATGGATTGGCGAGCTCTTGCTTCTGTGTGTGCTGTTGCACTCTTTCGATTGTCTTATTGCGTGGTGTAGGCTGATTAATAGATGCGCGCGACAACAGGGGAATATTCGCAGCAATGGTAGAAGCTGGTGAGCTTGGAGGTTGAGCATGAGATGTTTGAGGCAATTGAGTAGGTTGAGATGATTGAGCTTGTTGAAGTAGCTGCCTACTCATGCTTTCTATCATCTCCTTTAATGGCTTCATTTCGTCATACATCGACCCTACACTCTCCTTCATTTGGTTAACCTCTACCTTTAATTCATGTATCTCACTGTCACGCGCTTCAGTTTTCTTGTTTGACTCATCTATCTGCAATTGTAAATATGAAACAGCCCGATTGCGTTCCTCGTTTGTATCACTCAGCGCTTGCTTCAATGTCGCGTGATTAAACTTGGAAATGTTGAGATCTTTCTGCATTTCCCTCATCAACTCAGTTTCAATCTTGTTAGATATTGTACTGCTGGTGATTTTACGTGATAACGGCTTGGACATTGATAGTGGGACTGGGGACTCGTCGGGAAGTGATATTCTAAGCCTCTGTGCTCTGAAATTTGGATATGGATCGTTCAATCTAGGCAGTTCGTTTTCGATACCAATCTCTTGTTGCCTTTGTGAGAAAGGTAATTCTGTTTGCTGATTCGTTTCAGTAACCTCATCATCATTATGACTATGATTCCGACCCTGATTATTACTGTCACTATCACTATCACTATCACTTCCACTTTCACTATCAGTATTACTGTCCTTCTCACCCGCTTCATATACCTCTACGTCTTCTGCACTTTCAGGATTCATGTGTGATGCTGCGACAGGCTCCGAACCCGCCTCATCATCATCATCTTGCAGTTGCTCTACAGACGCATCTCTCACTGCTTCAGGTTCAGAACTTGGTTTGTGATTTGGATCTTGATTTAGTTCTTGGTTTGCTTCATGATCGGATTCTGTAGAAAAAAGTGTAGACTTTGGTTTCGTAAGGTCAGCCTCATCGAATGAGTCGCGAACATTGTGGGATGAGCGAGGGGACTTGCGTATTGCAGGTGTTTTGTAGCCAGAGGAAGAGCTGCGAATATTATCTCTCCTTTGTGGAGTACCTTTTGAAAACGGTAGGCTGGTTGTATTTCGGTGTACATGTGAGACTGAGACAGACCTCACTCTTCGGATAGTTGGACGTGGCGCTGATGATTCTTTTGTTACTCTCCACTCCTCACCAGATGATTTATGCTTTCTAGGTCTGCCCCTTGTCACTGCAAATGCGTTAGTCGAATGTAAACAACTAGGTTGCGATTACCTTTTCTAGGCGTAGAAGATGCTAGTATTGGTGTGGTACGTGTGCTTGCTTCTCTGCCTCTGTTGTTGTCGGCTTCAAATGCATCAGGTAACGGTGTAAGAGACTGCTCATCGGGCTCTGTATATTTAATTTCTCGCATTGATTTACTTGCATCGCGTTCTTTTGCATCATCTACCTCGCGTTTACCGTCTGTTTGATAATGTGGGGGTGACTTTGAAGCGTCTGCGTTTGCGCCTTCGTCGTCGCCTGGTTGACTACCCTCATGCTTGCCATCACGAGCCACTGCATCCAGGTGATCTACAATCAGATTGAATATCTTTGCCTTCTTGTCTGTGCTTTTGAATAAAAGATTCAATTCCTGCAGTGGATCAATGAGATGGGCTTTGTGAGGTGTATTAGACGTACCCGCGCTTTAGTGACCAGCTCCGTCTTTTTATAATTCTTTAACTCATCTACCGTCGTCATTTTAGTTGGCGGTAGCCTTGGCTGTAGCAGATGAAGAAGACAGGGGCATGAATAGCAGGGTGGTAGGCATAGAGCAGCGTTTCGTGTGGGTGATGGCTTACGCTAATGCTGATATAACCACAACTTGCGTCACTGATCCTCGCTCACTCAAAACGTAACAAAGCGATAGCGCAAGTTGGAAGGAATAAATAATAGAAATACAAAAGGAATGAATACAATTAATCCTGCATCATTGCGTCTGTGTCTTTCACCTGGTTCTTGTCCTTGTTTGGAATATTTACGCGCTGATTGAGCATGTTCTCAGCGTGCTGCTTGAGCGTCCCGAATGGATCCTTTGAGTATTGCGGGTGATTGAGGATTAGAGGAAGACGCTTAGTTTCTAATTGCCTGTCATATTAAGATATCAGATATATAGCTTTAAACAAACTAAACACTCACAAAGCTTTCTGCTTTTGTTTCTGCGTAAGTGGCTTGTTCGATGTTTTGTTGGCAGCCTCCTCGAGTTTCTTACGCTGCTGCTGCTGTTTATCCTGCGCGCTATTTGCAGCTGCCGATTCTTCGTGTGTGGGTTGCGTGTGCTGATCAATATCGTGCAAACCCTCATCGAGATCATTCAAATTAACATTCAGCTGCTGCTTGGCCTTCTTCTTCATACGCTTTTGATGCGATTTTGAGTATTCATTCGTCTTGATAGACGCCTTTACTTGGTCAGACAGCTTACTGCGATTCTTTGTATCCTTTGCTGGCTTGCTTGATTTCACCTGCGGGAGTTTGTAAGCGTGGACCTTTCATCGCAGCTGCTCGTACCATGATCGTTAATAAGAACCATGATTAGGAGGAATGCCTTAATCGTGATTTGCGTCGTTGTATTCGTTTTTACAACATACCTATTCACCACTACACTCTCCAGTAACGTCTACAATTCACTCAAATCCACAAAATCAAACAAGAAAGGAAGAGCTAACGCTGCCTTCGTCATACTCACAACAGACGACGATCTCTATGGAATTCTATCATCCATACGCCAGATGGAAGACAGATTCAACCTCCGCGACTCCGGAGGCTACGATTACGTTTTCCTCAATGAGCGCAAATTCAGTAAAGAGTTTAAGAAGCGCACGTCTGCGATTATATCCACACATGCCTACTACGGTCTTGTGTCTCCATCAGACTGGCAACAACCTAGCTGGATAGACGAAGATAGAGCGGCCGCGAGTAGACACTTGATGGTCCTCGATAAAACACTACATGGTGAATCTGTACCATATAGAAACATGTGCAGATTCTTCAGTGGTAAATTCTACAATCATCCCCTCCTTCAGCCCTACGATTACTACTGGAGAATCGAGCCTAATGTAGAGTACACCTGCGATCTTGACCAAGATCCATTCCTCGCCTTGCAAGAGAACGGCTCTCAATATGGCTTTACTATTTCTATTTTAGAATTCCCTGATACCATTAAGACGCTGTGGGAGACGGTGAAAGATTTCATGAAGGACTACCCTGAACACATTGCTGCGAACAACTCGATGGGATTTATTAGCGACAATGAAGGTGAAACTTTCAACGGATGTCACTTCTGGTCCAACTTTGAAATAGGTGGGTTTGATTCAACTCAGTGAATTACAATTCACTCGAGCATAGGCAACCTCAACTTCTTTAGAAGCAAAGCATACAACGACTTCTTCAATTACCTCGACAAAAGGGGAGGGTTTTACTATGAAGTGTGTGATCTTTTACCTTTTCTGCATGGACTCACAAATCTACAGAGATGGGGTGATGCGCCTGTGCATACAATTGCAGCTGCACTGCTGCTTCCTTCCGATGCGATTCTCAGGATCTAGCCCATCGGCTACAATCACGAACCATACAAGCACTGCCCGCTCGGCAAGAAGAACTGGAACAGGTGTTCATGCCGCACGGTCGACTCCGACATCTACCACCCTCACTCGTGTTCTCGCAAGTGGGATGTCTTCGTCAAGCATCGCAGCTGGCAAATTAACTGAGTGTATCATAAATGTATTCTACGTGTGCAGCACCTCGATCATTCTATTGTAAAACTGACGCATGCTGTACTGTTCGCCCTGGTAGCTCTGGTCGAACCAGTAATTTATCGCGATGCAAGGATCTCCGCTTTGCAAGACGTGGTGAAACCAGCCACTTGGGAGATATAGCGCGTCGCCCTCGTTGACGGTGACAGTCATGCATCGCGAGTGTTTGTACTGTGGCACTCGCGCTATGTTCTCCTCTTTGCTCAAACATGGGTCGATCGGCGTCCAAGGAACATGCTCGTCTTGTGCTTCTACTATCAGCTTCCCTGACGCGTCTCGAATGTATTTTCCACGACGATACTTTTCAAATCCCAAGCAATACTCTTCCGTTGGCGGAAACAGGTTGAATGTTTTTGTACCTCTCACGACAACATAAATGTTCTCGTATGGGTCATGGTGCAAGCTTGTGACACTCTCAGGCCCACCCATCCAGACATTGACTGCATCGGGCTTCGATCCCATGATATCTTCCATCTGGGCTATAGAAGCCGGCACATCTCGACCAAGCTTCACGAACTCGTCAAACGCCAAGTTGCCATTCTGAGACTGCAGATACACCACGTCATCCTTTTTATTGTGCAACTTCTGCAAAAAGTCGCCCATCGAGATGTGTTGATTCAGCGGCTCGACGAAGAAGACATCATCACCGACTTCAACAAGCGCATCAGCATTACCGTAAGGTGTGGTGGCGATCTCTATGTCGCCTTGTACACTGTTTGACAAGTACTCATCATCCCACTTCCTCCTCGCCTCCCAATTCCTGGCAACGCCTTTGAAAAGAGCAGGTATGTTGTGCTGCACGACCGAACGCAGTTCATCAAAGCTGTCAAATTCTTGCGCATAACTCGTGTTAAAATCTTGATAATCTTCTATCAAGCTCTCGATAGCATCACTGATGTGAGCCTTTGTCAATGTAACCATTAGACAAGAATGCCGATGAAAGTAAGATGTTAATCATTATCATATCGTAAATAAGATTTTACATGTGTTGACTGTTTTGTTTGTATTGTGTCTGTACATTATCCAGAATTCGGTCTTCTAGAATGAGAATGAGAAAGATAAAAGTTAGCTGAATTAAGTACTATTTTACTATAGGGGAGTGAGAGGATGTTCATCAGTGCTGTTCTTTCTGTTTTTCCCGCTGAAATTCAAGTTGTTGCGGTTTAATCTGTTGTTTGCAGAGAATGAATTGGCGAAGATGTTTCTTTGCTGTTGTGTGGAAGGTTGGTCAAAGTTGATTAGCTCCGGAGATGACAATGGAGGAGGTGTTCCCAGCATAATTAACTGCGGCGATGGTGCTGCTGGTGAGGATTGCATTTTGACACCATCTGGAGGAACAGGCGACAAGTTGGTCGAGTTATTTCTTTTGTGATCAGCTTGAGACGGTGTGGAATCGAGAAGAATAGAGCGGGAAGACGACCTTGACCTGTTGTTTGGGTGTGCGGTGGCTGCCGCTGCGTGAGGCGGTTTGACTAGGCTATTCTTCCTCGTTGGGTGGTAAGAAGGTGGATAGTCACTGTTGGTATTGTCGTCTGGATGGCTAACAAACTGCTCGCCATCTATACCCGCCAAGCTATCAAGATCCTTCTTCTTGGCGTGCTTGATTGCGATTGGAATCAACGCAGCAAGGACGACTGCGCCCAATCCTAGGAAGTTCTTGATGGAGAACAAGTGGAAATCATCTGAGCTAGTCATACCATCTAAGCCACTGCCGATTGTAACGTGAATTGTGGAAACACCGGCAACACCCAACGCTGTCGAGCCCCAGAATGTGAATAAACTGATACCCATGTGTGGCGCAACAAGATTTAAAACCCAGTGTGGCGGAAGTGGTGCGATTCGAAGCAAAATCAAATAACTCCACACATCGCCACGTTCGATTGGACCCTTCATCTTGTTTTGATAGTGTTCCAACTTCAGCCTAAATGAATCGAACCAATTGAGCTTCTCCTCTGACTCCTGGCTTGCACCTGTGTGCTCCTCTCGAACAGCTGCCTGTAATGTCGGGGATTGCGCCTCCTCGTTGAGCAAAAATGGTTCCGCATCTGACTCGAGACGTAGGTGACGGTAATTGGTATCATCCTTAGACTTTGTGGTGGGCGGTAATGAGAGAAGTACAGCTCCAAGAGATGCTGAAATCAAGTAGCAGAGTGATGCACCTGTTGCGACGGTACAGCAAACCAAAGGCAGCGTTGGGACGGCTCCCCAGACGGCGCCTGCTAGCATCGAAAGGTACATGGATCCAGGTAACGAGAATGCTTGAAGGCTGTTAAATTGTGTCAATCACTTTTGTTATCTGCACCCCGTAAACAACTCACAATAGGTAAATGACGGTCCAAGAGATAAGTATCCTAAGACCTTGTTGGTTGCGGTATTTTTTAAGAAGGGCATTTAATGCTTGTAGTTGCTCAAATGATTTCGGGATTCTTAACGATGGCTTGTCGGCGCTGCGAGGCGTGTGATGTGAGAAGTGCGATTAGAGCTAGTCAACCCAACTCACTCTTCAATCTCAGGCCAGCTGAAGTAGAGCACGAGAGCAAGTATAGCGAAAGAAGCGAAGAAAACGGCAGCCATTTTGGCGGACGCTCTGTAAATCTGTTTGCGTTTCTCAGCCTCTAGCAACGCATTATCCACGATACTGGAATCGCTAGACTCTGCTGGCTCCATGTTGAGTATCAAACTGTTGCTGCGTTTCCTGTGGTCGTTGGAGACGGGGGGAGATGGACTGAGCCTGACGAGCTCGGGTGGAGCCGCGGGCGGTGGGCTGTCCTTGTAGGGCTCGTAGCTGTTTGTTTCGGAGCTCATCTCCACTCTTTTTAAATATTTCCAATTTCAGAGATGGCTGTGCGATTCTAACCTTGGAGCTGCGAGACGCATACCACATGAGGATATTGAGCAGAAGAGAGGAAGAAGACGTCGTAAAGCAGCACAAGCAGCTTGGATTACAGCATTGCAGTGATTTGTTCAAGGCTTTCGCAGATTGCACTGCGAGCCGAACGATATCAGTTATGTGGGCATGCAGGAAGCCACACAAGGAGCTCAACAGCTGTCTGTCCAAGTTGTGGGTGTGCGCGCAGATTAAATAGCAGGACTGACTGATGATGATTGCAGCAACTCAGAGGAAGCTTTGGATGCAGCAATCGAGGAATACTTGAAGAAAAGAGAGTACTGAGAGCGTGGGCAGCATTCATGCGCCTACTCAGAATCTAAACAATTGCCCTTCTTGCACATACAGCGACAATGAGGAGACAGCTTTATAACTTACAATACACTCTATTCTATTGATATACGATGAAGCAATGGTATGTTCTTTGAGGTTCAAGATGCCCAATTCTTGTCATACGAGCAAGTCGGATTGGCACAATATCTGGACCCAAACGCATTCGAAGTGCCGCCTGAGACTGGTTAGGATGATTCCTGTCCATGTCACGCCATACTCACATATAATACACGTCCAATTTATGTTTGAATCGTTAATGCAGCCTTTCTCTTGGCTCGGAGGTGTACTCTTATCCTTGTTGACGGGCTTCTTGTGAAACTGGACTGTGTTAGCTGCATCCAGCTACAAGAACGCAAAACGAACATAGAACGTCATTATTTGATTGTTTCCGAAAAAGAGAGAGCTAACCTTTCACATTCAACAAAGACTTTTGAAGACAATGGAAACCTTATTTCGTCACTGCAGCAATAGGGGACATAACACTGATAAGCATGACAAGTCGCTATATTTTCAGCGATAGCTGTAATTTTCAAATCTTTAATTATTTGTGTCCACGTTATCGTCTTCTCGATCACCCTAATCTCGGCTACTATCCGATCGTATCTGATAGAGGAGAAACAAAGTCTAAATCATGCGGGCTAGGAGAATTGATAAATTTCAATTTTGTGTCTGCTTTGTCTTACCTTTGACTTGTCATTACTACTCAGCTGGAGCTGAGGTGAAGTCAATTACCGAACAGTGAACCCTGTAGCTGCTCGCTAGCGAAAGCTACTCCGTAATTGTCGGCAGTGTCACTGGATGAAATTGATTGCACGCCCTACTTATTGGAGCTGATGGTCAACCCCCTTATATACAGATAGCAGTTGCAGGATATATGGATTCGAGAACAGTACAAATTATTACAATTTTTAGGATGTTGCTGATATAAAGTGCATATTGGACTGATCTTGCTTTAGCATGGGTTACTTTCTGAGCTTTAAACTCACAGATCAGATGAACTGACTACTGCCATTGCGGCTTAGTGGTGAATCCGCATTGGCGACACACTTTGATGAACTTGTCATTAGTTATTGCGCAGATTGGACAGAACCACACTAAACGTCATCAGAGAAGTCACTTTACTATGGTCGCAGCTTCATCGCGCACTTATTGTCTGATTGTATAATTATGGCGGAGCGTATTGAGTAGGAATAAACTTCGGCTTTGTCTTTTATGCCGTGCTGTGCAAAGGGGTAAAGGGGCAAATGTGCAACAAAGTTCTAAGGGGGTGTAAGGTGATTACAAAAAATGCTTTATTGTCTTGACTGCTTTGTTTTGTTGTATAATTTGTAAGATGAGACATACTGACCGATTCTCATGGTGGTCGTTGCTGATGAGCCGGCTTGATTCGGCAACCCACCGGCAGAGGTTTAAGGAGGATTTCTGAAACGGCTGCGCTTTCCAAATAGTTGGCAGTATAAGATTTTGCTCCAGGGATTGCAGTTTGAACGGTACCAAGGGGGGTAAGCCATCTGAAGACCAATACATTAGTTAAATTTAAGTATAGCTGACGGAAGACTTATTTACTTTGAATGCAAAATATCTGATGGTTTGGAAACGAAATCCAATAGCCCTTTTAAAGTTGGATTCCTGCGAGTGCTTTACTGGTGTGAGGTGCCGTCCTCCACTGTTATTTGTCTCAGGTCTATCAGGAAATCCAGCTGATGAGACCCTGGAGGGGAAAGAGCCTTAATGGAAACAGATTTCATAATCTGTGCTATTACAATAGACAAGCAGAAAAAGGCAAACATTGTATGTAGAGAATTATTACAGTGAATATGTGAAGACGTCTGCATCACCTCAAGTTTCTTTCTTTTGACATACGACAAGAAGAGCTGCGTCTGATGTTAGACCTGCTAGAAAGCTTTTGCTTGTCTACTCACTTTCCACACCAGCTAGTGTCATATGGCCACCAGCCTCGACAAGACACGCATTTCCATCTGTAATAAAGCGTCATGGATACGAATTACGTAGTGATATCCGGAGAGAATCATGTTATTCAATTCCCAGTTCCTGTGATTAGATGCCAAAGGCACGTGCCAAGGCGCATCGCGCTTTAGACGATGCGGGCAATAGTATCTATAATTTCCTTTTCCAACTCGCCATCTATTAATCATTCCTAGTTTTGTCCGCCGAGACCATCTTCGGTCTTCCGGTCTTCGATCTTCAATTTATTATTCGTTATTCGGGCGAATAGGTATGTTCAAAGAGTGCGTCATGTATTCTGTTATGGCGGGAAGAGAGGTAACACTGCTTTGGACTATAATATGGCGTTCAAGTCGATGCGTCTGAAGCAGGAGAAACCAGGCAGTAGGTAGCAAGCAACAGGAATAACGCTGATTGATGATATCTATTATTGCAAATAATAATAGCAGTGATGCATACAAATTTAAATAGCGTCTATTCATGCCGACTTGACGTACTTGCAGAAAGGATTGTTGCAGCTGTTCTCTGATTGAGGATTGCGATAACGGCAGACAGGGCAGGGCCAGACGGTGCTTGCATCTATTTGCTTTGGTATTTCGATGATTGTTTGGTCGAATTGGCTGGGGACGGTCTGCAAGTGGGGGATGAGCGGGGCGAGCGGGGTGAGTGGGGCTGAGTAAGACTGAGCGTACTTTGAATGCCATATTCACCACTATATTTATCACGTCGTGAGTCAATCTTGTGAGAGAAATTTAAAGCTTTTATCTGCGGCAACTTACCTATGATTGACTTTGTGAAATGGATGATACAGTCTTTCAATTCACCTGATCAGACGTGTTCTCGATGGCTTGTAATCTACTCAGTGTGATCTTGGAATAGCTGAGGCCAGCTGAGCTGAGACCACTGATTGGTAGCGATTGTTTTTCCCCGTGGCCACGAGGTTAGGCACACAGAGAAAATTTGTTGAGCACGCTGGATTCCAAGTATAGTGGTAGCCTTTGAACTATCTGTGGGGATTTTGGAGGTATTGGTTGCCTATTAGATACCTGTACCTGCCATTATTCCGGGTATCATACGCGACGCGTGTAGTCGTGGATCAGTATCGTCTGCTCAGAGGGAGTGGTGGCGATCGCGAGGCCAGCATCATCGTAAATTTTGCCGGCAAATGTATCAGCATGGAAAAAATGTTTACTAGAAGCGTGGTCGCCTTGTGACGGATTCTTACTCCATGGGATATTTAAGACACCTTCTAAGAGCACAAGAGGAGTAGAGTAGCATAGTACTATAGCAGTATAGCACTATAGTAGGTAATCTACAAAGCGTATTAAATTCATGCACCGTTATTCAGTTGATCAGCGAGAAGACGTGCATGCGGCGGACGACAAGAATGCCGTTTGGACCTGCATATTCGAGATGCATCTGCATAAGCTTATCAAAGATTATATCATTGGGGGTAAATTTAGGTTTGTAAATATTGCAGCGTACCGCCTCAATACACACAACACACACATCACAGCCATTCTGACACGTCGGCTAACGCACAGATCACCATGTCAAAGAGTCGCGCACCAGCACAATGTCGACAAGAGGAGGACGGAGGAATATAAATTAAATTAGACAAATAAATTATTGCAATTAGACTTCTACTAGAGTAGTTTTGATTTTGTTGCAGTGTGCGTAAAGGCGAGACAAACTAAGACCAGATAACGATATCGATCTGCAGACTAGAACCGTGAGTGGCCTTTCTGGATAGCTTCACGAGAGAAGCCGCATTTTTCGCTGTGGGTGGGGTGTTAGGTATGTCGATCTAACACAGCACACAACTCACTTGCAGCAGAATCGGTAGGCGTGCGTCGACCAATACCCGCACGAGCACAACCAGAAGAGGTGTGGCTGTGGATTGAATTGCGGCTGGTTGATTGTTACGTTGCTCTTGGTGTATGGCGCATACGCCGCTCTGGCTGTGTGCTGCTGGTGGCTCATTCTTCTCTGTTGACTGCTTTGTGGACGGTGTCAAGAAGGAAGAGGTGAATTGGGCAAAAAAATCAATTTGACGGCTTAAAAAACATCCACATTCTCTCGCACCGGCCAGCGACGCCGTGAACTTTATCGCCGTGCTGGACGTTGTCGGTAAACTTGGGTGGGCAAAGAGGAATGTTGACATATATACACTGTTGACAAGGATGGTTACATCACTGGAATTTATGCAATGCGAGGTATATGCGTTGTACTCTGCGTTATATGCTTTGATGCTTATGCTTCTATGACGTGACGTTGCCGATGCGTTAATTGGGATACCACTTGGTTGAGAAATTGGCCGGGCGGGGAGACACACACGATAAGCTGCAATGTGTTATTCTGAGTGGCTTGGCAGCAGTTCACTTACTTGTGGCATACTGCGTGATGGCCATGGTTGCAGAGTTGGCAGCTCGAGCAGCGCCATGACCAGCATTGCGTTGCGTATTTAGCTTGTTTCTGAGAATTTGCTGAACCACGGCTAGATAGAGACGTTGACGAGTAACTGTAGTAAGACGACGGTGATGACTGGTGATCGTCAGCAGGTGGAAATGCTCCCGATCGGCGCAACGAACCATTTGCGACATTTGCGAATTCAAATTGCAAATCGCTCAAGTACAACAATCTTCCCCGTCACCTATTAGCCCCGTTCTTTCAGTAACTGTCACATCCGCCTCTCTTTGTTTGCTTCTTTGTTGAAAACAAAGACATTTAAGCGCGGGAGGACCCCAATATTGATTTTAAATGTTTTTTTTTTATAAAATGTCCAAAGCAGTAAAAAGTAAAACTACAATTCACTCAGTCAATCCTACGCATTTCATAGTCACTGTCCCCTCTCGGCGGTCCTGGTATCTGTTCCGGAGATTGTATTCTAACTCTACCCGCTTCGACTTGAGATGGTGTAGCGTTGAAAGATTGCGTTGTTGAGTGTGGTGTTGTTGGTCGACCTTCGTGTTGTGCATCTTGTGCATGCTGGCTATGCTGCGCCCCTCCAGGCAACTGCATTGTGAAAGTATCAACCATGTTCTCTCGCGGCTCAGTCTCGAGTCCGCTCTGATAAAGTGCCTCCTCCTCTTTATCCATTCTATGTATGAGCGCTCTACGGCCACCGTTCAAGGCCATAGACGCAGCTCTGCGTAGATCGGTCGTGCGTTCGTCGTCCGGTAGCGGCGCCTCAACATCATCACCCGTTTTAGCTGGAGGCTCGTAAGGCACCTTCATATACAGACTTGGTTCAGGCGCCAGTGGATCGCCCGCTGGTCCATATATCTTAGACTCGGCCAGGGCTATCTTCATCGCAACCATCCATTTCACCCGCCGCTGCGTGTAGAGTGCGATGTTCTGCCAATTGGACTTATAGTTGATCGACGTGCTGAGTGTCATCTTCTCCTGGTCGCTGGAGGGATGTTAGAGAGTGCTCAATATAACTCCGATTCCAACTCCAACTCAATCTGAAACTTACGGTAAATCGAGTATATTGATATCACACTCCTGTATGAAATCCCGCCTCTCCGTTTTGAGGAAGTGGAGCATGCGTGATCTGAGATCCTCGATCTGGTCGAAGGAGGTATCATAAAAAACGTTGAATATAAATTCTTCCGAAGTTGAGCCGCTTCTTCTGTAATTATGAATATATTTGAGGTTGAGCACGGCATGTGGTGCCTGAGTTATGGTTCCGTCGATGCCTCTAAAGATGGAGTAAAGGAGGTTCATTTCCTTAACTGTCATATCGTTACCGTCAATCTTTACGCGATCGCCGACATCGTAGGGGTGTTTGACGAAAAGGAAGATGATAGAAGCTAGTATCTCCTGGGCAGTGGTCCCGATTAGCCACGACATCCCAAGCACGAGTGAGCCAGCAGACGTGACGAGTGTAGAGAATTTCACATCGAGCATCGCAACGATCACTAGACACGCTGCAACAACGTACACGGACATAAGGATCTTGTTGAGGGCTGCTACTGCACTGTCTAGATCGCGCATGCTCGACGTCAGAGCTAGTCGCTCCCGGTGAATTTCCAAACAAGCCATTTCAATCTCTTCAAGAGTCACATCGCCATTGCACTCCTTGTCAAACACCACAAATGCCTCTTCGGCGGTGATGGGGTCGGGGAAGAAGTGAGCAATGTCGCTCAAGACGAGACTGGTGCGATAAGGGGGGGAAAAGGAGTAAAAGATTCTGCGAGCAAGATGACGCGTCTTCTTTCCCGACGCAAGTGCATTAGTGACCATGGATATGGGTGAGTTGGGCTGCAAGACAGAGCTACCAGCGATCTCCGAAGCGACATTACCGAGTGCCTGTATTGGTGTGCGTTAGAGGTGAATAAACGAATTTTGCTTACTCACACTAGTAGCATTTGCAGCAGCTTCTTTCGCTTCACGTGCAGCTTTCCTAAACACCCTGCCCGCCTTGACACCTCCTTTCTCCTTACCTCTCTTGCCAAAGCCGTCGAGAGTGTCTTTGCGCCCCAGATCCCTGCTCCGCGCATAGAGAGCAGCGAGCACCTTGACCTGGAACTTCTGTTCGCGGATGCGGTCATCGTACGAGGTACGGTGGAAGTTGTAAGCAATCAACTGAATAACAATTTTCTCGCCAGCGAGAATAGCTGCACAGATGATAATGCCAGCATGCACCTGTGCAATGACAGATAACGTGCTATACGAAGGGTCAGAGTGGTCTCTGGAGAACTTGACGAGCACTAAGAAGTTGAAGACAGCCCACACAGCCACAGTCCAGCCAACGGCAGCAAGATACTTTTCGCATCTGACGAAATAGTCGATCATGTGTTTGCCATTAGGTAGAATCACGGCTATAGTGTGTCTAGCGAACCACGGGATAATCTTGGAGGTAGCCCAGCTAGCCCACCAGCCGACCCAGATGGTTTCGAGCCAAATAGACCACCACAGCAGGCGCACGCGCAAAATCTCAGCGTCGGGTGCAGCTGTGACTGATATGATGAGTGGGATGGCAAGAAGCCCAGCGATGGGGATGACGAAAATTGCCCAGCGAGTGATAATGGAGGTGTTGATCAAAAAGAAGTATAATCGTACTACCTTGGATTTAGGTATATCGCCCTCAGCGAATTGAAAGCGGTTGTGCTTCGATTCGGAGGCGTTGTACTTGGACCATTCGCCGTTGCGAAGAGCGTCAAAAGATCTGTTGGCGTGCTTCTTGTAAGCTGGTCTGGGTGGATGGAAATTGCCATCATTGCTATCTCCGAGTGGCACGTCACTCAGTTCGAAAGGGGATTTCTCGCCGTGGGAGTGGGCGTGGGTGAGATTTGTAGTACTGGAATCAAACCCAGGCTTATCCAGATCACTGTGCAGGCTCATGTAAGGGCTGGATGGGAAAGTGGCATGTACGGGCGACACGGGTGTATCGTACAGCGTGACGCCTGAGTGCGAGTGTGACTGTGGCTGCAGCTGATCGTCGTCCTCCGTATCCGTGTCCTGGGTTCCTGCCCCTTTGTGAAAATTCACGCTCTTCATCGTCGCTCAAGAAGCTGCGGTCATGAAGCTATTCGGGATATTTGCAGCAGTCGCCAACTATTTCCTCTGCTCGGTCCAGCCGCCGTCTCCGCCTCTATCTTCAGCGCCCGAAAATCTCCCTATTCTCGTCTGGGGAGGACTCGGCGACAGCGTGTTGAGCAGCGGGATGGAGGAGCTGATGGGAGAGCTATCAGAGCGGTACGACACGCGCGTCTACGGCGTCAGCATCGGCGACACGCCCAGCGAAGATCGCCGACTGAGTGGTGTGAGTAGATGGACAGAGAGCGTTTGAGCGCAATGACGCCATCTAACACTCTCCATCTTGCATTTCTCAGCTCTCAGACGCCAACTACAATGTACAAGTAGCGTGTTCGAAGCTATCCCAACTCGACAACACCCCCGTCAACGCGATTGGTCTGTCGCAAGGTGGGCTATTCCTGCGCGCGGTTATCGAGCAATGCCCGGAAGCACCACCGTTGAGGCACCTCGTCACTTTCGGTACCCCCCACATGGGCATTGAGCGGCTGCCGCGATGCGCACCCCGCGACTGGGTGTGTGCTGCCGTCGCACTGGTTACGCGGTGGGGCGTGTATACCGCTTACGCACAATCGCATGCGGTTGTTGCGCAATACTACCGCGATCCAACTAGATATGCTGAGTATCTGCGCAAATCGACTTGGCTCGCGGGACTAAATAACGAGCGGGCCCTGATCCAAGAGGGGCACGCCAGTTACTCACCCAAGCAAGGCGATAGGTTGGCCGCATTGGAAAGCTTTACAGCCGTCATGTTTAGCGGGGATACCACCGTCACACCCAAGCAGTCTGCCTGGTTCGGCTCCTCGAATGTCTCAAGACTTTCAAATGTGTCAAGCGAGGGAGAGAGCTCTGAGATTGTGCCGCTCGAACAACAACCCATCTACACTCACCCATTGGACCCACTTGGTTTGAGAAGATTGAACGAGCAAGGCAGATTACACTTGAAGGCGTGCGATGGACGGTTAGTAGAGACGCATAACGCACACGCAATCCCACTAACACACACCAGACACCTCAACCTCACCGACGCATGCATGTGGCCAATCCTCGACGGCGTGTTCGACAAGTCGGAATGAATTACTGTATGTATGATGTGTTGAATGTTGAATGACATGAGATATTGAGTACACTGAGATGTGAGATGTGAGAGATGCTATGCAAGAGTAGAGTAAAGTATGCTTGAGAGTATGCTATAATAATAATACTTAAACCACCAATAAGAGAGGACCAGCTACCTTATTAGTTTCTTGATATTGAGAGAAGAGCTATCAGAGTCATCATGAGCGGCGTGGTCGCTATCGCCGTGAGACTTGCTGTGACGTCTACTCCTCACCGCCGGGAAAGCCTTCCAGAAGCGAATAGTCTCATCGCCGCTGCCAGTCACGATAGTCTCGCCGTCTGGGCTAGCAGCGAGGTAGAGAACGCGGTAAGTGTGACCAGTGAGAGTGGATACCTGCGACATAGATGGGTATTTCCAGATAGATATGTGATTCTGGTGGCTGGTTCCTGAGTAGCCATGTGTCGAGACGAGTTCCTGTGTATTTTTGCTGAACCAGAGCTTGCAGACCTGACTACCGGTATCCCAATCACCCACGCTATGTCTTTCGCCTCTAAGTGCGTCCCAGAACAGTATCCTGCGATCCGAGGTACCGCCACCACTCGCGAGAATTCCTCTATGATGTGGGTTCCAACTAAGAGCCTTTACGGCAGCATCGTGTTCCGTGTATCTGTGAATATAATTGAAGGATTGTGTAGACCACACGAAAAGTTTGTTATCATTCCCGCCACTTGCGAGCATATCACCGGCCGGGCTGTACTCCAATCCAGTGATTTCCTGACGATGACCCGCGACGCGACGGATGAAGTGATCACGGACGCGCACGTCACGAATAAGGACGCTCTTATCACGTGACCCACTTGCTAACATGCATCCAGACCAGGTGAGAGTGCCTGTACGATTGCGATGGCCACCAAGCACGCGTAGGAGCTTACCACTAGGTACATCCCACAGTTGCACACCGCCGCTGCGCAGCCCCACAGCTAGCTGCGAGCCACGGTCCGTCCAGCGGAGACTGCTTACTGACTCCATCTCCCGCTCGCCTTCACTCACTCCTGCCGCAGCTGGTGTGTCACGTACATTGCACAGCGTCATAACTTGCCCAGTCTCAGCCATCCATATGTACACTGTTGACGCTAGCGCTACAGCAAGAATGTTCGTCGTTGACCAGTCAAGCAGATTTAGGTAGTAGTCGTCGGCTAGCTCCGGCGCATCGAGCACTTTGTAGGGCAGCTTTGGGACTTTACGTAGGTGGCGAGGCGAGGAGAGTAGCACGTGGCTGGCACTTTTCACAGGCGACGTCGAGTAGCGCTCGTGGGTGGCGTTGTCGAGCCCGCTGAGAGTGCTGATGCTGCGTGCACTGGATTGTGATTGCGATAACGATAAGGAGGGTGATGAAGGCATGTAGTTGAATATTTTGCGTGGTGTCGTCGGTGTGGTGGGTGTGGTGGGTGCATTATGCGTGTTGCGAGTGTTTGGCTCTGTTTGTGTATTTGATCCATTCGTTCCACTCGCTCCTCCGCCAAACAACTCATTCGAGAGGAGACTGCTAAATGTTCTATTGCTTTCCTCATTCACTGCATCCACCTCACCGCCAGCTAAACCTATCAGCTTCGGTTCGCGTGGAGTGTTGGGGCTGTCGAGGAGAGACGTCGAGCGTTTCTTAGAAGGGGAGTGCAAGTGGGTTGGGGATTGTGCAGAATCATGGAGAGTATAAGCCTCTCTACTGACGCTGCTACGTGCAGGAATGAATCTGTCAGCGAAATTAGACGCGCTGGTACGTTTACGTGGGGTAGATGGAGACTGAGTGGTGTGTGTACTGTATGCATAGGATTCGTGCTGTGGCATCTAATTGATTTTTATTTTTTGATTTCTTGATTTGTTTGTGATTGTGAGGAGAGAAGAGTGGGAGAGATGACCGGATTTGAGTTGGAAGGGCTGCCTAATGCGGTAAAAGCAGAAATATCATCTCAAATCATCTCTGTAACATCTCCTGTCATCTCATTTACAACCATATAATTTCATCTCATCACCACATACCAGCGAGTAGCCAAGGATCTAGCGTTGAGAGAAGAAAGAAGATATAAAAAATAATGGATTCCATCTCCCAATTAAATGAATCAAGTTTAAAATTTAAATAATTTTACCTAAAACATAACAGACCACGCTTCACGACTGACGACGTCAGACCGTCATAAGGAAGGAGGAAGAAGGCGTTGAATAAACCGACGAATTAAATTAAATCTAATTAAATCGAATAAAATTGAATTGAATTGATTCTAATGGCCAGCACACTCACGCATAATTCATCTTTACCTGTATCAGCATTGGCATGGGCGAATGAGAGGGGAGGTAGTTCGTTACCGCGTCTAGCACTTGGATCTTACGTGGAAGATTACAGTAATCAGTTGCAGGTGATCGGTCTTAGCTCTTCGCTCCCTCTAAGTGAACCAGATGTACCACCAACTGGTGTTGATGGAGGTGATTTCAATATACTAGCACAAGCACATCATGGATATCCACCAACAAAGGTTGCCTGGGAGCCAATATCCAAGCGTAGAAATGAATTAATAGCCAGTACATCAGATGTTTTGAAGTTATGGGAGTTTAATGAATTTAATCAGAGTAATCAGAGTAACTTTAATGGCAATATCCATAACCCAATCAATACCCAACCCTCTTCACTCAATTTAATAGCTCAATTGACTCCGAAAACTCCAGGAACAGCAGCACCTTTAACTTCATTCAGTTGGAATCATTCAACTCCTTCACGTATAGTTACATCATCTATTGATACGACGTGTACTGTCTGGGATCTTGAAACACGCACACCAATCACCCAACTGATAGCTCATGATAGAGAGGTTTATGATGTCTCATGGTTACCTAGATCCAGTGATATCTTCGTTAGTGTCGGTGCGGATGGTTCCTTGAGAGCGTTTGATTTGCGCAGTTTGGAACATTCCACTATCTTATACGAGACTAGTGCGATAGATAAGAGAAGAGCACAACCAAATACACAATCCAACATACCCAATAAGAATGATAACTCACCTATAACCAGCACCAGCACCACAAACGCACCCCTTCTACGTCTCTCATTTAACCCATACGACAGTAACTATCTAGCCACTTTCCGCGCTGATAGTGGGGATGTACACGTGTTAGATATGCGCTCACCAGGTGCGCCAGTGACTAATATACGCGCTCATACTCGCGGCGTTAGTGGTATAGCATGGAAACCAGATGGAGGAGTGCTTGCAACGGGTGGAGATGATGGAGCGGTGCACCTGTGGGATGTGAAGAGGGGTGAGAAAGTGGGTGATAAGACGGGGTCAAATGGGATGAGCAGACAGAGTAGTTCAGTGAGCAACAAACCTTCACTGTTGAAAGACAGCGTACTCAGTTATAGAGGTGCATCACCGGTGCATAGCTTGGCTTGGGGGAGTGTACCCAGTGTCGTAGGCAAAAGAAGTAGTTGGGAGGATTGGATAGCTGTTGGGGGACAATCACAGGTGAGATTAATGAAGATGTAGAAAATGGCATATATTTAGTGGTTGAAAGTGTACAGCCATGTTGAGTGTGTGTGTTGTGTTGTTGAGTATAGTGATGCTCTTACATGGTGTGTTTGATTCTTGTAAGTGTATCTGGCTGATAAACTCTATACACAGCGGGATTCTCTACGTTTGAATCGAGGAGTATAAATCCAACAGAGCCAGCAATTGATGTGAGTGGATTACACCATATAGTACACCACCTAACAGACTATAGATTGTAATGGAAACATTCCTCAGTCTTGCGCTGTTTGTATTTGGGTTATCACTGAGAACAACGAAACTGCACTCAATTGAATGGCAGACAGTGATGAAGGATAGAGGAATTGATCAAGTAATAAACAAGCCTAGTTTTATAAATGTGTGTCATTGAATTAACTTCTACCTTCTAATCCCCGGTGGTGGTGGTCCACCCCTTCCTCTCCTTGCATTAGCCCTCATTATAGTTGCTCTACCTCTTGCAGTACCAATACCTCTACCTTTCATTGCATTTGGACCGATACGTTTGAACCTGTGAGGCATGTCAGAATCGCAAGTATAACTACTCAAGTTAGCCCACTTACATTGGTGCATTCTGTAACATATCAGGAACAACAACAAACTTGATCATACTCCCTCTGATATAAACTTGGTCTAATTGAGAAACGCGTCCATCCCTTGCAGTTACTGTAATATCCTGTAGACTGACGTTGAGGTTGTCTTCAGCTGTACAAGGGTTTGTTAGATGGGGATAAAGTAATCAGATTACTCGTACCTTCCTGTAACTTGCCTCTGTACAACTGACCAGACTTTAATTCAATCGTTACAACGTGACCAAGGGCTGGGAGTGTGTGAGGATTGAGAATTTACACTCTAAACAGCCTATTCACTCTCATGGATTAATTTTATGGGTACAGAAGACATTGTTCAATGACTGTATTTATTCAACCTTCATCTAGTAAATTACTAGTCACTAGAAATTATTTCAAATCACTACAAATTACTGGAAGCTGGTTTAATTTAAAAGTCACTTGAAAGTAATTGGAATCACTTGAAATAACTGGTAATGTCCAATCCCTTCGAAGAAAGACAAGGTGTTCTATTAGAAAGGATAATCAAGAACGTTGTGGGTTATAGATTCATTCAAATACCCTAATAATCTATAACAATCCCAGGAGAGATGCAATGAAGCCTTCAACGAGCTTAACAAATGCGTTCAAGATGTAAACACCGCCAACAAAGATACCGTCATAACCTCGAAATTATTTGATAACTACAATAGAAATGTCAATTACAACTTGAAAGCTATTGGGGAGTTGAAGGAGCCTTTATAGATGTGGTTTTAATATATTTTTAATTTACATTCATCGCATTCCTTATCGGTATGCTAAACGTCACACGTGGCTCGATTCACATTCAATTCAATTCTCAACATCCATCATGAGAATATTAACGCTAATAACCAGTGAGATACTTTTGATATTCCAAAACTCCCACCTAATTCTCTCTCACAGCCATTTCCCTCCTTTTCTCCGCTCTCGCCACGCCACTTGTCGACGTTGTCAAGAACCAAGTTCAAGTATTGGGCGGTAAGGGTCACCCAGAAGACGCTCTTATCCACCTAATCAGAACTGATGACCTCATCGACGACCACCACCACAACTCGCACCTCCTTCAACGCCAATCACACCTCGTCTTCAAAATCCACTACGACGAGCCTGATCACTCTATTTACATCAACGGTGGCAAGATTGATCTCGCCGATGAATCCCTCATTAACTCTGATGAACCTCTCCACGCTGGTCCTGTCGTCAAGGTCGAGTCGCTCACTTTATCCCCAGAAGAAATCAATCAGGCAGACGACATTAAACAGGAACATATCGATAAGCTTCCAAAGGGTATCGTCGCAGCGCAGTTAAGACTCAAGGGCATTGATATCGACGAGAACACTCGTCGTCTTGTTGTTTACATTAAGGTACTCGAAGATAATGCAGAGCACCACCTATCAAACCCAATTTTCACCCTTCAAGTCACTCAGCAGAAAAAGCCAGAAGTAGCTGATAGCGACGCAGTCGCAGCTGATAGGGAGGCCCACAGAGTCGCTGATAAGGAAGCATTCATCGCGCATATCAAAGAGAAGATGAACAAGGTCCACCAGAAGATGAAGATGATGAAATTGGCTCATAAGCACCAACACTCCCACTCTCACTCTCACCTCCCACCCCTCGTAACTCTCAAGCATGGCAACCAACTGAAACACGTTCCTTGCAAGATGCATCAAGCCACTCACAACCACAAGGCATCTCACAAGTCATCACAGCCATGCTTCAGACAGAGATTCCATTCGATGGTCGCCAATCTCGCCTCCGCCATCCACAACGCCTCCTTCTTCTCCCTCTTCCTCATCTCCTTCTTCGGTTTCTGGTCATGCGCTACCCTCGCGCACCTCACTGTCGCTTTGAAGAGGGCCCGCGCTGCACGCCACCAACAAGCTTACGAGCGTGTGCCTGGGCATGAGCAGGAGAATGAGCAAGGTGACAAACAAGTTGAGAAGGTTTGAAAGTATATTTTGTAAAGACTAATTCTTTCAATAAAACCGACAATGAATAAATTCTTGAAGAATAATTTGGTACCTTTACAAATGGCAGCCGACAGACGACTGGTTGAGACTAGCCACGTCGATCTCCCTGTGAAATACATAGTGTCCAACACCCGCGCCGAGGATGACTGCAGCGATGAGTGGTGCGTTGTAAGTCATGAAAACGAGCATCAAGAAGAAGGAGAGTGCTGCTGAGACTGCGTAGAGGAGACTGCGCTGTATTTGTTGATGTTTAGGCACGAGTAGTTTTCCAGCGCGTCTGTTCACAGTCACATTTTCTTCCACGTCCCCGCCCTCATTGAAATTCACATCCACATTGTACGCGATGGCTAAACTAGCCGCTATCGCTGCATCTGCCACCCTCATACGCCATCTGAGCCATTCGAACAGCACAGCGAGGAGGGTGATGGTGAGGAGCGAGAAGATGGCGCTGGTGAACGTGGTGATATGCCAGCTCTCGAATACCACGCAGCGGTCTGTGATGGACCAGTTCCACAGCATATCCATCTACCATTGAGGCGTTGGGTCAGCCAGCAATCTCACCACGAGCACCTCAAACACACCTTGCACGTACCCATATCCATATCCATATCGCCGTGATTGTGATGATCCATTTGAGTTAGTCTGGGTTAAAATGGGTTAAAATGGGTTAAAATGGGTTAGTCTGGGTTAGTCGGGGTATGTTGGTGGTTGGGTAAAATGTGGCAAATGTATCATCTATAGTGCATTCTTCTTACAGCTTACAGCTTACTCCGACTACTAACACTGCTGCCACTCCCACTCCTGCTCCCCATAAACCTCTCCACCTCCCGTACTAGCCCGTCGATCTCCTCTTTGGTGTTGTGTGCGTGGACACACACCCGCACACGGTCACTGCCTCTAGGCACCGTGGGGAATGTCACTGGCCGCACTAGAAACCCCCGCTTCTGAAGCGTGCCAGCCAGTTCCCTAGAGTGAGGCGTGAGGATGGGTGAAATGGGTGTGTCAACAAGGGTTCCAGGGGTGCCGGGAGAATTGTGAGAATTACGAGCAATTGTTGCCCCAGATTCACCAGATTCACCAGATTCACCAGATCCAACGGAAACACGAGTTACACCACATATCCCACCTAACCTCCCCTTCAAATAGCGTGAATTACCTTCAAGTGAGTGCATTTCCTTTGTAAATGCCCCTTGAGCCAACAACCGATGAACGACATCGATAGTGTGGAGGTTAGACATAGACATGCAAGTGGAGAAGATGAGTGGACGGGCGTAGTTGATGAGGTAGTGTCGTATGCTGGGAGTGCAACACACGACCGCCCCCGCCGCGCACAGAGCCTTACCGAAGGTGTTGAGTTTGACAGAAATGTGTTTGTCGAGCTCAAGTTGCGATACCAACCCACGCCCTCCCCCCATGTACCCCGTCGCATGTGCCTCGTCGACGATCATGTGCACGTTGCGCTCTGCTGCGTCGTCTGCATCTGCTTGTACCGCCTCCACAGCCTCCACAACCTCCTGCAACGGACACACATCGCCGTCCATCGAGTAGACCGATTCGAGCGCAACGAACGTGCTCGTCGCTCCGGGCATTTGCCGCGCTCGCCCCACCAACTCAGCTAGATGTTTAACATCGCTGTGGCGGCAGGGCCACAAGTGTCGTGTTCGACTTGAGCGCATTCCGTCATGCACGGAAGCGTGAATGAGTTCGTCGTAGATAACGACATCGTGCGCGTCGGGTAGCGTGGAGAAGAGCGAAACGTTAGCATCGTAACCGCTGTTGAAGAGCAGCGCATCTGGTGCCCTGTAAAAATTGGATAGACGACCTTCGATTTGGCGGTGTAGCGCACTGTCCCCGTCAAGCAACCTGCTTCCTTTGCTGCCGAGCACTTGCACTGTTGGCTCGCTCAGTGTCCCCTTCACTCGCTTTATTAGCTGCTTGTTGCGCGATAGCGATAGATAGTCATTGGTGGAGAAGTCAATTAGCTCCGTCGTTGGCGTCGCCGTCGCTATCGCATCCCCACCAAGTCGGCGTAACAACCCCCGCTCTTTCCGGCTCGCTAGTACCCTCTCTATCCTTCTCTCCAGCTCGTTCATCTTGTTTGTCTTCACTTTATTTGCGATTGTTTGTTGAAGAATTTTAGATAACAGAAATGACGCAGAAAATTAGAGTGAAAATTGTCATTCAAGAAAGGTTTCACAGGATAATATCCAATATATAGTTGTACAGCTGACTTAATATTCCCTCCTTACGCGCATAATCACGCGGACTGCTCGACTCGTACACATCCCCCACGGCCATCTTATCTTTCTTGCCTGCTTCTGCATCGCCTTGCAACGACTTGAGAATGCGTGTGCTGCGTTTTACACTAAATGGTAATACCCTAGCTATGCCACTCAATTCAGACTGTCTTTGTTAGTAGGTAGTCTGGTATTGTGCGTTGTATGCTCACATTCGTCAGCGTCGCTGGAAGGACATAAGTGCCTGTGTTTTTGTATCTGTCTATCACCTCACAGCCGAGCACGCCGACAACGAGGCTGTATGCGTCGATGCTTAGTGGTGTGAGTGGGTGAGTGGAAGTACAGATACACTCCTACGTGAAATCTTTGTGCCTGGAGTCGAGTAAGCAGTGCCATATTGAGCAACCCCACTCACCCATTCTCCGTAAACGCGCTATTATCGAGAATCCACGCTAATCTGCGTGGATAGCATCGCTGCAGTCTAAGCAGGGTGTATAGAGCGACGAGAAACATCTCTATGCCTGGGTTTCTATTGTTGTCGTTGTAGTGCCTCTCTATAAACTGTTTAAGCGTGTCGATGATGGTGCTATACGGCAGTCGCCGAACTTGAGTATCCACACACAATCCCTCAAATACCCTCCTGCGCTCATTCTCCACCCGCTGATGAAACTCCGCTCGCACTTTGTTCTGCTCCCGAGTCAAATCCACTCGCTGGGCCGGAGAAGCGTGAATGAAGAAGGCATCGACATCCTTTGCTTCGGTGCTATTACTTATTTTATTTTTGTCATAGAAATTCTCGCAAACTCCTCTAAATTCTTCCAAATCAACGTTCATAGTCGACGCCCAACATACGCACAATGATCAAGGCGACAAACTGCGAGAACTTCCGGCTGTGCTCAATACTCTGTTCAGCCAGTTTTCTGTTAGGTGGGCTGAGTTTATTTGCAGTGCAGCGCCCTTCTCACACCACGCCAGGCACTCTGTTTACGCACTGGATCGCAGATCATGGTACTCTATGGCAAACCCCAACAGCTGATTCTCTCTCCACTGCTCTCTCGTACTATCGTAACTTAGTCTCCACGCCAGACTCAATGAAGGCGGTTGTTGCGCTCGTCGCGAGTATCGGCATAAGCTGTCTTTTGATTGGCCTCTTTAATGGTTTCGGTGGTGATTCCGCCTGGGTTTTTGAAGCTGCGTCTCTCTTCCTCTTTTCTACAGCCGTGGCCGTATATTATTTACACGCTCTGCCGCCTTTATCCAACATACCACATTCGATGGACACAACGATGCACCCGCCATATCACCATCACTGGTCCACGCCCCCCAATCACCCACCCTCACTCAGTCCATTCGATACCCCAGACGTTCTTCTGCCATCAACCCCTCCTCAGCTCATCGCTGCTATCAGGGACATTGCAGCTGCTAACCTTCTTTGCGCAGTTAGTCTCACTGGCGTGCTCCTCTTTCTTGCTGGTGATGCATACGTTGACTACGAACGCCAATTACACCGTAGTATGGATGAAAAGACAGATTAAGTGAAAATTTGCATCAATTACTTTAATTACTTTGGTAGATAGTACAATTAGAGAAATCTGTATCTTGTATTTCGTTTCTTCTCTCTCTTTTAAATAGCTTATAATGATAACATATGTCATGCAATGCAATGCTGAAAACTGATTACTTGGGATATTAGTTGTGCGATGAGTGTGATGAGTGTGATGAGTGGAAGGTGTCTTGAGTGCCTATTAAACGTCTACTGAATGCTTCTTTCTTGATCACCCCCTTCAGTCGTTCCTCTTGCGCTTAGGTGATGGTGGAAACAACTCTGGATCTCTCACCCACTCGCCTGGCTTGATGCCTAATGCGTTGGCAGCATTAACATCTCCAAGACTGGCTAATTGTGCAAGTTTCTTACGCCCAGGTCCGCGTCTTCTGACCTGCTGCGCAAATGCACACGATTCTGCTACACCCCTCCTCACACAAGGTGAGCATGGATTCTCACCATCACACTTCAGCCTCCTTTGACGACAGTTGAAGCATGCTATTGGTTGTCTCTTTTGCTCATTGGGTTTATGTGGTGGGATTCTAGATGTGCCTATGTGTGGTGTTTGAGGGTGTGTTTGTGGTTGTGGCTTTGCCTTTTTTTGTGTTTCTGTCTGCTTCTGCGAACTTGTATTCTCCTGCTCCTGTTCTTCGTTGACTCTGAGGTGGAGTGGTATTTCGCGTGCTTTCTTGAGGTGTTCAAGCTGATCGTTATCAGATTTTTCTTCTTGCTGCTGGTGTTGTTGTTCCTTTTGTTGCTGTTGTACTTGATCGCGTTGCTGCAGTTCCCGCTGCTGCTGCTTCTGCTTGATTTGCTGCCGCTTATGATCAAGCTGCTGCCGCTCAAGTTGCATTTGGACCTGCTGTTGCTGCTGTGTCTTCTCCATAATCTCTCTCTGCTGCTCAAGCGCTATATTATCAAAAGCCTCTTCAAACTCGTCGCCGCGGGAAGAACCTTGACAGAAATAATTAAGGTAGTTTGAGTGATTATATAAGTAATTTGAGCTAATTAAGCATGATTTCCATGGTTGTATTGGATGAGTGTATAATATTTCACTTGTCGTCGGAATTACGCATCCGCCATCTAGTTCCACATTTACGTCAGATTTGTAGCCACAATGTCAAAGCCAAGGTACGCACCGTCTGCATGTTTTGAGAAGTTATCAGGTTCCCATAAATTGTAATCCTTTGAGTTTATCGATGGCGCTGTAAGTCCACTGCTTGCGCTCGTTGTTAGCATCCCAGTCGCCCGCTTGAAAGGCTATCACACTCACTTGAATATTGAAGACTGTGGTAGCGGGAGACGCTGGGTAAAGATAAAACTATTCGACATAGTCATCATAAAATATCTTTCTCTGCTTTGCGTCGTCGTTTCTAACAATTTCTGTTTGAGTGATGGCTGATGTAAGTCTCGAAGTTCCGAGGCGCGACTATGACTTAAGCAAACCGAAAATTCTTTTTGATAATTTAGTTCGCTCTGAGCGGATTGGATCGGAATGTGAATACACTGATATGTCACTTTTGAAGAAAGCACTAAATACCCTCAGAGGCTTTTTTCAAAGTGTTTTACTGTACAAAGCTAAAATTATTACCCCAAACGTAGATACTATCCCTATTCCAACGTATATGCTGTTTTCGGAGAGCTTTTCCCCGTGTCAGCTGCGTCATAAAGCTAATTTGAGCTACCCACCATCAACCACCACCCCCACCAATACCCCACCAAATCACCTTTTTCAATATGATCGATGCAGCTTTCACAGTTTTCAACGACTAATCCCATCATTTGTATCAACGATACCCTATTTTGCATTAGTTTATTCCATAAATGGGCAAAGTCTCACCCTAGTGCGACGCATACCGACAACGCCGTGATTAATATAGTAGATTTATTCAAATCCAACATCTTCTGCTGCCTGTCGTGGCAATTTAATCCACTATATTCGGTGTTTTGTATTTGAGTTTCACGACTGCCCTCACTACCACTATCAATCAAAGATGCTGTCTCATCTCTATCCGTAGCACTATTCTTGCCCTCACCAAATTCCAACTTGAAGTGCGACTCTCTCCTCCAATCGGTACGTGGGGTATACAGGTACAACATCATGACGTTGTCGAGTGAATCAACGAGTATCATTCCACTGGCGAACAAAAGTGGGAACAAAAGAATACTGTAGGGTTTCTGCACTTCTTCGGCAGCTAACGCTGACACAGATAGTAAGACCATAGAGGAGGTAGTGTCGAACCCGAGACTGAAGAGACAGCCAATAACATATAGCTTGCTTGGCCTATCCACCCAGTTTAAAAGAGGCGAAAACAATCTAGACAAGAAAGACGGAGATTTAGGTTGTAAATTTCCATCTTCATGGGTGGTGTCAGTGAACTGCATCTGTGGTAGTGTCAGATTGTAACCACTCTACGTAATCACCCCCACATACCTCTTTGCGCGACTGTATAGCTTGCCACAGAGTGAAGCTGTTGGTGACACCCAACAGCATTAGGAACGCGGTCGATATGACACTTCCAACAACACCACCGAGTTGCTCAAGCGTGTTTAAGTTGTCATAAACCTGCGCACCAGCTACCAAAGCAATCGTGACAATAAGCACTACCGTTGAATGACCTGGTCTATCTAATGAGATTATTCTCACCGCGGTAACTGATTAGGTCACTCACCGGCAGCGAAAAAAAATCCAACTGTCACTGGATAAATGCCATTTCTAGCAGTGAGTTTTCTAACAGAATTATCGATTGATGCTGTGATTTTAAGTGGGTCTTATCGAATATGGTCATCAGACTCACCGATGTGATCGCTCTGGTGGGGTGGGTGAGCGATACTATAGCAGCGTCTTCTTCCTTACTCACATCCAGACCATGGCGCAGTCCGAGCGTCCACGCTAGCAGCGCCAGAGAGAGTAATCGATCCGAGAAGCACAGCGCAGTGACTATCCATAGTGCTCCATTGAGTAGGGCGAGCGCGGCAATAAGAATAACAGCCCTCGTCAGTATTGTTGTCTTGCACTTGGGCATTTGCATTGTCGTCAAGCTCATTGAGGCTGTCAAAGATAAGAGATAGGCGATTGTTTCTCGGACGTAAATGACGAACCTCGGGGAACAAAATCCGAGCAGTTTAAATTAGCGTAAAAGAATATTCAAAAACCATTTATTAAATTATTTCGACACCTACATTTCTAACCCACTCAAACATCCATCCAAGTAAGGTGAAAATTTTAACAAAGTACAACTTTAATCACGCATCGATTTCAACTCCAGGCGGCGCACCTATAGCATCTTTGATAGCCTTGTACATGAAAAACTGACTGCTAACCAATCCAGCCGTCATCCAAGTCCTAGCTCCAAGACCCTGCCATAAACCAGTGAAGCCCGTCTTTTTAGCAATTTGGATGAGTTGCGAAGTCGCTGAACGATTTTTATCTGAACTACCACTTATTTTACTCATCAGCGTGTCACCGGGATGACTCAATACCGCAGCTGCTACACCAGCCGCCAATCCACAACCCAATGTCAAGGTCAACTCAGCACCCTTGTTATTGCTGATTTGCTTTCTAGTTTCTGAGCTCAAACTTCTATTAACCATGTTGTGAGCGAATTCATTTGTCATGAACTGCCCAACAGCGTATGGCACTTGCTTGAAGATAAGCGGTACGAAACCGGCGTATAAAACCTTGAATCCACCTTCACGTGCGAGTTTCAAGAATCCATCAACCATTCCTTTAGCTCCAAAGTTCTTATCCGAAACCAGTCTTATTCTCGTTGCCTCCAAGGGAGCCAAAGCAACGTCAGCAACGAGCTCTGCGCTTGCTGCTGACGTCAAATAAATCATTGTTCTATTTCTAACAGCCTCCTGATGGGAGCCAACGCTGAGGACAGAAAGACGCTTGAAGTATTCATAGAAACCGAACTTGAGACCACCCTGGAAGAAGTATCCAACCGCGGTTGGTCCAAAGCCAGTGAGCAATGTTGAGGGGCCCTCTTTGGATGCTATCTGCTTCGCTCCACTGAGTAGATTTGCTCCTCTAAAAGCACTGTCCACTTGAATCCGAGTCTTGATGACGTCAAAAGGGGTGAAGAAACCATGAGAAAGTGTGCAGCACGTGGCACCGGAAAGGAAGAAGCTGCCGTAATCTTTAGGCGTGTAAGAAGGTACCAACGGTGAAGTCATAGTTGGGAAGACGGATGGGAGGATAGCCAAATTAATCTCGAGGCCGCGAAAATTGAAAATAAAATCTAATTATACATACTATGCACGGGATTGAATCAATTATGCTTTTTATTTGGTGTAGTTGTTCTCACTGCGGGGTACTTGTCCTCAAGCTGTTCTGATACGTATAAGCCGATAGCAGAGAAAACAAAGACAGAGGAAGCTATCATCAATCTATTGCGTGGGTGTATTGCTGTTGCTGTGTGAGCGGTGCGCGCTCATTGAACAACTCACTCACACTTCCAGCTCTCCCAGACTGGCTTGTCGTTTTTGAGTGAGCGGTGTGTGCCCTCGGATGGTTTGGGATAAGGCTGATGGGAGTTTTGCTGGGAATGCTTCTGGGAGTGCTGCTGCTGCCCTGTCATGGTAATGCAGAGGCAAGGACAAGTGCTACACAGAGAACAATATCAGCGTGAAAAATAGACTGTGTTTACCGTGATATTCAAAATTTATTTCATTCGCTGTGAACGCCGCTCAACGGAGATAAGCAGTTGGACACGAACATGGAGGTCAAAGCAATCGAACAGGCTGTTCAAACGTTGAAATCGCGAGTACCAGCTCAATTAGCGTCACCTGTTATTGGAATAGTCTGCGGCAGTGGCCTCGGTACTCTGGCTGACGACCTCGATTCACGTTTTGAGATTGATTACGCTGAGATTCCTGGGTTTGCGGAGAGCGGCGGTGAGTTGAGCGTTTCCACCGTCTACAACGCCTAACATTTTATAGTCAGCGGCCACAAATCTAAATTGGCCTTCGGTTTCTTAGGAAAGGATATCAAAGTGCCTGTAGTATGCATGCTGGGGAGAGTGGGTTTCGCCCATTGAACGTATACTCAGGCTAACAATACGCTCAAGTTTCACATGTATGAAGGTCTGCACAGTCTACCGTACTTACTCTCATCCTCACACCAATTACAGGCTGGACAGCTTCTCAGACTATCTTCCCTATCCGCACAATGGCGCACTTGGGCATTGATAGCATCATCAGTTGGTCTTTATTCCACCGTCGCTGAAACTCCGTCTCACTCTCATCAAAGTCACAAACGCTGCCGGATCACTCAACCCTCAAATCCCATCTGGAACTAGTAGGTGTGTCTTTTGGGAACCAGAACACGCTTCTAATTCCCAACAGTCGTCTCTGTGCACGATCACATCGCTTTCCCCGGATTAACCGTGAGTGTCTTACAGTCTTGCTGTCTATAACAACAACACTGCTTACAATATACAGTCAGAGAACCCACTCAAAGGCCCTCTCGTGCCTATCCAGACACCAGCATTGAAGAAAACTACGCCTGAACCACCACAACCACCACGCTTCCTCCCTCAATCGGACGCGCACAACTTCGATCTTCGTCTGTTGGCTCACAGAGCAGCCCATAAGATTGGTTTGAGCAAGGATGCCGTGGTTGAGGGTACCTACTGCTGGGTCACCGGTCCAACCTACGAAACTCCAGCCGAGGGCCGCTTACTGAGACAAGCAGGTGCGGACGTCGTTGGAATGTCAACCATCCCTGAAGTCATAGCTGCGCACCACGCTGGAGTCAAGGTTCTCGTTCTCTCGCTCGTTACTAACCTCGTCGTCATACCAGAATCATACCCTTCTGCAAAAGCAATCGTCGAGGCAGAACTTAACGGCACTCCTCCACCTGTATACAAAAAGTCTGAGGTAGTTAGCCACATGGAGGTTCTTGAGGAGGGTCAAAAGAAGGCTCAGGACATGCGCAGACTTGTTAGCGAAGTGATCGAATCTAGAGCACGTTCTCAAGGATTAGTTTAGACCATTTATTCGGACATCGTTAATCCCATATAAATATTATAGATGCATTTCTTACAATACTACTCACCGCCGCCAATTACCTTCGACGTGTTTGTATGCCTTGCGCGATTGTGAGTAATCTCCTCTTCTCCAATGCCTCCAAGAACGCAGCACACTGCCTACATATTTGGCTACCTTCTTCTCTGCGTATTTCTGTGTTCCTAGTTAGCACGTGGAAGCTGGCTTTTGTTTGTAAACGCACCTCATATGTCAACGATACCAAGACATTCACAAGCACAATGCCCAACAACTTCAAGTGATACGACCATGGGAAAGGCATCAGCTCGAGCAGCTCGAAAACAGCGCCAGAAGGTAAGAAAAGGATAACGACAGCGCAGCCAAATAACACAACCAGCGTCAACAAGAAAAGAAGATTCGTGTAGAGCGGCTGGCGGAAAGGCGGACCAACACTAAACACCAGAGCTACCAGCACATACTGGAAGCAAGATACTATAAAGATTGCACTGTTCTCATAGTTCCTCGTCTCTAGCTTGTCTACATTCACTTCTGGTGGCTCATACCAAGGCTGACGTCTGACATCAAAAAAGACGAAGAATTGAATAGCTGAGCAAATAACAGTCTGACCAATTATAGACGTCAGTACCTTCTTCGAAACTAGATTAGCCGTCGGCCGCTTCGGGTGGACGGATGGATAAGGTAATGTCCTACCCATTGTGACGGCAATTGGTAGAATAATTGCAAGATCTATAGCTAGGAATTGAAAGTCACCTAAGCTAGATGCGAATGAGTATAGCAGAGTTATTGATGTGAATTGGATGAGCGAGTACAGAGCCATGTACTTGAAACAACTGAATGATGTCACTAGTGCTGATCTACCCTCTTTGAGCACCTCAATGAGACAGCTTATATCGGGGGTATTTGATGTGAAAGGTGCAGCTACCGATGCTTCTGCTTCCGAAAGAGACAAACCAACATCTGCAGCCTTGAGAGCACCACAGTCATTCGCACCATCACCACAAAACCCAACTGTATATCCTAACTGCTGTAATCTCTCAACCAATTCGCATTTCTGGTCTGGTGACATTCTCGAAAAGATTTGCGACTTGACCAGCATTCTTTCTAGTGTTTCCAGCGGGGAGAATTCCATCATCCACCTAAAAACATCTCCAGTGACTGCGAGATGATAATCTTGGTACTCTATATTCAGTTCGCTGTTATCGTCTTCCTCATCGAGAAATGGTCGCAGGGAATATGAATCGAGTTTCAACTTGTCATCATCTGCACTCGACCATTCAAGCTGAGCAGCTGGATCTTCGCTTGTGCCCCTGACGAATGTCGGAATAAATACATGACCAGCCACACCAATCAAACCACATTCACGCGCTACACTTATTGCAGTTCTTGGATTATCGCCCGTCACCATACGTATTGCCAGGTGTGCCTGTCTGAGGGTGGATATAGCAGGTGTCGTACCTGGCTTCAATTTGTTTTCAAATATAATCAATCCCAAGAATTGCAAACCACTCTCAGCCTGTTCACGCTTCATTCTTTGTGCTTTTATCCAAGTCAACCCAGGTATAGACTTTCCAGCCAATGCAATCACTCTATAACCATGTTTGGTATAGTAAGACAACAAGTCATCATAATCTTCTGGGAATGAGTCCTTATCGCAAATTTCTGCCATTGATTCCGGTGCTCCTTTAACGTACACCTCCATCGACTGTGACTTAAGTTTTTTCACTATAACGCTCATCCTCCGCAGACTTGAGACAAAGTCGAATGTCCGTATAACTCCCAACTCTAAAAACGATTTGCTCGAATTTGACGTAACAGTTTTGCCTCCCGGTGGTCGAACTATTGTTTGCACCAGCGCGGATGGTCGTTTTGGAATGCGTGATGATTTACTCTTGCCTTTTTTATCTGTGTGATTATTTTCAGTTATTCCAGTTGATCGCTGCTGTGAGCCAATTTTGCCTTCTTCGAGTGTCCAATTTGTGTTCTCAAACATTTTGATATCGAGTGGGTCACCAATCACTTGGTCGTCGACAAGCTTGAGGCTGTGACAGGTAACCAGAGCGTACAACAACGCGTGATTCTTCTCGAGAGGTATATCCGACGCATCTTGGTATAGTTCGGAGAAACGATTAGTTGCATCCTCCTTGGATCTAATTCCGAGCACGTCCAGACCATCCTCAGTAAGTGTACCAGTCTTGTCGAAACAAACAACGTTGATTTTACCACCGACGTTTACTCTTGTTGGTGAGATACAGAATACACCTTTCTTTCTCAATCTGCTGATAGCGAACGAAGTACCAATCGACATTGTAGCTGGTAGAGCAGGCGGGACGACAACCGTAATTAGGTCGAGTGCACGAACCATGATTGTATGCCATGCTATACCAAGCTTTATAAAGTTGACACTCGATGCCAAGAATCCCAGAAAAGCAATACCTGCAAGTACACCGATGAAGTTCATTGAGTCTTTGTAAAATTTGAATCCCATCGGTTTCGGGAAGAGCATCGAGCGCACAAGGGCACCTTTGGTGGTGTTGAATCCTGTACGCGTAACTAACGCTAACGCAGGACCTTCCTGTCCATTTGGAAGAACACCTTCACCGCGCACCCTGACGATCTTTGTGCCAGAATACATAAAATGACGTGCAAGGCTTGGCGATATGTCCGTCGTACCTTTTGGCTCTGACTTTGCATACGTCCGCAGGATTGAGTCAGAAATTGGTACTTTTGCAACAGGTACTGATTCACCAGTTAGCATCGATTCATTGACAATAGCATCTCCGTTGAGAAGGATTGCATCACATGGTACGGTGTGCAGATTTGGGTCTGCAGCGTCGAATATGTCGCCTGGTTGGAGAGTTGAAGATTCAACCACTTTCCCTAGTCGAGCGTTAGAAAGTCAATGTAATAATAAGGCACTCACACTCGTTATTGGACTTCAGCCAGACGGCACAAGAGTACTTTGACATCTCCTTCATCCGTCTGACTGTCCTCTTTGTCTCGATTAGGGTGGTGAAAATTGAAGATATACTAATGACGGCGATGCAAAATGCATAGTAGTAGTAGTCGTCGATACTCCACAGCACAATCGAAGCCACCTGGAAGACGTAAAATGGGTGAAGTACCTCATCTACAAACAGCTGACCCCAAGACCTTTCTTCGATTTCTATTTCATTCAAACCAAACAATGCACGGCGCTCTTCACGTTTGGATTCTGATAAGCCGCCTGCGACAGCACCTTGGGAAATCCAGCGCGGATCACGCCAGTCTCTTGAGTGTTCTTGTTAAGGAAATCCCATCAAAACATTAAGACGCACCTGATCATCCTGAATACACCTTGTTCATCGTTTAAAATAAATTTGGTGTATCTGTAGTCAAAGAAACGTATAAAACCAGCCGAGGAGGAGTCACTGCTTGTTCCTGATTCAATCGTGTCTGCCGATTTGACTTTACTGGTGGATGGCGCTGATTTTGTTGTGTCATGAGGAAAGATATGTGACATTGGAAAGGGAAACGGCATCGATTCAATGTCGTAAAGATTGACATGACCAAACTGGGTTTCAATAACGACAAAAGTTGCCTCCTTTCTATCTGAGTGGCTAGTAAAGGGTGCTTCAATTGCAGCCCATCGCAACCACAGTGCTGGTGTCCATCTACCGATAAGAGCGAGAGTGCCTAGAGTCAACAGCACACCGAGACACCAAAGCAAATGACCGAATGGAGAAGCTCGGAAGCCAGTGACGAGTAGGGTGACATCCTCTTCTTGGATGTATATCCTCTGTCTAGATTGATCACCACTTTGACTTGCCTTGGTGAGAAACTCTGCGTCAGGGTTTATGGTCTCTTCTTGAGACAGCTCCATCGGTATTCTCGTATCACCAAAGACAGGATCAGCTGCAAAAGTTCCAGTTGGCATAAATTCATTGGAGCGCCTCCGTCTACTAGAAGCTGCAGAAGAGGACTCTGAGTTATTTAAACTAGCCGCTGCAGAGGAGGCCATTTCAGAAGAAGTGTCGTTATCGTCTGAAATCTCTTCATTCGAGCTATAACCCCAGTCAGTATCGCTGACTGCACTTCCATCACTTGCACCCGGTGCCGCACTGCTATTCCTGCTCACCGGCGGACGTCTCCGGCCGGTGTCATCATCATTCCGGCCTGCGAAAATCGATGCAATTCCACTAAACACCCCCGAGTTTTTACTAGTACTTAGAGGCGGACGTTCAGGTTCTGTTTCTAGAAGAGGGCTATTGGCGCTGCTGTTGCTGTCACGTCTTGCTCGCGTACGAGAAGCGGACCTGTCTGCTCTCCTGTAAAGAGGTCTGCCAGAGCCTGAGTCGGAGCCCTCAGAAAAGACGCTAGCGGAGCTGCCTCTGCGATCAGCGCTTGGCCTGCGATCCAAACTTGGTCTGCGCGCTTGCGAAGAGCCGGCAAAGCCGTGTCGGAACGATATGGCGGATGACGGAATAGAAGCGTTATCTGGACCGCTGAAGATACTCCCGCCGTATTCATCGTTCAAGTTGTCAATCTGCGATGCCCGTCGTCTGTGTGCGATATCCAGACCAACTGTCTCTATCGCGTTATCATCTGCACCTTCTGTGTAATCAGTGAGATGGACATTCTCGTCTTCATCGTCATCATCTCTTTGCTGCGAGGCTAGTGGACCGTAAAAATCAATTTCGTTGACGTCGTCGTTGCCATCTCGAAACGACATGGAGTGATGGAAGTTAGAGTGAAACGACCAAGGTAGTGGATAATTATGTTGAAATTATCGAGATGCGCACAGGGTTTTTCAAAGCAGGCTATTCCACGCAGCGGCAGATCTTACTTTCCAGCCATACGCTATCGATCCCCGCAAAAGTCTAATTTCTTTACAACCGCCGGTGCAATCGGCCTGACAGGCAGCGCAGTGGCTTTAGATATGCACAGGAATAGACTAAACTGTGAATCGAACCCGGAATCTTCTCAGGTCGCTCCATCGCCTGCGAATACGTCAGACGAAGGCGTCGAAGATGTACCGGATAGTATCGTCAACTACAAGCATCTTGGATTCGGATCAGGTGGGTAAACTTCCATTTCTCGTCTAACTCCCACTTACCCACTCAAATAGTCTGTGGTATCTGTATGTTTCTCCCCTGTCTCTGACTTACCCCGCTCACAATAAAAGGTTGCGGTATTTTCTTAAAGAAGGGCGCTAAGATTCTCGCCTTCTTTGTCGGTGGTGCTTTTGTTTTTCTGCAGTATATGCGCTCTCAAGGACTGATTGTCGTCAAGTGGGACAAAATGAGCAAGCGATACAACGCGTCTCTTCGGCGCAAGTTGAGCGACAGCAGCTCTCAGCGTGGTGTGACAGTTGCCACTGTCTGGAATAAGCTCGTTGAGTGCGTTATTTTCAATGCCCTATCCAACACAACTAACTCATTCATCAGCTTCCTTACCGCAGACTTTCAGAGTCGCGCTACATTCGTCGCTGGCCTTGGTTTGGGTTTGAGATTGGGTTGATTAGGTTGATTAGATTAAAGGGCTAAAAATGAACAATTATAGTGTACAATGCTAGATACATATTATAAGTTATCAAAACAGGCTAAAGATTTTCATTCCTATGCTGTCAAATATATCACCAACAGAGTCGATCAGCGATATCGCACTGGATGATTCTCTGATAGGCTTGCCGTCTATGTGCTTTGACCACGCAGGCTTACCGTCTATCCAAATAGTTGCGTTGACTGTGGGGATTGAGCTTGTTGTGTCAATGTCGAAAGACGTCCATTTGACAAACCCATCTGGCAAGTATGCCAGCACGCGATCTTCAGGTCTGGAAACAGTTACGTGCTCGCTGTCTTGTGCGGTTGTGTGTACCAGTGAATCAGGGTGAGATAATTTCCCGTTTCCATTGGAAATCAAGTAGGGATAGAGGTCTTTGAGTTGCTCCTTCTTTACCACATCCTCTATCCATGTAGTATGGTCCTGCTTAAAGGTCCTCACTGGTACACTGAATTGGCTAAGTGGGCTGGTTGAAAATTCCGTGATGCTGTCCCTCATCTCCACAGCTGCAGCTTCGTGGCGATCCTTGAGTGACGGTTAATGGAATCATCTTGGGTGTAATAACCACTTACGCCAGATAAGACAATCACATTTGGCACATACTGCAAATCAACTAAGCTGAGACAATGAACATAACACCAAACTCACCTGCAAGACATCTAGCAACCAGCTGCGTTCATGTTTAAAACCACTCCAAGTGTCAAGATGACCATCAACGCCTTTCCACAGTTGAGTAAGCGGTACTGAAGAGCTAAGAAACTTGAAAGTAGCCGTGTGATTCACATCGCTGAGCCATTCGAGGAGGGCAATCTTTTGAGTCTCCCCAAGCATAGTCTTTTCAGGTCCATCTTGAGCATTATTAGCTGATCTATGAGCGCGTGTGTCGAGCGTAAAGAAAGCGATATCGCCATAATTGAATGAGTAGTAGTTGGTGCCTGGTACTCTTGACTGAGGGTTACCTGCAGCGTTGTATGACTTCCATCCGATCATCGCTTCTCTGAATGGGGAAGCATCAGGGTTATCCAGTCCAGCGTAGTTGTTGGCGACTTCATGATCGTCGTACATGTGGTAAAATGGTAGCTGCTCGTAAACCTTTCTAAAGGAATCTGATGACATGGTTTGGCGATACTTTCTCCAGTAGTTCTCTGGTAATGTGCCTATACTCAGTGGGATATCAGCATAAATGAAGTCGCCCAAGAAGATCATGAACTGTGTGGAGCGGTTGCTGATGTATTCAGCGAGCAAATCGAAACCAGGTACTTGGAAGTGAGCGAATGGTCTGTATGGGAAGCCGAGAGTTACACACGATCCAGAGACGAAGGATAGCTGAGTGCCACCATTTCCACCCCACATGGAAGCTTTGATAGAAGTTAACTTAGGATCTGGAGAAGTCTTTAAAGGTAAATGTGAGGGAATACCAGGGATAGACTGTCCGTTCAAGTAGACTACGCTGTAATCGTATTCAATCGACGGCCAGAGATTTTCTAGAGTGACAGAGTCCATCCAGTCAGACTCAGGCGATGCATTTGCAAGAATTGGGCCTTGGAGCCAAGTATTTTGTGTGTCACGGGCTTTGTAGACGACTTTAGCGAGTGGCTCGTGGTCGCCACCGTCGTAAGAGTGCTGAGAGACCCAATTAGGTGGAGGAACGCGTGCAACAACCTTGGCAGAGAGGTGGGTGACATGACCCAGCCTCGCGAACGCAACATTCGAAGCTGGAAGAAGGAGAAGGGGGGACCATAGGAAGTCCATGGCCATTATAAAGACAAGCGTGTTGATTATGAAGTTTGCAAGATTGTACTGGTAGTCGTTGACGGGGATTCCAAATATGAGAGCAAGTGCTGGATGAGTGCGTGTAGATTTACGGTGGCGTTTTGCAGAGTATGAGAAAAAGAGATAGATTGGGTATAAAGCAGCGATGGCATAGACAAATACGCGTCCGGGGATCTGGAATTCGCGTGAGTCTCATTAACCTCAGATTACACAACATGCAGAACACACCAGACGAAGAAACGCGTAAGAAAAGAGCCTGAGCAGCGTAGACGACGCAGCTGATGATATTTCCAGCTTTTTGATTGGCTCGAGTTGCATCGGTGGTCGTTGATGGGAAGAAGAAGCAGCTGAGTGAAATATCCAAAGCTGGGAAATAAAAAGAGATTAAAAAAGAAGTTAAACATTTATTTCGATTTCCTCCTCCTTCTTTCTTCAACGATGTCACTTTCCATCACATCCAGCGTCTTTTTGAAAAGCGGTCAAAGAATCCCGCAAATCGGTTTTGGGACTTATGAGAGCACGTCTGAAGAAGCTTATACGTCCGTGAAGCAAGCTTTAGAAGCTGGCTACAGGCATATTGTGAGCTGAGTGAGGCTATCCACATCACACCACTAACGCCCCCAGGACACAGCAGAATGTGAGTGAATAGCGGGTGCAATTCCCCCACTCACCGCCGACAGGGTACGAGAATGAAGAGGCGTGCGGCAGTGCGATCAACGACTTCATGGCGCAATCTGGTGTACCACGCGGGGAGATTTTCTACACAACAAAATTAATGGCCAATGATGGTCTAGAGCATTCCCGCAAAGCCATTCGCGAGAGTGTGAGATTAAGTGGATTGGGTTATTTAGACCTTTACTTGATTCACGGCCCATATCCACACAAGGAAGGCAGATTGGCTTCGTGGCAAGCTATCGAGGAGGCGATCGACGAGGGGCTCATTAGATCTGCTGGTGTATCAAATTATGGAATTCGCCATCTAGTTGAACTCTCCTCAACTAAACACCCCGTCTCCGTTAATCAGCTCGATCTACACCCATTCATGCAGCGTAGAGAAGATGTTGCTTACAACAAACAGAAAAACATCTCTCTTGAAGCTTGGGGCCCGCTCGCGCGCGCTATGAGATTCAATAACCCTATCCTCAAACGCCTCAGCGAGAAACACGCTAAATCTCCTGCTCAGGTGCTCCTCCGCTGGTCTGTCCAGAAGGGATACATCCCTCTCCCTAAATCTGTCAAAAGAGAGCGCTTAGAGGCTAATAAAAATATTTTCGACTTTGAGCTGTCTCAAGATGACATGGCCGAATTGGACAGCTTGGACGAGTACCTCGTCACTGACTGGGACCCAATTGGAGATGCATCTGTGTAAACTTGTGTAAAAGGACAAATAATATTTCATGTATTACAACAGTTGTTTAGTCATTTTGTTTGTCTAACAAGATAATAAAAATTGCATAACTTAGTTTCAGTGTGTCAGTTTGTGGGGGCTTGAAATGTATGGATTCTCGCGGTGACTTAAGGTGTTGAGGTGTTTAAATTGGATCATAGGAAGTTCCAGGGAGTGTGTTTGGAGGTGGGCCACCAGCAGCCCCGCCATGTCGACGTCCACCAGCCGATCCAATAGGCTGAAAATTCTGCATGAGGCAGTCCCATGCGTTAAGATCAAAAAATGCGTGATGAGGTGTACTATCATCGATAACGGAGCTGTAAACGGGGTGATGGGAGTTGTACTGAGTACTAGACCCAGTCTGGAAGGGCGACTGAACGACTTCTGCGTCCTCCTTATTCGTCGATAGCGCTGCATATGACGTACCCCCGTTGCCGCTATTACCGCTGTACGTCGAATGCTGTGAATCCATTGCACCCGGATAGAGATTTGCATGTGGTTGATATCCCGCTCCCACACTCGACTCGCTCATTTTATCCTCAGTTTGGCGCAATTGCAAAGGATTTCTACGCATGTGTGTCGCTTCGCCGTCTGTATGTGTGACATCTTGACCGCCTGAGCGTGGACGCAAGGCTGACTTGTTCAGTATATGAATTATCTGCGGTGGTGTTGTTAGATGAGCGCATGAACCCACATACTCCACTCACATCTGTCAGCTTGTTGCGCCACGTGATGGCCTCATCGCCGCCACCACCTTTCTGCCATTGTTCGAGTATCTCGACGACCTTGCGCAGCCCATCCAACGCACCTTCACACTTCTCTCTCGCCCAAGTGTAGTGCTGAATGAGTGCGCATGAGCAGAGACAGTACACTGCTATAAACCAGCTGTAGTGTACGTTAGCGAGGCTGCGGCGTCTATCATTGCATGTTTACGCACTGGTCCATTATGCTCTGGTTCTGGTACACCCATTCAATGCATTCCGTCGACGCTTCATACACCTTCATCCAGCGTTGTTCGTCGAGCGTCTGCTTCAGTCCTTCGGACACTGCTCCGTCGTTAGCATTGGAGATAAAACTCTACATTCATTCAACCCACTGTCATTCTCTGATGCTCGCATCATCGGTCTGAACAAAAGCAGACAGAGTGTTACATAGGCCATATGCAGTATACCTACGACGCTATCAGCTTGACTTGTTTCATATTTAAAACCTCATCACCCACCAGATTGGGGGCTGGACGAAACACCGGTAAATTTCAAACTAATCGGTAGATCTCCCTTCCATTGCTCAATATCCGCTGCGAGACTGAAAAGTTGTTCGTCAGTGACGAGACGCAGCCCCACTGCACTATACAGTGTCTGAAGAATACGGCCAAGCAAAACGGAGTTCTTGACCATCTCGACAAAGAAAGAATGAGGTCTATTGTGTTCTTCGTTTATGATAGGCTTAGACTCCGTATCACTATCATCCCTGTAGAAGTCGAAGGGGGAAGGGAGAAGCACGTCGCAGTCGACTAAATTGATAGACATAGGCAATCCATGCGCACACGAAGCCCACCTATCCATTATCACAACCGCTGCCCACACACGTCGCCTGCGATTTGACTCTCGCTGCGAGCATTCCTTTGACTCTTTATGTAGACCAAGATCATGAGCCATGCGAATAGCTGCACCACTTCGCAACCATATCGAGCTACCTGAGCTACCGAGTGCGGTTGAATGTGCGTCTGTATTTAAACTGCATATAAGCAATGCTTGGATAGTGACCAGTGATGAACGCGATAAGGTAGATCCAGCCAAAGTGCTATTCAACGCTGACCGACATGCATTTAGCGTTTCTAGTGGTATTTGACGTCCAGTAGCTGCTATCACGCAGCATGCTCGCAGTAGCAACGGATGAGGATGGTTGTAAAATTCCTCGCTAGTCAGTACTGGAAATATTGGCGCTATATCTGTAAAATAGATGTTTAGTAGCATTTGCGTGGTTTCCTCATCTAACTCAAGCTCTGCAGGTGGTTGGATTTGCGATGATTCACGCTTGATTGCGGCTGGTTTAGCTAGAGGGGCATCTTGTGAGCTGCCTGGACGATTCTGCATTTGGTGTATCCAGCCATCACCATTTGCAGTCACGCTGCTTTTCTGGTGGTAGCGATCGTCGACAGCTTTGAGATTACGCTCGACTGATGTCGGTAGCTGGGCTTGAGAGTGGACTAGATAGGAAATAGAGGTGGGTCCCAACATTCTAGCTTCTGAAGAAGGTGGAGGTAGTGTCATATTCTCACGTCCGCTGTGAAAATTTTAGCATCTTTAGAATTGTTAGCAGTCTGAGACCCACACTGGCGGTAATCTGAGCGGAAACGAAGGTGGAGGTGGAGGAGGTTCCCTTGAAGGCGTGGCAGTTGTTGCTATCGATGGATTGCGCGCTGTTGCCCTTGAAGTCGTAGCAAGATGTAGACCAGAGGGTTGTTGGTTGAGGCCAACGCTCGGCGGCATCACAACGGATTGAGGAGGTGAAGGACGCGATGAAGGTGGTTGAGATGAAGCATTAACTGAGCTTGCACGTTTCTTAAATCGCGTCTCTGAAATAGGCAGATTGCTGGTGCAAGGCAAACCATTTTGCTTGCAGTGCCTACAACAAGGAGGTTCTGAGATAGTATTAGCGTTTAGTGTCTGCCAATGAATCACGAAACTCACCCAAATCAGGTAGGAAATCGCATCTAATTTTCCGAGCTCTGGGGACACTTATCAGAAGTCATATTGAGTGGGGTGTGGAGTACGCACCTGCAGCTGTCACAACTTCTAGTTGTTCTAGAACGTTTCTTGATTGGCTGGCCAGTCTGTGGGTCGAGTACTGGAATTTCTGGTGACTGATCGTTTGCCGACTTGCGCTTTCGCTGCTTCTGGGCGAGTTGAGTGGGTTTGGGCTGCTGAGAACTGAATTCAGGCGGTGGCCTGTCACTGTTTTGGCGGTAGATAGGTGGCAGCTGAGGCGCTGTTGGCGCTGGTGCTGGCTGTGGCCGGTGGTAGATCACTGATGGACCAACGAACGGCTGCAATGTGGGATGGGAGGACATTGAGGGCAAATTTACTTGGTTCGTATTGGCGCTTTTTGGCGTGCGATTTACTTGCCGTTGCTGATCGCCTCCTTCTCGTCTCTCGGCCATGGAAGTTTGAGTTACAGCGAACGAACGGATTTCGGAACGGGATCGAGAAATTTCAGCTTTTGGATTAAATATTTGGAAGACAGGCTTTGTAGCTGATAATTTATATCAGCCAGTCTCTCCCACGGCATCTCACTCAGCTGATGCAGTATATTCACCAAACTAGATTCGTTCGCCGAAATGCACATGATCATCTTTTGGTTCAGTCGGATGCAATATATTAGTCCATGCTGTACAATAACATCATATATCATGTTGCATCCTTGCCGAATCTATGAAATGCCTATTTTCAGTTGCCGAGAAGCAGCGGAATAGGAGTGAATTCATCGAGGTTTGATTGTTGAAATAAGAAACAAACTATAAATAAACTCCAAATCATTACAATCCAGCTGATACCGTTGTCGCTTCAATCATCTTTGGTAGCACCACATTCTTGAATTTTTGAGCTTCGATGAGAATAACACGTCCGCGTACATCAGCACCAAACTCATCACTCTCTCTGTTTACAACGTGTTGGAATTGGTAGTCTGCAACTAGATCTGTGAACTGGTGTTTGTGTGTTTGTGTTAGCGAGATGCACCACATAAGACACCAGACCACTTACATCCTGAGTAACTTCGTCTTCTGGATGGAATGTTTGCAATTTGGATTCGTTTCCGCCGCGTTTTTTCTTCATTGGACCTTGTTCGCCTGTGTCCATATCAATATCGTTATCTGATTCAAAGTATGTTCTTGTAGGAATGATAAAGTGAGTGAATTTGAAATCATCTGGTGCCTGCCAAGGTTTGTTAGTTAAATCAATAGCCCCGCTTTCCACCTACAGACTGGCTAGCCAATTCTAATTCCTCAAGTAAGAATCTCAGCATATGTGGAATAAGTACGACAGGCATGTTGACAAGTCTCTCTCCCAATAAGACACCGACGTTGCTTCCACTCTCGTCGCTCAAAAGCTGCATGAGAGTGCTACACAGCGCATCATTGTTAGCTGATTTTGCTCTACCGACGAGGTAGCTCGAAAGCTTCCCGACGGCGCTGTTTCCTTTGTGTTTCGATAGACTGATAGCAGTAAGGAAGGCGTAAGGATCGGACTCCTTTCCATCAACCTTGATAGTGCTACCGACGTTGTTTTGAGATAAAATTAGATCAGTGAGGGTGTGTAGCTCTAGGTGTTCAGCATCTGAGTGGAATAGCTGCGTTAAAAGATGCTTTATAGCGTGGTAGTCTATATCCTCCAAATTGAAGAAATCGAAATCAACGTTAACAATCTCATTATCCTCGTCATCCTCTGCAGTGGTCTTGCGCTTTGTTGTACCCTTCAATGGCTCCTGTAAACTCATTTTGAATATCAAATAATCACGTGATGGATGTCTATCCTGAACAACGAAGACGATGGCTACGAATATTGTAAGTGGTTTGATTGGTTAGTGAAATAGCTCACAAATAGAATCAAAGACATTCCACCAAGGTTAGTCGTGGTTATTCCCCGCTATCCCTTAACATAAGTGAAGGTACCGTGAGCCAACAAGAAAGACAAGAATTGCTCGGTCAACAAGGTTTGACGATTTGGTTGACTGGTTTGTCTGCTTCTGGAAAGGTGAGTCGATAAATTCAGTCGCAGAATATCAGTTTATCGAACCAGTCGACAATCGCTACTGCACTCGAACAACACCTCCTCCACCTCCGCAAATCAGCTTTCAGATTAGACGGTGACAACATTAGATTCGGCTTGAATAAGGATCTTGGTTTCTCCGATAAGGACAGGGAGGAGAACATAAGAAGAATCGGTGAAGTCTCCAAGCTGTTCGCGTCTTCTGCGGCGTTGACAATCACGTCATTCATCAGTCCATATAAGAAGGACAGAGACTTCGCCAGACAGCTCCACGAGGCACAAGGTTTGCCTTTCATTGAGGTATACGTGGATGCGCCTCTTTCTGTCGTCGAACAAAGAGATCCAAAGGGTCTTTACAAGAAGGCGAGAAGCGGTGAAATTAAAGAATTTACTGGTGTCTCCGCACCTTATGAGGCACCTGCAAATGCTGAACTGCATATCAAGACGGATGAGCATGATGTAGAGGCCAGTGTTAAAATTATCACCGAGTACCTCCAAGGAAAGGGATTTCTGGGAAACTAAAGAGTTCAATGTAGCCATCTAGTCGTCCTCAATGTCAAGATCTTTATAAACGTCCTTCATTGTCTTGCCAGTCCTATCTGCGATTCTACCGATGAGCATCTGCGTTTTATGAGTTTTGAAGTTGTGTCTACGCGCATCACACACCTGTCCAATATCCTTAAAGTAATTGTACTCTTCTAGCTTGTTTATGTACTCCTTGCGCACTCTCTCCGCTTCTTCGCAGCCACTGCAATAATTGAGCTGTGAATGGGTGTGTAAGAAATCACCAACCCAATCTCAGCCTCCATCGCTACTATGCCCTCCTTGAGCTCTTTGTCTGTCATATCTTCTGGCTTCCTAGCGCTGCTCATCAAAGATACAAGGGAAGACGGAGAAAGAAATAAATCGGATGTATTCCACAAATGCTAGAATATATTTCACGCTGTTTGTAACTGACATCTCCCACTCACATCGTTATCACCGACAGCCATCATCATGGTGAGCAAGCGATACAGCCCAACAAACCTACTGACACTGCATAATAGCCGGGAAGCAGTCTTCGCAATGCAATCAGGCGTCGCAACCACAAGGAGCGTTCACAGCCGCTGCACCGCCAGAAGCTCGGTTTTCTCGAGAAACACAAGGACTACGTCAAGAGAGCGCGTGACTACCACAGCAAGCGAGACAGGCTTACGAAGCTTAGGCAGAAGGCAGAGCTGAAGAATAAGGATGAGTTTTACTTTGGCATGGTTGGGAAGAAGACGGAGGTGTGTATGTATTGCAGTGTACAATACAGCCATCCTAATCCACCTTGTAGTCTGGTCAGCATTTCCAGGAAAGAGGAAACACTCCACTGCCTAATGACCTCGTTAAGGTGCTCAAAACCCAAGATAACGGTTATATCTACCTGCAGCGTGCAATTAATCAGAAGGTGGTTATCTATATACGTCAGGTACCCTCACTTACACTCAAACTCTCCAGAGAATATATAAACTCGTCGGGAATTTGTCCAGTTTGGCTAATATCAAACAGCTCGCAAACGAGGAGTACAGAATGGATATTGGTTTGGACGAGTACGAGGAATACGCTCTCAAGCAGTGCAATCTCATTCCCTCAGACGAACCCAAAAAATCTCGCAAAAGGTCTATTCCTGACTATGTACCACATATTGTCTTTACTGATGATTCTGAGCGTGAGTCTGCAACTGTTTGCCGTTGCACGCGTACTTATCATAAAACAGCATACTTCGAACCCACGAATCCTGTCCAGGAGGAAGATGACCACAACGACGACGCTGTAGACCTCGCAGACCTCGGCTGGAAGCTGAGCAAGAAGGAGAAGAAGCGTTCAAAGAAGAAGGAAAGTATGGCAGTTGATGAAGAACATGACGCTGTAGATGGTAATGATGGCTTCGACGATGTCGTTGTTGGCGAGGTGTGTATCGATAGCGCAGCCCGTTTCATCCTGTTAATAACCCGCCTTAGACACAGCTGAAGAAGACACTCAATGAACTCACTCAAAGAGTCTTCAGACAGGATGCAATGGACAGAGCTGCACGCGAGCTCGAACTGACAAAGGCACTCATGGGTAAAGGCGCCAAACAGAAACTCGAGAAGGGCCAGAAGACAGACATTGATGCTGGCGAGCAGGAGGGCCGTGAAGGCAAGGCAAGAGTATTCAAGTGGAGAGCTGAGAGGAGCAAGTGAGGAGATTTGCTATCAGTGCGATATAGAAACATGTATAATTTATTTCATAAAAATGATCGTGGTATTGTGCTAATTATGCTAATTGTGCTAATTGTGCTAGTCGTGCAGATTGTGCTAGTTAAGTTGCAAATTCAAAGACTCCAGTCTATTCAACTTTCTGAGTGATCTTGTCTATTATATCCAGGTAGGCTGTTGTAGCAGGAGAATCGGGATACTCCTCGAGGAAGTTGAGCCCATAATCTGAACTCTGTCCTATGCGTGGATCGAGAGGCACTTTGCCGAGTAATTCCAAGCCCTGCTCATCAGCCAAAGCTTGAGCTCCACCAGTACTTGCGGCGAAAATCTCGCTCTCGCCTTTACAATTAGGACATACAAAGCCGCTCATATTCTCGACGAGACCTAGAATCGGTATTCCAGTCTTACGACAGAAATCGATTTCCTTTCTCACATCCTGCAAGGCTACTTCCTGCGGCGTAGTGATGAGAACAGCACCATCAATTCCAGATTCCTTGAGGTAGTTGACACAGCTGAGGTGTTCATCTGAGGTGCCTGGTGGGGTGTCCACGAGCAAATAGTCCATATTCTCGCCCCAGTCGACATCCTTGAGGAACTGTTTAATTAGTCCATTCTTCTTGGGACCCCTCCAAATGACGGCATTTTTCTCATCAGGAAGGAGAAATCCAATGGACATGACACCCAAGTTTTCCTGTACGTAGACAGGCGACCAACCACTAGCGCTGTGGTGGACAGTCTCGCCCACGAGTCCCATAACAGTGGGGATTGATGGTCCACAAATATCAACATCCATAATACCGACTTCTTTGGTATCGTCTGCCGACATTGCCCAGCTGAGCTGCGAAGTGAATGTAGATTTACCGACGCCACCTTTACCACTAAGTATCATAATCTTGTGTTGAATGGCTGCCATACGTGATCTTATTATGGGTAGATCTGGATCTGGTCCTTTGGGTGCCGTTTGGCACGTCGTCTGGTTCGGACATCCTTCACATGCAGACGCCTTGCCTGCGTCGGTGGATTCTGTGCCGGGACAGTGTTCTGGTGCATTATCTGGCTGATCTGGCTTAGGGTTATTGATTGTCGCTGTTTCTGTTATCGTCGTCGACATATCGAAGATGGGCGCGGGTAATCAAGTTGGACGAGTTGCCACTGACTGATATCTAGGTGAGATTTTAATATTTATCACGGCTACGTAGCTTTTATTAGGGTTTAATGTAATGTGTATTTTACAATATCTGGGGTATTCTCAGCTGCACGACAAGCTCGACCAATCAGAGAGCGAGAGATATTGAGAAAGACGACAGTAGTGTGAGTAATATGATCCACCCAAATACGCCATATAGCCTTTCCAAATATCCAAAAACCCCTCCAAAGCACCCGAAACGCATCTTGAGAGACGACCACCACTTTAGAAATGCCAATCAAAGAGAGTAAGATGACCGCACACACAGCAAACGAGGCTCACAAACTCTGTACAGCCGGATTTCATCCAACTCCCGCACTCCAATTAGCTGGCCAGGGCGCAATCGGTGGTTCTGGTGTTGGATTCCTCGTGTCGACCGTGAGGAATGCGCTAGAGACGCACAATAAAGGTGCGATGGGTGTTTTCACTAGAACAGGCTCGACAATTTCATATTTCGCTGCTGTCGGCGCAACTTTCGCATTTACAGAGACAGCAGTGAGCAATGTAAGAGGTGATCAGGATGCAATCAGCAGTGCGGCAGGTGGATGTGCGGCAGGGTCATTAATAGGAGCTAGATGTGAGTGGAGTTTATGGGATAGATGAAGACATTCTAACACTACCATACACCAGCCAAGAGCATTCCTGCTGCTGCTGGAGGATGCTTGTTGTTCGGTGCTTTGATGGGTGCTTTCCAGGCTGCCGGCGGTACCCTCACGGCCGGCATCGGTCCTCATCCCTCACTCGAAGAGAGAAGTAACAAGAGAGAGTCTTTCGCTACACTTAGACAGGTTCCAGGAGGATCGAAGGAGGAGTAAAAACATGTGTATACAGAATTTATATCTATTCAATCAAAATGGCTCAATCAACGCTTGCTCACCCTATCGTAGAAGAGAATATCAGCTTTCTTGGTTGGTGCGGCTTCGTGTACGGGAATTGGGAACTTGTGAGGGTTGAGGTGCTGTCTGAGAGAGAGTTTGTTGAAGTATTTGTGAGTAAATGAACCACCTGCTGCCTCTATAGCTTCGATCGCAGGTTTGGACGCAGAAGACGCTTCAATGTGTACTGGTGGGAGTTGCGCGGTTGGCTTAAGCTGTGTTATGTCAGATACAATACGCCCAGTGAACAAAGCACAACTCACATCAGATAGTATCTTTACGCCATCCTTCTTCGAAAGTCCGTGGACGAGGTTCGAGTGTACTATATCCCTAATAGTGATGGTCGTATTAGCATTTATTCTGCGCTGCTGTATCCACTGCGCCAGTCTCGATAGCGGTACTGTAGCGTAATTTGTCTGATTGTAGTTGTAGAAACCAGTCTTTGGGAATCGTTTGGTGAGGGGCGTCTGTCCACCTTCAAACCACGGTGCCACTTTGCCATCGCCCCTGCTCTTCTGACCGTTCTGACCTCTGCCTGAAGTTTTACCTTGGTTGGAGGATCTACCTCTTCCTAGCCTCTTTGATTTGTGGATAACGCCGAAACTGGATAGCTTATCAATAGACGTAGAGTACTGCCTGAGTTGCTGTGGTAATTTTAAATTTAAGTTCATGGCCGTTGGGAGGTGAGTTGAGTGTGGCAATACTCCTCTTTGAACAGGCCCGGCGATGAGCAACAACTCGATAAGCTATATGAGTACGGGCATCGCGGATATCACGCCCAATTACAGCATTATTCCAAATACACCGTGCTATCCGTTCTACTACACCAATTCGGATCAGATATTTACAGCTTTATCTGATAAGTATACTTCAATTATTGCACCTGTTATCGGCTATTGGGTTTTCTCTCTATTCTTCCATTTCCTTGATCAGCTCCCTTCACTCGACAAGTACAGGATACATCCGCCTTCCGAGCTCGTATCCAAGAACAAGGTATCCGTCAGCCAGGTTATAAAAGCTGTGATCATCCAACAAGTCGTACAAACAGCTTTGGGCGTCTTAGTTTTGGATAACGTGGATGAATTTATGTCAGATAACCAACACTTGCACGCTATGGCTACTTACAGTGGATATATCACCTTTTTCTTGAATCTCGCTTTGGGTCCTTCCTTAACGTCTTCTGTTTTTGCACATTTCGGCGCGAGTATAACGTCGTTCACTTACTGGTGGTTTGTACCTGCCATTCAGTTCGCATGGGCTTGTTTCATCATGGACACACACCAATATTTCCTTCACCGTCTCTTCCACATGAACAAATTCTTATACAGGCATATTCACTCGGTGCATCACAGGCTATATGTTCCATATGCGTTCGGAGCATTGTACAATCACCCAATCGAAGGTTTCTTACTAGATACGTGCGGCGCGCTCCTTGCACATGCTGCAAGTTTCATGTCGACTAGACAGAGTATAGTAATGTTTGTGTTCTCGACATACAAGTGGGTTTATCAAAACCTCTAAACACCCATCACACACTGACACTGACACTGCACAGAACTTGCTCCGATCACGCTGGCGCGCAGTATCCCTTCGATCCTTTCAGATACATCTTCGCCAATACCTCTGACTACCATGACATCCATCACCAGCATTTTGGCCTCAAGTACAACTTCTCGCAGCCCTTCTTCGTCCACTGGGACGATGTGTTCGGAACGCGTCTGAACAGATCTGATGTGAAGAGCAGCAACAAAGCAGACAAGTTGAAAAACAAAGCGGAGTAGACGACTTTAATTATTTATTCATATTCTTGTTAATTAACGATACCCATGTCATTTTCCCCATCAGAGCAGAAGCCAGAAGCAGAGCGAGAGGAAGGATTATTAGATATAGGCAGCAAATGCAGTACAGTGAGTGTGATTTACAGGGGGGCTGTATACACTCTCTAACTCACCTGTAGCTCAATTGCCCTAATATCGACTACCTCATTCACGAATGCACGAAATGCCACAGAAGGTACTGTTCAGAGCACAGATCGGCTGTATTTGACTGCTGCCAGCGGCAGAGCACGCAGAAGCGCGACAAAACACACAAAGTGTTCGTTGCTTGCACACTCCCTCGCTGCTCCAGTGAGGCTTTCAGCGGGAGCGAGTACTGTCTAGCACACCGCCACCACGCTGCACCCATCCAAACGGCCCAGAAAGGCTCTGTGAGCAAGCAGCAAGCGTCTAAACTTGATGCTATTAGGGCTAAATTTGGTAAGACTACGCCCATGACGCCGAGTACGGGTGGCACGGCTACTAAAACCATGCAACACAAACCAATTGATAGACGCGTATGGATGATGAAGACGCGCATGAATGCTAAACCCCTGCGCGAACACCTCGATAGTAACCACCGGGTGCATATTTCCGTATCTCTATCCCAGTCCATTTCTCATGTCGATATTAATCTCGATTCGTGTAGTTTCTTCTACTTGAACAAGTCACTCAGTATGGGTAGAGTGCTCGATCTGCTTGCAGACAAGCTCTCTGTCGACTCCTCTGAGTACTATCTATACCACCACCAGCAGCAAAGCAATACAAAACTCAATCTCAATCTCAACCTATCCGCAGCGGCGGGCGACATACCTGGTCTCGACTGTGCACATCTAATCCTCGTGCAAAAGGCAGGTGTAGGTGAGTGAGTGGACCAGTTGGAGGTAGGGCGACTCGAGGGTTACAATCAGAAGGGATGAATTGGAGATTAGATTAGATTGTGTAGGTTGGTCGGATAGAGATAACAAGTATGACGTTATGTGTTTGTGTGTGTGTGTACATTACCTTAGTCTCAGATCTCAGATCGGTGGACTAGGTCCTCTACTATACCTGTCACCGACTGGACTGCGTGGGCGTGGTCGATAGGAGATATCTTTCTCCTTCTCCTTCTCGATGCGCTGCAAAGTGAGGTTTAGGTAAAGTTCTGTGGTGTGGGAGGGAGGAACAGAGGTGATGGCTGAACACTAGAACACTAGACACAAAGCACAAATACGCTCTTAATCGCTTTCTCAAATAATCTACTCACCTCTGATAGCAGATGGATAGCTGTCTGTATACCGTTAGGCGCGCCTGTTATAACCACCAGTCGTTCAACCGTTGGTCCATTCGCCTGCTCGCCTCCTTCACCTGGTTCGAGAATCTTGACCGAACATTGAGATATGTATCTAATCTCATTGATCTTGGATCCTCCTCTGCCAATTAGTCCTTTGTATGGGTTAGAGGTGCACCATTTTGTCACTCATTCCACTCACCTCCTACTAGATTGTTGGGCACGTATATTCTCTGCGACGTTGTATCTACAGCTGGTGGGGGAGCTGGATAGCCACCTCCGCCGACTGGTGGCACAGGGTTAGCGTACGGCGACGCACCGTAGCTTGCTGGGTAGCCAGGGTAGTTTGAATAAGAAGTTGAAGTCGATGGACCGCCATACGGGCTGCCAGTCGAAGGTCTCCTGCGACTCCTTTCTCTAGAGGGCACAGCTGTATTGTCAGCCCTGCATGGTGACTGTTAGTCGAAACGCGCATCTAACACGCAATACCCACAAAATACCACCGACGTGGTAAACAGCAATGTGGATAGCATCAGCCACGCCATCAATTGACAACAACCGTTCTGTTGAATTAGGTAGCAGATAGTCAGACGTGCTCAACTTGGCACCGGAAGCTTCTTGGATTTCCTTGATACGAGCACCGGAGCGACCGATAATAAAACCCATCTTCATATTGGGGATAGTGAATCGCAGCGTTACTGCTTTGCTCCCAGGAAGAGAAGGTTCGTCGAAATCCTCGTCGTTGAGTGTACGCACTACAAGACCAAATGCTTTGGACACGGCGTCCAGCTTTCCAGAAACTGTGACTACACGCTCTGGATTCGAAGGAAGTGAGTTTGAGATATTGAGCTTTGTGCCTGCGGTTTGGCGGATTCGTGCAATGTTTAGACCCTGTCTGCCTATAAGGACGGCAGCGTCGCGTGTATCAACCAGACAGCGTAGCACTAAATAAGGCATCTCATCTTTATCCTCCTTCTCCCTTTCTTCGCGAGCGAGGTGAGGCCTCTTGTGGGCGAATCTGTCGGGGGAGATGGAGCGCGAGCGGGATCTCTTTCTTGAGTCGTACGAATCGTAGTGATCGTGCCTATCGTACTCAGCAGACATTAGATTTGTAGATGATGGTCGAAGTTCAACCAATCTTGTAGGATAGAGGGATGAATTAATGGAATTATTGTACAATTATATAAATTGGCTTATTCATCGTCTTTACCGAAGTTGCTCATCTTTGTCGTGTGAACGCTCTGTCCGTAGAAGTCTACTTGACTGATCTTGGTCTGTGATGGGAGCGAGGAGAGTTAGCGGAGTCAATACGGAATACACAACCACACTCACAACATCCCCACCACCATAATTAGATTTCACATAGACTTGTATCGAATTCACAGCTTGGAATCTGACGAAACGAAGCTGAACACTCTCCTCACCAACAGCTTGCTTCTCATTTAATGTCAAAATAGCCATGGCATCACCCTTAGGCGTCTCTAGATCATCTTCTGCCTTATCGAAATCAAGTTCTGGTAAGTTGATGAACACCTTGATATCTTTAGGTGCATATTCTAAATCCGTGTGTCCGAGCTTGAAGGAGCTCACTTTTACTGTCTGATCAAACGCAATGCTACACAGCAGGTTCTCGTCTGCATCTGAAGTAATCAATCCAATACCAGATCCAGTTCTTCCTAGGAGCTGCTTCACAGCATTCTCATCTTCCACGTTCAAGCAGAATACACCTGCTGGGTCGACATATTGCTTCAAATTGGTTAAACTCATCGAAGTTGGTTGAAATGGGTTATGAACTCCTCTTTATCAATTGAAATCAACTTTATTTTGTTTATTAAACAGGAAATGTAAATGAAATGCATAAAAGAACTTGTCAATATTCTTCTTTTCTTTGTAGTGTAGACATAAACTTGGTTTAAAGAAGAAGCAAACGCGATTAAAAGCATGACGTAGAAACTGGGTATTTGAATTTGACTACTTCTACTTTCAAGTTGATTAGAGGAGACCGCAATCACGGACTGTATTTGTCTGTGAGTTACTTAAAGTATATTCTCATTTCATTACTCACGATTAGTCTGTATAACGATATCATTGATGGCTGACAAGACGAATTTGATTTGATTGGTGTCTGTAGCGCATGTAAAGTGAGCATAGATTTGTTTGACTTCTGATTGGTTTAGCTCGACGAATCTATTTAATATGTATTCGCAAGCACTATCATAGTCATTTTGACCCTTGTAATCACTAAAGTAATCCTTTACTGGAGACACTTCTAGCTTTTCTTTGAAGATGTCGATCTTGTTTAAGAAGAGAATAATCGAAGTTCTAACAAACCACCTAGAATTGCAAATTGAATCAAATAACGTTAAAGCTTCTTGCATTCTATTAACTGATTCATCCTCGTAAAGCTTTTGATCGTATTCACTTATTGCGACTAAGAAAACTATAGCAGTGACATTCTCAAAACAATGAATCCACTTTTTACGCTCAGAGCGTTGACCACCGACATCAAAGAGCTTGTAAGTGAGTTCACCAATTTTAAACGTTGTCTCAGTTATACCCGTTGTCTTAACTCTCGAACGTAAAACATCCTGGTCAGTTGGAAGGTAATCACCGCTAGCCATTCTATCGATACTATCGAAGTAGTATTGAGCACTGTCGTTGAGCTGATATTCTCTAGACTTTGTAAAAGTATGTTGAACACCGGGATCAGACCAAAGAGAGCCGATAGCTTCGAAAACTTGAGGAGTCATCATTTCGATATCAATTTGAGCAGGTAAGCTGAGTATGACTTGAGCAGATTGGTTGTTCATTGAAGGATTTCTTAATTCGATACCCATCATATCCATCGCCTCGATGATAACCCTCATAGATTGAACTGTGTTTGAGAAGATAATTTCTTTATAAGCGTCACGCTCTTCCGGGCTATAAGAGCCTTGGTGGATCAGCTTCATTTGCTTAAGAATGGTTGATTTTCCAGATTCACCAGCACCGAGGAGAAGCATCTTGACTTCATTCCTAAGGTTAGCCCGGTCTTTCTTGAGTTGCTGATCAATGCTATCGTTTCCTTTGATAAGGTGTGAGCTGTGATAGAAAGAGATTGAATCAAGTACACACTGGCTTTACCCGCATCTTCCGTGGATCTAAAAGGCTGGGTTAGTAAAATTCAAGTAAAACTAAAGAATCAATAGCACCCACTGGAGACAGCCCATTTTGACTTGATTTTAGTATTTTAGTTGTTCAAGTGGAAGCAGTCGAGGTTCAAGCGTCGTAGTCTTCTTGTAAACTTGAATAAAATTTAGATTCAAGTAAATTTAATAAATTCATTTGTAAATCAGTTCAAGTATATTTTAATAGTCTCAGCTACATTTAAATACTTGTCTAAATTTTGTGATTTGACAGCTACTCAGCTGCGTTAATTGAAGATACTTGATATTTATAAGCATTCATTTTGTAATTATTACTCGATCTATCTCCCATACGACGTTTTAACACATCTCAACGCTGCCTGGGCAAATAGAGTTTGACAGCGCGGAGAGTTATAAAATACTTCTAAAATATCACACTATACGCTATCGGCAGTTATGCATAGCTATTTCTCTCTTCATCACTTACGTTGATGATCTCGAGATTTCGTCGGGGCGCGAACACAGCCAGCCTGTTCGAGAAGTTCACAGGTGTGAATGTGCGTTGTTTTGTCTACATTTGAATTCTCATTCTCATTCACTCACAGCTGCGGAGAGCAAAGAATCTGCCGAGATCAGTACGTTGGCTTTACGATGAGCTCGAATTGGAGTCAGAAGAGCTTAACAAGAATAACAAAATCTGGCAAAAGTATCGTCAGTGTATTGACTCAAATCAGGCTGGTTTCCTTCCCCTCTCGATCCACCAATTCGTTCTCCAAAGATGCACCAACAGCCCTCCAAAGAAATTCGATCGCAACGTTATTGAGCGTTATCTGCACAACCAGGATAGACTGCGCTTTATAATTGATCAAATGCGCATACACAACCACTCCCCAAGCTTAGAAGACTACAAATTCATCCTCAATAGATTCTCCCTTATGGGTTCGAGGAGTGGTTGCAGGAGAATTATGAGAGAAATCTTGGACAGCGGTCTCCCAATCGATGCTGCGTGTTACAATTCTACCTTGATGGGATACGTGAGGTGGATACACCGTCAGAACAGAAACAACCACAAAGATCCACGCCCACAGAGGATTATCAGTGCTGAGATATCAGGCTTATTAGAAGAGATGGCCAACAAATCAATTCAGCCCAATCAAGATACTTACAATTATGTCTTGTCTATATTGAAAGATATCCATGACTTTGATGGACTGAATCAACTCCTTCAATCTACCTATGGTATTGACATATATAATCCAGATCATCAACCTATTCAATTTCTCGACTTTTTATCTCAGAATCCTCATATCTCTCCACCCAAAGTATCTCCATCGGTGCTGAGGAGTATAGTAGATGCCGTCGGCAACCACAGCAATCTGAGTACGCTGATCAGTGTATTCGAAGCGCTAGTCAACCCAATCAAGACGGATGGTGTACAGACATACGTATGGAAGACAACACCAGAGGAAGAATCATCAGAGACTGTTGCAGTGAATGGAAAAAATCTTTCAGTAACTGTATTCGACAGATTGCTTTACCATGTCACGCGACAAGGACCGTCATTCCTCGCGAAGCACTACATTCGCTACATTATATCAGCATGCAAAGAAGAACGAGTAGCAAATGCAGCATTCAGAAAAAATCTCCTCGAAACTGCAACTATAGACACGCTGAAATATAAACATATAAAAATTCCGCGTATTTTCTTCTCTGCCCAGCTCCTCACGTCGATAAGACTTGGATTGCTCGACCATCACTACCAGAAAATGGGAGTGATCAAGTATATGCTCGAGCAGCTGCCGTTTATCATGAAAGAGCAGGCAAAGGAGCATGACGAGTTACGTGAATGGATGAAAGCTTATGAGGAGAAGATAGTGCATTTGCTAAATAGTGACCAAGGCAGAGCATTAGACGACAGTACATTCAACAATCTCACAACCAAACTAGATACAGATTTGCGGATAATCAACGATCGTACCTCTACACTTAAACTTCACAACAGACTGTTGAACGTCGCAGGTAACACGTGGATGCCGCAGGTGTGGGCGCAGGTAGCGGCGAGAAGGCGACAGAGCCGCGCTAATGTGCGCATGATTGCTGCTAAAGAAGAGAGAGACGCGCAGCTGAGAAATAAAATGGAACAAGACTACTTTGTAGGCGCATCAGCGCCCGTGACATGAGACATGAGATAAAAGACATAAAAGGATATTTTCGAGATGCATTTAATATATAGAATACTAGAAAACTATCATACTATCAAGAGTAAAACGTGAACGTTTGATTTGGAGGGTATTGGCAGAGCGTGAGATAGGACAAGATCAGATCCACTGAGTACGGTCCCAACTAGGATCCTGTAAGAAGGCGCAGAGCACTTTAGAGCCTGTCTGAAGAAGAGGGTGGCCTGCAACGATCTGTACAAACCTCTCGAGACCCTCTCTGCGTGTTTGTATAACTTCATCAGTGAACCTGTTAGTGAACACCTTACCTGGCAAAGCAGGTACATTCACCCTCGAGCTCTCTCTTTCGAGGATATCCCTGAAAACCTCAAAATCTGAATAACGACGCCTAACAACAGAGTTCTTGAGTTTGAATGCAGGTATATTGGTGGCTAGGTGTATATCATACGTTGTGTACTTGGATCTGCCGGAGCTATGCGTTATTGGATTACACACTTCAATCTCGAGGAAATTCTCAGGTGCACCGTACATCTCCTCTGCTGTCTGAGGGCGTACAGCTGTGTTGGATAGGAGAGCAGATGGGTTCAAGTCACTAGACGGGGCCCTGATAAATGGATTTGATATGGACATGTGTGTTTGTGTGTGTAGTAGTTTGATTTCTCTGCTATGGCTGTGACTGTCACTGTGGCTCAATGTACACAATCCAAGTTTAACACAAAAACGTTTAAAAACCAACAAAGAAAACAAAATATGAATTAAAAGATAATAATAATAACATAGAAATAAATAACAAAGCAACATTCCAGTAATTTTACATTTGTTTTATAAGTCGATTAAATAATAAGTTAAGACGAGTAGGCGAGAAAAAGTTAAGCTATAGCTATAGCTTAATCTAGAGCGACAGTCTCCAAGACATATAAAGGCCAGCTTACTGTCTTGCTCATTTGTACACCCAAGACGACGGTCCAGCACCAACGCCTCCACTGTTTCCTACTATGCCTCCTAGATCGCCTACGCTCCCTCCAACACCACCCTGTGGAATGTTTGGAACGCTTGGGGGACTCGTCGTTGGCTCCTCTCTTAAGCTGTTGAGATACGCAGCGTGAGGTGGCTGACTGTAGCTATTCTCATCATCCTCTTCTTCTGGCTTGACAAACTGTGAAAAGTCAAATTGTCTGGCACTTGATGGAGACATCTGATCAAATGATTGATTGTGTGAATGCTGTGACGCTGGAGATTCTAATTGTTGATGTTGTATAGCACCAAGCTCGTTATTATAATCAGCTGAATATTTGCTGATTATCTTCTTCAATGCCTCCGATAAGATGGACCATGGGAATACCTTGACGTCTTTTTCAATATTCCTTGGCTTCGGATTAGGGAAGCTCATGATAAGTTTGAAGAAAGCTTCAGATTCAGCCTTGGTCTTTGATACAGTAATTGGTTTGAATCCCTCAAGATTCCTTCTGATTCTGTTTTTCTCTTCAACAGTAAATCTTATACCGACCAACGCTTCTAATAAATAAATAGCATCAACTGAAGTGACGAAGCACTCATTTTTGTCTTCTCTAAAAATGCAACTGATAACAACAGAATCTTGATTATACTCAGCCTGTGTGATAGGTCTGAAGGTGGCATGAACAACGGGACCTTCCTGCCTCCTCCAGAATTGAACGAGTCTACGTCTATTCTCCCATTCCTCTTGAGTCCACGAAGAAGCCATATCCAACAAGTTGCCGTGAAAGACCAGAGTAGCTCTGTTGGCTTCAGGGCTGAGACTCTCACCAGAGGGACCAGTAGGGAGTTGGGAAGTTCTAACTAATGGAGGTTCTTGCATTGCACCCGTAGGTATTGGAGGAGCTACAGGTGGAGGCATGGGAGCAGTTGTTGGTGGAGGTGGTTGTCGTATCTGTTGGATTGACTGAGATTGTTGAATAGATTGAGGAATAGGCTGAGTAGGCTGAGCGAGAGCAGGGCTTTTCGTTTGTGCAAGGGTGGGGCTAAGTGGCTGCTCGATCTTAACAGGATGTTGAGGTGAAGGCTGGTAAGGTGATTGTGGGAGAGAGAAAGGTTGATATGAGGTAGAAGACTGAGGATTGTCGTCGTGAAACTGAGGAGGGGAGATAAAAGAGTTGTAATTCGAATTTGAAGGGTTAGCTGGAACGGGTAAGCGGTGTAATTAATGCTGTGTGAATAACTCACAGAGGTAATCAAAGTAGCCGAATTCGATCGAGTCGGTAATAGTTGAGTTATCCAAAGCCTGTAGAATCAAAGGTACCCTATGTGATAGCCACTGTGTGTGTTCCAAAGGCGGGGCTTGTGCAATGACGCATAAGTTTCCATTGACATTGGCAGGATTCAAGCCCAAATCGTATAAATCCTTATAATCCAATTGCTTAACCTTTGTAGCGACTGCGACATTTCCGAAAACGACTCGAAGTTGCTTGGTGGATGGCTGGCTTTGGCTGTTGAACAAAATCTCAACCAAGATTGTCAATGAGGTATTCAATGTTCCTTTATTGGGCTGGTAGAACGGTACATTGATATAATTTATATCGTTCCCCTCTTCCATTTTGGTCGTCATTAGAAGAGAGACCTGTGGTGAGTAAATCAACCAAAGGGTAACGGATTAAGTAATTTTATTTTTTAGTCTTTCTCTTCTTGAATTTCACTTCTGTTGTATTCTGCGTGTTAGTTTTACCTGGTATGTATATTTCTCCACTGCTTGCCGTCTTTGTTGCATTCAAATCCATTTCCCCCTGATCCGATTTCTCGTGTGGCGGAGGTGGAGGTGATGAATTACCCCTTTTATTCTTTTCATTTGCGGCCGCGTTTGGAATACTTGGTACTTCCTCCCAACCACCTACGCTCCCTTCTAATCCAATTTGGACTCCTCTCGGTTCCTGCGTCATCCCGGCCTCCTCATATCCCAGCGATTTCGCCGTTGTGTAATTCGCATATGGGTCTCTACTCGCTTGAGCCTTTCGACTGCTTGTTGTTTTATTCCCTGGTGTTTTCAAACCTGTTGCAGTCTCTTTCGTGCTGGCTGCACCGCCAATCTGGATTATATCAGTCATCATATCACACCACGCAGCGACCTCCACTTACACCCTCCAATCTACGTAACTCACGTTCCTCAAATGCCCTGTCTCGCTCATTCTGCTCTGAGCGCTTGTAAATACTTCTAATAAACCTGTCCTTGTTACCCTTGTGCTTCAGTCCATTCTCGTGTTGTGAGCGTGACTTTTGGTTTGTTAGTGTTATTGTGCTTCTTTGTGTTGTTTACTAGCGTACCGGTCTGCGTCGGTAATAATTAGATACCTTCTCGTTGTCATTGCCAAAACAGCAAAAATACACTCACGCGTCATCGTTTATAGTGATATCGCAGTACTTGCAGTGGTATTTGGGTGTTGACTTCCTGATACCTTCTTAGCTTCTGACTTCTAAACTCCTCAGCACACATCCTTACCAGTAATCAGCCATGATGGACGTAGTAAACGAGCAACTTTATCTCGAAAATGCTGCTGTAATATAATAATATGTATATCTACCATCAACTATCTACGCGTTTGATGTCCATTGCTACTCTCAGAAACTTTGGAAATGAGATGACTGTGGTTGTGTACAACTTTGACAGCTGTCGATGGTCTTTTGAGATTATTTGCAGCTGAGAATATTATTTCATTGCTTCTGTACGCTCCACGCGGAGAAGTGAATTTGAATTACGTTGAAAACTTGAAATGAACGATGAATATTGATTGATGAACGACAAATTATTCTGTCTCAGCTGTGCCAGTTACATTTTAATCGTTGAATGTCTCAGCTATCAACACAGCTTACGATCTGAGTCAATCTAAAACACTGTGCATGGTGTAATATAACATATAAATCTACAGTTGAATGGTATAGCCAATAGCCAATATAATCCGCTTAGATGAGTGGGAGTGGGTTACATGTAAGTGAAATTGGTGAGTCACTTTTGGCATCTTCACAGCATGATGGAGTCGACTTGCATTCATCCTCGATAGCTATCCCGATGAGAAGTGGGATCTGATCGCAATTAAGTGAGAGTTGTGAGATTATGTCGCCAGTCGAGATCAAGGCGTCGTTTTTGCCGGTTGATTCTTGTGCATCCTTGTCAGTACTACAGCAGTGAATCTTGCCGGTGTTACCTATCTCTTGTTAGATGAAATGTAATCTCTAACAACTTCGACTCACAGCTCCCAACGTTGTACTTTTCAGACTTGTAAGCGAATGCGGTGGCGGCGACGGCAGCGATAGAGGCGATTTGGAATGAGTTGACCATTTTAATTTAGCTGATACAGTTGTGTATACGGTTTGAAGGACATCAAGTCTGCTATTTATACGTATTCCCGCGTCTGTTTAGTTTGGAATTTTAGTGTTTGTCTCGCATTTAGTATGGAAGGATTGACAGGCTTGAAATGGATGAAATTCTTCAAAGAGGCCCGAAATCGTGAAATATTAAGCCTTAAGTTTAATTGCCTAAGGTTCTCCCCACTGAATATGATGAATATTTTCGCCTTTGGGATGCTGAGCATTTCAAGAGCAGCCTCATGGAGGACGGCTAATGTGGACGTGAGACAGCTAACATGTTGAATATCCCATAAAACTGGTCTATAATGTGAAGTACTCCAGTCGCATACAGCAAAGGCAAAGAACAACATAAACAAAATGAACTTTCATATCGATTATATTTCAATTCACACTTTGCCATTTGCTTCAATGCTCAATAATTTCCCTGTCCTCAAAATTACAGCATACTTCCCGACAACACGCAAGCCAAACACACTAATACCTTCTCCACGCCAATAAAATCCATAGACATTCTATACAAGATATGTTGGGCTTTCCGGCACGTCGACTGGTGTAGCAAGCACCTGGGCGACTGTGCGCTAAGATAGCCTTCCGTTGTTCTGGCTCCTCTGCGACACTTTCATGGCATAGTACTGGGTACCGTAGTGCCAGAAAGCAATGACTCGGGGAAAATTAGAGAAGCGCCGCACAAGAAGAAAGGAATGGCGCTGTTCAGCTTTTTGTACACGATAACCCTAGCAAGGGGAGGTGAAAAATAAAATAAAAATGATCAATAAATGCATCCAAGGCGGAGGAGAGAAGACGTAGTACTGAATGCGCCGAAAGCTTTGAGGTTAAGCAGCGAAGCAAATGTTTGTACGCCGATAGCCGCGTGACTAGGAACGATGGTAGCCGGGTTCGTGAAACATAACAAACACAAGGCGCGAGTCACGTGATTCTCCGCCGCCGCCGCGGTATTTAAGCGGTCCACAATCCTTTCCTCTTCTCCTAGCGTTTCGGCGTCTTGGGGGACATAGCAAGGCGGGTAAAACCCTCTCCCTGTTAATAGTCTGCGCTACTCCCAGTAGCCTTTATCTCACTCGTTCGACTCTCTCTAACCTTCAATAAGACCTGGCAGTCCGTTCTAAGTCCGCTTTGGCGTCACTCATAGTAGGTTTGCTATCATCACTTGGTCTCTCTAACCTCAACCACCAAGACGAGGCGGTCTACAGACGACGCAGAATGCAAAGCTCGATATACGCCGCAGAAACGAGCGTGACAGCGCAGAGCTACGACTACTATTCCGAGTGCATGTCTACGGGATCGAACGACGGACGCATTTCGACGCACCGTCGCAACGCTGACAACGGATGGATTGAAGATACGGAGCAGCGTCTCGAGCAAGCGCATGATGGTCGCATCACCTCTCTCTCCTACTCCCACCCTTCCTACGGCACACTCCTCGCGAGTAGTTCAACAGACCGTACGGTGAAAGTATGGGAAATGCGTCAGAATGTACCTAGGAATCAGCGCATGATTGCCAAATTCACCGAGAGTAAAACCCCCATCAGCGCACTGTCGTTCTGTAGCCCTAGCGCTTTGCAATTGCTGTGTATTTCTACTGACGGCTTCATGCGGATATACCAAGCAACAATCCCTGCTGATCCGACGACTTGGTCGTGTTTGCATACCATTCATGTCACTTCAGCGCAAATGCATTCCACACTCAACTCAAGCACCCCGAGCACACCCACCCACACTATTAGCGTGTGTCCCGATAAAGAGTACAGTGGCTTGGTGGGCGTAGTGGCTGGATGTACGAATGCAGTCGATATCATCTCCTACTCCACCACCAACAGACCAGGTATTGCGCATCAGTTGGATTGTCTCACGCAGCAGCCTCTGTGTAGCGTCGCCTGGTCACCGGGTTGCCAGCGCGGATATTGGAATGTCGCTGCCGGTGCGCGCGATGGATTGGTGAGGATATTCAAACTCTCTCTCAGTCACTCGGACGACGGCAGCGCACCAGTCTTCACCAGTCATCTCGTCGCAGAGTTGGAACACGGCGGCGTTGTAGCCAGTCTCTCATGGAACCTGTTTGGGTGCGTGCACCTTGTCTTGCTCTTAGAACACACGGCTAACCTTACCCAAGTACCGTACTCACTTCCTCAGGCGATAACGCTAAAGCTAGCGTATGGAAAGCATCTTACACGGGGTTGTGGTCGTGTCATAGCACATACAGCATATCAGAATAAGTTATTTATAAAGTGTAGCAAAAAATATGAATTATCGTCTATCCTAATCGTCAGCCTTGAGTGCTCTGACCTTTCTAGTCTGTAGCTTAGACAAGTCTTGCTTCTCCATGTGTATTCTGCCAACTTTGTCACCCATCTCGTCCACCTCAACGTTCTTCCTCTTCTTAGGAACATTGACCGGCTTAGGTTTCCTGTATGCCTCCTTCTCGAGTGATGAATCTGGTTCTTGGGTTCTCCTAGGCGTGAGATCCATCGATGGACCCATCTCGACTAACTCTACACGCGGTGTCCGCGTACCGCTCTTCAATAACTGAATCGAATATACTCTGAACTGCACAGGCGGTGTATCCTCTTCATTGGCTTGCTCGCCGACAGTACAGCTAATCACATGCGACAAACCAGCGAGAGAGATGGAAGAAATTGTCTCGCCTCTGAAGAAATCAAGCATGACATTCTTGAACTGCTGGTACTTTGGGTGAGTATCAAACAACTCACCCGTAAAGTTGAACAGCGGTTTCATACCAACGTTTACTTGGTTATTAATGTTGAAACTTTTCATCGATTTGAAATTCTCGACACCCATTTCCAACATATCGAACAACTGATAGTTAAACGTTCTCGTAAAGATAAGATTATGTGGTCTCTTCTTCTGATGAGATCCAACAAGAAGCAAAGAAGCGTCGTTCTTATTCGACCAGAACTCCAAGCTCGAGCTGTCCTCAAACGGCTGAAGCTGATTCTTCTTATTGAAAGTAATGCCGTGTGGTTTCTTGAGACTGTAAAGATCGCTCATCGCCTCAGTGAGTATAGCAGACGTTGTCTGTGTTTTGATGAAGAGCGCCGTCTTTGGATTCTCGTGGGCGTGTGGTTCCCGCTCTTTCATAGCTCTCTTAACCCTTGCATTCTTTGGCTTTACAGTGCGCAACATTTTATAAATTTGATTATCGCCGTTGTGGTTCAAGAAGACTCTTGCAAGTGTACAACAAACGGCGCAAAAATGATATTCAGGAGAGCGCTGTCGACGAGCAGCAGGCAGTTATCTCATGTTGGCAAGAATCCAGTAATTATTCCCTCATCCACCCAGGTTACCTCCAGTCTAGATAAACTTAGCGTTAAGGGACCCTTAGGCGAGGAGAGCGTGGATATAAAGCCATTCATACAGTTAAAGCAATCATCGGGCGATATCAAGATTACCGTTGAGGATAGGAAGATACCGCTACAGAGATCCATGTGGGGACTCACTCGTACACTTGTCCAGAACGCAATCACTGGAGTTACTGAGGGCTTTAGAGTAAATGTTAGACTTGTCGGTGTTGGTTATAGGGCTGCGATTGAGGGCAGGAACATTCACTTGAAATTGGGATTCAGCCATCCCGTAATAATGCAGATCCCAGACGGGGTGAATGCAGAGACGCCTGCTACTAACAAGGTAATACTCACAGGCTCAAATAAGCACCAAGTGACTGCATTTGCAGCTGCTATTAGGCATTGGAGGAAACCAGAGCCATACAACGGTAAAGGTATCTTTATCAATGACGAAACCATCCAGAGGAAAGACAAGAGGTGATTTGTTCTATTATACACACTATTGCACGTTATTTACGTCTCTGATTGTCGGTGGTGTACGGAGTGTACCTGCTATCTCTGCCACTCTCTTTCCGCCGCTGCTCTCGCTCAGCTCGCACCTTATCTCTCTCCTCCTTCCTGATTCTCTTCTCGGCATTCTTCTGTGCTTTTGCCGCAATCTTCTCCTCCTCGGATTGTCGTGGTTTTGGTGCGTATCCTAGTGCAACGCTCAGAGCATCCTCTTCAGCTTCCTTGATCTTCTTGATTTCCTCTTTCTTCTTACGCTGAATTTCTCCCTCATCGGCATTATCGTCATCGCGATTATACCAGTGAATGTCCTTGACTCATATAAGACAGAGGCTATTGTGAATGGAAATGACCCACTTTGTTCTTCTGCCATCTACCAGCAGCAGCTTTGACGCTGTGTCCCAAATAATACTCGCGATGCTTATCCTCCTTGACTGCATTCCAGCTAAAGTCACCAGCACCGCCACGCGTGCCCTATTGAGCGCGTGAGATGGGTACAGCATCTACGATATAATCCACTCACGCCTCTCGTTGGCTCGCCTTCCATATTGTCTTACGCTTATCGTCGTCGGCGATGAAGCCTTGCGACTGAACATTCACACAGACAGAGAAATTAAATTAAAAATGCTGGTGAGTTTCTTGTGTGTGTATAAGAACCGAAATGCTCAATTATAATTTCTTCTTCAAGCCAATCAACCAGCAAACAAACGCTATATCCAGCGACACATGGGCCAGCAAGCTAGGCCAGCTTAGTTTGAGCAAGGCGTCAGTGATTCTATTCGCCATATCAGCCACCCACTTACAACCCACCCAGACAGCTCAACAAGCTCGTCCTCGATTACCTCATCATTGAAGGCTATACAGACGCAGCGACTACTTTCTCCAAGGATACAGGCTTGGATATGGACGAATCCACCAACATCATCAAAGACAGAAAGTCTGTGAAGGATCTGATAAGATGTGGTCACATTGCACCTGCAATTGACCTGATCAATGAAATAAATCCGGATATCCTCGACCAGAATACTGAGCTTTACTTCAACGTACAGCTCCAGCATCTCATAGAGCTTATCAGGCATAAGCAGGTAGATGTAGCGCTGCACTTCGCTCAGTCTGTTCTCTCCCACCTGGCTATAACGATCCCCTCGCTACTGCCATCGCTCGAGACAACGCTCACTCTGCTTGCTTTCGACAGCCCCGACTCCGAACAGCTCGCACAGGCTACAGACGCCCCTAACAACATTCGCCAACTCCTCAGTCAGTCACAGAGGGAGAGAGTTGCAAGCATGGTCAACAAGCACGTCCTTGAATCTGAATTTCACTCAAGTGAGCCCAAATTATCTAATGTCATCAAGCTGTTGTCGTGGGGCGAGAATGCCCTCGCGTCTCGTGTCAATTTCCCTAGATATCAACCTCCGCTGCATAAACACGGGAGGAATCACAATGAGAAATTAAACACTGAGGATATCAACAGACTCGGTCAATTTGATCAGCAAATGCTCACTTAGACGTTTCTCTGTATAGTAATGTTTTGTAATTTATCCCTTATCGATGTGGAAAATTCACGTCAAGCAATGCACAATTGAGATTTGTTTGAATAGGTGGGAATAGAGAGTGTCATGAATATGGAGATTAAGCTGCTTATGTCATGGTGGTGTCGTCCTATCTGTTTTGCAACTGTGAAAATTTTAAATGAGGGGGAGGAGAGTAATACTTACATGCTATGGTGAGCTATTGTCTTAGAATATGATATAATGTCTTTTTGAGTTTAGTGTCTTATCGCAGCTTACCCCTTCAATTCTGCCATCATGTGCAAAGACAAACAAACCAGCGATTTCATGGAATAGCTCCCAGCAGAGCTTATTCAGAAGATCGTCAGGAAACTTTATGGTTATTGAGAACATTGGACACGTCGATTTAGTTATATTGGTTTGCGTTTGTAGGAGGTGACGAAAGTAATAAGCCATTCAGGAGACAACCCAAGATCAAATCAAACAATTCAGCAGAAGTAATCAGACGATAGAATCTATATACTTGTAAGTACAACACTTACTCACTGACATTTCATTGGAATTTCCCCATTTGATGCGTGACAATGACTTTCATAACTTTTTTGTTGTTTATCAGCATATTTTAATTCATTGTTGAACTAATTAACATTAAGACTGAAAACTAATGAAGCATTACGTGAAAACATGGTGGATCATGAGCATTTTTACTTCAAAATGACAAAGAAATTACTCATTCGAAATTATTGTAAAGATATATGTTAATTTGACAGATTAATATCTTAAAGCACTATTAAAGAGGATCGTCCTTAAGGTTACAATAATGCTGAAAGTCCGCTATGTCTTTTGTTTTGAATTGTGGAAGATCAAAGAAAGGTGGTACAGCTAGCACGAAGCAGCTGATTACTATGATCGCCAGGTATATTGGCTTGTCGTTGGGCTTCTTTTACAGGTCAATCCAATTCTGAAATACTTGACGTTGATCAATTGTGTTTTTTGAATATTACATGGAAACCTTTGAAGGTATTTAGATAGATTACGAGCAAATAAAGAATCTGGCTCTTGACAATTGCTACAGGGATTATAGAAACCTCAGAAGGTCAATGACATAAGATTTTCACTGATCGATGCCCAGTCTACGCTGTGTTTCAATCCGAAGACTTTTTGCTTCATTTCTGAAATTGATCAAAATGTCCCGAATCTCACGCATCTGACCGTCTTTGATGTAATATTCGAAAAAACAACAACAGCTTTACTCTTCCAAATCATCAAACAAAGTCAAAATCTGTGCAGAGTGAACATACACGCTAAGTTCTGTTCGTTCAAGACTAGGCATACTTCAGACTTCGCGGTATGGAATTTTATTATTGGCTACGAAGATAGCAAGACGTATGTAGGCTGCTAAAAATATTATCATGAATGACTACTTGATAATATAATAACACCCCTCTCTATCACACGACAAATTAGGTGAATTGGATATAATGAAATCGTAAAACATACAAGCCTTTCTTCACCTTCTGATTCTAAAACAAGTTGGCTACTTGGGTACTTTTGTTGTTTGTGAGGCAAATTCAATTTAGAGGTAATAAAGCTGGTGCACCCAATTATACCAAACACATTAAGTCGATAACCTAAGGATACATTCTTCGGAAACCTATATGGATTCCGGACGGAGGAGTGAGTCTGAGAATACACTTGATCCCCCTTAAGAAGTACGATAGCTTTAATAATCAATCACCAAACTTCACAATAATTTAATCATCTCCACGTCTTGACATCAAATCGTGTTATCAGTATCTTTGATCAAGTACCTCAACGGCTTATGAGTTTATACGGCGGAATATTCTTCGAGGAGGAAGAGAAGAAGGAAGAAAAGAAGGAACCTTCGCCAGAGCCTCAGCCACAAGAACCAGCAGCGCCTCAACCAGCGCCCAAACCACAGAACTGGACGGCATCGCTCAAGTTCGCGCCAGTAGCGAGAAGGAGTAAGGCAGCAACAAAGCCATCGTTGCCGCCGGTGCCTTCAGCGTTCGCCAGTGCGAGTGCGATTCCATCGAGCTCGGCGGCGTCCTCATCGAGCAGCACGCCCAAGAAGGGTGACGAGGGTGCTGGTGTGGAAAGAGGCGGGCTAGATTCTCACAACACGCAGACTACCGGCAATGTAAACGAGAGCACACTCCAAGCACGAGCAGAAGCAGATACATCAGCAGACACAGCACAAATCACACAAAACACTTCACTCAAACCACCCCCAATGACAATCTCAGATGAAGAGCTAGACGATGCAGCACATATGAGCGGGAATTATCGCCGAGTACTCACCAAAAAAGAGAAGAAAATGAAGAAAAAGGGCCAGCTACCAGTAGCAGGACCCAACTGGAACGATGAGTATGATCCGTACAAGCCGACGGACTATATGGAGTACAAGCGTTTTGCTGAGTTTTTGAAAGAGGAGAGGATGGCGAGAAGGGCTGAGGAGTTGTCTAGACAGCACAACGACTACAGTTCGTCTGAGTATTCGGAGAGCGACGATGAGGAGGGAGGAGAAGAACGTGGTGGACGTGGTGATAAAGATAAATTCAAAATGTTTGCACCACCAGAGGTATACGACAGTGATGCACACGCTCCAACGGCTATCGACAAGGAGGAAACGGGCGACGAGGTGTTTCAGAGACGGTTGGCTATGTCGAGCGCTAACGCTCAGCAAGCGCGTATGCAGGGTGAGAATGTGGGTGGTGTCGAGGGTGTATCTGAGGTAGAATCGAAACAGGAGGTACAGCAGCAAGCAAAGCAGCAAGACGAACAGCCCGACAAAGCACAGATACAACCACCTCAACCACCTCAACCACCTCAACCACCCCCTCCCTCTCAAACACCCGAAGATAGACTGAAAGCATCACAGGCAGCAGCTGCAAGTATTGCAGCCAAGTTCAGCAAGCTGGTGCCACAGAAGGCGTCCACAGAGGTGCAAACGCCGCAACTGCCAGTGCAATCGACACAAGTTGCACCAGAAGTGTCAGAAGTAGACGACTTTCTCTCCACGATTGAAGAATCAACAGTGTCGAAAGAGCAGCAGGAGAGAGGAGAGAACAAGGCTAATTTTGCACAGCGATTTATGGCAAAGCAGGGCTGGAAAGAGGGAGAGGGACTTGGAGCGCACAAGACGGGAATCAAGGAAGCTTTGTCGTTGGAAAAAAGTGAAAGTGGCAGTGGGGAGATCAAGTCAACAGAGGAGAGTGGGCTGGATAAGCAGGCGAGAGAGATGTTTGGGGAACCATCCAAAACCATCCTTCTGAGGAATATGGTCAAGTTACACGAAGTCGACGATGATCTGTCACAGGAAGTTGCTGAGGAGTGCAATAAGAATGGGATCGTGGAAAGAGTGGTTGTGCATACACCGCAAGTGTATATGGAGGAGAGCGATGCTGTGAAGATCTTTGTCAAGTTTTCAGGATTAGTTGGTGCATATAAGAACGTGAGAGCACTGAATGGAAGATACTTTGGAGGAACGCAGATAATAGCACGGTATTATTCAGATGATGCATTTAACAGGGGTATGTATGATAGGTGACTGGGTAACTAGAGTGAATACTAGCTGTTCCAGCTATGTCCAATACCTCTTTGTAGATCTTCGAGCATCTTATCATTGATTTCTTGTGTTGCATCGTTGCTGCTATCACGCCTAGATATGTTGATAATGTGAATCATGAACTGAGCAATATTATTCTCGCCAATTTCGACAAGCGCTCGTGCACCCCAACTAAATTCCATGTCGTGATTCCCAATGGATGATTTTTTTTTCTCCAGGTAAGACTGCCTTGAGAGGGAGTTGATAAAGGATTCCAACGTAAGCTTATCTTCATTTGGGAGGCACTGTGATTGATTTAGGCCAAGTTTCTTGAGATGGGAGTAGAGGTGTGTATCTGAAATGATGCCTCCGCTAGCCAAGACGACAGCGAGGATGGTGTGGAGGATGCCGATAAGGTGGGTGTTTTCGAAACGCTCGTACGCCTTGAGGTGGTTGGTGTTGTCTGGCTTATCGTGCACATCCACCACCACATACGCCCGCGTACCTCTCTTGGCAGGGAGACTGTCCAACTTGTAGCTCTCTTTCGGGGGCAATTCTACAATCTGGTAGCCGAACACCTCGGTTAATTTTAAGTTGGCTGCGGTTATCATACTGTCTATGCTCATCGCAGATGGCCTGCTGCACTTCTTCGCAATCTCATCGCGCTTCAGACTTGAACGACGTGTTTCTGCGGAGAGAGCGAGGCGTATAAGACCAGCAACTGCGCGTTGTGTCTGGCGATCCAAGTCGTCGAATGCTTCGTCAGGCATGGAGTGTTGGTGTGGTGGTGTGGTGGTGTTGGTGTAAGCAACAGAAACAGAATTAAGCTAAAATATTCTTTATCTCTTTGTCCATTTGTCCGCTTCGTTGTTTACCATTGGCAACAACTTCGTCTTCCTTGAACCACCATGAGTCTCCGCGGCCGTCTTGGTCTTCTCTCTTCGATAGCCCTGCCGGTGCTAGCGGGCGGAGTGTTCAGCAATGCACGCGTAAGCTGCGAAGAATACAACCAAAGCGATAGCCACACCGCACCGCCGATGCGCCAGCAGATGTCGAGCTACGTGAAGCAGCTCCAGAGTACAATAGTCGAAGCAATATCAGATTTCGACGGCGGGGCCAAATTCCGCGTTGACAAATGGCAGCGCAAAGAGGGCGGTGAGGGTATAAGCTGTGTGCTGCAGAACGGCACACACGTCGAGAAGGCAGGTGTCGGCGTGTCCATCGTACATGGCAAACTGCCACCGGCGGGTGTAGCGCAGATGCGAGCAAACCACGCAGGGATTCCTTACGACCCACAAAATCCACATCCCCTCCCTTTCAGCGCTGTCGGCTTATCGCTTATCATTCATCCACGCAACCCGTTTTGCCCCACTGTGCATGCCAACTACCGCTATTTCGAGCTGTATGAGGGGGGGCAAGAGGGTGGCGTGGACAATGCAGGAAATTTGGTCAACGCGAAACCCATCTTCTCGTGGTTTGGAGGCGGCTCCGATCTCACACCGGCTTATCTCAATCAAGAAGACTGCAGACATTTCCACGGGACAGTGAAAAAGGCTTGCGACAAACACGATGCGGGCTTTTACCCTCAATTCAAACGCTGGGCAGATAACTACTTCTACATACCTCATCGCAACCAATGCCGCGGAATAGGGGGCATTTTCTTCGACGACCTCACACCCGGGTCGGAATTGGCGCGGGGGAAGAGCGCTGAGGAGCTCTTTGGCTTTGTGCGAGAGTGCGGAGATGCTTTCCTCGATTCGTACCTGCCTATTCTCGACAAAAGAAAAGGGGTGGAGTACAACGACCACCATAAACGCTGGCAGGATCTGCGCAGAGGGCGCTATGTGGAGTTTAATCTGGTGCACGATCGCGGGACAAAGTTTGGATTGAATGTGGGTGGGTCGTTGGTAGATTTGATTTGATACTAACGCAACTCATTACAGGCCGGCGGTGCGCGTATCGAATCTATTCTGATGAGTCTCCCGGCGACGGCAAGATGGGAATATATGACGGATATGGGGACGCAGGAGGGTACAGAGGAAATGGAGATGGAGGAGGTGCTTAGAGAGCCAGTGGAGTGGGTTGGGTAGGTGTAAATGGTGTAGAATATAAATGTATTATACACAGAAATACCTCTAGAAATATGTCTAGAAATACCTTTAGAATTACCCCTAGAAATACCTTTAGAACTCGCTGTAGATATCCATCTCAGCGTGGAGCAAGTGTGGGTAGTTGCTCAGTGCTTGGAAGGGTGTGGAGTGGAGGTGGGCAGTGAGAGCAGCTGGAGCATTGTACTCCTCATAAACGATGAAAGTGTTGGACGATTCTTTGACGCCGCGGGAGATGCGGTAGCTGGGGATAGAGTGGTGTGAGAGCATTGCAACGATATAACGCCTCACTCACGTTAAAGTACCCTCTTCTTCATCGCTATTAGCGAGTACGGCGACGTCTTTGATTAATTTGGCTACGTCGTCTGCATGTTCTGGCTCAGAAGTCACCTTGGCTACTACATTGAATGGACCGGTAATTTCTGCCAACTTTGCCTGCACTGATGGCATGACAGGTGCTGCGAGTTCTCCCATTGACGGCATCTTGTTGTGTGTTTGTGTGTGTAGGCGAGTGAAGGTGGTTGAGTAAGCAATCTCGGTAAGCAACGCTGGTAAGCGGGTTGGGAGGGAGTAGCACAGAAGTACTTGAATTATTGCAAGTATATCATGGATTTCAAGCGTATCAAGTATATCAAGTGTATCAATCACTTGATCACATTCATTTCAATACATTCCCATCAGTCGGACAGATGTGAGTGTTTTTAAGTGTTGGTGTGTGATAGGTGGATTATGTGGCTTTGTAAGTCAAGTGATAGGTATAGAAAGCTTAGTAGACGAGAAAGATGAAAATTTGAGGGTGAGGAATTGAAGGAAATGGGAGTGGGAAGGTTGATTGAAGTGATTGAAGGTGTAATGACTAGCCTAGACGCACCAAATCACCTTCGAACATGGAATATGATATAAAATTAGAATCGACTTGGCGGATATTTATAGAGAGTGAGTGTGTGTGGGTAGAGTGATAGTAGGTGGAGATAGTAGGATCTGACAAAGAATGGTATTAGTAAATTACTTGTAGACCACTAGTAATTTACTAGCACCACTCTCAAATTTAAAGAAAACACTGCCAATCTCGCCAAGATATAAATAAAGAACAGAATTCCAAGTAGAAAAAAGGAGTGGATCTGAGGTAGTAATGGAATGGTGGAATGCTTACAGTCATCACGTTCATCACACTTGTCATGGTTTCTGTATCAGAATTGCTCTCGACGTTTAATCAACAGCAGTGTGGGGATACTCAGCTGCTGATCACGATACTCAACGCAAAGAAAGCCGAGGATGAGTATAATTTGGGTGTTTTGAATGCAAGAATGGAGTATTCGAGAGCTATGAGATGGCAGTGGGAGTTGCAGCAGCATCATCCATCGCATCAACATGCTCAACACGCCCAAAACACACAACACCCACAGCAAACCCAGCAACACCCACACTCCCCGCCTATCTCACCATCCCATAAATACACGCCAGCCAGTCCACCTGCCAGCCTCGACGAAGAGTCATCCAGTTCAAATAGACAAGAAATAATCAACGCATTGAAACAGAAATTCGAGCAACACCCACAGCATCCACAGCACTCACAGCAGCACCCACACGCACACTCAACTTAATTTAATTTTAATATTCCTTTTGTATTTATCTACATTGTATTATCCTTTATAACAACCAACTTTAAATCCCCCTAAACCCCCTAAATCCCACTAAATGCCCAAAGAATCTCTCCGCTCAACTTACATCTCCAATCAGCCCAACGGCTGGACCTTCTCTGATATCCCCACACGCTTCCCCAATTCATCTGCCAATGTTGTCCACTCAAATTCATCTTCACACATTTCTGAAGCCAGCACCACTGTAAAACAGCTTATAGCTGCCAGTCTCCTTCAATTCGGTGCTACTTCTCTTAGTATGCCCTTTGAAGTGGGTAAGGTCCTCTTGCAGGTTCAGTACAACCCAAGGCTCAAAATCGGTCCTTATTATAGCAGCGATCTTAATGCCGATCAAAACGACGACGACGATGACCTCGATGACCTCGATGACCCCAGTGACCCCGATGACCTCAACTCCCACTCAAACTACTTCCGTTTCGAAGAAGACGCCCCAAAAGCTCCTTTGAAACCTAAAAAACACATCCCAAAAGACAAAGATGGTTATCTTGCTCAGCGCCCCTCCTATCTTGTCCCCCTACAAGCAGATGGCGGCGTCTGGCGTATGATGCGCGCTGTGTCCAAATCTCACGAAGGTCTTTCTGGGCTTTGGAAGGGCACTCTGACGTCATCCATATTCGACATATCCTTCTCTACCCTCCAGCCACTCTTTCTCTCCGCCCTCTCCACCATATTCCTTCCCTCAAACACACTCTCCTTCCTCCCCATCCACCAGCTACCCAGCCCCCTCAAGCCACTCGGAGTGCATGTCCTGGCCCACACTCTCACTGCCGTCACCCTCTCTCCGCTCGATTTGGTGCGAACGAGGATGATTGTCCAATCCACGTCCTCCACCTCCGCCGGCACATGCCGACGTGCTTACAGCGGACCCATCGACGCACTGCGCAAGATTGCAAACCGCGAGGGTGGCTGGCAGGTAATGTGGACGCACCCCAACCTGCTCCTGCCCACTATCGTAGAGTCGTCCTTCAAGTCACTCCTCCAACTGTGCGCTCCGCTCGTAGTGGAGAGGCTGCTCGGCGTGAGTGTGGATAGTCGACCCGCCACGTATGCCGTCTGCGAGCTGCTGTGGAGCGTCGCTACTATGACGCTTACCCTCCCCCTCGAGACTGTCAGGCGGCGTCTGCAGACGCAGGATAGGAGCCTCGTTAGGGCACAACAGCCTGGGCAACTCACGCCTTGCATCGATACCCGTCCCAGCCCCGCTGCAGGTATGGTGGAGTGCGTTTATCGCATTGTCACTGAGGAGTGCAGCGATAGTAGTGGCAGCAGATGGAGCGGCTTTAAGAGTCTCTTTAGAGGCTTCGGCTTGGGATTGAGCGCTAGCTCCATGGTGTTCGTCTTGGGTATGTTTGGCGGTGTCGATGTGGGTGAAGGCTGGACGGAGATCTGAGATGGGTATTGGGTGTTGGGTGATGGCAGTAGGTCACCGAAATGGCTTTTTGTTATCGGCTATCTACTATTTTACCATCTGCATGCATTCCTATCATCATTCTCTATATAGTCAGTTCTTGTCGTACAAATTTTCACCAACGTCCCGATATGGAAAAACGCTCTAGGTTTGGCCGGCGCGACAAGCACAGTTTGACTCACACTGCCACCACGATGCCAGAGCAACCAATGCACGCTAATGACAGGGCTACTGTAAGTGCTGCAAGTACTGCCAATACCAGTGCCACGACAAACGGCAAGGCCACGGCCACACCCCATCTATTACCGCCGGTAGGTGTTCTGCCACACAGCCAAAATGCGACAATAACACCTACACATGACATGACCAGACCAACGCCTTTCTCGAACTGCTTCTGTGGTGGGTGGACGTTGTTGTGTGTTGACGAACCATCTCATTGGAATTAAATGAAAGCAGCCTTCTCGAACACTGTCCAGACACACAGCTCTGCTGCGACCTCAGAAGGGGGTTCTACATTCAAGATGTACCGCTTGCTCAGAAAGCAAGACACCACTGACACACTTATTCAGACGCAGGTGAGTGTATAATGCGCTGAATGCTATAACGCTAGCCACTAAACCACTCTGCTGAAATTGCCTCTAGCTACTCGACCAGCTCCTTCAAGATAATTTGGATACCCTGTTATGTCACCGTTATACTGCGAGTGACACTCATTTTAGTAGAGATGTCTACGGCAATAACATTAGTAATTTCAGCGACAACAATAATAACAATAATAGCAACAACATCAGTAACAACAACAGCACCCACACCCCACATACTCCCACCCCCTTCTCCCTCTTCGTCTCCCTCTGTAGCCGCTATTTTATAGTGAGTGGGCTTTTGCGTGGTGAAGACGATGTGCTGACTGGCTGGCCTTTTCAGAGAGTCTCGTACTGCGAACGTAATGGCATGGGCGAGCGATCACACCCATTCGCCAAACTTTTCTTTGCACTCCCCGATGAATGTCTTGCTATTGGCAAGTGGCACGCCTTCACCCAGCTGCAGCCGCAGTGGGGGTATTCAGAGGGTTTGTATAGGGTGGATGTAGGTGTCCATGCGGGTATGCATCAGGAACACACACGAAGCCACATCGTAGAAACTCTTTTATGCGACGCAAACGACCACCACACAGCCATTCTCATCGACCGTCTGCATGCAGCCATGGTGTTAGAAGATGGATGGCATGTTAAGCACTCCGAGCATAGCATACACAGCAACCACACCGATCTCGTCGTCGACGTGCCTCGTGTGCGCGAGGTGGCCGCGGAGATTCGACAAGAAATTCGCCTCATCATCACTGTCAAACGGCTTTTACGCAAGTCGCTGACGCTGTGCGACCAAGTATCAACATCCTCCTTCACAAGTAAATGCAAAAGCAAGACAGACATAGCCGCACTGAGCGTCGCACTTAAGACGCACAGAACGCACAGGATGCACAAGCACACGCGCACGCGCTCGCCCGCGGACATTTTCTCCTTAGACACCCTCACCCAGCTGCACAACCACCTCTATCCGTTCACGCGCGTGGTCGTCCTGCTCGATTCGCTCGGCACGGCGTATGAGTATATGGATGTAGATGAGCACTGCCATCACCTTGTGTGGCTGTATCTGGATGTGGATGTGGGTGAGGTGAGTGACCACGCGCTAACACTCCCACTCCAATTCCCACTTCGCCACAGAGTGAGTGTGAGCATTGGTGAAATCATGGCTATTGGCTCGCTCTCCCATCCGTGCATCACCCTGACGCGCAAACATCTCGAGGACCTTGTGCGGGTGCTGCGCGCAGTCGGTGCGTCTCCTTACGAGATGCCTCTTGAGAAGGGGGATGTGGATGTAGACTTGGGTGGAGTTTTCGCCCTTCTCGCTAAGTCTGTACATCTGCTCAGCACCTCTCCGGATATTCATTGGGGCGGCCTCCTCTACCACGCTTACAACACCCTCCTTATGATCTACACACACCTCCTCCCCTTCAAGGAGAATAATGGCGGGAGTTTCAGTGGCTTCGGGGATGCATTAGCGTTTGAGTTTGAATCTGGGTTTGGGTACGATGACAATTACGTCCCTGTGTCTTACCTTAGCATCGACAATGGTAAAGACAATGGTAGCAGCAGCAGCAGGGATATGCAAGTCAGTATCTGGTGCGCTGCCCAGACGCGTTTTGCTGCTCTTAATGCACACGATCCTTTTGAAGATGGTAGCGCGGATGAAGGTGGAGAGGGAGACAACGATGGCTACGACGGCGATAACGACAACGAAAACAGCATCACCATCATCAATAGCAACAAGACCGAAAACTCAGCCGAAACATACACAATTGAGGCAGATGATTAACCAGATCAACTCAGCCAACATAGCGCGAGTAGCGAGTAGCGATTAGTGAAAGTAACACAATCACTCGCTTGCTTTAATTGTTTCAAATCTCACGTTTCACTCAATTAACGTAATTAACTATTTCACTATATATCATCGTAACGACAATTTTATTTTGTAAAATACATCTTCCATTGTTAACGGAAGGCGTACAATACGTATATAAATAGAATGCGCAGATTTTTCTCATTCTCATGGCATGCACACCGCCTCCCGCCTTACATATATTGACATATTCACTTCAGCCGAACGAACTAAATGCGCTTCGTGAAACCAACCATCACTGCATCACTGAAATGAAAAAGAGGATTGGATGAAAGTGCGTTAATGCTTTGTGTGCAGACTTGACATGATACTTGTCTGTACATCATTAGCTTTTCTGCTCTAGGCGATAACGTTGATGAGTATATGAAGACGTGGACAGAATTTTCTTGACTTTACTTTGGATTTACTTATAATTCTTTTATTGACTTAAATCAACTTAAATAATCCAATCGGTTATCTCACCTGATCTCACCTTTTGGTGTGTTCAGCTGAGATTCTCGACTTGATTTTGGCATTGGAAAGTCAAATTGCAGCTTTTTTCATGCTCTTGATTTTCTCTTTCTCTTTTTTTTTTCCTTTTCTTTTGCCAGTGGCTGTGGATGTGGATATGATGTTGTCTTCGCATTGTCGAAATGACATCAATTTTGATAGACGACGCTTCTTATCAGCAAATGAATTCAACACAGACACTTTTATCTTTAACGTTACAGATCTTAGCTATCCTCTTGGCACCTAGTGGTGGCATTGTCGCATCCTGTCATCTTAACATAGTATCATCTTACTATCTGTCGAATGCGATTCTATACAGAAACTTGAAAGTCGAAGCCTTTTGTGAGGTTGCAGGGTTTAGGTGAGCTGCTCGCAAGTTAAGTATCCTAAACACTTCATCGCTTACTGCAAGTCATCAGATACTGCGAGACCATTCACGGCTATATGGCAAACTTGTGCATAGTAGATTAGAACTCACGCGCTTAAGCTCAAGAGTAAACCTTAGCCTCTATGAGCGTTCCACAAGTCGAAGATTTGGAATGTGTCAGCTGCGCATTCATAGCTGGGCGTGTGAGTGTAAGTCAACAATTATGAGGGGCTGAGGTTACAACGCTGGCATAAGCGAATTGTCTGTTAGCTCTGCCTACTAAGACATTGTACTTCAGCAAAGCCCATATACGGTCATTGCCAATAAACGCGGCAAATTCAATCACTTACCGTAGGTTTGCATCATTCCAGACAACAAAGATGCGTTCGACTATTCACTCTCCAGCCCCATGCTCAATTTGGCTTAAATCATCAGGCGCGATATCTGAACATTCAAACGCGCTTCATCCTCTCATTCCCCTTATACGACCATGTCTATGTCTACTAAGAACCTCTGCTACTCTTTCTTGGTAACAAACATCAAGGCCACTTTAAAGTCTGATCCAAACGGCATGATGGTGCGTTTACTTACAGCTAGCAACTCACAACTGACACCTCTCCAGAATAAGCTGACATCTGAAGTCTCAAACATCGATTTTAATAGCTTTACAAGTATTATTGACGGGTATGTTGATTCGACACGCTTTGCTCGGATTGTCCTCTGACTAATCACCGCTACAGCCTCCTCAACACACACAGAGTCACATATTGTTGCCAACATAAAAGGTGTTTCGTGATCAAGAGGGTAAGTACGTGTGAATATTTGGTAATGGCATCTCACACACTCACAGGACTCTGTACGTAGCCCTTCCGACGACGCCGACTCACCTAACTTGACTTGTTACGAAGGGTCTCTCACAAGTACTCAAAAACCAATACAACATAAACAACGCAGAACTGATAGAGCTGTGTGATAAATACTGCAACGTGAGTAGCCTGTATTTTATTGTCACCAATCTCACCTATCTTGCCGCGTTTAGCCTCATGCCGGCTGTTGTAAGATTCCGCCAAAACCTCAAAGCAGCAAGGGGAAGAGAAACCCAGTAAGTATGTACTATACTCTTCCAAGATACAGCGGAAACGTGAGTTAGGTTTCTAGTTGTTTTATACTAGCTAATGCTAGCCTGTAGAATGCTACACCTTCAATTTCGTCCGACTCAGCAAGCAGAGGTGCTAACATCAACATCAACAGTAAGAAACGCAGTGTCTCTCTAGATGAGTCAAGCAGCATGAAAGGAGGAAAGAAAAGAAAAACCTCACCTGACACACAAGCCAAGCCAACGATTCGTAGCGCACCTTCGACAAGCGATAGGCATCGTGGCCCTACTTCGGATGTCACGTTTATACACAGCGACGAGAACTTTTACGCTACGCAAAGAGCTCTACAAAGAAGCAAACGAACAGCCAACTTTTCGCACGACCAAAAAGGGCAGAACGACTTCGCTTACGACTCTGCTTTATCGGAGTTTGCGAACGCTAACCAGCATAATATACAGGCTTCTCCTCAGAAGGAGCTCGAATACAAGAGGTTCATTAAAACCTTGGGCCACTTTTCAAATTTGGGGCAGCATAATCAAGTTGCTTGTGCTGCTCGGGGTAGGCAGAGAGTGCAAGGTGTACAAGATCCCGTGCAACATGCTCCTACTCAACAATGTGCGCTTATGGCTTCGACTATGGCTTCGACTTCGACTTCCCACAGTCAGCATCGCGTACGTTTTGGAGAGGCTATCAATCGAATTGGTCAACCTCTACAGCCTGTACAATTTAAACAGTTGCAACAGTTGCAACCTCAGCAAAATCAGCAACCTCAGCAGCACCATCAACCTCAACAGCCAAATCGCAGAGAAGAATTAGTCAAACAGAGCTTCCACACATTGGCGATGGAAAACTCGAGAATCACAAAAGAGAAAATCAATGAACATACGACATTACAGGATATTGTCAACAATGTTTCTGAGAATGCCAACTTTTCTATAAATCCACAGCTTATTCTAGATATGAATAAACAACAAACTCTTGTCAATCCAGTTCTTCTTTCGGATTGCCCCACGAACGTTGTTTGCAAGTATTTGCAGATAGCGTTAGATTGCTACCAACCCGCTATGGAACATGCTCATATCCTGAGCGAGCATTCTGCAAATCTGTCAGTTCAAGAAAAAGAGGCAAGATTTGTAGACATGTGTACTAGGTATATCGATCTGGAGATGGTCGATCTTGATTTCGATCTTTCAGAACAAATAAATCCGCTATGTCGGAGCGACCCGCTAAATCAACACAAATGAATAATGAATAATACTCAATCTCTTTCATATTCTTCGGATGGTTTCCAAACAGACCATGGTCTGCATGACACTCATCGATGTCTTCAAACTTTCACGGCTTTTATTTTTCAGCTTTGTTTTTATCTTTCAATCTGATCATCGTCCGCTTCTCAAGGGGGGTTTTGGTCTTACAATCTCATCTCAACCATACTTAGCGTTTCCTCAATATTTCGACCAATGTCTCGAGTATTTCACTTCTGCTCACTCAGTTATAGTTACATGCAATGTCAATTTTCATTTTCAACACGAAATCCTGTAATAAATTATATTCTGATATTTGTAATAATACATTTTTGTAGTATTCTGGTTTATTTATTTATATTAAACCTATAATTGCCATCTTCACCTTGATTGATATTGAGCATGTCTGTATTGAGGCCAAAGATTCCCAAGAAGCGATTAGATGTATTCTTCAATGCGATCAGGGCCTTTTCACGATCATGTTCCTCTTTCTGAGTGATGCTCTCGCCGATGACTTGGTCTACATGACTCAAATCATACTTGGCTGATATCTTCTCAGCTTCTTCGAGGCGACCGAGCTTGTCCAAGACGAGGCACTGAGTCTGTCTGAGGCATTTATCATTGTGCGTGTATTCCAAGGCTATCCATTGTGTTAGCGGGGTGTTTGAGGGTGGAAAAAGGCTCTCACAATCTTCAATTACACTTAGTGAGCTATCAAACTTGCCGAGCTGCAAGTATAGCTGACTTATAGCGTTTATAGATTGTACATAGGTTTCCTCGCCAGGTGCGCTAGACTGAGCTAGCCTATACCAAATATCAATCGACTGATTCTTCGTGTCTTGGTTCTGTCCGAGGACTTGTGCTTCCGATATAAGATGAGATTTACCAGTCAGATTCTTTGAGTCAATCTGCTTCAGCTTTGATTCTAAAATATCTTCAGATGTCATGGAATTGCATCGCTTCGTTGTGAACTTCCAAGTTATTTGGCGCAGTTTAGGCGTGAAATAATCAATTCAAAGGGATTCCACATAATGAATATACTCTGTATTCTATCTCCACTCACTCTATTACTCGCCTACACTTCTGCATACTCTGTTCCGATATCCGACGCTAACGACTTCAGACAAGCCTGTAGCGGTATTTGGAACAGCAAGAACGCCGAAATATCCGTAACCTTTGAGCCGTTTTCTTCAGGTCAGGCTGCAGTTGGTGAGTTTGTGTATCAGCGTTTGGGCTATCTCATTCGACCAATCTCACAGGAATTTGGGAGTGGAATGATGTTAATGCACTTGGAAAATATCCTCTTGATGCTGATCCTACAATAATTGCAAAATCGTACGTATGTACCACCTCAGCCTTACAATCCCAGCTTTGCGACGAAAGCGAGTTGGGTAAATTCATTGTCGACGAAAGCGTTCTCAAAGAGGGCGTGAATTCATCCATCTGGACAACAGCCGCTCGTTTCAAAGACATACAAGTTGGTGAATCTACTGTCATCTCAGATAGCGACGCAGACGAGGATCTTGGCGGTGTTGGGAAGCGTGAACTTTACCCGGCTAACACGGGTCCATTCGTCTACGAAGTACCTAGACCTGGGTTTTATTGTGTCGGATCTATACCCATCACACTATCAGGATTAAGTGCGATAGATGAGTCGAGTAGCCATGCGTCCTTCTCTGGAATAGTGACGTTCAACGATAAAAGAAAATCAGAGCTTCCTGCAGCTGACATACCAAAATTAACTTTTTATCTCGTGATGGTTTTTGTTTATATCGCTACGGGCTTAGCATGGGGCTACATGTGCTATCAGCACCGTGGACAATTGCTCATGGTACAGCATCTTATTAGCGGTTTGATTGGTTTCTTGGTGGCTGAAATGCTTGTTAATTGGGGATACTACAAGCATCTCGATAAGAGTGGCAACAACGGCACTGCTACATTCTTACTATGTCTTTGCGCGACACTTGCAGCTGTGAGATCAGCCGCTTCGCTCGGATTGGTTCTCAGTGTTAGTCTGGGTTGGGCGGTCGTGAAGCCATCACTTGATAGATCACTAATGCAAAAGATTATTGGATTAGTATCGGCACATGCTCTATTTGGCATAGTTAACGCGATCGGTACTGTTATAATAAGTTTCGAAGATGCTTCAATATTCTCACTCATCTTGATCATAATTCCACTTGCTGTGACTCAATCAATTGGATTGTTATGGACAATCTACGCCCTTCAATTCACCATCAAACAGCTTGAATCTAAGAATCAGCAATTCAAATTGAAGATGTATAAGAATGTGTATAGAATACTGATAGCAGCACAAGTAATCATTATATTCTTCTTTGGATTTGCTACATTCACTTTCTCAAACAGATTGGAAGAAAACTACGAGCCAAATAACTGGAAGTCTAGATGGTTCTTGATTGATGGATGGACGACGCTACTATACTACGTAGTGTTGATCAGTCTGAGCTTCTTGTGGAAACCGTCGTCACACCACTCAAGACTCGCACTGAGTGAGGAAGTCTCAGTTAATGAGGAGGATGTTGAAGAGTACGAGATTGCAGAGAGAGGGTACAACCACCAAGCACAGAACAATCAAGGCTACTCCAACGTAAACACTAACGATGACTATCATACAGAAGAGACGGTGTTTGCTATCGATGACGAAGATGAAGATAATGAGCAGTCTCAGTCTCACAAGAAGAGTGATGAATTTGAAAGACAAGCGCGTGAAAGAGAAGAGCTGCTGGGCAAGACAGATAAGAACGATTAATTAATAAGCTCGATTGAATTTGAATGTATATACCGTTGATTAATTTCTTTGATTCGCCTTGCTTTACTAACATGATGATTGTGTTACCGGGACAGCCAGTATCTGATAAAGTGGACAGTATAAATCAGGCAGAGGGAGTGTATACGAGGAGTGATAAGTTGATATCGTCTACCGTTGGGAGACTACAGAAGACTGATGATGTGAGTTGGTAGTTTGAAGAAGACGGGTTATATCTAACACAATAACAAGAGCGTGAGGGTTGAAAGTACGCATAAAAACTCACAGCCATTGCCTGAAATAGATAGCGAGGTATTGGCGACGGTAATCAGATTGAATAGCAAGCAAGCCACTTTGACTTTGGATGTCATAGACGGTGTGCCATGCACCAATAACTCACAGGATAGCAACTTTCAAGGAATTCTTCGAAGTCAGGATGTTAGGCAGACTGATAAGGATCGAGTAAAGATGTACAATTGCGTACGTCCAGGTGATATAGTCAGGGCAGTCGTAATTAGTTTGGGTGACGCACGTAACTACTATCTCAGCACAGCGAAGAATGAATACGGTGTGGTCTTTGCTACATCCGAAGACGGTAATCAAATGATACCAGTAAATTGGGAAACAATGAAGGATCCTCAGACTGATAAATCTGAACAACGCAAATGTGCTAAACCAACGCCATTATGAATTACTAGACTTCTTGTACAAGATTAAGTAGAAAAAAGATGAAAAGTTTCACATAGTAGAGATTTGTGTTTATATTGAGTGTTTAAGGGTATATAATGATTGAGAAGACGTAACGAAACAACTATTGAGATGATAATGACTTATGCAAAGGATCAGGTGGTGCTGATGTTGATGCTTTCAGGAATTCTTCCCTTTGAGAAGGCAAATTGAGTTGATTGGAGTGTCTGCGTGATTGGTTGTTAATATACATTGAACGCGGCTTGGAAGGTGGGTTGAACTCTTTTTGTGTGTTTTCTTTCGATTGAGGGGGTGCAGGTGCAGGTACAGCATGTACATCAGGTGCGGGTGTGGGTGCGGGTGGTTGTTTGGGTGAATATTGAGCCACTTTCTCTTCTTCTACTTGCTGTGGTGACATCATGGACTTAATCTTATCCATCAAACCATCCAATGCGTCGATCTGCTGATTATAGATTGGTTAGTTGCTCAAATAATTGAAAGACTACCAACATTTTTGTGATTAACATAACTAGTACCATCAGAAGTATTGATAGTCTTGCTATAAGCAGTTTTAGGTAACTTCACGCGTATTTTATCAAATTTATAGTTGGTTGCAGAGGAAGGTGGATAAAAGGGTATCTTTGTGGTAATTGGTTGGGGTTTACTAGGATTAGAACAAGGTACTTTCACTTTTGGTTTACGCCATGGCGGAGGGGAAGCGGGTTGATTCTGGAGTTGTTGCCTAGCCTCGATACGAGCAGTCCATGGATTGTAGGCAGGAGTATTTGGATTGCGTGTGAGTATAGATTTTGGTGGAGGTTGAGGGGAAGAAGGGTGATTAGACCTTTCTCTTTCTCTTTCTCTGGATAATTGTAGTTGCTTAGCTAGAGTTGTTTGTTGGTGAGTGAGTTGTTGTTCGATAGCGAGTCTATCAGCCAATTCGGAAGCCTTTTTTTGAGCTCTGTGTTGAGCTTCTAATCTTTCATTCTCCTCAAGCTGTCTGCGCTGTTTAGCTCTGATAGCAGCCGAGTGCATTTCATCGGATTGATCTGAGTGGCGTTGTAGCTGTGGTTGTAGCTGTGGCTGGTATTGCTGGTGTTGCTGCTGCTTCTGCTCATGCTCAACGACGTGTCCAAGCTGATGACCAGCCTGGTCAACTAGCACCAGATCATCCTCCTCATCAATTTCATCCCAATGCTTCAACTCATTTAACTGCTTCCACGTGGATTGTTGATTCACTTTACCCGTAAGCAACTTAGGCTGAGTTGGAGTAGAAGGAGATTTGGTTGCCGTGTTTGATAAAAATTTCTTATTAAGATTTAAAGGCTTATAATTGTTTTTATTTATTTCCATTAATTTTTCAATTTTATTTGTCACAACGGTCCTCGTGGTTGCTGGCTGCCTCACTGGCTTCATCCAAGATAACAAGAATATTTAGAAATTTAATTTTTTATTTACAGAGGTCAATGTCGGATAACAAAGCTATCGCTCCAGACGCTTTAAGAGCTCAAGCCGCTGTACAGCAATCAAAGATCAATAAGCTCAAATTAGATCACTCTGCCACTCCTGATATACGCTCTGAGGAACAAAGGAGATTCGAAATTGATAGCAGTATCAATAAAACTCTTGAACAGAAGAAGAAGCTCGATGGTAGCTTGGAAGAGGAGAAACTTAAAGAGCAATACCTCAAAGAACAATCCCAAAACGTTAAATCTGAATCCTCAGGTAACATCAGACAAACTGAAAAATCCATGAAAAAAAGCTTAGAATCCGAGGGTGGTACACTCAAGAACAAAACAAAGTCAAACACTCCAAAATATAACCTTAAAACTCCAAAAGGTACAAAAGATTGGTCACCACTTGAAATGTCTGTTAGAGAACATATCTTCAGTACAATTACTCAAGTTTTCAAAAAACACGGCGGTGTTACAATCGATACTCCTGTTTTTGAACTCAAAGAAATTCTCGCCGGTAAATATGGTGAAGACTCTAAGCTCATTTACGATTTACAAGATCAAGGTGGTGAACTATGCAGCTTGAGATACGATCTCACCGTCCCATTCGCTAGGTACTTGGCAGCCAACTCTACTCCTTCCATCAAGCGCTACCACATTGCAAAAGTTTACAGAAGAGATCAACCTGCTATGACAAAAGGTAGAATGAGAGAATTCTACCAGTGTGATTTCGATGTTGCTGGCTCGTTCGATCCAATGATCCCTGACTCTGAGGTTTTGACAGTTCTCTCTGAAATTCTTACTAATCTCAACGTTGGTCCTTTCACCATCAAGGTTAACCACAGAAAGATCCTCGATGGTATCTTTGAGCTCTCTGGTGTCCCACAAGACAAGATCCGCACCATATCATCTGCTGTCGACAAGCTCGATAAGCTCCCATGGGAAGAGGTCAAGAAGGAGATGACTGATGAGAAGGGCTTGGAAGGTCAAGTTGCCGATAGGATTGGTGAATATGTCAAGTTGTCCGGTAGTAGAGATCTCCTGGAGAAACTCAAGGCAGATGCCAAGATGCAATCAAACGATAGTGCGAAGAAGGGTATTGAAGAGATGGAGCTTTTGTTCAACTACTTGGAAATTTTCGGCGTGCTCCCTCAACTTTCCTTTGATTTGAGTTTGGCTAGAGGTTTGGATTACTACACTGGTGTCATTTATGAAGCTGTTGTTGAAGGATCAAGAGCACCTACACTCGCACCTGCAGCGACTGCTGCTCCTGCAGGTACAAAGACACAACCAAAGGATGTCAAACACACGGGAACAAAGAAAGGTTCAAAGGATGCTGAATCAAAGCATGAAACTGAAATCGATGAATCTCAAATTGGTGTTGGATCAATTGCTGCTGGTGGTAGATACGATGAGCTTGTTGGCATGTTTGCCGGCGGTGGTGCCAAAGATCAAATTCCTTGCGTTGGTGTGTCCATTGGTGTTGAAAGAGTCTTCTCTATCTTGATGCAACGAATCCAATCAGAGCAACAAGCATCGAGAGCCAAACAGACTGAAGTTTACGTTATGGCGATTGGTGATGGATTGTTGAAAGAGCGTATGCAAATTGCTAAAAAGTTGTGGGATAACAACATCAAGGTGGGTGTATGGTTTCTCTTCTAAGTTACCCCTTCTCACCACTTTTAAAGGCTGAATTCTTTTACAAGTCTAAACCAAAATTACCAAAACAATTCGAAGTTGTCGATAAGGAACAGATCCCATTCGGATTATTATTGGCACCACGCGAATGGAACGAGGGGCAAGTTAGAGTCAAGGAGCAAAGGGGCAAAGAAGAAGGCGGTGGAAACGGTGATTTGATCAAGGTAGATGATCTTATCCCTGAGCTGTATAAGCGTATATCCGACTGGAAGAATGAAGGATTTTAGATGAATCACTGTCCTTTCAACTCGTCTATGTTTAAAATGTAAATATCAGCAATTTATTTCTACAATTTTGCACTTATTTTTTTACGTGTCTGTGCAATGTGAACTGATCTTCTTTCAACGCTAATTGAATATGTCAGTAGAGGATAAGCAACAAGCCAGGCACAAGTTCCAAGCGGTGTTTAGTAAAATATCGAATGAGTGTCTGGATTACTTGAAGGAGAATCAGATGCCTAGTGAAGCAGTCAAATGGTTTGATGATAACTTACAATACAACACTCCTGGTGGTAAATTGAACAGAGGTATGAGTGTTGTTGATACCTACTCCATTCTAAAAGGTGGTAAGATATCCCAAGAGGAATACGAAAGAGCTGCAATACTCGGCTGGTGTGTTGAGCTCTTACAAGCATACTTTTTGGTCGCGGATGATATGATGGATGGCTCAATCACTAGAAGAGGTCAGCCATGTTGGTACAGACAACCTCAAATTGGAAACATCGCAATCAACGATGCATTTATGCTCGAAGCTGCTATCTATCATATCCTCAAGCTTCACTTTAAGAAGGAAAGTTACTACGTCAACCTGTTAGAACTATTCCACGATGTCACATTCAAGACTGAGTTGGGTCAGTTAGTCGATCTTATCACAGCGGACGAAGAAAAGGTTGATCTCGACAAGTTTAGCTTGGATAAACATCACTACATTGTTGTTTACAAGACTGCTTTCTATTCCTTCTACTTGCCTGTTGCATTGGCTATGTTCATGAGTGGACTGAGTGATGAAAATCTTCATCAGAACGCACTCGACGTTCTCATTCCGCTTGGTGAATACTTCCAAGTACAGGATGATTATTTGGATGCTTTCGGCAAGCCAGAGCAGATTGGTAAAATTGGTACAGATATTGAGGATAACAAGTGCAGCTGGTGCGTATGCATTGCATTACAATTAGCAAACAAAGAGCAAAGAAAAGTACTAGACGAGAACTACGGACGCAAAAACCCAGAGCAAGCCGACAGAATTAAGGCTTTGTATTCTGAAATGGAGATTGAGAGCAAATTCAAATCTTACGAGAAAGAAGCGCACGATAGGATAGTCAGCTTGATTGAAAAGGTTGATGAGAAATCCGGTATGCGTAAGGAAGCTTACTATTCCTTCCTTTATAAGGTGTTTGGTAGAACCAAGTAGGCAAACCAAAGTTATCAAACGTCGGTGTTATGAAAGATACATTCTCTTATCCTTGGTATATTATGTGCCTTTGTGGTGCTCAAGATGTCCTTGATTTGCTCAGGTGGATCCATATCCAAGCTTTGTGCACGGTGAAATCTGTCCAATCTTGTGAGGCCAACGCAAGGGCCGTATTCGTAGCAGTTGCTGGACGTCATGTTAGCACTTTCGAAAGACGTAAGTGGAAACCTACTCAAACACTCTCAGTATTATGTCAACTTTGGTTTTGTTGGTCGAATGCAGAGGCTCATTGAAATCCATCCTCTGCATTGCCCAGCTGTGAAGATTATTCCACTCATTGCTATTTTCGTTGAGATCTGAGTCTTCTTGGTCGTTTATCTCTACAACATCAGTCTCTTGTTTGTATGGCTTGGATGGCGAAGATTTCAATGTCTTGGCAGTGGCTCCTTTTGCAGCCTTGAAATGTGATTTGATAGATGATTTGTGCTTTGCAGATGCAGCTTTAGGCATATTGCAGTGAATGAAAGTTGAGGATAAGAGATGATATCACAAGTACAATAATAACGATTAAATGAATTTAGTCTGGATTTGGAAGGTGGTCATCATTTTCATCTAGTTCATTTAATTGAATTCCTCCGCTTTACCAGACATGAGTAGCCCAACTGTGAGTGTATTAGAATACTGTGTTGATCCAACTACAGCCAACTCACCAATCAATCCAAACAATCCCATAATGCTACTAAAGATTTCAATGACGAGTATCTTGACGAATAGTGTTGGATCAGCAGCGTCTGCTAAAGCTGCATTACTGCCATTGATACCAACTGCGACACCGCATAGCAGGTTGCAAAGGCCAACTGTCAATCCACCCCAAAACAACGAGAAGCCGGTATAATAGTTTGATTGTGTGTAAATTCCATCAGAAGGCAATCCCTTTATCTTGGCTGCATAGACGATTGCCATGATAACGCCATAAATTGCAACAACTTCACAGAAAATGATGCTATAAAGTGGTTAGCGTGGTTGGCGCGATGATTATAATAGTAATAATCAAACAAACCCACCTAATCAGATTCTTTGTGCGTATACGAGGTGTGCGCACACCACCACCCAATATCGATGATCCTGTCACAAAGATACCCCTGTGCGTCTTTTGTGAGGGGCTGTAAGCCATTATATCAACTGCACTCACCATCCAGCTCCTGCTACGGATAAACCGATACACAGTCCTATGCCCAACAACGCCCACATGTAAGGAGAAGTTTCAGTCAAGAACCATCCAATATCAAAAGCTTCTCCTTGACCTGACTTGTGTGTCATTACTACGTTCCCAATCCATATGCAATCGACACGCACCAGTGAGCAAGAGATAGAGCAAAGCGAGAAACCAAATAGTAGATACTACACCTAACGCATATCTATAATAACCATATCCCATTATATTTTATTTCAGAAATTATCTTTTGTTGGTGGTTGTGGTACAGATCCAAGTCGCATTCTTAGTGATAACTCCCATGAGCAGGATATTTACCAGGGGAATTAGCCATACACTACGAAGGAAACAGCAGCAGCAGGATTGGTGGTTTGTAGATCCGACCTCTTCGTCGACGCCTTCTCAGTCATCATCCACTACCACTTCCACTTCACTCCCACCAGCAGAATTACCAAGTTCATTAATTGATTTACATAATCACCTTAACACCCTCCCATATCTCAATAAAAGCTCCATCAGCTGGAGACATATCGATGATTTCCAGTCAGATTCAGACGAGCTTATCGACAATAATGTTAGCTCTGCACTCAATCCATGGGTGTGGGCGGGTAAAGCGTGTCTGTTGGATGGCATTGGAGAACGCGGTATCGACAGAACATTCAGGGATTTGCGGGCGTATGTGAGTCCCCACGTTGTCTCAGTATCGTTCATCCTCACGCTAGACTGTCAGCTTAAACAGCGAGAAGGAATTACTGTTAACATGTACGGTCTAGAACAGCCTGAGCGTAAGAAGTATACCCGCAAAGGTCTATCTAATCTACGTAAATCTCAAGACAATCTCATCAAAGATCGAGGTAGTTGGGGCTTGATAGAGCATTTTGACAAGCAGACTGGTGTGTCTTCTGTCTTTGGCATTTGGGAGAAAACCAACGAAGCGGATCAATGGGGTGCTTTCGAGTAGTGATATGTCATCTCAGAAGTTATTACGTCTTAAATAATGCATTGCTGATTTCTACAAGAACTTATGGATACTAATAATTATAACTATGGTATAAGTTTATGTGATTATATTTTGCTATTACTATTACTCGATGATCTACTATCGTTTCTTTGCGTTCTCGTTCTGTACTGTGTAGAGGATGATGTTGGTGATTCGTTATATGTATTTCTCGCTGACGTTCTCGATGAGTCTTGGTTGTCATGATTGCTGTCGTAAACATAATCATGTACGTTCATTTGCGGCTGCTGCGCTTTGACTGGAGATGCACTCGTCGATGATCCTGCAAAAACATCCTTTGCTAGCGGCACCCCATCTATATTCGCCTTTTTGCTGTGTGAACGAGGTGGTAGGTTTTTATTTGCTAGCTCTGACAAAGACATCAATGAGGCATCCCCGATTGTTGATGAGGGCACTTTGTGTACATCCTTCGCCAGTTGTACACTATCTGCATTTTCTTTCTTGCTGTTTGAGCGAGGTGGTAGGTTTTTCCCTTCCAGTTCTGATATTGACATATATGAGGAATCCTTTTTTGGTGATGATGCTGCACTTGATGGACTGTAATTCAATATGTAAGCATCTGAGGGTTTCTCTCTCGCATAAGTATCATTCGATTCCTCTTTATGCTTTATGCTGAATTTCCGTTTTTTTGGTGACGCAAGACTGTTTATCGTTGGCGATGTTGGTCCTGATGACCATCCTGTGTGCCCAATGGAGTGTAATGGTAGTGTTTCCTGGGCAGTAGTGTTATTTCAGTCAATCTCATAATGTTTAACCTACCATATTCTCTCCTTCATCGACTGGTGACTCATCGAAGATACTCGTCTGCCCAAAGAGAGACTTTGCTATCGAAAGCATTTCTTCCATTGAAGTAACTAATCCAAGCAATATCTCAGCTTCAGAAAGGGCATAGTGCAACCTGTAGTCAGCCAGTTGCCTTCTCAGCGTAAAATCATCGTCCGATAGTATATCTACTAGTTTACCATCAATAGCACCGAGCATTTCACTCAATGCCATATGTAAACTGGGTAAGAATTGTGGAAGAGGTGTTGATGATCTGAATGCGTGCGTCGATGCATAAAAGACTAAAATGAGCGCATTTATCTTGGAAATTGGTTAACAGAATAAAGTAAAACTCTTCCCTACTCACAAAGTTCAATCTCTGATCCCTGATTTCGAAAAGTGTCTCTTTCTGTATTCTTTCTCTAATGTATCTCAAAGAAATCATAAGATCGTGAGTGCGCTGAAGAGATGTGATCATCTTTCTATAAAGTGTGACTGGCTTAGGTATGACCGATAGCTCAAGTCTCAGAGGCTCTAAAAGAGTATCGCAGCCATTCAAGGCAGATTGCACATTTTTTTCTGTAAGGTCAAACTGTGCTCTGCTCTCTGCTAGAGTCGTAACACCAAGTGTCTGCCTTGACAGAACAAGATACAGCTTCGTGATTTCAGAGATGGCTTTAGATACTTGCAATGTGAAGTTCTTTTTGACTGCGTTAGATTGAAGCTAATGAAAAACATTCACTCACCTCTCTTGCATGAAATGGCCACCAGACCAAATTTACGAGGATAGCTGCAACAATACCTATCGCTATCATATACGCACGAGTCAAGGCAATCGTGAATGATGCAAAGGGTGTTGTGTCGAGGTACTTAAGAAATGTGAGTAATGGTAGTAAAAAACCAATCAACTTACTACTGGGAAGATGATTGGAGGAAATGTTACAGCGAAGACTGTACCAACACCTGGTATGCTGCTCATACGAACCAACCACGCTATCAGTATGGATATTGCCGTAACCAAGACAGTTATACCGTAGGGATTGTTTTCTGTGATGATGTTTACAATGAATCCGTATACTGCACCCAAAATAGTACCAGTCAATCTCCATAATCCGACTCTATATGTGGCCCCCGTAGATGGTTCAAGAACGTAGAAATACGAAATGACCATCCAAACTCCTTTATTTTCGAAGAACCATGTTTGTCCTTTGGAACCGTAAGGCAGAAATCCTGGTATTGATAGCAAAGCGACACCTGCTGCATTTTTCAATGCAAATCTCAAATGACGAGAGCTTTTGACAGTGCGGAAGTATCTCGACACTCTCAATCTAAATTCCAAAACTGATGGCGCGTCCCAGATGTTCAAGAACCAATACTTGATACTAAAACCAGTCTGCTTGAGGTGCGAGCGACGAATTGCGTATGTAGCATATGCCTGTAGCTGCATTTCTTGCTCAAATGTGTGTTGATGTTTGTGCTGTTCCTTCTGCTCAGCTGACAAAAAGTCATCATTCCCGTCAGGCTTCAAGCCAAAGTCTGTGAGGGTTGTGGAGGGTGCTTTCAGCCAGCTCCAAAAGTTGCGTGGGATGTGAACTTTGCGTCGATTCTTTAATCGATTTTCGAGCACTTCAGATGCGCATGTCAAAGCAAACACCAGATCTGAGGATATTTTGAAGAGTGTGACTGAATAATATGAAAGCATACATAGGTGCTTCTTAAACAGACTACTATGATGTGGAGGATTATTAGCGAGGTTCTTGATGAGGATTGTATGCATTTCGCCGCGACAATTCGTAGCTGCCTGTTGAAGGAGTTGTTTCTGAACATCTATGTCCTCTAGGGTGACGTGTTTTGCACTTTTTTCGATAAGAGCCGTACGCAGAGTCCTTCTAACCAGAGAGAGGGAGTTGAGAATGGTTTGATGCATAACTGTGATGATCTTCTTAAGATCCTCAACGCAAACCAAATCATCATCGGCGTCGTCACTCAATCCGAGTATATCCTTCTGAGATTCATCCATGTTGTACATAGATGTGTCAATCAGATCGTTGGATCCGTTGGCGAGTGAAACTCTGAGATTATCTACTATACCGACAAACGGGGCAATACGATCGACGCCAACAAAGTCGTAACTAAACTCAAAAAGACATTCACCGAGCATACTAGGCAGCCTTCTTGCGTTTCTAAAGTATTGAGCGCGCAATCGTGTGAGGTCGGAGAGTGATGAGTCTAACTCGTTAGTTGCGAACAGAACTTTGTACGAGGCCACCTGAGCCTCCTCTGCATCTTTCAAAGCCTGAATGACTTGCTTGGAGAACTGCTGACGGGCGCTGACCGGGAAGCAGATCATACAGACGATCAGTGGAATCAAACTGCCCCACAGCAGCGGCCAGAAGAGATCCAAAAAGGTGCGCACTGACATCTGAAGAACTTGTAAGAGGATTAATTCGCAATATCACCCCCACTTGCCGTTATCGCGCGCAGATTCGACGTCAGACTCCATGCCGCAACGAATTGAATAGTGCGACTGGCGACCATCAACCTTGGCAGCTTCGAGCGTGCATAAGCTGCCACGAATGCTATCAAGGTGAGCGTAACGCAGGGTATAGTTCTTGCAAACGTATGATCTATAGTCTCCTTATTAACTAGGACGGTAAAGTAGATGCTGAGATTGGAGATACCAAGTCCTACGACGCCAAAAACAAAACCGAGTACTGTGATCTGGTAAGCCAGACATCAGGTGAATATGCGGCTACGCACCGGTGAGTTCAATCTGCGAGCCGATCGAGCCATTGGGGTAGAAGAAGAGGTTGAAGATAGTAAAGAGGCTGAGAAGTGTGAGTGGATTATCTTCAGCATCTTGGAGACTGACAGAAATGAGAAATGTTCGCCAGAGAAATGAGATATTGGCTTGATGAGAATAAAGAGACAGCATATGAAGGACGAAAGCACCGGCGGCAGTACCAGTACTGTAAATCTCTTTAATGCCTTTCTCTGCATTTGTTACAGCATGAGGTTCGGCTTCAAGGATTGTGCGCCGATAATATTCAAAGATGGCCTCATCTTGTGATCACAGACGGGGAATTCACGAAGCATGAGATACTAGAGAGGGTATGAGATGGGTTGTTAATCATTGAGAAATATTGTTTTACGTTTTCTAGCTTTGTTCCAGATATGAAGCAGTCTTCTCGCCAC